ACGTGTTTATATATCCCAGCATTAACAGCATTCCTTTCGATACACCATATACAACTGTCATATACAATATCAACTTGATAAAATGCCTCTTTCCCGATTTCCTATTTCAGTCCCCGGTCCTGCATTAGTAAACCCCCGCGCCGATACCGGCCACGTGACGGGGTGACTCAAGCACACGAAAGTTCAAGTTCCCCACGGCTCTAATTCTCCATCTATCTATATCCCAATTGAATTCAAGATGGTCGCTCAAATTGCTGGTTCCAAGGTCCTCCTTCTAGGCTCGGGCTTCGGTATGCTCCCCTCCCCTCCCAATGCCCAACTATTCTATGGCTGCCCCGCAATGCCATCCGCCTCCTCTTCAACATTGTCTTAAGGGTTAACTTGCTCACATATTGATTCTCTTTAGTCACCAAGCCTACCGTTGAGGTTCTCGACAAGGCTGGCGTTCAGGTTACCGTCGGTACGTGCCATTGACTCCAATTTTCATCCTTAGTCCCCATACTAGTATCGCCGATATACCCCGCCATGTCCCGCGACAGCTCGATATCCTTCACACACCGCTGCAATACAATGGTTGCTGATTATAATCACGTGTCAATTAGCCTGTCGTACCCTCGAGAGTGCTCAGAAGCTTGCCGCTGGCTTCAAGCACACCAAGGCTATTGCCCTTGACGTCAGTGACGCTGATGCTCTTGACAAGGCTAACAGCGAGGTAAGGACCATGCCAGATTGCGGTCGGAGGGTTGCGGAGGAATTGACAATATCATCTAGAACGACCTTGTCATCTCTTTGATTCCCTACAGTAAGTACGACTCTGTATAACTGATGTACCAGAAAGATGCTGACACGATTTTAGCCTTCCACGCCCTTGTTATCAAGTCGGCCATTCGTACTAAGAAGCATGTCGTCACCACCTCATATGTCTCCCCCGCCATGGAGGAGCTTGATGCCGAGGCCAAGGCTGCTGGTATCACTGTCATGAACGAAATTGGTCTGGACCCCGGTATCGACCACCTTTACGCCGTTAAGGCGATTGCCGATGCCCACGCCGCCGGCGCTAAGGTTACTGGCTTTGTCTCTTTCTGCGGTAAGTGCTCATATTTCATATATGTCCCGCAACTTGACAATCGCTAACAATTTTGGACAGGTGGTCTTGTAAGATAAATGCAGAATGCCCACTCTATGACTCACTAACGATATATCAGCCCGCCCCCGAGGCCAGTGGAAACCCTCTCGGATACAAGTTCTCGTGGTCCAGCAGGTGTGAACAAATGGTATTATATTCCATGCTAAACAGAAAGGCTAATGGTTTCTAGGGGTGTCCTGTTGGCTCTGCGCAACGCTGCTCGTATTTACCGCGATGGCAAGATTGTTGACATCGCTGGCCCTGACCTCATGGCCAACGCCAAGCCTTACTACATTCTCCCTGGTTTCGCTTTCGTCGGCTACCCTAACCGTGATTCTACTCCTTTCCGCGAGCGCTACGACATCCCCGAGGCTCAGACCGTCATCCGCGGTACTCTGCGCTTCCAAGGCTTCCCTGAGTTCGTCAAGGTCCTTGTTGACGTTGGTTTCCTGAAGGACGAGGCCCACCCCGCCTTTGAGAAGGCCATCCCCTGGAAGGAGGCTACCCGCCAGCTTTTGGGTGCCACCTCTTCCTCCGAGAAGGACCTTGCCTGGGCCATCCAGTCCAAGACTTCTTTCCCCAACAACGAGGAGCGTGACCGTATCATCAACGGTTTCCGCTGGATTGGTCTGTTCTCTGATGAGCTCACCACCCCCCGTGGTAACGCTCTCGACACCCTCTGTGCTGTTCTTGAGAAGAAGATGCAGTACGAGGAGGGCGAGCGTGACATGGTCATGCTGCAGCACAAGTTCGAGATTGAGAACGCTGATGGTTCCAAGGAGACCCGCACTTCCACCCTGTGCGAGTACGGTAACCCTGCCGGTTACTCCGCCATGGCTAAGCTCGGTAAGTTCATTCGGAAGAGAGAAAGAAAGAAAGAAAGGGGTTCATCTCTTGCTAACTCACTGTCCTTAGTCGGTGTGCCTTGCGGTGTTGCCGTGAAGCAGGTCCTTAACGGCACTATTACCAAGAAGGTACGTTTGCAGCTCATTTGAGTTCACGTTGATAATTTCGGCATAACTAATACTTAATTCAGGGTATTCTCGCTCCCATGACCATGGACATCTGTGGTCCTCTCATCAAGGAGCTTAAGGAGGAGTACGGTATCGAGCTGGAGGAGCGCACCCTTTAAGTGTGTCTAAGCTCATATAACAGCTAGTAATTAGCGAAAAGTACAAAGAATGATATATATCATGATTGGATGTTTCTACATGACCAGCTCATCAAGTAAACGTTTTACATAAATCAGTTGCCATTAGGTTTTCAGGCGCACAAGGAAGCCATATCTACCATGGTAAATCTAGGCAGTGTTTCTGGCTGACAATATCTAATTTCTATCGTGAGATGGATCATTTCTTAACTTCATTATCATAGACATCACTTCCTCTATCGTAGCATCATCGCAATCCAAGTCCGGTCGAATAAATTAGACTTAAAAGCCAAGCAAAGTCCAAACAAACCTAGCCAACACGGGATTCCAAGAGACAGACATAATCTGGTCTGGAAAATTGGAGCTACAGCTTCATGTTATTGAGCTCTCCCAAAAGTTCCACTCATTTTCCAGTACCATGTCCTTGTAAGAATCAGATCCAATACTATGTATCAGGACTGTTTTATGCTCGTTTCTCATGTTTTTCGTTGTTTTTCGTGTTGCAGGCGTTATTGAAAAAAAAGAATGAAGACCGACAGGCATTTTCTGTTCTCTATGTATCAAATTTTGAACTCTGGCCGAGTTGATCAGAGAATAGTGCCAAACCTATAGCGAGGAGAATCACAAGGAATGTCATTAGTAAACTTTTTCCAAATAAGGTGCGAGATGTGGATGATCTGGATATAAACGACCCGCACTGGTCAAAAGACAAAGAACAAAAAGGGGACAACGGTAGCGGAAGACAAAGGGATTGTTGAAGGGGGAAACGAGAGCTTACCCAAAAGTCTGCTTCATGCTGCGAACGTAGTACATATCCCAATTTTGCTTGGTGACATCCTCCTGTCCAACAGGGACACCAGACCACTCGACGCGCAACTGAGTGACGCCATCAACGTTGTTCTGATCGAAGTTGATCTCGAGGGTACTGAAGTGGCCAGCGGGCCACTGGGCCAGACGCCAGGTCTGTACAATCTGCTTGGGGGAATCAAGCTTAACGAACTCTCCGGTCACGTTGCCGTCGAAGATGGCAAACTTGCCGCCGACGTGGGCGCCCTCGAACTGGCGGGGCGGGCCACGAGTGAAAGCGGCGAGGCGCTGGGGGTCGGTGAAGGTGATAAAGAGCTCCTCGGCGGTGGTGCGGAACTCGTCAGAGGCAGTGACGGTGGTGGTATTAACGGCGACCTTGCCGGTGGAAGTGGTGGAGGTTGCGGTTGTGGGAGCGGCTTGGGGCTTGTTGGTCTGGGGGTGGACAAGAACCGTGGGGAAGCCCTTGGAAGGGTCGACGCCGGGGGCGTGCTGGAGATCCTTTGCGTGCTCGGTGATGAGGGCACCGGTAAGTTTGGCGAGGGCCACACGGAGTTGAGGGACAATCTTCTGGCGAACGAGGTCCTTTACGGGCTGCTTGGAAGCAGCATCGGCGTAGTTCTCAATCTCGAACTAACAAGAAACAGAAAATTCTGTTAGTTTTGGGATGTGCTTGGTTTTTTTCTAATTGACCCTTTTCTATGTTTGGAAAGAGGCCATTGGGCGGGTACAAGGGAACATACGACGTACTCATCTTCCTCGGTATCGTGGGCTACCTCGGGGATGTTGATGGAACCGCTGACCTCCTCGGCGTCCTTGGTCTTACCTATAAACAGTCTCAGCTGCCAGGAACGCTTGCAGGATTTGGATTTCTACAAACCTGAATACTCTAGCGACAGCTTGACATCGAACAGGGTGATGACCTTGCCCTTGCGCTGGCTGACGTCTACGTCGCCATTCATCGACAGAACCTTGTCTACTTTGGCGGAAACACCACCTTCCTCGGCACTGATGACAGTCAGGTGCTTGTCAAGGTACTCCTTGGCCCAGCCAGAAGCGTCCTTGTTCACCCAGTGCCAGTTGTTGGGGTTGTGGAGAACCATGATGAATGTGGGACTATTAAGATGGGAAAAAGAAAACTCTGATTTGGGGACGATGTGACTGTGCGAGATCCGAGTTGCGAATTCGGTGCTTCTCCTTCTTCAATTCTCTCTTGCTTCTCCGGAAAATATGCAGTCGAATCTAAAAGGTTCTTTAAAAATTCCAGGTTAGCGTATGTTCGCAGAAATTTCATGTGGAAGCAAAGTCGAGAAAACAAATTGCGCGAAGCAATTATGCCACAAATATCAGGTCACGGCTGCGTATGCCGGACGGTATACTGATCAGCATAGACACGGGAACAATTCCGTGTCGTCTGACTGGTGCCAGCTGATGTCTCATCATTTGAGCAAACCCAGGATAGCTCAAGCTCACGAGGAGTTGAGAAGAGCCCAGGTGAAGAATTGGATTCTTCATTGGGGTGCAATGCAGTGCGAAATATCAAAGGCTACTCACAATTTCAAGGAAAGTCCAGATAAACTTCTGGATGGAGTGATTGAAGGATGATGAGAAAGAGAAGAAGGAGGGACGAGCGACGGATATTTGAGCGATTGGGGACGGAACACTCTAGAAAGAGAAGTCACGTGATACAGTGGGCCCTGCATTGGAAGAGGATTAGTATACAGACACCTAGTGCTTTAATTAATAATTCAGGATATATTTGAAACATGGAGCTTGACTGCCCAACCCTTGGATGGATAAAGTTCTCTGGATTGAACATACTATGTACCCAAACTTGATAAACAACGAACGAATGGGGATATCACAAATCTCAAGCTAAAATATATATATGTATAAGAAGAACTATTCACCTTCAGGGTCTTATTCCTGCTCCAATCTCTCCAAGTCTTCCCATGCATCTTCACTTATGAGCTGTTCTTTGACTCTTTCTCGTAACACTTCAATCTGGCTTCCAAGAGCCTCTGTCCACTGCCCTTCAACAGTGGCCACCTTGTCCTTCAAATCAGTAGTAAGAGAGATCTCTTCATCTGCTCGGGTCATCTCCATCATCTGACGGACTGTTTCCTCAGACTCCCCTCGCTGAATTCTTTCCGCCTCCGTAAGGTTCCGATTGGCTCGCATCAGAGCCGACCGGACCTCATGTAACAAGCAGAGAAGATTGGTCTGGGACTCAATATACTGGTAACTGGACTTCTCGGCATGCGAGAGCAGCGAGTAGAGATACTGCAGCGGATGCGCATGGTAGCTCGGGTTCTCTTCATACTCATTTGCCGGGATCTGAACCTGGAAACCATGCAGGTTTTCTGGGACCTGTTGTACCAAGGCGAGGAGGGAGGGGGCAATATCCCAGAAGGCTGATAGTTGTTTCTCGACGCCACGAACAACATTCTGTTCAATGATATTTAGGAACGATTCAAGACGGGCAAACGCCTCGGTCTCATACTGCACACGTCGGTCTAAGGAATCTTTCAAGAAGAAGGCTTGTGTTTCACGTAGCTTGTCTTCGTTCTTGCTTTGCTGGTATGGCAACAGAGCAACTTTTTTGTATTTATCATCGCGACCGCTGACAAGGTCGAATGCTTCTCGGTGTAATTGCTCGCGCGCTTCGAACAGCCATTTAAGCTGTGTAAGTTTCTCCAGCAGCTCGGGCTTTTCATCGCCTTCCTCTTGCGTCTGATCAGGTGTCTCATGCTGTGCATCGTCAAAAAGCCTACTGCTCAGCTCGTCAATGCAGGATGTTGCTTTGTCGATACGATCCATAATTATGGCATGCATTGGCTTCAGCACCATCTTTTGATACGACTCCAGCTGGCGCTTTGCTAGTTCACCTTCGCGTCTGTGTTCATCAACTATCATGGCAGCTTCGGCCTCAGCAGCTTCCGCAAAGGTGAGGCTGCCTTCTTGGATCTGGCTCTGAATATTAGATTTGAAATGGCGACGACCCTCTTGAATTTGGTCCTGGTTTTCTTGAGTCATCCTCTCAACATCCAACTGATAACGCTGCCTGGTGGACTTTATCTCAGAGATATCAGTGATGGATCGAACCGTTGTCCGATATGATACGAGATCTGGATGCCCATTGTTGACCGCTGGGTAGTGACGTGGGTATGGTGGAGGTAGAGTCACCAGTCGTGAAATGTCTAGCTTTTGGTTGCCAATGAACTGTTCATAGCGGCGCTCGGCGCCTGCACTAGGATACTCCTTCTCTTCATCGTGCCAGCCGACCTTCTCTGGCGGATATTCGTCGGGCCCATAAGGCATGTACTGGTCCGTATAGTTTGCACCCGCATCATCAAGTTTAGATGGGGTCCGTTCCTGATCCCACTGCATGGCATCTCGAGCCAATCCCATATACTTCGATTCACGCTTGGAGCGCCGCACACGTCTTCCATCCCCCTCGCTACTGGATCCTGTCTTAGACTCCCACCAGCGGCTGGGGGCACGACCCCGCGAGCTCATCTCGTCGTTGCTCATATTGAGACTGGCAATAGGCGACAGGCAAGGCTGATAGTTATTCCACCACGCAGAATCCGGCCTACCAGGTCGATTTGGAGGAATTTCCAGCATTGGGGCAGGTCTGATTGTTTTTATCGGAGGTTCAACGGGGCGTTCAAAGAGCTTGCTATGCATACTTTCGGCGTCAAAGGACCCAGAGTCCCAGACGGAGGCATACCGCCCACGCCGGATTTGCGATTCGGCGATCATGTACTGTGTAAAGACCTTTAGGGCTTCCGCCTCGGTTGGAGCAGCAGCCTCATCCTCAATAAACTTTCTGTGCCGCTGTATAGCATCCTGCATAAAATCGGTATCTTGCTTAATGATAGATTCTAGGGAAGCTGACTGCGTCGCCTGTTGCAGTGGGACTCGACGGGGTGAGAGTGGCTTCATCATAGGAGCACCATCATTCGGCATATGCAAAATATGTGAGATTGGACGATCCTCCCGACTTCGAGAAGAACCACGAGGCCGGGGCTGTGGCTGAAATTCCTTGCCAGAACCCAGCGGAGGAGTTGGCAGTGCTTTTGGTGGTATTGGCTGGGGCGGCTCTTTGGGATGAGCGGACGAAGGTTCACCATTTGGCGAGAAGGGAGGCGTATGCGCGAATGTAGCCGATGGCCCACTGGGTCCAGGGGTCGGGCTTGATTCCAATTTGGGCGAAGAGTAAGACGACTGGTCAGTGAAGAGGCCCCCAGAACTCGCTCGAGACCGCGAGGTAGTAAATTGAGCCTCCGAGGGAAGACTCCTTGAACTTTTGGGGGTAAATCTTGATGATGAGGGCTGTTGTGTTGGATCGGGAGAATTACTCGCTTCTGGGAGAACCAAATTCGATGGTTTGATCTGTTCTAAAGCATCGGCCCAGGGGTTTCCACTGGAAGACACAGCACTCATATCGTCGAATGTTTGACTCTGCCGATTTCGACGCTCAATTCGCCTTTCACGAATACCCTTGGCACTTGGATCACGGACTGCCGGGCTACGGAAAAGACCACCGCTTCCCGGGGTTTTTTGGTTCTCGCGTACTTCGCCATTGGAGTCAAGATATTCGGCTCGATCAGGTGCTGAGATCGCTTTGGTGGTGTCGATATGCAATGGCTCGTCCCGACTTGGCCGACTTTTCAAGTATTCTTCATCCACCCAGTCAGCAGGGGTTGGTGGAATACTCCCCAGGCCAGTTCCCATCATAGGTGGTGGTCGAGCTCTACTTCTAACCTGACCTTGAGGTGTTCTCGCGGAAGACGACTCCGATGAACCGCTCACGCTGACAGACCGCACGGTTGGAGGTGGACCTGGCGGTGGTGGTGGAAGTGGCATACCTAGTGCCCAGCCACTGCTAGATGGAGATCGATCTCTCGTTTGACTATGTTCCCTCGAAGGGCCTGCACTGCTGACAACCGCACCCGCAGAGGCAGCTCTTCGCGATGCAGGTGGCCTCGAAGGTGCTTCCAATTGGCCAGAAGAAGGTCCTGGTAATTGATCTCTAATAGCTGGCGATGGCATAGCTTGTTCATAGGACGAAAGGGAGACTCGAGTCCTGGAATGAGATTGAGCGGTGTGATAAGGCAAGCCCTGGTTTCCATCAAGTCGACTGTGTGAGACAGATCTAGATCCCTGGTTACCCTGTTGGGGAGGTGGAGGTGGCAATTGGTGATGAGACTCAGTGTCGGTTGTGTAGACCATAGAAAGTGGACGAGGACGATGTGCTGAACGCCGTGGATACTCGGGATTTGCAAAAAAATCTCCATCCCTGGGAGGGTTCTGGGGTGGCGTCACCGAAGGCGTCACCGAAACATTGGGGTTGGGGGATCCAAACGTTCCTTGCGATACTCGATTTTGGTTGCTCGGGGGTGAGTATGGTGGAGGTGGTGGTGACAAAGATTCCTCTACGTTTCGTCAATATTAGACCTACCAATCGTTACTCTATAATCAAGAGAAACCAACCTGTATGAGTTCTCGGCTGGGATACAACCCGAACCTGAGTGGTTTGATGAGAGTATTGAGCTTGAGCAGCGGCAGCAATAGGAGGTCCCCAGTCTTGTGGATTATAAGGGACACTATAGTTCGCTGCCTGTCTAGAGGATGACGTGGACCGAGCGTTTGCTGGAGATGGAACGCATGGAGACTGGGTATGAATAAACGGACTCGAAAGCGAAGTTGAAGATAAAGGGGTCGTTCCGTGGTGGAATTGAAGGCCACTCAGTGCAGTCGTCAACAAAGGCGGCTGCACCGCCTGGTCTCGACGACCTGGGGAGGATTGGTTATTGTTGGCAGCGGCTGACGACCAGCTAGTGTACTGCTGCTCGTCGCCTGCATGACTTGAAGCCATCCAACTAAGCCTAAGTCAACATAATGAGCTCTGGGCAAGCGAATGTTAAGAGGCTCAAGTAGTCTGACGCACCTGTTCATCCTGGGACTATGCACCCATCAACACACTGTTCAGCTCGAGGCCATGATAGTCCCCAGGAGATCAAGATATGGATTCGTGAATTCAACACGAACGAAGAAAAAGACAAACGACGAGAGGCCAAATTCAATGACTGTAATTCAGAAAGCTTGAAAGAGAGAACACAACCAAACCCTAGTCCGTAGGGCCAATTAGTGCCGACCCAGGCGAATGGCACGCTATCCACAGGGGGAGAAGAGGGGGCCATGATCTATATTTGGAAGCACAAAGACCTTTCAGCAAAACCATAGCGGATATGGAAAGTCGTGGTCGAAGCGGGGAACCTCATATGCACCCTGGAGGTTCTCATCACACACGGCCCAGGTTCAGCGCTTATCACCGACGCTTACAGGTCCAAGGCCGCTAGCCCCACACCCTTTGACCAGATCAACAGCCAATCAGCCTGCGCATCACACCAGGATTGGGGATTTGGCTTCTTCCTTCAGGAAAATTCAAGGACGTTTCTAAAATAAACCAGACACGAGGGATATACACTGCAAGATTGACAATCCTTCACAGGTGTGATAGGGAGAAAAGAGATACTTTTGTGGAATAGCTTGCATTTGTAATCATTTGGATTCTAACTACAGTACTGGACGCTAAAGGGGCCTAAGTGGTTCTGTAATAAACCTCGGCCGGAGACCGGCAGAAGACGCGGCTGAAAAAGATCCCTGTTCACTGAATCCAACGTTAGTTTTGGATTTCCCAAAAACGCGATTAACAAAAAAATAATTGTGAACAAAGTGTCAGATAATATGCCCTGTCACAGGCGGTGGTCATCAATTGAAAAATTCCTTATGTTGACCGTCGTGATAATAAAGTAAATCATCATGTAAAAAGGGGAGCAAAGAATAAAAATCCAGTGTACGAACGGAAGACAAATCAACTCACGTTAATCATGTAAAAAAGGAGCAACGCTGTCATAAGTGATCAGTTTTATGCCGACACTATTCAAGACCGATCAGTATCGAGCACTGAATGGACATGGGTGACAATCAAAAAAGTGTTTGGTGATTGATCAGGCATGACGATCTCGTCAAAGCCAGTGGCTCGGACATATGCTTGTCTTTTGTTTTCGTCGATTCATCAGGAAAAACGATGTGGGTGGAAAGGAGACAGTGTGACATACACCTACGGTATGACAAGTTCGAAATTGAGACGACAGTTCAAAAAAGAGAAGATTACTGTTTGACAGGACGAATTAGTCACTGCTTTCAAAGAAACTCGTTATGCAGAATTTTCACAGAGGGAAAAAATTTTCAGAAAGGCATGAATGGTATTAAAAAGATGTTGTCTGCATGGCAAACGCCGATAAGACTCGTCATCTAAAGGATTCATCATAGAAGATGGGGCAGAAGAAAGAGAAAACACAAGATGCAAGTAACCGCATACCTTTTGAGTTTCTACGAGGACAATGTAGTCGGTCAAGACAAAATACTGAGCGAGTTGATTAGCAACTCATCATCAAGTCATGTGAGTCGATGAGATTCATGAGACATGTCTCAGTGGGCGAGGTTTTCTAGGCCTGCCGCAAAAAGGGCGTATCCGTCATGTTGTTTCGGAGCCCAGTGCCATTTCATCTTCGGACGTGAGGAATGTTGAGTGGTAACGGGTCGGAAGCTTACATCTATCTTTATCCCAGTTAGCATATGGTTCTGAAGCCTAGTTCGGAATAAAGATGCAAGAGATATTAAAAGTTCAGTCAAGCCTTGGTTATCGTCAGTGACCCGGAGGCCTTGGACGGTAATTTCCAGTCTTAAATGCGTTCATCATAAAAAGGGGAGAAGAGTATGGTGGGAGAGTAGAAAAAAAGGTAGCTTACCATTTGTAAAAACAAGCCAGACAGTTGTGTGTTGCTAAGGTTGGTGATACGATTAGTCCTAAGAGGGCAAAGTTAGCTCTCTGTAAATCTCGACGACCAGCAGTGACAACAATCAAAATGAGCGCGAGTAGCTCAGACTGACGTGCAATAACAGAAGTTTCATTCCCCGAAGGGGTCAAAGACTCTAGTTTGAAAATGGTTATAGTTATCATCATAAAGATGATGCGCGTGTTGGGGCAGAAAATTTTTAACCGAGACAATCGCTTACCATAAATTGAGTTCCTGCAAGACGAGCTCGCGTCAGTGAGTCGTATAATGTATCATCTTCATTGAAGAATGAGATTCAAGTCGCACCCCAAGCAAAAGGCATTTTATTGCAATGGAATGTGCACTGATGGAGGAAAGGAAGAGAGTGAAAACACAAATCGAAGTTTTCTTAAGCTAACCGGGATGACCGCCCTAAACTACTTCGGGACGGTTAGCCCGCCCCGGATCCATTCTACTACCACTCCGCAAAGGGACTAGCGTTAGTATCCTAGCTGCCTCAGGCAGGGATTGGCTGGTCCTGGGTATATCATTTTGCAATCTTGAAATTAATCAAGTGAGATGATGGACAAGCCTCGAATGAGATGGCTGACTAATAAATCCTCAGATACCAAATGAATGAAGGCTTGTGCATTTAAGTGTAAAGATCACCAAGGCATGGCCTGATACACGGAAAATTGTACCCAGTCGGTCACAGTCATGACGGCTGAGAGGAACAATCCCGGGCAATGGCCTCCCGAGGTCATAAGGAAATAAAATCGGCCCGAGTAGAATCATGGGTATTGTGAGCTATATGTGTAAACCCGACAAAGCCTGCCTTCGGGTATTGCGGAAAATGCGGCAAACAGCCTCTACGAGATCACCAATGTATAATGACTCAATAGATTTTACCTTCCGATAAATTCTCAATGGAAAGTATATCCATTATATATACGGCAGCCTGTGGGATTTTGTCTGGTATCCATTAAGATGGGTTCCGTTTACCTATACGTTCCATCCCGCACAGCCCGAGGAGGTTTAACATTCACCGAGCTATTATATGCGCAAATGCCATGCTACCATGGACGAAGAAATTGTCTCACAAGTGAGAGATATCTCAAACTCGAAGAGCTTTTCTTTGAGGATCTTGCTAACGTATACATCTGATTACAGACTCTGGCGAAGTTCCAGATACTTGCGTTATTTGCGGCGATGTTCTTGGTGATGATTCGATTTATCGACAGCTTCCATGCTCACATTTCTTTCACCAACCCTGCATTGATACTTGGCTCCGCACACAGGATGCCAGCTGTCCAATCTGCCGCCGCAAATTCTATCATCTACGAATGCCAAGATTATTGCGCGTCATCAGCCCTTCGAATAGCAGCCCAACACCGTCTCCAAAAAGGTCCCACTTAAAGCCTGTGTTATCATGGCTAGGGAGAAGAATATCCATGGGAAGGAAAAACGATTGATTTTGAAATTGTTAGGGAAATATCTTGCTATTCCTGGCGTACCAGCGCTGAAGCGTAGTTGCCAAGAAACAAAATCAATTGGAGGTCTCAGGCATCGAATTGTCTAGCAATGTGTTCTAGATGAACTTGAAAATTGAAGCTGGATACTACCACGGCTGTATGACCTCAAAGGGGGTATTCTGTTATGTTATTGTAGCCGCCGGGTCCGCGCTTCCCGTGGTATCCGGATCATCCGGGCATTCCTTAATATTATCTTTCATTCTTGTCATCTGGCATAAGCTATATTTGAAAGCTATCGTGAAATTTGTGACGGAAATGTAAGAGAATATGATTTCCAAATACTATAATATGTCATCTCTCATAAGCCATAAACACTTACATTGCTAGTATAAGTTGGTTGTTGGAAGTGAAAGATCACTTGACTGAAAATGAGGATAATCAAGAAACCTAATAGACCACTCCATGGCACTTGAAATTTCACTAGGCCAGCCACTGAGATTGGTCGGATCAGCCGAAATACATGGGGAGGGGAAAATGGTAGGCGAAATAAGTTCAGCACTGGCCTCGCCAGGCTGAGGCCCGTTTTTCGGAGCATAGGGAGTAGATTGTAGTTGAGAGGCAGGGGTCAGATTTGACGAGCCGATTGCCACTGCTGAGAATATGTGAGTAAAACACGCTTGAGATAGACTGACTCCAATACTTTAGATGGATATACCTTCTTCTGTCGATCGACGCATCTGTGATAGACCCTGCAATATATCCGCGGCCTTTCTCGCCGCGGCAGAGTTCGAGCTGAGAGCTTCAAACACCTTGAGACAAGTCCCGGCGTCTTCACGCAAGCTTTGTGAAGAAATTTTGCTATGTGCGGGATTATTATTGTTATAGAAACTTTCTGCCACGAATAAGATGGAGCTCGCGCAGATAAGACATGAGATCATCTGCCACCATGGGAAGTCGTGAACCAAACTCCGCTCATCTACCACATTATGAAGCAGATGAGCTGTTTCCTGAGCTTCATGAACACAGATTGACTCTGCTTGGGATATGCGCTCCTTATCCCGAATGAGCAAGTTCATGAAGGACTGATTATTCATCTGCAAAAGTGGTAGACAAAGGAATGGTCGGTGGATGAGCGCACGAAGATGATGGAATTTCACCGCAAGCATGTTACGCTGTACGATAACTCAGTATCTGTAGAGCTCAAGGGGGTTGTAATCACCTACCTGACGTTTGAACGACATGGATTTTTCAAAAGTGTGGCCCATATCGAACCGTAAATGTCGCGGAAGGCTCACTTTCCATTCAAGTAAGCGCTGGTCCAGACTAGATGCACTATGAAGCATGTTGTCTGGAGATAGATCAATTTGAGATGGTCGGTACAACATCTGAATGACTTGTCCAACAATATGCGAGAATCGTATCACTTCCAAAAAATAGCTCATCATCTGGCTATGGGCCACAGGTCCGACCTGGGAGTCTTCTGAATGACCAGAAGGAAGGAATGCAGACTGATCACCTAAAGAGGGTAGTTCCACCTGAAAATCAACTTCATGTATAGCCATGGGCCGTCCGAGCTGAAGAGCAAGTAATCGGTCCAAGACATACATTGCATACCAAGTGCGTCGCCAATGCGGTCGGTCTGCTATGCTAGGGTACGATTCCACGTGCAGACCAATACTTTGTCCCATACGTATCGCAAATCCTAAAATGTTCCAACAGCTGCCAAGAGTATTAGTACTGGCCATAAAGTGATACCATGTGGAATACACGCACCGGTCCGTGTGGCAGACTGCAAGGAGAAAGAAGCACTGAACTAGCAAAGTCCAGATGCTCATGAGAGAGCAATCTGCACTCAGCTCCCCAGAAAAGTAGACACCTTGATCATGGTAGCGAAAGTGGTACTGGTTGCCCGAGTCCTTGCTATGAGGAAAGGAAGTGTAATATGACCCGATGGCGAAAATAAAGCCTAGAAATTCGTTAGAAAGACAATTGAACATGATGTACCTCGCTTAGTTCGTACTGAAGAGTGCGAGCCATGGCCGAAATTCTGACTTATTGATGTCTCCAGCCTGGAATCTTTGGAAGGCCTCTAGCAAAACCGACTTGGAGATGAACGGGTATGCAACATGAATAGTTGAAAGATAGACATCCAGGAATTGCTCCGCTTCAGATGGTGACGGGAAGAGCACTGGATGCTTAAACAGCGTCAAACTCTCTGGGCTATGAGTTTGACTATAATTCTGGGCGGCTTCTCCAGCTGGTTCTGTTGGTCCCTGTACACATTGGCGAATACTGTGTATGAAATGTATGTCACTCGCCTTTCCAACATATGTAGGAGAAAATGCTACTGGAGAGTCATATGCCGGAGGAGTTGCCTCAGTAGCCTCTCGCGAACGCTGCTGCGCCTGATGCGGGATATGGCGTCGGATCTCCCCCAGGCTGGCATCGAGTGCAGATTGGCGGGCTCCATCCAAACAGGAACGGAACTCTTGAATTAGCGATTCATATGAGTCAACAGCTCTCGAGAGGCCTGGAACGCCTCCCCTTGCGGAGACGTCTGCCGCAAGTGCAGGGGAATGACGCTGCGTTCCGTCCGTACCGACTGGGCCGATCTGAGACCCACGCCGTCTTCTTTTCGACCAGGTGCAGGCGAACATATATCCTTCACACCTGGAGCATACAGGTTGTCTTCCATCACACTACATTCACTCGGATAAGCGATGAGAGCGCTCAATATAGTGAGAGGAGTACCAGCTCTAACCTTGGCTTTGAGATCACGGCATTTGTCGCAGGCAATTCCCACACGTTGACGTTTCATTGTGGATGATCAGAGATTCATACAAATGAATGCTAGTACCAAGGATCTGCACTTATGGAAGGTTTTGTTATCGTGAAGCCTAAGTGGGAGGCAACCGGGTGAGGCGGATCGAACGGCTTATGTTATGATGACGGTGTGGATCCGGCCCAACGTAATGGGACCTTATACGGCCCGCCCGAATCGTGCCTTCAACAAGATAGCAAATCCTTAAATTCTTCAGCATGTCGCTCGAAAATCAATTCCTCTTGTACCTTGTATATTGTATTTTCTACCTTATTCATGTCACCTTTGAAAATTGATGATCTCAATGCTGCCACCCCATGATAGGAAAGCTTTGCATCGCAATGATTCAGGCTCCATCCGACTATCTAGTTCTACGTCCAATTCATTAGAATCGCAAATTCTGGGGCCGCGAAGCAATTTAGACGAAGTCGCTGCACCACCTCCAGTATACATATCCGCAGAAAACCCAGAAAGACAGCAAGAGTTCCTCGAAACTCGCCGCTCTCAAGATGATCGTGAATCCCTTCCGCTGCATCAGGAAACTGAACCCGCACAACTGTACACACAAGATGCTGGCGTTCCAGATACACCAAAGCCGTCGAAAAAGCGAACGCTCTGGAAGATTCTTCGAAAGACCTGCATTATTGGCTATCTCATATTTTTCTCAATTGCTGGCACTGTTCTACGACTAGCTATTGAATGTCTAACATTCTACCCCGGCACACCCGTCAACACCAGTGTCCTCTGGGCCAATGTAGGAGGGAGCTTCATCATGGGATTTCTGAGCCAAGACCAAAGCCTCTTCCGCGTCGATATCTCACACACTGCACAAGCGGCAACGAACCACAAAAAGACCATCCCTCTATACATTGGCCTGACAACTGGTTTCTGCGGTAGTCTCACCTCCTTCTCTACGTTCATTCGTGATGCCTTTCTTGCTCTGTCTAATGACCTGGCTGTGTCCCTTGGATCCTACTCTCATACTTCGCTATTTACCTCAGTTCCGGCCGGAGCTAAGGCTCCCAATGGAGGATTCAGTTTCATGGCCATAGTAGCGGTGCTGCTTACCGAGATTGGGCTGTCGGTTTTCAGTCTCTTTCTAGGTGCTCACCTTGCCATCGGTACATCTGCTTGGATGCCTACTCTCCCACAGCGCTGGGTGTACAAGTTCCTAGATCCTCTTGTGTCCATCCTAGCGATCTTATCTTGGGTAGCTGTGATTTGTCTTGCAGCATTATTCTCACAGGGCATAGGGGAAGTCTCACTCTGGAGTACGGAAATGTGGGAAGGACCAACTATATTCGCACTTGTATTTGCGCCACTTGGGACCTTGGTGCGGTTCTTCATATCCTTGAAGCTTAATGGCCGCATCGCGTCATTTCCATTAGGGACATTCGTTGTTAATATGAGTGGTACCATGATACTAGGAATGGCGTACTCGCTGCAACATGCTTCATTCAGTGGAGCAAGCTTTGCTGGATGTCAGATCTTGCAAGGAATCATGGACGGGTTCTGTGGGTGTCTGACAACTGTGAGTACGTGGGTTTTGGAACTGTCTGGCCTTCGCAAGAGACACGCATATTTTTACGCAGCTTTGAGCGTTGTGGTCGCACTATGTGCACTTGTCATAGAGATTGGGAGCTTGAAGTGGACTCAAGGTCTTGATACTCCCTTATGTTTCAGGGATATATAGATTGGAAAGAAAGAGCGCTTTCACAAAAGCTATGGATACATGAAGCCCCACGATTCTTGGCAGAAGCGCCGATCTTCAAGTCAAGACTACAAGTTATGAGGCTGCTGACCCACAAACGGGGCCAAAAGCACACTATTGACGGTAAACTTCTTGTAGTTGATTTGACCTCTTCTCCCCGCCTTTACCCCGTCAAGTCAACCGGTGCTACGTGCACATGTCGAGGTCGACCGATATTGACCGTAGTATTATAAACTCTGTTCAGTTTGAGATCTCTCTTTACAGGTTTCAAGACTCAGCTTTTGTAAATAGGAAATTAACGATTGAATTGAAGGGGAATCATAATTATTATATATCACAAAGCTTCGTTTATATCCCAGATTAATACATGTCCATTATGTTGATTTGGTGGAGCGCTCATCAGGTAGACGAACGACATTCTCACCAGCCTCCAGAATAGTGGATGAGTCAGATGAGCCAATGGAAGCCCGATGGTTACGAATGAACTTCGGCCATGTGTTTGTAAGAACAAGGTATTTAATGCTTGACTCGGCTTCGTCAAAAACAGAGGCATCGAACTCGGCAGGGATTTCACCCCAGTATTGTACGAGGTCCTTAATCTCATTTACCGAGTCTTTGAGTCCCTTATCAGAGTCCCCTGTAAAAGGCGTCACAGGTGAATCAATATTGAAGGTTTCTCTAAACGGAGTGGCAGGCTCGGGAACCTCGCGTTCGCCATACAGAATGGCAGTGGGCTTCTCGAAGATCTGTTCCGGTTTCTTCAGGACTTGGAAGCCAAGATTCACAGGAAATTCGGCATGACTGGGACTGATATATTCGGCGTATAGATGCAAGGCATGGTTAAAAGGCTCACGCATAAGCTCCTGAATCTTCTCATCGCGGGGAGCAGTCTTGTCCTTAAGAGCCACGGGCAGCGAGCTCTTCCATTCGGCCACAGCGGTGAGGAAAGCGATATTCTCTCCAGAGAATTCGCAGAGAGCAGAAAATTCTTGGAGAGGGGCCGGGTTGCGATCGAGAACGTATTCGAGGGCACCCATTGTAAGAATACTTTCATTGGAGGCGTCGGACCGCACGGAGCCCTTGGTGGACTTCCAGCCGGACAGGATGGATTCGACCACGGTGGGACCGGAGCCGATAGATTTGGCTTCGCCGCCAGTCCTGTTCCGTGCTTCCCATTGTGCGATCGCATCGAGGGTCTCCTGACGGAGAGATTGGCGGTGCATGACCTCCCAGCAGGGAAGGAAGATGGTAAAGATTTCCATGATCATGATGGCAAGACAGAACCACTGAGGAGGAAGCCAAACTGCACTCATGGAGGCCATGGCATCGACGTAGGTGCCACAGAGCCACAATGGAGTCGCGGGAAGACCAGCAATCGCACAGGCGATGGTTTGAGTTCGCCAGCCCTGAGTATCGTTGATATCACGGGCCTTCCAGAGAATGTAGGGAGCGACGATCCAGCACCAGAAGACTTGCGACAGAACACCAGGCCACCTAGTTTGCGTGTTAGTCGTGTTTCATCATGGATGTGCATCATCTTGAGTGCTCTTACCATTCCCAGCCTTTGCCCTGTGCTGACTTCACTTCCATGGGAGTACCGTGAACCTCAGTGCCAGGAATACCCCATGTGCTATGGAATCTGCGAGAGATGAGGTACATGACAATAGTAAGGAGAATCTAAAAATCCGGCAATCAGCTCAAAACCTCAAACCTTATGATGTGATTGAGGCTTTCAACAAACCTGGATGAACATTGCAACACCAACAACGACGAGACTTTTTGTAGAATAATCAAGATGTTGGAAGCGACCGGTTAACCCTCCCTTGCGCTTTGTACCGGGCTGCACGGACAGACGACTGCAAGGATAGGCGTATTTCTTTTGAAGCTTTGCGATATGAAGGAAACGACCGTTGGCCGCGTAGAAAAGAGAAATTCCGATAGGCAACCAGGTGCCCATGATCCAGTACATGGCATCTCCCGGCATAAGCGTACCTATCATGACCCCCCATTGTACCGACCAGAAATAAATATGAAGAAAGAAAATTGCGGACAGCGCAAGGCCTAAACCTCGAATCCGGACTGTTGGCGAGTCTCGATGTTTGATTAGGTAGGCGACACCCAGGGCGACGAAAAGAGTCCATACACAACCCCAGCAGGCCCACCAGATGGCCACTGGAGTTAAAGTGGCCACCTCCTTCGACTCCGCGGTAACCCCCAATTCAGATCCCATGATGACTTGACTGCTTTGTTTCGCAGGGGAAATGACGAGAGCACAAAGGAGAGTAAAAAGTTGGAGAGCGCTGCTGCGGTCTCGGGCAGGGCTGCGGACCGAGACTTTGTATCATATCATTTTACGTGTAAGGCTTGGTCTGTGATGCTCCCCTGTAGATCAAAGTGGATGATAATTAGATTGCAAAAGGATTTGAGTGAGTGGAACGTTCCGGCCCCATCGTGGGACTGGCCGGACCGCTCGAGGAATCGAAACCCTCGATCGGGACGCCGTTGATGCTGATAGGGTGAAGGTGGGATGGGGCCAGGATCCAGCTACCTCTTGGTCTGCATCGATCAGCGGAACTATTGATTCACTACTACGAAAACAAGATTGGTTGGTCCAAGATGCCCCACTTGGACTAATCTGTGTTTTTATCATTGCGCCGATTCAGGCACGATCCACTGGGACAACGCTATGAAATGATGTGATGGTGTGATATGACCGTTAGTGGCAGATGGAGTCCGTAGTAATGCATCCTGTGTAATGTGCATATAGGTGATCGGCCATGCGATTGGGGGAAGTGAAATCCTTTATTATCCTTAATTTCCGTCCAATGAAATGCGCATATTCTATTAGAAATACCTAACCACGGAAAGAGGCACACGAGGTGTAAACCTGTCTCGAATCCCCCCATAGTGGAGTTCTTTGGTGCCCATAGTGGATAATCGTCCGAGTGGAGGAGCCCGGTTTCCAGGTTCAACGCATTGCGACTTGACATTATCCACATCCTTGTCAAAATGTTCAGTAGTTTATTCCTCCGTAAGTCGAGAGTAGATACGTCCAGCCTTGTTATGCACGTCGTGTGGTTCTCTTTGTTGGAGAGTCTCCGAAAACTTGTGAACTCCGAAGCGAGATTGGGCCCCTGTCTTACAATTAGGCCCCGATGCAATATCAAGGGTTTTATTGATTTCCCCCGAGATCGAACAAGATCGAGCAAGATCGAGGCGACAAACGTACCGATGAATGTTTTTGGGTCCAACAGATCCCGACATCGTGGCTAACAAATCCCGGTGCTTTGGATGACTCGATTGGCTCACTGCAAGTACCCATCAAGCCTATTTGGAATCGTGCCAAAATCGCAAAAAGTACCCGGCCTGCACCCCATACTCTCAAGCACGAGTCGATTTCTGCTCCCGTACCCAAAATTGATGAAGCACCACCAGCATGATCAACATGCATACGTCAAGTGCGATCGTCCAGGTGTACCCGATGAGATAACGAGGAGCATCCACAGTCTTCCAGACACTAGTGCGGAAAGAATCGTCAGTCAGAGTTTTCATTGATAGCTCAGATGCGCCTTACAAGAGAGGAATCCAAGCTCCAAAGGTATTTCCAATCGTGTTCATAGCACTGATCACCAGTGCACGTTCTTCGGCGCTATGGGCGCAGATTTCATTGGCCCATGCATAGATAATCGCCGCGATCCCGTCTGCCGTGCCGGATAGGAAAAAAGCAAAGAACTTCAACCCGTTAGGGATTTTCCAAATTGCCAGTACTACACAAGCAAATATGTTCAACACCGCGGTAATCGCGATCAAGCTGGCCTTCGCGTCGTAGATGTCTGACAGCACGGCACAGACCACCGAGGCAATAATCGTGACAGCTGGCGAGACAGTCGTGATTGTGTCGATTTTCCCCACAGAATAGCCTTCAGCCTTGAGCCACAGGGAAAGGCCGCTATTTGAGGATACCCCATCGGCCTGACTGAAAAAGAAGGCAAAGGCGACTAGCACCCATAGTCGCCAGCCTTTGAGAATCCGAACGATTCCGGGCCAGGTGAAAGGTTGACGGGCTTCTCGGTTTTCAGATCTCATACGCTCTTGTGCTAGTATGATCTCGTCTGAAGTCAAAAATCGGGAATTGCACTTGTCGGGTGTACTTGGCAGCAGACAAAGACCGAGAAAGGCAATTGGAACCGTGCACGCGAAACCTGCAGTGAGTCAGTATGCTTTTTGCTTCTCCTTACACAGGGGCAATTGACTTACAGATGATATACAGCCATCTCCATCCTTCTAATCCAAATTGACCATCCAATCGGTCATAAGCTCCGGCTTGAATATACCCAGAGCTCATACTGCCAACTTGACTGGCAATGAAGAAGATGGCTCCCCGGCGAGACAATTCCGACCGCTTATACCAACACCCCAAATACCACTGCACCGCAGGGAAAAAGAAGCCCCCGAGCGCTCCCACAAAGAAACGAAGGGCATATAATTGAGTAATGGTGCTGACCTTGTACTGGACAAGGGTGAAAACACCCCATAGCAGATCGGCTGCAGGTAAGAAGTAGTTGACTGGACAGCGAGTCATCTATCGAACGTCAGAACCCTACTTGAGCTGCGTGCACAATGTCGCTACAACTCACCAAAAGAGTCAACGGAATTTGCATCACGATGAATCCAACGCTACACAGATTAGCAAAAGCTCCCCCGGCGACCGATGAGAAGCCCATACTAATACACCGTATTCAGATAGTTCAACTGGTTCCCATACAGCTTAAGATCCTCCTTCATGCCGCTCACATACGCGGTACTAGTGGCCGACGAATCTAGGACCTTCGCCCAGTACGCCAAAAACACGAACACGATGATCAGTCCATCTAGTTTGAGGATCAAACGTCGTTCCGCCGGTGTGTCTGTGGGCGCAAACCATTCATACCATTTCTGGCGGCGGATTGGCTCCGAGCCCGGGCTCTGTTCCAGGGCTTCTTTTGAGAGCTCGATGTCCGGGGTCGCCATCGCATCCAGTATCTGGGGAGATTTTTCCGTTGGGAGCGACATGGTTTGGAATGTACTTTTGTACAACCCAGCTATTTCGACGCGATGGAAATTTCATATAATGGTCTCTAAAAGGCATGAAACTCCTTTTTCTTAGTCCAAGTCAGAGCACGCCATCTTTTGGAAAGATAGCGCATGCTTGAACTGGCGCGGAATTTGCCGATGATCCTATCAAGCTGTCAAGGGTTGCCAAGGACCCCGCCGATTCGCGCTTTATCGACCCGCGTTCATTTGCCGATGCCGGGGTTGTTGGCAACGGGATTCCACAGTTCTTGGGGTAAATATACTCAAAGTATACTAATCGCTCAGATCCAATATAATTGGCTCTACATAATTTCAAGGCCTCAAAGAAAATGGCTATAACAGCGTACTTAAATTTGCCCCAGAGCACGATCGCTCAGGCCTCGAGATACCAATTCCACGAGAATAACCTGCAATACAATATGAAAAACAAAAGAAGGACTGAACCCAAAATAACCCCATTGAGCCAAATTTTTTTAAAGCCGGTCTTTTCCCTAGACCTTGTCGCCAAATGCCTCATAACTCACGGAAATCTCATCCGTCCTCTCAATCCGGGCAGGACTCCGGAGAATAACTTCATCACTATCATGAGTTCTGGTGGGTTGGATAACAGTCTGCTGATTATAGCTTTTTGACTCCAGGATAGAAGTGTTGAAACCATATTTTGAAAGCTGGCCATAATGCCTACCACTAGAGTTTTGACCACCACTGCCGTACATCGGCAGCTTATAAGAGTTATCGCCGGAAGAGCCATCCTTGCCATCCTTGCCGTATCTAACGCGGACATAGAGAGGGCGGAGGACGGGAATTGTGGAGCACATGATTGTGACGCAACTCTCAGTCGCGGACCAAATGAGCATTGGCACGGTGTCATCTATTTTGGTAAGCTTATTTCGGATTGTCGATGGGGTTCGGAGAGGACCTACAGATGTACTCGGATGCATCTAAACCTGATAGCGCAACCGTCCGGACGATACCGCATATTCCGGCACTAGCAGTAGATCAGGTTAGATGCGCACCAGGCTTCAAAGGACAATTTGACTCACAATATTCCAAGACTGAGGCCAACGGCGACTGTAATTTTCTCCTTTCTTTTCATGTTCAGGTCCCAGACCACGAACCAGGGGAGAATAGCAAAGGAGAAGTCGGCGGCAACGAACCACGCTAGAATGAATTCGTGGTCAGTGATTATGGATCTTATGGATGACGATCAACACTCACAGCCGACAGTGTAGCCAACATTGGAAAAGTTAAGCCAGCATGTTCCTGGAGTAGATGGGTTCCAAGACTTTTGAACTGGCACACACTGTACAATGACAGCGATGCTTGCAAAGAGTGTGAGGGCCGCCGTAATGAAGAGGCAGCCCCAGATAACCCAAATATGGATCTTGTTTCGCACGATGCGAAGAAGGAACGTTCCCACAGCTGCCTTACCAACACCAATGACCATGAGACCAGCTACCTGGCTGAAGAGCTCGTACTTCACCGCAGTGAAATAGATGGTTGGATCACCAACGGTGACGTACAATTGGCCCAGGCCGTAGTACGTTCCTATGGTGACGAAGATAGTATAGAGGAGGTGAAGAACCTACAGCATGTCAGCAGCTAGTGCAACTGTTCCGATCATCTCTTCACCTACCAGAGCAAAGCAAACCAGATAATCATCAAGTCCAACGGAATTGAGGATTTCTTTCCGTGTATAGAGTCTTAGTCCCACAAAGAATGCAATAATAACGGCTTCTAGCCACATAACCGCATTGGTCATAGGTCCCAAGCCTCCGTATACACCCATGTTGAAGATGGACAAGGATAATCTAAAAGATGTATGAAAGAGTAGTCATTTGAATTAAACGAAAACACCATATTATCACCCATGGCAAGGACGACGCAACTTGGGATTTATCAAGTTCAACATTGGTATACATGTCGAAGAAAATATGATCTATACATTGAGCGACATCGACATTCCTCCTGGTAATTCCAGGGTTCAAAAGTACGGCGCCTTGTGTTTTAGAAATTGAAGATGTAGCGTCGCGGACAACGGGCCGGGAACAACAATGCCATGACAGGTGCGCTAAAGCCCACTAACCGTGCGTCCGAGTTCCTCCCACGAGTCACCAGCGCCCCAGCCCACGCCACAGCCCCACATGCAACACGACCACGACATGACAGCTAAATTGACTTTCTACACGTCGAATCGAGCTTGACAAGGAAAACGGCTCATTTCCAACCGTGTCCACTGGTGGTCAATCCCCTCTTTTATTCATCAGTCTAGACTCGAAGGTGGAGCCGTGAAAAGGCGAGTATGCTTGAATAGGTTAAAGCATTGTGAATCACTCGCTTGGGTCCTGTTCATGTTCTCGTGGAAGGTGAGCGATCTTCTTCGACAATTGCCATCATTTCCTGATGTGGAAAGAAGGTGAAACGGCCGGCCAAAACTTTCCAAGCTTTTCTGATGATAGCTCAGGCACGTTGGGGCTTGGACGTCAGTGGCGAGTAATCGCGCTGATAGAGCCATTGATAGTCTGTACACGTCCTTATCGGGATGTCAACTAGTCTTTAGCGTTTACCGCGGTGAAGAGGTGGAGAAAACGGCCCCTCTAGGTCCATGCTCCCGTAAACCGTGGTCAATGCATCAGCGGTGGTCATATATACCATATCCCCACCTCATCTGGTAAGCAAAGAACATTCAACTCCTTGTGTTGAACAGTCCAATTCATCATGGTATCCCTTAATGAAGTAATCATCGCTGTTCTCGACGGCATCCAAATCGACGCCTTTGGTGGCAATGAAGTTGAGCGCCTGAAAGTCCGTGCTGCTGCACGTCGACTGCTGGCCAGAGTGGAGACCCCCTATGAACGTGCATGGGGGTTCTGTTTCGAACATCCTGCTGTGTTTGCCGCCCTGCAGACATGTATCGATCTGGGGCTTTGGAGATCCTGGACTGCCATTGGAGGGGGAGAGAAGACGATAGATGAGCTGGTTGATTTGACCAAGCCCACTATCGAGACAAACCTACTCCGTACGTCCTTGCCCTCAGTCTGGTGAGACATCACTTACGAGAAATACAGGTCGATTCTTCCGCTTATTGGCAGCTTTCAATGTGGTTGAAGAGACGGGAGTGGATGTATTCAAGCCGACTCCGTTCTCGTTTGCCATTGGTGATGAAAGTACCAAGGTCCGGGCTTCACTTGAAGCAGCGTGAGTATAATCAGTTCAATATGACCGATACGACACGACAAAAGTACTGACATTCTCTTTAAATAGCACCCACCAATACATCGCTTCTGGTCGTAATTTACCAGGCTACTTAGCCAAAACCTTCTACAAAGAGCCGACCGACATCAATGTAAACAACTACTCAGACTCCGATCCAGATGGCCTCAATTTCTTCGGTCGATTGCAGGCAAGTCCCGCGTACTTCGAAGCTTTCACGGGACACATGGAAGCATGGACAACATGGAAGACCCCCTGGACCAAGGTCTACGATACAAGCCAATTGCTCGAGGGTGCGAATCTGGATAACGGATCTCCATTCGTGGTTGACGTAGGAGGAAACACAGGCATCGACATTTCCCATGTTCTAGCCGCACATCCGGATCTTCCAGCCGGGGCCCTCGTTCTCCAAGATCTTCCTGAGATTATCGCCAAAGCATCTGTGGACAAAAAAATTACGGCGATGGTTCATGACTTTTTCTTACCGCAGCCTGTTAAAGGTGAGAACATCGCCTGTCCCACTTGCTTCTCAAATAATTAGGGTTGCTGGCTAACATCCGAGAAACAGGGAGTCGTGCATACTTTATGCATGCGGTTCTTCACGATTGGCCTGATGAGAAAGCTAAGCAATTGCTTGGTAATACCCGTGATGCCATGGTGAAGGGTTACTCGAAGCTCTTCATTTATGACATCGTCCTTCCACCTAAAGGGGCGAGCATTAGTCAAACGACTATGGACGTGCAGATGCTGGCCTTACTTTCGGCTGCTGAGCGGACGGAAGCTACTTGGAAGAAACTTTTGGCTGAGTCTGGTTTCAAGATTTGCAAGTTTTGGCCTGATCCCCAACAGTATGAGATGATCATTGAAGCCGAGGTTGCGTAGGTCCTTCTGTTATGCATAAAGGCAACCTGTGAGTTTACCAAGGTGGAAATGTGAGATTTTTAATATCAGAGATTGACACAACCCTCTTGCTTTCAGATGCGTGTATTTAATTCGGAAGAGTTAAAAATAGATACGTACACGGGTGCCTGAGACCCGGTCAAATTGCCGATAGTAAATTGTATAGTTCGGCGAGCGTGCCGCGAGCGAAATCCGAGATCAATTGATACATTGACCTATTATTTACCGTAGAAATTGGCTGTGGAAGATCTTCTTGCGTCTGCGAAGTTCTCATTCGGGAAGATAACACCGGAGAGCCTAATAGGCAGGAAGAATTGATCATCCCCGAGCAACATGTAGCGCTTTTTCTCTTTTCGAGCTATACTCTCACGGAGTAGCACATAGACCCACAGAAACATGCTATTGTTTTTTGATCGGCAGCTTTCAGATCTCCTTAAAATTGGACAGACTTTTCACGTCCAGCTGACTCCGTAGTGGAGGAATAGGAGGGATATAATTCTTCCGGCTACGGGGAGTTATCCCGAGAGCCCGAGACTCGGCATCAGGAAAGGATCGGAGGGATCTAGGCTAATCTAGACCCTCGGGAACTCCAAGCTCTTCAAGGTCAACTGACTATGCTATCCCCAATGGCTAAATAGAGCTAATAGACTATATTGGACAGGGCGGCAGAAACGAGGCAATTCTTCTCTACCTATTAGGTATGACTTTATAGATTCCTCAATCCTTATTTGCGGGCGTTCTCGGCCCACAAGGAGAAAACCGGAGCGGTCAAGGTCACGCGGGGAACGATGACGAAAACGTAGGATCTCGGGAAGTGAAGTCACTCCCCCGCGGCAACTTGGTTCGCGACTACTTAGACCGGTTTGCGTCCTAGTTTTCCTGACGTTAGAACGCTCCACTTTACCTCGATCTACCTGCCTTGCTGGACTTGTTGCCACCGATTATCAACCTTTTGGATTGCTTAAATTGAACCCTTCCTCGTTCAATTAGCTCCCATATTCTTAAAACCTACTACTACTTCTCCGCCCCCCACTACCCCTCGACCCCAACCACACCACCCTATACTCTTCTCTACACCTTCAATTCCTCCCTTAAAAATAAATCATTATGGCAGCCACCGATAGCGCACCCCCTGTTGGTCAGGAGAACATTAACACCGATATTGTCACACTCTCCCGGTTTCTGACCGAGGAACAAACCAAATACCCCGACGCCTCGGGTGACTTCACCCTGCTGTGCCACGCACTCCAATTTTCCTTCAAGTCGATCGCCTACTACATCCGTCGTGCTTCTTTGATCAACTTGACCGGTCTTGCCGGATCCTCCAACATTACCGGTGACGACCAGAAGAAGCTCGACGTTATCGGCAATGACATCTTCATTTCCGCCATGCGCGGCTCCGGAAAGTGCCGAATCCTAGTCTCAGAAGAAGAAGAGGAGCTCATCACCTTTGATGAGTACCCCGATGCCCGTTACGCCGTCGTGTGTGACCCCATTGACGGTTCGTCCAACCTGGACGCCGGTGTCTCGGTCGGTACCATCTTCGGTATCTTCCAGCTGCCCGAGGAACTCATGGGCGCTGGTAAGAAGGTCGGCCCCGAGGCCCTCCTGCACCCAGGTACCAGCCTCGTTGCCTCCGGTTTCACCATGTACGGTGCCTCCGCACAGCTCGTTATCACCATGCGCGGTGGTGGCGTGAACGGCTTCACTCTGGAGAACTCGCTGGGCGAGTTCATCCTTACTCACCCCAACATGCGTCTCCCTGATTCCCGCTCCATCTACTCCGTTAACGAGGGTAACTCTATGTACTGGGACGAGTGGTGCAACCAGTACTTCCACTCCCTCAAGTTCCCCGAGAATGGCAAGCCTTATAGCGCCCGTTACATTGGTTCCATGGTGGCGGATGCTTACCGTACTTTGCTGTACGGTGGTATCTTCGCTTACCCTGCGGATTCGAAGAGCCCTAAGGGTAAGCTGCGTATTCTGTACGAGTGTGCGCCCATGGCTATGATTTTCGAGAACGCTGGCGGTCTGGCTGTGAACTCGCGCATGGAGCGCTTGATGGATATTGTTCCCGAGCACATTCACGACAAGAGTGGTGTCTTCCTTGGATCCAAGAATGAGGTCCAGAAGGTCATTGATATGTACAACAAGTACAAGAAATAAGCAGATCGCCCACCATTCTGTTTCTGCTCTTATTTCTTGGGCATGATTTTCATTTCTGGCTCAACCTCATTTTCATGTCATGACCTTTTATTTTAAAATCCCATGCCCTTCTTCCTCCGGTTGAGTCGGAGTGATGTCCTGGTTTCTATTTACTTGATATATCTGGGCTCGTTCATCGCCAATGTTTTCGATGCCACGTTTAGATCAGCTCAAAAACATAATACAAAAAAATCATTAAAATAATCTATTCCATACGTAGAGAACAGGAAAGTATCCTTCACATAATCGTAAGCCCTTGACTGCATTACCCTCAACCCAGATGCCCTACCTAATATTGGCAGCTTGGGCCCCTTATACAGCTACCTACGCTCGACACAATATGACAACGCTCCCCGTACACACCACCAAGAAAAAGGACCGTGAGGCCCTACCAAATCTTGAATTTACTCTGCAAACGTTTGAAAAACTAAAATCACGATAATAATCAAATATAATTAATTACCCAATGTACTAAAGCATATATCCACAGAACTTCGTAGGCATCACGAACCCAAATTTTTTGGCATTCCAACCGACTCAATTAAAGCAGCGCAGCAAGAGCAGCAGCAACAACGGGAGCGGCCGTAATCATAGCCCCAGCAGGACCAGCCGCAGCACCAGTTTCAGTAGCCGCAGGCATAGTTAAAGAGCTCAAGCCCGCCGTAACAGTCAACTGATAGTAAAACTGATCCATAGGCACAGTAGAGTAAGTAGCCGTGGATGAAGTCGAATACTCAAACTTCGCACTATCAGACGAGCCACTCATGCCAACACTCATAGTACAGCTAGCAGACTCAGTTGAAGATTTGAGCTTACAGTCCCACTTCTCGGTAACAGTGACATCGAAGTTATACGATTCGTCAGATGAAGTAGCAATGTATTTGCCCGTGAAGCTCGCCGTCTCGGCGCCTTGGATGAAAGTCCACGAAGTCGGAAAGTCGCAGTCGGTTTTGGGGGCGTTCTTCTCGCATCCGACGTGGTAGGTTGCGGCGTTGGCATTGATATTGGCCAGACTGGCGGCGCTGCTTGTCTTTTGACCATTTCCGGGGACGGTGACGTCCCAGCTTGGGACGAAAACACCGACGATGGTGCTTGATTCGGCAGCTTTGGTGCCAAGGATTGCGAGGGCTGTAGCGAGGAGGAAGGAGGTACGCATTTTGGTAGGATTGGATGTATCTGGTGGAGGTGTGAATGGTGTTTCTTGTTTTCACGCGGAGATAGGGGGATTATAGAAACGGAAGAGGCTTGTTACTAGGCAAAGAGCGGCCGCGGTCAGCTTTATGCGTAGAATGGGACAGGAAATAAAATCACTACCGGTACTAGCTAAGCTTGAATGGCTTCGTTTCATTCATGGCGGGGAGTAAGCCTGAGTTAGGCTTCTAGTGGATTAGTCCGGTAATATCGGCTGGAAACCCCCTTGTCTTTTCAATGTTTTCTTTCTAATTTGGAGCTTGAGTAATTTTAAGCTGGTCACTCATTGGATGATGGGAGGAAGTGGCTTAAGCGAAAGAGTGCTAGCATCCGGCCAGATCACTAGCGCAGGGAAAGGGGGTTCATGGGTGGAAATCAGGTTAAGCGAAGGGTAATGATAATACATTTGGCTAAGAATGGAGTGATGGCTAGTGAAGAGAATCAATGTTCAGATAGAGATTAATACCCGGAGATATCATATGTGATCTTTGAGCCTTGGTCAATTTGCATGGAATATTTCAAGTTCGCGAAAATCTCATTCATAGGGCGTGCTCCGTGCACGATGCCCGCACCTTAGCGTGGGGCTCGATCCTTTCCCGGAAATTGGAAAGCCAATGGTTGTGCAGCTCTCTGTGATTCACTCGGGCCTAGCGGCAGTATCAAGTTGAGCTCTAGTCTGTCCGGCCAGGACAGAGATTCATCCTAGACTCAAGTCTCACGCGCTACTTCACTGCCCCTAGAGATTCACTACATATCGTTGCTCTGATTCCCGTTACATGTAAGAAAGCCCAATTCGGAACTGTATATTCTAGTCTCTTTACAATACATAGGACAAGACTCAGAGAGTGATAGATCCCACAGATGCTACAGCATGAAAGTGTTGAAAAAAGTTAACCGGAAGTAAAGATTGGAATGCCCAGCTTAGTCGACTGGGTCTTCTTCCAACAAGGTCTTGAAGCTGAACGGCAAGAATGGGATACCCTCGCCCATGAAATGCTTGCTCATGGCCTCGACCCAGTGCAAACGCAGCGAGTGCAACACTGTTTATCTGGTTAGTATTCTGCCATCTTATTCGACCTGGCGTTTGGATTGACTTACTTGCAGACACGCCCTCCATACCCACGAGCACACTACATGACAGGACGAACCACATGAAGAAACAGATGACAATCATGATTACCCGCAGGAACCCCTCGCCCTGGCCGAGGGCCGATCCGAGTGTCATAGTCCACAGAACGATTGAAAGCTGTTGGTGAGCGAGGGAGAGAGCCCAGAGACGAAGGTAAGAGGCAGTGTGAGAGATACAGTTGAGGCAGAATTCGATGGTGTGGATGACTTGGTGGATCATGACATCGCCGAATTCAAACTCCTCGTGCTCTTCTCCTTCGTGAATGTCCTGAGAAATCATAGCAACGCCTTCACCATCGCTGGCCATGCTGTCCCGGGCTGCACCAAAGCCGCCGTCCACGTCACCATCATCTTCAAGTGCACTGACGCGAGACTGTTCGCCGAGGCCCCGGTATCCCAGAGCACGGGCACGATTGTGTTCATGACGGAGCCAGAAGGGCTTGAGGAAAAGCATAATGGGCACTTGAACCACGGCAATGAGAAGGAGGAGTGTTTGCACCGTGCCCTGGCCACGGTAAAGCGGTTGTTCAACATAACCGGGTTTCAGGAACATGAAAATAAGCATATTGAGCAGACTTGGGGGAGCTGCGTCACTCTCCTGCCAGTTTATCGACCACTTGTAGAGAATAGTGACGACAAGGTAACCGAAGATGGACTGGAAGAACAGCATACCAGGAACAAAGTTGCCCCAAATGTCAACCTTGGACTTGAAATGACGAGCATTGACAAGCTGGAAGCAGAGGGCAAAGGTCATGTGACTCCAGCCAAGCAAAATACTCATCTTCATCTTCATGCTGTTGGTGAAGAGTAACGAGTTTTCGGCCTCGTGCCAGTTCCAATCCAGGCCAATAGGGAACCGGTAATCGCCCTTGAGGGTAGCCTCCACAGCTTGTCCGGCCTTGATATCCTCTGGCCACTCCCATGAACTGCTGAAGAAGGACATGGACTTCGAAAAGATATCGTTATAGAGCACACCAGTATACATCGCGAAAAGACCCATCAGCAGCATGATGTATCGCCCATAGAACGCCATGTATGAAATCTCATCAAGCTTGGTGCGCAGCAACTTCTTTTCAAAGAAGATTAGAGCAGAGGCAGCAGAGGCCATGATGAAACCGTGACCGAGATCGCCAAACATGACAGCGAAGAGGAAAGGGAAGGTGACAACAGTGTATATACCAGGATTGACCTCCGAATATTTCGGAATACCATAAGCATTCACAATCGTTTGGAATCCCTCCGTGAACTTATTGGTACGAACGTAAGTAGGCGGGGTCTTGTTGGTGCGGATCTGGTTGACGATGGTAGGGACGGACAGACCGGCCCGATCGTTGACATCTTGCAAGGTCGACTTGATCTGAGCGAGGGAGTTGGTTGGGCACCAAGCTTCTGCAATCAGAGTCTTCCGCGCCTGATCATAGGAGAATTTATTCAACGTGTCGTAGACAGCCTTCTCCTTCTTGACGATGATCATCCAAGCCACAAGAGACCGTGCGATCTGCGAAAGCTCGGCATCCAATGTCTTTTTGGTATTCTGAAGAACACTTCCAACATCACCCAGTCGGCTGTTAACCTCGTGGATCTGATCCCTTCTCAGCTCGCTGTTCTCGTCAACACCGTACAGGGAAGCACCCAACGACTCGGCGATTTTGCGAATTTTTGCCAGAATGCTGGAGCCATGAGCGAAAATGACGTAGACATTCTTATAGACCGCTTCGTTTGTGCTGGGATCGATGATCGGTTCCGGGATTTCGGACTGGTTCATGTAAAGGTTGCCACGCAGGGTTCGCCAAAGAATGCGCTCAAAGGCGCCGATCCGATCGCGAGGGATAACACCAGCGACGAAGCCGATGTTCATCTCGGAAAAGCTCTGTTGGCCATGAGTATCGCCATTGGCACCTCGAGGAGCATGCTGTTCAATGTCACGAAGCAAAGGCGCCTCATCATTGTCGAAGGATTGGCGAATATCTTCGGTTTGGGTGTGAGCCTGTTTCGACCTGTCAGTATTCTCCTAGTTTTCCTAAAAAGGTATAGCAAGGCTCACCCGGTCAAAGAAGCCACCGGCCTCTCTCAAAACCCAACGCCATTCAGAAAGCTCGACTTCGCGCTTCTTCAGGGTCTCATAGCTATCATTCAAGGAAGCGATGCGCTGTTCAAGGCTTTCGCTGCGTTCAGCCAGCTCATCAATTTCCGAGGCTAGGGGGCAGCCAGGGTGTCGGAGAAGTCTGTCGAGGGGCGCATGGGAATGGCCGCCTTCTCTATCTGGGAGCGAAAGTAACCTGGCAAAGAAGACCCGATGGATTAGCTATTGTTCGTCACCCATAGAGCTCCGTTCATTGAAAACACATACGGAGTTGTCTCTCAACATTGTCAAGACGGCGGATTTCTTTAGTAAACGTGCGTTGGAAGGCATTGGTATCAGGATTCAGCTAAGGATACGCCAAGGAAGTCAGTCAACTTGTTCACAACGCATAAAGGGTTTGATCCAGGGTCTATAGTCTGCTTACATCTCTGAACTGCACTTGACCAAGCTCACCCAGAGCACTCACAACCTCTCTTCCGATTTCGTTGGCAATGTAGAGCTGGGTCAGGCTCATGTCCGACGAGCGGAAGAAGGTATCCTGCGGAGCCATGGTGGTGAACAGGCTTTTTAGAGCCAGGCCTTTCCACCACGGGAATTTGCAGTCAAATAAAAAGCGAATGGGTCGATCTCGACCTTTTGGGGAGATCCGTGGTTGGGACACAGATGCGTGGACGGTCTTCGGGAGTTGGCAGCTCCTGGCTGAGCTGGCCGTAGTGCACGTGATGTCACGTGCTGTTATCGGCCTTCAATCGAATCGACGATCAACAATAGTTGATTAAGCAATTGGCAGAATCAAATAATATAGGATCTCAGTTTCATTTCTTTAGCTAATTGCGTCTCATATATCGATTTCGATCGGAACAATCAATCTGCAGCGCGAAACCAACGTCACCTTCCCCTAGTTAGTCAATGCCCTCAGCACCTTTTCATAGATCAGCTCAGCATACTTTCTGGAACAGAATCTGCCGCTATGAAAATATTCTGGCTCCCTTACTTAGTCCCCTTTCTCAATGTTCTTCTTGTCGTTCTCCTTGATGTCTTCGTTGATGACCGAATCCAGCATATCCTCCTTGATCTCATAGTTGACCTCGTCTTTGACCTCATAATTGAGGTCACCCTGGATCTCCGTCTTTGCTTATTAATTGGCCTTGTGCCCGACCTCATTCTCTGTAATTTCCTCAGTGGCCGGATGCAATATTGGAGATATTCTCCATGACCCCTCTTTGGGTGTCTGGTAACACTTTACCAGTGTTCTTCTCGGACAACTTAAAAAAGGGATATCTTCAATTAGTACCAGATATATCTCGCAATTATTTATCTATGTGGCCGAGCATGTGCTTGATCGTCCTTGCACGAGTAATTCTGGTGAGTTTAAATCCCGAAACGAGCTGGCAGACATCTGTTTCGATTTGTGTGGTGAGGGTTTGCATGAGCTCTTTTGAAGGAACTTTCTTTGGTGGCCTATTTGGCAACATAACCATTTCCAAAGAAATCCGTATTGTTGTGGGTCATTCAAGTTGCAATTTTATAATTTGCCGGTCAAAGCCACAAGAAGTGTGCTTACCTGCCATTTTCAGACAGCATGAAGTTGTGTCTGGCTGTTAGATGATACTCTTACAACGCCGAATGCCGGGTAGCAAGGCTTGAGACAAGCATTCTTGGGTGGGAGAGATAACTAGGCATTGCGGCGTAATTTGAAATACAGTTCAATCCGATATTGCTATACTAATCCTAGATCGCTATACCAATTATCATATGTTGGTAGCTGAGAGTGTTCGGTCAGATCACTAGGTAGGTGACTGAGTATATATTAAGGGTTACATAGCATTATGCAATCATAAATATTCGATAAAATTGAATAGTTCTCTCATTGCTGTGCACTCTTTTAGAAGCAACGACATGGCCAAACGGGGGTCACAAATTAGTAGGCCAGTAAAGACTGCCCGGACATCTTAGGCTGTAGCCAGTACAGTATGATACTGATGTCTAAAACAGGAAAGCCTCTAGGGCAAGCAGCGGGAAACCCTCCAAAGCCCCTCTTTGGCCCCGCTCTAATTCCCCCACCCTCACATAACTCAAGCTGGCAATTTTGTTTCCTTCCTTCATCAATTGGCTTTCGCATTGAATGAATGCGCTCGCATTTGGATGCAATGTGATTCTCCAGGTCCATGAATGGCTAGCAAATTTGTGACTTGGTTGTCAGTAGGGTTCCGCAAGACGGTCACTCTAAGTCACTTTACAAGGGTCGCCAATTCGACAGACCTAAGCTCACTTTACAAAGTTGCGTCACTTTCATCCTTCTAGGTTGCTTTCTCCTCTTTGCCTGCCAACTCCTGTTCCAGGCAAGGGAGCAGTTTTCTCCGGCCTTGGGATATATACCACTTCCCGGTAATCATTGTGTCCTACGGGACATTTGGTCAAATGAAAATATACAGAGAAGATTAGCATGGCCCCTGCACTAAGGATGACACGCTCAATCAAAGAGAAGCTACCAGTTTTTTTTTCCTTTGCTGGAGCTTTGTTGAGGTGTGAGGCTATTTCGAAGATTTGGGGTCTCGCGTTCGAATCCCGGTTTGAGCGTTCCCCTTTTGGACATTCCGGGTCCCGGGTGTCACTGTCTAGTATTATTGACTCTACTTTCAACGTCTATACATCGTCACAATTAAAGACAGATTATACAAAACATATTTTAAAGGCATAATAAATAAATAGAAAAAGAAAAAGAAAAAGAAGCGTATCTGATATTACGGATTCTCCAACCCGAGCTTCGCATACTGTTCCTCGAACTCCTCAAACAGCTTATTCAGACCAAGAAGACTCAAAGGATTCTTATCATCTTTTTCACTCATGAACCACAGCATGTTATGAATATCAAAACTGATGGCCAGCATATACCCATATTCCGACTCCTGAAAAACCTGATCGCCGGTGTCCGAGTTCCCAGTCAGAGCGTTCCACTGTCTAGCATATTCCTCACAAAAATGCCTTTTCTCTCCCTCAGTATACTTCCTACACCTTGCTATTTGGCTTTCCTCGTCAAACCATTTGAACATCTTCTGCATGAAGTGCCCACCGATATCAAAGGCGCGATAATTCTGCATCACAAATTCGAAGTCAATCAGCGCAACTGTGCTTTCGCCTTCTTTTGGGTCATTCTTGACCATGGTGTTCATATACTGGACATCATGGATACACCACGCAGTTTTTCCTCCTATAGATCCCAACTTGTCCACCACTATCCTGAGCCTCGTTCCGAAGTCGTATTCGACTAGCTTGTCCACATTGACACCACCTTGTTTCCCAAGTACCTTCAACTTGTTCATTCGGTGGTACCTCTCAAGTCCATTAATGACAGCATGGTAATATTCTCCCACAGTCGTTTTCTGCCGTGGTACTTCCAAGACATGGAACGTTGCCAGTGCCTTTGCCACATCCGCTCGGATAGTTGCATCCTCAACGTCTTCTGGCTCCATATTCCGTGCTTCTAGGAACTCGTCGATTCTCCCAAGGGTGCCATCCTGCGTCTCGAAGAATCCATAGACTTTGGCTCCGAGTCCAGTCCGACCATACTGAGAGCAAAGCAGTGCTTCTTCTTGTTTGGTTGGTGCCAGATGCTTGAATATCTCAAGATTCACCTCGGTGTCATTATGAAATTTGATGAACACTTTCAAGGGCTCCGTGGCGGTGCCCGTAGCCGGCTTCGGTCTTTCCACGGGACAGTGAGCATTGGAAAACGAAACGTTATACGACATGGTCAGGGTCTCGGGATCCACGGATGGCCATTCTTTTGTTAAAAATTGGGCGATGATGTCTCTGACGTTCGTCTTGGATGGTACTTTGTCGCTGGAGAGGGTCACAGAGATGGGAGTCAAGATGGCCATAATGATATACTATGCTGCGTGGCTCAGCAGGATGTGGAGGAGAACATGGGGGATATAAATCCCGTCACGATGTGGTAGTTTATCTTTCAGTAGACAAGTGGTTATCGGGGTCTCAAAGTGGTTTAGGGGCAGTCGGGGCAGTCGGAGCATGAAAATCTCCCGAGATCAGGGATCGATATCACACATAACGATCAAATGCCTCAAATTTACTGGCTGGAAGCATATACTAAAGGTCCAAGGCCGTCTCAAGACCTCCTGGTCTCTGCAACGAAAACAACGTAACCGTATCTCCCATCAGCGGCATTTCCTCATAAATCTCAAACCCATTCCTTAACAAAACCTTCACACTCCCCACATTCGCTTTATTACACGCCGCATACAATTTCTCCGACTCCAATGCAGCCTTAGCAGACCGTAGCTTCAAACTTTTTCGTTCGAGCTTCCACCATGCATCCACGACACCCGCCACTGCTTCACTCACGAACCCCTTTCCCCAGAAATCGGGATGAATACCATATCCAATGGATGGCGCTGGCACAAGGGCATTTATTCCCACCATACCGATGATTTTTTCTGTGGGATCATCAAGCTGCATCACCGCAAAACTAAAATGTCGTCCCAGAGCACCCGATGCATCTGGCGTTTTGAAGGTTTTACCGATGATCATGGCCTCTGTGTCTTGGATTTCTCTATGGGGAATTTTTGGCCAGCTAAATGAGGATGATTAACTCATATCGGCTTAATTGTTGCTGAGCTCAGAGACTCACAGGAAGTCGGCGACGTCTTGTCGACGCCGGTATTCGAAGATATCAGCCGCATCGGATCGCTCAATCGGTCTTAGATAGAGGCGCTGAGTCTTTATTGCAGATACTTTTGCAGGTATAATCACTCTAGTCTCCTGCTCAGGATAGACGCTGCCTTTAGTTGGTGGGGATTGCATGATGTTCTTGTTGGGTTATCTGAAGTGACTCATCAGGAGGAAAGATTCTCTAAGCCCCCAACCGTCAGCACTGTTAGTGCCGGATAATGGTGTGCTCCATGATAAACCACGGTCGCCCACCCTCTGTGATTGGTGTATACTCTATAGAAGTACATGGTAGCTAGACCACCCACTACATTTAACCGTGCAAGAGGCGAGAGGAAATAAGCAGGAGAGTATCAAAAATATCGCCATATCCACAAATAATACAATATCATCCAGACGAGCATAGAATCCCATTTGAAGATCTTCAAGCCAAAAATCATCTCACATGTAGATCTGATCAAGCACCTCCCTCCCTCTTCGCATATTCGTCTTCCATACGCTCCTCATATAACCGGTCCGCCTCCTCCCTGCTCAGCACACGCTCGCCCTCGACACTGCCCGCAGCTGAAGAGCTAGATACGTCATGCTGGCCATTGCTGCCATTATTTTCGGAGGACAAGGTGTTGGATGAGGCTTGATTTTCGGCGGTTTGTTGTTGCTCCTTATCGTAGATTTCTGCGGTCGGGATGGGCATATTTGCGGTAGATGGATGGGTGCGCAGTTCGAAGGAGGTTGTTACTATATTCTGGGGAGAAGTCTGTTGAAGTCCGGTGAAATGGTAAAGTGTGAGGGGTTGAAGCTGGTGTTGGATATTTGGAGATTGGTGGCGGTGGTGGGCTCTTGTGGGTCGTTATGTGAATATGGATGTGGCGAGAGCTTTTTTGGGTGCGACGTCATGGGCGGATTCTATGCAGGGCTCGTCTTCTACATACTATGCGCAAGAAAATATCGTCTTGAATATTCTATTCATTTTCCTCATTAAACCCATCAGAATTATCAACGCTCATCACAATAAGGAAAAAAAAAACAAGAACTCTTCCACTTTCACGCTCATATGCATTCCAACGTCCAATCAAATTATTCATCATTACAAGGGGAAATCAGGGACATAAGAGCTTATAGTCGGTGTCTTAGTGGTTTCTGCATCGCTGGCTCAATAATCGGCTTGTCATCAAATAGACGTCTCGAATCAGGATCATATAACGGTTCGGCTGCGACCGTAGCATTGATTCGACGACCAAAGTACTCGATCTTGACACCTTGTCCTTCAGACACATTGCTCGGCAACCAAGCATAAGCAATGGGTTTGCGAACAGTATAACCGAAGGCTGATGTGGTGACGTATCCAACTGCCTTGCCACTGAAGAATACAGGCTCCTTGCCCATGACCATGGAGCGGCCATCGTCAACAGTGAGGCAACGCAGCCGGCGAGCAGGCTTTTCCTTGACGAGCCGCTCCAGCGCAGCCTTGCCAACGTAGTCTTCCCATTTGCTCGCTCGGATAGCACTGGCAATGCCTGCTTCGTAAGGGTTGTGTTCGGTATTCATGTCAGCGCCATAGGTGCGATAGCCCTTTTCCAGGCGTAGTGCGTTAAAGGCACCCCGACCGGCAGCGATGAGGCCGTGTGTCTTTCCTGCATTAAAAATGGTATCCCAGAGCCGCTGGCCATATTCGGCGCTAGTTTGAATTTCCCATCCCAGTTCGCCGACGTAGGACTTCCGCAGCGCTGTGACTGGGATGCCGTTGATGGTGGCGTTCTGGACGGTGAGATAAGGGAATGCTTGGTTTGAGAAATTCTCCGTGCTTATGCTGTTGATCACGTCCCGGGATCGAGGGCCCCAGAGACCGATGCAGCAGGTGCTGCCGGTGATGTCACGGACCTGGACCCATTGTCCCTGGCGACGAGCTTCACGGGATAGGTAAGCGAGATCCGTGGCGGTGTTGGCGCCTACCTGGAAAATGGTTTCGTCAAGCCTTGAAACGAAAATATCGCTGAGAATACCGCCGTGATCATTTAGGAGCAGCGCGTGGCTGATAGCACCTATCTTGGTAGCGACGTCGGCGGTAGTCAGGCGCTGGAGCAGATGCACTGCACCGGGGCCGGACAGTTCGAATCGGTGAAAGGAAGTCATGTCGTACATCGCAACTGCATTCCGGGTCTTCCATGCTTCTGCTGCCACGATGGGTGAGTGGAACTGTGAGGACCATGCGTCTCTTTCAACTGGTTGCCACTCTGCTGGAAGGCATTTGAGAAGGTATGAGTTCGATTCATACCAGAAAGGACGTTCCCAGCCTCCAAGCTCAAGGAAATAGGCACCCAGATCCTTCTGTCGAGAGTAGAAGGGACTGGTACGAAGATTTCGGGGTGACTCTTTGGGCTGCGATGGGTGAAGAATATCGTAGATCTCGACAAAATTCTGCGCAGAAGTTTCATTGATATAGGCGCGGCTGAGCTGCACTTCTTCAAACCGGGATAGCTCACAGTCGGTGAGATCAATTTGGGATCGGCCCGTTGTAAGAACCTCAGCAACGGCGCGTGCAACACCAGCCGAGTGAGTTACCCACACAGCTTCAGCAACCCAGAAGCCGTCTAGGTTCGGTGCCTGACCAATGATGGGTCCCCCATCGGGGGTGAACGAGAACACACCATTGAACCCATCATCGATCTGAGCGCCCCGCAGAGCAGGCAAAAGCTTCTGTGACTCCTTCCAAGCAGGGTCAAAGTCCTGCTTTGTGAACTCGAGACGAGATGGCATGTTCTTCTCATCGACGTGCTTGGGAGTCAGACCCAATGACTCTGCGACGACAGGCATCGGGCGATGGCCATAGTATCCAATTCCATATTGCTCACCATGCTCCCGGTAGTATAGATCCTGGTCCTGGTGCCGCAAGATGGGCAATTCTGCATTCATTCCATTCATACGATTGTTGATATCACGCCCGGTCAATGCCGGCACAGCAGTAGTCTTTGCATACTGGTGTGCCAGCGGAAGCAGAGGAATGGAAACACCAACCATCGCGCCTATCTCCACGCCCCAAAACCCAGCGCAGGAAATGATGATATCAGCGGGAACAAAGCCTTTAGGAGTTGTCACGCCCGTCACTCGACGGCCTGTCTGCTCGATGCCGATAACGGGCGTCTCACCAAGGTAGCGGACGCCAGCTTTCCTTGTGCGTTCAATAAGCAGCTGTGTTGCACGAGCAGCAAGAGCAAGACCATCGCTGGGGATATGGAGGCCACCTAGCACAATTTTCTGATCGAGGTGAGGGTATAATTGGAGACATTCCTTGGCATTGATGAGACGCGCCTCGATGCCCCACGAAGAGGCATAACCGTGTTTGCGCTTGAGCTCCTCCAGCCTAGCGGGTGTCGTAGCCACTTCCAGACCACCGACCTGATTGAAGCAGCTCTGGCCATCCTGCTCAATCGACAATAGTTTCTGCACGGTATAGCGTGCTAGATTGGTCATGGTCTTGGACGGTGTAGTCTGGAAGACGAGGCCCGGAGCATGGGAAGTCGAGCCACCAGGCATGTGGAGAGGACCCTGCTCAACAACGGTAATGTCAGTCCATCCTCTTGAGACCAGCTCGTCGGCGATATTGGTGCCCACGATGCCAGCGCCGATAATGACTACGCGCTGTTGGGAAGCCATGGTCAAGTTTTCGCGTTTTAGGAATTCGCTGCCTAAGAGCAGCTTGCAAGTCTTGGTCCTTTATGTAGACGGTCGGCGATAGCAGGACATAGCTTGCCCCTCTGCGGAGAGTTTGTGTTCCATCCCCTCCCCCGCAGGTATACCATGATGAAGGTAAGCAATGGGATTGGTGAAATGCACCAAATGCCCCGCAATAACCGGTGGATAGTAGGCAGGTAATGATACCAGCATCGGATAGACGGTCCAGATCTGAGACCACCGAGCCGTACGCGGACCGTTGGATAAGATTACCATTTTTGGTGGTCTTGTTGCGTGGTGATTGGCCTACCAGATATCGACCCTGGAGTTCGGTTCGGGTTGAGGACCGCTCACGTGTCCGGGCAAGGCATGACGATACCGGGGGGGTAGGGAACTTGATTGTGGCCCATTGGGGTTCAAAGCTATCAGGAGATGGGGCGAAGGGAAGCTTGCATGTAAGGATGCTTCTGGTCACGAATACACAGAGTTCACGCGTCTCTAGCAAGCCGCAAATAGAGTGGAGCTACTCTATGATCTACAGCGGCTAAAGGAGAGCTGCGCAGAACGTGAAGTGAGAAACATATTAATCAGGCAGTCTACAGCTTCAAATTATTTGCTAAGAGTACGAGAACTGCTATCAAGGCGTTCTCTTCTCCAAGCTCGGGTCACTGACCCAAGCCTTGATGAAAAGAAAGAACCACATAGTGGGAGTGCCAAAGAATACGCCTGTCAATGACCCGAAAGCCGTTGAACAAACCAGTCCGCCGCGCTGTGCAATGCAGGGACCAATCTGTGGTGGACCACCTTCATGATCGCGGCCACCCAAACAAGGTAAGTATGAAGAAGAAAAGAAAAAGAATGGGAAAGGAGGAAGAGAAGGGAGGTATTTATAGCCGTTGGGGGAAGGGCACTAGCCAAGCGAGGGGTCAGGTGACCAATAAAAAGCGAGACATGTTTGAGTCGTTTGCTTGGTTTGCTCCCCCCTGGAAAGTGTTGCCTCAGGTGTAAAGCGTACAGGTCTGCTATGGGCAAAGTGAGCTGTCATGTTACCTTGCATTTGCTGATGATGACCTGACTCTGGTATGAAGGACCAAAGCCACATTGTCCTCAAGTTCCAATTTGTTGGTTCTCTTTGTCCCAGCAGGAACATGACTCATCTTGGAACACCATACTCGCGCAGATATAAGTGGGTGCCTCCAGTGCAAGCTCTTGTGGAACCACTCCTATTTCCATGGATTCACAGCAACTCTTTACGGTGGTCCCTCGTCCACAATGGGTCCATGGATTTCCGGGTGGTCCTTTCAATTTTTAATTTTTTTCTTTTCTTTTATTGTGCTCTACACCTTTCTACCAAATCAGTAGAAGTCCGTCGGCATCACTTCTGGACCAGTCTAGTTCTCCGAGTTTGGAAGGAAGGTTGAGTTCACCGCAATATCAATTTGCGAGAGCGCGCATCCTCATCAAAGGGTGCCATGGTTAGGACTACCTAGAGGATCAGTCTAGTGGACGCTAGAATCGACGGGGACCATCCGTGCAGAGCTTAGATGAACAAAGAGAGTTTCAACCAACAGCAACTCGGGTATGTACACCGCATCCACGAGAATGAATGTGCTTGGCACGGCTCGGATTGTCCTTGGGATCTTCAACAATTGATATCCCGACGCTACCCTACACTATTCCCGCAGGCGTTTCCGCCAATACTGACCGTGCATCGTCGGGAACCCTCCTTGGCACCGCATGGCACTTGCATGCGGAAAACCTGTCATCGAACAATCCTTCGATCGACATGGATGGCACTTGCCCTTCGCGTATGAAGAAAGTAAAGGCCTGGAACTCAAAGGATAGGGGCAGTGAAAACTGGAGCGGAAAAATCATGGCAGGATTGGCAAATGGTGACTTCCTTGGCCCCAACGGGTGAAAAAGGGGTAATATGACGATGCAATTGGTTGTCGGGCTGGAGTGGATCACCCGTGCGGGCTATCACTACTGGAAATGTTCCGATAGTCAATTTTTCTACTTGACCGACCAAGTTGGAAAGTATCGAAATATTAGGGCGAGTCAAAAGGGACCAAACTAGTCCGATGAACCATGGCAAACATCCGAAACATATCTATCAAGTTTTGGAGTAAGACGTGTATAGGGAGTAAAACCAGCCACCGACGGTGTATGGCTTAAGACACGGGACCACTTTGGGTGGGGCCTAACCGTACATTAAAGGCGTTAGCCCACCGACCGATCATCTAGAAAGTAGTAGCCGCGCTAGCGAGGAGAAAACAAATGAAAAAAAAAGGAAGTCTCTGTCGAAAAAAGCAGGGACCTCCAGAGAAAAGGGGCTTAATTAGGGGGCATTAGGTAGCAAATGATAGTGGATCCAAAAAGAATAAATTTCAGTCCCGCCTTTTGACTAGGTCAACTTGTTGGTGATACGCGTTATCACGTAAAAGTAACGCGGACCATAAGGCGGAGATGGCGCGAGTCATCATACTGACTTCAAACGATCATGGGATCCTGGACGAATCGTGGTCACAACGGCTGTCTTGAACGATAATACGCCAGCGATAGGGCACGACAGATGAGATATGACGCTCGAAAGTCAAAGCAGAGATGGTGCGACATCGCTGGTTGGCCACGAGGGTTGGCACGCCACTCGATGATAGAGTTGATGGTGATCCGGGTCATTTGACATCAAACAAAATCGGCTTTGCTGTTCCGTTGGATCAGCATTTCTAGCAGGCCAATCCGGGCTGTCCAACCCTCGCTGATCACAATGCAGAAAGATACATACTCCTTCCCCTCTCCCCTTCCCCTCAAGGGACCAAAGGACCAAGGCCCTTGGAAAGCGAGAGAGAATTCGCGACGAAATCTTCTTTGATACGCCTTGCGCAATATGAGCCATCTCTGTAGAACCTAGATAAACCTCTTGGAATGAATATCTCTCTCCATACCTGAATGGTCTACCTACAGTACACAAATGTCAACCCCCTTTCACGGTGTAACATCATTGGCTATTGTACTCCCGGCGGTCTATAATCGAACCGGATGACCCAAAGAATTTTTTTTTCCTTTTTTGTTAAAATAAAAAAAAAATATAAAAGAAAATAAAAAAAAAGAGAAAAAAAAATCGTAAATGTCGGTCCCAAAGAAACCCAAGACTCCAGCACCAAATTCCCAAAATCCAATATTAAAAAATTAAAAAATCAAAAAATTAGGTCGCGTGTGTGAAAAGTCAAAACAGACCTAATTATTTACGAAGCCGGGACCGGAGCCGAGCTGCACGGGTAATTTAGGGGGCCGTTGATTCAAGCTGCATTGACGATCCTAGGTGGTGTGATGGGTTTCGATTCCCGTATGCAATAGAGTACTTTAGAAATCGAGGATAATTAACTAGAATTACACGGGTGCTGGTTTCACAATAGACGACCAATAACGAAGGGTAGAAAGGCAATAGATGACCTAGGGATTTTTTTATAGTTAAATGATACGAGGTTCAACCAAGGTCTCCATAATAAGTTAATTGCATACAGTGAACGTCGAGTAAATAGTACTTTTCTGCCCCTGAAGTCGGCGTTACATAATCAAATGATCCACTCAGTCTGGACTCCCTGCAGCTCCTTTCCCGTTTAGGAGGCAAGCGCCATCAACAGTCTCCCCCCCCCCATGCCGCTCTTTTTTTCGCCCTTCCCTCCCTTTTTTTTCCTTCCCTTCTTCCCACCTGCAAAGCAAAATACCCCCCCTTTCCTATCTTCGTTGTGATACCCGAGCTTCCCAGCTCTTATTTCTTTTGCTTTTGAGATACCCCGATACCCAGCTCTATTCTTTTAATCGATACCCCAAAACAAGCCCCGGCTTTAATACCATTTTAATCATGTCTGACGTCCAGAAGCCCGTTGAGGAGACCCCCGCGGTCGTTCCCGTTGCTGAGACTGTGGTCGAGGCTCCCGCCACTGAGGCGCCCAAGGAGACCAACGAGGCTGCTCCCGTTGAGGAGACTGCCACCGACAAGCCCGCTGAGACTGAGGCCCCTAAGGAAGAGGCCAAGGAGGAGGTCAAGGAGGAGGTTAAGCCCGCCAGCGAGGGTATCCTCGGCCACAAGGCTCCTGGTCTGGTCAAGTAAGTGATATATATGCGACGGGGACATATAGGAGCGTTGCGACTAATACCAGGTTCGCGCATAGGAGCCTGCGTTTCGCCAAGCGTTTCTTCTACTTCAACGATGAGCCCATTGAGGCCAAGCAGCTCTCCGTCTTCCACCAAAACGAGAAGCCCGCCGTCGCCAATCCCACCGCTGCCTGGGCCAGCCAGACCGGAAAGGGTCTGTTGTTCCTGACCAAGCGTGCCGAGGACAAGGCCACCCCCGCTGGCATCTTCAACCTGGTAAGACTGGACAAGGACAATGAAAATCTAGCCACATGACTAACATGAAGGCCAGGCTGAGATCTCCGACCTCACCAAGGAGGGTTCCAACGAGTTCCTCTTCAAGGTTGCTGGCCAGAAGCACACCTTCCAGGCCTCTAACGCCACCGAGCGTGACAGCTGGTTCGTTGCTCTTGAGTCCAAGTCTGCTGAGGCCAAGGCCGAGAAGGAGGCCCTCACCTCTAGCGAGGGCTACAAGGCTGAGCTTGAGAAGCTGACCAAGCCTGCCGTTGCCGTTGCCGCCAAGAAGCCCGAGGAGAAGAAGGAGGAGGCCCCCGCCGCCGCTGAGGAGGCCAAGACTGAGGAGACTGAGCCCAAGGAGGAGAAGCCCAAGGAGACCGCCAAGAGCCGTTCCCAGTCCCGCAAGCGCGGCAGCATCTTCGGTGCCATCCTTGGAAAGAAGGAGGCTGAGGAGAAGAAGGCCGAGGAGCCCAAGGAGGAGACTGCTGAGGAGACCAAGGCCGCTGAGCCCGCTGCTGAGGCCGCCACTGAGACTCCCGCCGAGACCGCTGCTGAGCCTGCTGCCACCGAGGCCCCCGTTGAGGCCGAGGCCGCTGCCGCTGCCTCTCCCGCTGAGGCTACCGAGGAGAAGAAGGAGGAAAAGAAGGAAGAGAAGAAGGCCAAGCGCACTTCCATCTTCGGCACCTTCTTCAACAAGGTCGCCAGCCCTTCCCAGGAGAAGTCTGAGAAGGAGGCCACCGCCCCCGTTGAGGAGACTCCCGTCGCCAGCTCCGCTCCCCAACTTGACAACCCCGTTGAGGAGACCGCTCCCATTGAGGCCGAGGCTGTCACCGCTCCTGCTGAGGCTGAGGCCGCCAAGGAGACCGCCGCTGAGACTCCCGCCGAGACCCCCAAGGACAAGCGCCGCTCTTCTTTCTTCGGTTTCAAAAAGGAGAAGAAGGCCGACACCTCCGACAACGAGGCCACCACTGATGGCGAGAAGGAGACCAAGAAGGCCAACAAGCTTGGCGGTCTTTTCCGCAAGCCCTCCAAGGCTGTGAAGCTTGACAAGGAGGATGTCACCGCTGCTGAGACTGAGGTCAAGGCCGAGCAGACTGAGGCTTCCACCGAGGCCGCTGCCGCTCAGGAGACTGCTGCTCCCGTTGAGGAGGCTGCCAAGGCCCCCGAGACCGCTGCTGAGGAGACCAAGAACGTCGAGGTCACCGCCTCCACTCCCGTTCAGGCTGCTGCTTGAATTGCCTCCCCGGGGCGTGTGGAATATGAGCGATGGTGGGACTTAACAAGTCCATCGTCGCCCGCCCACGATAATTTTTGACGGACTCCGTCGCTCTTTTGGAGGCTCGAGTCTGAATCGTGCAAATATGGATTTATACCACTTTAGCTTCCAGCTGCTTGTTTGCTTTTGCCTCGACACTGTCACTCCTTTCGTCATCGTCCTGTCTAGGCTTTGATCTGAGAGGGTGTCAATGAGATACCCGCTGTTCACTGTGCACTGTTTTCTTTTTTTTGTTTTTGCTTGTCCTCAAAAATCCACATAATCCTCGTGTTCCTGATTCATTGAATCGCCGTCCGTTCTTTTTTATGACACGCGACCCGCAACCGAGTTTCGACTTGCGACGTGCTTAATGCGTTACGTGGTGTGTTGCCCGACTAGATTGATACCACTGCCGTTTCCGGTTCTGCGCTTTGGCTTTCCTGTTTGATACCCTATGGGGAGGAAGGTGATTTGTTTTGACGTGGCTTAAGGCTATTCTTTATCTAATTATATGGCCTGGGTTGTTGCTTTTCAAATTGCCCCTCTACAGTTGTCTATCGTTGTTCCCGTCTCGCGCGGTCTTCTTTCTCCACTGCGTCGTGGGTGTGGCACATACTGCGTTAGGTAATACTTAATAGAATCTTCTCTGTTTGCTTTTGAACATATTTCCTCTGCCATTCCTACGTAATTCGAAATCCTTAAATTTGAAGGTTTTTCAAGGTTGTAAACGTCGTGACTTTGTACCATTTGAATGTTGCTGAGCTGGAATGGGTCTCTTTGCATTGGGTGGGCCGTTTCAATCGGATTGCCTGCATTAGCAACTACTTGGTTTGTATGCAAGCAATAAGATATCGGGATCCATCGAGATGCGTTGGTCTGGGGTGCATCTGGTATCGACAGCGGGTCTTGAGGACTGGCGGGTCCGCAAAATTCTCGTCCTCGGGAGTGCCCGTCGCACATGACGAAGTTCACGGGGCACAATCACAGACCTCGCGGAAGTAAGATCCCAGAGGTCCAGGAAAATGCACTGAAATCTGGCGGGTACCTAATTGTATCAAAAAAAAAAGTGTAGCAATAGGGCTGAACCTCGGGAGATCCACACAGTATGATCTGCTCCTATACACTATGCTTCGCATATCTAAACTAGACGTGGCCTGTGCTCTAACAGAGCGACCACGTATACGTCCATCAGAGCACTCGGAGTTCGGACTGAAATGCTGTCGCATACATATTCCTGAAACTCGTCTCGGAGTTGCTGTCGGGACTCGGACCTACGTGGAATAACCCGGCACGCTAACCTGCTTACTTTTGCAGATGGATATTTTTCCTAGGCAAACCGGCGAAGATCCGAATCCTGTTCTTGGAACACCAAATGATAATTGGAGCCTGCCAAGGCAGTTTGGTTTATTTAGTTCTAACCAAAACGCCACTTCGGGGATTGGTCTGTAACGAGACTCCTGGAGGGCTCATTTGTTTCCACGGGATTGGTTAGGTGAGGGAGTACCTGGAATTAATAATCCAGATTTGGGTGGCTTGTCTCATACATATTTGCCTACATGCTCCGTCTGATTGCAATGTCATCTGGACGATGGGTTGCAAATGAGAGTATACTGTAGTTGCATTTGGATCAAGTACGATCTATATCGACCATTTTCATGTCGTCATGAACATTCACACAGACAGAAAAAAAAAAAAAGAGAGCCCTAACGCTCTTAACAACTGAATGTAAAAAAAACTCAATTTTCACGCCCTTCGGCAAAGCTAGGATCAAAGTAGATATTGAAGGGCAACACGGGCCATGGACACAGCCCACCGCGGGGACACAATTAGGAAAGGATCGGTGGGGCTCGTACCAGAACAGTCCCCGACTACGGAGTAGGACTTCCGCTTTTTCGTAAGCCTTGGGCATTGGCGGGTTTGCTATCGTTATGCAGAATGCTGTAAGCAATGTGATCTGTACCTCAATTAAATGGTAACCTGGTTATTTGGAGGGGGCCTGAAAAGGGGGTTGGTCCGGCTGTGCAGATGCCTGGAACTTTAGATGAGCATACCGTTAGGACAAATTTACCGATATGATTGGCCAATGCCCTAGGGTGAGACGGGGGGGGCGGAATACATCATCGATACTTTGGACTACGTAGGGGGATCCATAGTCAATGCATGTACTCTGTGGGTAACGAGGCTCTGGATGCGCGTGAGCGACCAACCAGAGCCTCGGAAGCAACTGTGACTCACACCCCGTGACTCTCTAGCCCCGTGCGGCTGAGCCTCGTGATTGGATTAAACCAAGCCAAGAAAGCTCCACACGAATCCCACACAGCCAATTTGTCCGGTCATAAGAAGTGCCTGAGTCCCCCCAGTCGATGCCTGTTTCTTTTCCTTTCCACCATTCTCTGTGTTCACACATCTTTGACATTTATATCACCCCACCTTCACCATTCTATATATACCTACAGAACATTTTGAATCTCCACAGATCCAAGATGAACTCCATCTAAGCGCCCCCCGAAAGAGCCAGTCTTTCCCCCCGACCGACAACATAACCGGAACACACTCCCCCATTTTTCCCTCTTCTTCAGACGTCTTAGGACCTCTGAACTTCAGTCGCGCACCGCGTAGCTCAAGTTCCCATTCTTCTAAACCTTCGATCGACGTTACGTCGTTCACCACGGATCACCTCCAGCAACCATGGCTTCCCACGCCCCCGCCCACACAGCCCTCGGCTTCCAGTTTGAACAACAGCAACAACAACAACAGTGCACTAGAGGACTTTGTGCTCTATCCAGCCCCGCAGCCCCGTCCGCAGCCTCGATTCAGAGACTCGCGTTCGCTAGCCCCGAACACTGCCCTTAGGCCATCTGCCCTTCAGCCCTTTCTGGCGCAGAATAACCCTCGACGACACACTTTCAGTTTGCAGTTGCAACGCCATCTCCAGCAGCAGTTCCCTGGTTCTCCTGTTCAGGACCCCAGAGTGACCCAGCTTACCCGGTCTCCTTCCTACTGGTCTCACCCCACCGTGAAGCACTCAAAGCCTTATTCGGCAACCGTGCCCACCAACTCCCCTCAACGTCCCCCCATCCCGCCGTTCCACGCCGGTAATATTCCACTTGAAAAAAGAAAACAGTACATGCAATACCGTCGCAACATGTCTACTCCCAACTTCCAAGGTAATTTCGTTGATTCTCTTGTTTTCTCTCACGCAACCGCTCACATCATTTCCTTAGAACACGACACCGAGCTTTTCGGTCTCCCATCTGCCGGTGGCATGGGATCGTTCACCTTTGACGAGCTCCTGGGTCAGGAGACCGGCGCGCTCTCTCCTGAGGCGCCTGCCGGAACCATCTCCCCCCAGGACCTCATGTTTGACCACTCGATTCCGCCCTCGGGCACTTTCACCGACTTGAGCACTCCCCCCTTCGACTCTCCTGGCACCTTTAGCCAGAATCCTTCTCCTCTCTTCACCGATGTGGACTTTATTGATAATGACAACTGGGCCCCTCTCTTCCATGACGGAGCCATCGGAAACCCGGCCGCTCCTGGTATCTTCAATGCGTCGGACTTCGCGTCCGCCATGGCTGAGCCAAAGAAGCAAATGCAGCCCTCGATTGAGATGTCGCCTGCTCCTAAGCCCCTTTCTTCCGGTGTTAAGTCTTCTCCCATGTCTGCAACTGGCACAACAAGACACTCCAGTGTCGCTGGCATCACCCGTCAGCGCAAGGATTTGTCTCCAATCGAGTTTGATCCCAATGACCCGATCGCTACTAAGCGTGCTCGCAATACTGAGGCTGCCCGGAAGTCTCGTGCGAAGAAGCTGGCCCGTCAGGCCAGTGCTGAAAGTCGCATCCAGGCCTTGGAGGATCAGCTGTCTGAGCGTGATGAGATCATTGCTAATCTGCAAGCTCAACTCGCCGTTCTCCAGGCCAACCAGTGATCGACTCTGTGAATACGACATGTTTGTTGCGTTGATCATTTGTTTTCGGAATTTCTTTTTTTTTCCCCTATTACCTGTCTAATGGTTCGATGGCGCGGGGCATGGGTCAAGCCTGTTATCCCGACGTCTCACCTAGACACCAGCGCATCGTCACTGGTGTTTCCAAAAGTTCGTTCAGTCTGAAGTGAGATGTCATGATCGTGTATCTCACATTTCGTTTTGAATTTCCTGCGTTGCTTTTTTCTCAATTCAGCCGGTTCTGATTGTCTCCCAAATGGGATTGACTCGTGGCTCTGTATTTCTTAGTCGAATATCCAAATTGATTGCTTTGCATTTTGCAACACTGTTCACCGTAACCTCTGAATTTGACCTGGACAAATTTTACTTCTGATGGACTGCGCAAAGAAAGATTCGGATCAATTGGAATAATCCCAAAGTCAAAAAGTCAGTCTCGTGACGAGCGCCCTTGACTACGGTGTCCAGTAGCTGTCGCCTTCTGCCGACCAACATAGAGCTTCTTGATATCAGCGAAAAAGACCACTATCGAAAACCGCCCCAGGTTTCTATTCTATACTTCACCAGCACGCAATATATGTCTGATTATGTACTGAGAATTCGGCTTTTCACGAACCAATCCGATGTCTCCAGGCACTTATCAACGATGCCGAATTGGGAAATACAAGGCCGCTTGGGGGACTAGAAGCCCTGTATATATGGTGAAATTGAAAAGTTCATTGCTAACCAGGTTAAAGGAGTTTAAAAACACAAACTGTTCCATTTGCGAAGAGAATTAATAAATTAAGAAAATAAAGCGAGGGGGTATCCAAAGTGGTGCATCAAAAGCTCATTCATATATACAGGTCCACTCCATCCCAGGCAAACCAGGACAGAAAGAGGCCTTAGTCGAAGACAAACAGTGAAATGTACACGCGCCCGACTCAATCAATCCGATCGTACTCATATTCAAATTAAAGTTCCCATCCAGCTCAAAACAGACTAGACATCCATACCAGGCTTCAAAGTCTCGAAAGACTCGATTGAAGTCCTACGGTCCTTGATGAACTTAGGCCATGTGTTAGTGAGCACAAGATACTTGATGCTCTTCTCGGCGTCATCAAAGACAGTTGCGCTGAATTCCTCAGGAATCTGGCCCCAGTACTGAACCCGATCCTTGATCTCAGTTGAGGTTGCCTTCAGTCCCTTCTCGGATGAGTCGGAAAGGGAGGGTGATGGGAGGTCAAAAGTGAACTTGTTAAAGGGGCTGACGGGGTTGGTCTCGCGCTCGTCACCATAGAGGAGGCGAGTAGGCTTCTCGAAGACATGATCAAGGCTGGCAAGATCTTGCGAGGAGATGTTCAAGGGGAACTCGGCGTGGCGGACGCTGATGAACTTGGCGTAGAGGTGCAGGGCGCGGTTGAAGGATTCGCGGACAGCTCCCTTCGAGGATTCATCAGAGAATCCATCCTTCATCATCGCAGGAAGAGAGTTCTTCCACTCGGATACTCCGGTGAGGAACGCAATGTTCTCACCGGAGAACTCTCGGAGGGCAGAGAACTCCTGCAAGGGGGGTTGGGTTGCGCTCCAGGACGTGCTCGAGGGCGTGCATGGTCATGATGCTGTCGCGGGAGCCATTGGACTGAATAGAGTCGTTGGTGGACTTCCAGCCAGACATGAAAGATTCGACCATTGTAGACGCGGAGTTCAAGGACTTTTCTTCGGAGCCAGAGGACTTGACTTTGAGCTCCCATCGAGCGATGGAGTCGAGAGTCTCTTTGCGAAGAGTCTGGGATCGGAAAACCTCGTAGCAGGGTATGAAGATGGTGAAGATCTCCATGAACCAGATGGACAAGCAGATCCTGTAGTCACGTTAGATAATTATCCCTTCAAAGGGTTATTGGCATGACTGCTTACCACTGAGGAGGAATCCAGACAGCATTGACGGGTGCCATAGCCGGGACGTAGAGACCAATCAACCACATCGGTGTTCCATGGAGGCTAAGATGCGTCAATAATTGGTTTGAGCCTGGATATATCAAGGAATAACTCACTTAGCAAGAGCACAGCCAATGGTCTGTGTTCGCCAGCCCTGGGTGTCATTGATCTTGCGAGACTTCCAGAGAACAATCGGGGCGATAACCCAAGCCCAAAGCAACTGGTAGGCGACGCCAGGCCACCACTCCCATCCACTACCCTGGGCGGTCTTTTGTGCCATGGCTGAACCATGAACCTCGGTACCGGGAATACCCCAAGAGCTGTGGAATTTGCGAGAAATGATCCACATAAGGATGGTGAGGAAGAGTTGAATGAACATGCCAATACCAACAATGATAAAGACCTTGGTATTGTATCTAAGAGCGCGAAAATGGTTGATTAGGCCTTTGGGGGAACCCTCAGGCTTGATTTCGAAGAGATGATGTCCGTATTGGGCATATTTCTTCTGGAGCTTTGCCACGTGAAGGAAACGAGCGTTTGATGCATGGAACAGTGAGAGACCTGACCGAAAAGTCAGCGGACACACCTTGCAGAGAAGATGCTGAAGAGAAACGTACCTAGAGGAAGAAAAGTTCCCATGATCCAGTACTGTGCGTCTCCGGGCAGGATCGCACCGATCATAGTTCCGAATTGACAGACTGCCCAGTATAAATGAAGGAGACCGATAGCAGAAAGTGATAGACCGAGGCCACGGATACGGAGAGTTGGTGCATTGCGATTAATAATCAGGAAGGTCGCACCGGACACGACGGTGAGAGTCCAGACGCATGCCCAAGTAGCCCACCAGATACTCACAGGTGAGAGATCGATAAGCTCCGCTGTACTAGCGGTGATTCCAAGTTCCGAACCCATGGCGACGGGAAGAACAAAAGCGCTCAAGGAAAGTGATGAAGTTGGAGAGCCTTAGAATCTTGCCCAAATCTCCGGGACCTCGAAGGATCCTTATACCCACGATCATATGCAACTAAAAGCCGGACTCGCACGACTTCAGGATCCAAGGCGGCGGGAAGTGGAACTAGCCCCCACCCATCGTTGGCCAGTCGCTGGCTCTAGCTTGAGCGTAAAGTCAAGCTGCCCCTGCCGATCTTTACCCACAATGGAGCTCAACCGGTGGCCGTCTTGGTGCCTCAAGTATTTGTCACGCTTCACGATCTCTCATTCGTGGATCGAATCACAGTCCCACACGATCGGGGAGCCGAAATGACGATGAAAATGCTCTTGATCGTGGGAGAGAAAAAACCCGAAGATCTATTTCATCGATCGACAGCACTATTGATTCCCAGAGAAGTTTTCTCCTCCACTTATCTTTAAAAAATGGCAGCTGGCAGGATTTCAGACCCATGTCTTTAATTCCTTCTTGTCGTCACCTCTTTCCGGTATTATTCACGGCATTGGTGGGTTTTGCCTTCGATAGACTGGCACGTAACCTAATTTCCAGTCAAGGAAAAGTCAATGGCGAGTCACAGGCAACATGTGGCACTGCAGGTCTAGATTCTATGCATCGGGCCAATGATATTGATATCTCCCCTCACCTAAAGGAGAAAAGGTTAGCGTTAGGCACTGCCTTCTTTCACTGAGATTGCAATGCAGACATGACTCGTAGCTCATCCCAGTGGGTCCTGTTAGTGCCGATGATCGTGTTAAGTGGTTGGAGAGACATGGGCTAAGGCGGCAAACACGGTAGCTGTCAGCTATGCCGAGCACATGTGGACTGTCTCCTCCCGAGGTCTACCGCAGGCCCTTGGGAATAATACTGTAATCCACTATGCCTGGTTTTTGGGATATTGGACAATGAGCACGCTCAGAGGTTTGGTGGCTTGACTCCCAAGCTCTGTGGACCCAGCCCTTTTTTTCTCCACTTTGCGCAGGCGTTATTCATTGCCACGCGTTTGTCGTTTTAAAATAGCCGTGGGGAAATGTCAAGGGTGAGTTGCAGCTGCATCATGGTAGACATGCAAGAAGGCATCTAGGGTCACATAGCAGGTGAAAACAATTTCCTTTGGATCCATTGAATATTGACGTTGCATTACGTATCACTTAGCAATGACCTCTTGGACAGGTTTGGCAATTTAAAGAAATGGGTAAGTGTGTCCCCCAGGACGGTCGAACGGAAGATCCCACGGTACCGAAGATCATTGGGATATCAAGTTACGACAGAATATACATACCGGATTTTCTTTGATGGGTGGGGCCCCTGGAGAATCTAGTCAAGAGCCTAAGTCTTGTCCGCCCGACTTTCACGATCGCACTTTCAGAACGGTTGCATCCCCTTCTCTTGAGCCTCTCACTTTGAAAAGACCTCACTGGCATGCCCTAGATATTCGCTAGTGCGCTCGCTGTCCATGGGGAGACTCAAACGCGCTCGAACAGTAGCTAGGGTATGCCTGTATTCAAAGTTCGTAAAGCATTTTGACACTATGTTGCTCTTGAATAAAACGGACACATTCATGGAGCGGTGCATCTCCTCCAAGATTGTCACAGGACCCACAACTAGATCATGACTGGACTTCCTCGACTGCAAAATTACCAGTCCTTTTCTCAATGATTAGTCGGCGAATACAATTTAATGCCAGAATGAGCCGTGTTTCTCTGAAGATAAGGTACATGATCAGATACAAGGCTTTCGGAGAGAGGTTTGGGAAATTTGCCGTTATCGAGGGCACATATAGTTTAGGGTTCCACTAGCGTCAAGTCTAGTGCAATGCATGGGTTAGCCAAGTCTTCTCTGAATCGGCGCAAAATCGGGGTTTGAATCGGGGTTTGGAAGGAATATTCCTTTATTTACCCACTGATAATCAATGAACCAAGGAACTGACTGGAATGAGAGCTCTTTGGAGGAACTTGTCTACGAGAGCCGTATCATAAATGTGCTTTGGCTTTTGATCGAAATTGATCAGATAACGCAGTATGTTCGGATCTAATACGATGTGTGGAATAGAACACTTTCACGAGTCCTAAAAGTAATACTTCATGCTAATTTTCTATGCGATTATTGTTATAGGAGAACACATAAAGGTGTTCGTTATCTCTTGTGTTTCTTTGTAGGAACAACCCACATGATGCGCATCACTAAAGCAAACAATGCCACATAAAGACATGTACATAGCCACAGGTGCTGCGCCTTGCTGTCGCCCAATAGCAAAAAATTTCTCAAGATCCTTGTTAGGTTGATTGGCCCTGAGAGTGGCTACGAATGAAGCGCCCTATGCAGGCGCGGCGCGTATAGCCTGACCGACCAACGCCTAAACTCGTTGGATGCCGCCTAATGACACAACGCTATAGCTTGAGGCCATTGATATACGGAGGTCCAACACAAAAAACCGGATATGACTAGAATTTGCATGAACGCCTCGCAGTTATCTCCTAACGTGCAGCGAAGCAACCCGAAAACGTGTAAATTTCAGCCTCAACACGTATGCTAAGCCTTGTAACATGGATTTCCTTTCCTTTCGCGCCCCTTCCCTTGTAGATTACACTCACTGATGCCTACAACGATAGGCTCTCAACGAATCTACAAACTGCGTATCTATGCCCCTGGCAATCTTTATGGCGAGAAAACGCGAGGCGAATGTGTTTGCCGCAGGAGGAGATACCGTACCATGGAAAACGCCTAACCAACAACAGCAAACCATTCTTACTGGAGGCTATCATGAAGTCTTGCAATATTTGAGAAGCAAACGTTGGGTCGGGTGTACATTAATACATAAAAGGAATCTCGTTTGAACGTATTCTAAATTATTTAATGAAGACTTTTCATTCTACCATATTCACCAGAATTAAGCCTCTTCTTCGACCTTCAAGAATCATTCAACCGTGAGTCCTTTTGGGCCAAAAAAAACATTTAGTGCTATCTGACAGTTATCAAAGCCAGACAATATACATCCAGTTTTACTCTCCCATCCTCCAAGATGGCTTTCCGCGGAAATTGGCGATTTCGGGGCAACATGAGCAATCGAGGAGGCCCCAACAGTTTAGAAAAAGGCAACCAGCGGGAAACCTGCAAGCACTTCCAGCGCGGCAGATGCCACTATGGTGGAAAGTGCAGGTTCTCGCATGATGGGACTAGGGCTGCCGACTTTGAGTCAAATCTAGCTTTACACCGACCTATTGCAGCCGATGATCTGGACGCCCGGAATCAATACTTCGACTGGAAGAGACTTCTTAGAAATGGAATCTCAGGGTCTGGATACTTTTTCACTGAGCATGAGGAGATCCTACAGTTCTGGAACGGAGCTCTTGAGATTCTTGAAAGTGACAGCAGAGAGAATCACCAGTATCTCGCCAAAGATCTCGTGGATGACAGTTTTCATGGACATGAATTCATCTTGGTAACTGCAGATACCGACAATCCAGAGGGACTGGAGCCTGCTCAAGCTTATGATGAGACGTTCCTCAGAGTCATCACCCATGCTTCTCTCTTGAATTGTCTTTCTGTCTCTTCCTTTGTTGGCACTCTGTATACATCCTTCGGTGGCACGAACGGAGATCGAGCGATCAGATATCTGAAAAATATTTGCCAGAGTCTGACGAGGAAAAGTGACGACACCCACGAAAATGCACCGATCATCTCCCTGGACATGATGAGGTTGCTGTTGAATACCCTTTACCAGCTCTTGTCAAGAGTCCGACGTGTTCGATTTCACGATGAACTTCCCGCACTGCTCGAGCTAATCCGCGAATTGGGCTCCAAATTGACCGAGACATACACGAGAGCCGACCTTGAGGGACTGGAAAGCAGAATAGAAGTTATGCAGGACCTTATCACCAGTGCAAACCGCAATCTTGTTACACCCAAGGTGCCAGAGATAAATCTCCAGAAGACCGGGTCAGCACTATTGTCTTTTCCAATGGACATGCAAATACCTGGCGGGAGACATGACAACGACCTTGCGGATATCTCTCAAGTTCAGATTCTTCCTACTGACAGAGAGATAATCAGTGACGACTCCGAATATTTACCTTCTACGAACTTCCTTCAGCCGCACTTTCTCGCTGACCCTCTGCAACGATATATTGACTCAACATTCCGGCTCCTCCGCCATGATGTCTTTGGCTCAGCGAAAGATGTTCTTCGAGATTTGTTGCAGCAGAAAGATTTGACACGAGTTCCTCATCTCCCAGGTAAGGATACTGGAGCACATCTCTATCTGGGAGCCCATGTCCAGCAAATGTTCATCAATGAGAGAAATGATCTTGAAGCTACTGTATCCTTCTCCACTCCACCACAACTCCGAAACAAGGCCTCCAAAGAGCAATGCCGGTGGTGGTAAGACTCCAATCGCTTGGAGGAAGGAAGCCTAGTGTGCTTTTTGACGTTCAAAGAAACCCACAGAAGGCTTATGTTCTTCGAGGTCACCGTGAAAAATGCTTCCAAGGACCGAGCGCACAAGAACAAGAGTAGTCTTATCTCCGACAGGTTTTCACCTAGTATCACAGTCAAGCTTGCGGCATGCCTGCAACAAGAACTGATCTTCCTGGGTCAGCTTTACAGTGAGAAGCTCACAGGTATTCTGGTCGACTTTCACGGTTTGATACCTGCAACATTCATTCCTATCCTCAAGAACCTCCGGCGAATCCAACGCGAAGGGGAATTGGCATTCCAAAGATGGATCTTGCCGACCTACAAGAACGATCAAAATGGTCAGAGTATACATCCACCGGCATACACGCGCAACCAGGATTTGTCTTCCCCCTGGCTTCCATCACAAATGCCGGAGATAATGATTGTGCATTGGATCCGAGTACACCTGAGTCTATCGATATCTTGAAGTTGCAAGCTCAAACCGGCCTTGATCAAGGTCAGTGTCAGGGACTTGTCGCAGCTCTCACACGAGAGTATGCCCTCATCCAGGGCCCGCCAGGCACCGGCAAGTCTTTTCTGGGTGTTAAGGTTGTTCAATCTCTCCTGGAAATCAAGCAAAATGCAATTCTAGGCCCAATCATTGTGATGTGAGTAATTTTTTCATGCCTCCTTAGACATTCACTTACAAGAATTACATACAGTTGCTATACCAATCATGCCTTGGACCAGTTCCTGAAGCATCTTCTCGAGGTCGGTATCGAGAAGATCGTACGCATTGGTGGCCGAAGTCAGGCCACTGAGCTTGAAGGCAAGAATCTTCGCGTTGTCACCAAAGATATGGGGAAAACAAGAATAGAGTCAAAAACCCTCGGCATGTCCTACAGCGAAGTTGATGACTGTATGAAGAGTGCTGGGTATGCAATGAAACCTCTGCACCAGTCTCAGAAAGGCTTGTCTTGGGTCACGATGGAGCCCTTCTTGCGCCGCAAATGGCCCATTATACATAAACAACTGGAGCGACCAGATACGGAAGGATACACAACGGTCACGGATGATAAATTACTCAACTGGCTAGGGGTCAAATCTATGAAAGCACAGAAATACCAGAACGAGGGTGACATTGACGACGTGCGCTTAGAAGGCCTCACACACGCGGCCCAGGAGAATATCCACGGTGTCCCAATACCGGACCGCCGGATACTTGCAATGAGCTGGTTCAAACAGTGGCAGGAAAACGGAGCCGCCGCGCTTTTTGAGGCCCTTGATCGAGCTGCAAATCTTCGTGAGGACATCAATTCAGTTCATGAAGAGATCAACCGCCGAACCCTGATCCAAGCAGATGTGGTAGGGATCACGACAACAGCTCTTGCACGCCATATTGAGACACTACGCCGCATAGGAGCAAAGGTCATTATATGTGAGGAGGCAGCCGAGGTGATGGAAGCCCATGTCATCTCAGCGCTCATGCCAGGCGTAGAACACTTTATTCAGATTGGAGATCATCGACAGCTCCGGCCCCAGATTCAAAATCATGCGCTCAGTCTCGAATCATCCACAGGAAAGAAGTGGCAACTAGACAGGAGTCAGTTTGAGAGACGCGCTGTCGGTGAGCCCGGTCTCAAGCCTGCTCCTATAGCACAGCTTAATGTACAGCGAAGAATGAGACCGGAAATATCGCAACTAATCAGGAGAGTCTACCCAAAACTCGAGGATCATGAAAGCGTGAAGACTCTACCCAATGTTGTTGGAATGCAGGATAACCTCTTTTGGTTGGACCATCGATACGACGAAGACTCGAGAGATGACGGAAGCCGTGTGAAGTCTCATAGCAACCAGTGGGAGGTTGATATGGCTACTGCTCTTGTTCGACATCTCGTTCGACAGGGAGAGTATAAGAGCACAGACATTGCCCTCTTGACTCCCTATACCGGGCAGTTGCGAAAGCTCAGATCATCGCTCAGCAATGATTTTGAGATTTGTCTCAGCGAGCGAGACTTGGAAACCTTGGCCGCGGACGGGTTCGATAAGACCGAAGATAAGAATCCCGATGAAGACCCCAAAGAGAATGGCCGCAAAGCGATCGAGAAGAAGACGTTGCTTCAGACTCTCCGCCTTGCTACCGTCGACAACTTCCAAGGCGAGGAGGCTAAAGTGATCATTGTCTCTCTAGTCCGCAGCAACTCAAAGCGCAAGGTTGGCTTCCTACGCACTGAAAACCGCATCAATGTGCTCCTCAGTCGAGCTCAGCACGGCATGTATCTCATTGGAAATTCCGAAACATACCTCAATATCCCAATGTGGGCCGATGTCCACTCTCAACTTGCCCACTCAAATGCAGTCGGGACGGAGTTAGCTCTCTGTTGTCCTCGCCACCCAGACACACCTATTCTTTGTTCTACACCCCACGACTTTGAGAGGCAGAGTCCTGAAGGTGGGTGTAGTCTTCCGTGCATCCGTCGACTCGAGCCATGTGGCCATCAATGCCAAGCCAAATGCCATTCAGCGCTCATGCATGACAGTTTTGCATGTGAGAAACCTTGCCCACGTATCCGATCAACCTGTGAGCACGAATGCCCCAAGTTTTGTGGTCAAGATTGTGGTCCTTGCATGGCGAAAATTCAAGATGTGGAGCTTCCTTGTGGTCATATCAGAAAAACTGTCTTTTGCCACCAGATGCTTGACTTGTCAAAGCTTAAGTGCGACTTTGAGGTCGAAAAGACTGTCCCGAAGTGTGGCCATACAATCAAGGTTAGCTGTTTCAAGGATGTCACGTCTCAGATCTTTCGTTGTCCTGAGCCATGCGCCGAAATTCTCAGTTGTGGTCATAACTGCAACTCTAGCTGCGGAAACTGTCTTGAGGAAGTCATTGGCGAAACTAGAGTATTAAAGCACCCGAGGTGCACGAAAAAATGCGACCGTCCACATGGTGTTTGCCACCATCGGTGTTCTAAGGCGTGTCATCATGGGGAGAGCTGTGGTCCCTGCGAGGTAAAATGCGAGGTAAGGCTCACTTGAATCCATCATCCTGTCCTTGTACCGAAGATACTCATTATATGTATAGGTTCAATGTTCGCACTCGGCGTGCGACTTAACTTGCTCAAAGGCATGTGCGCCATGCATTGAGAGATGCACCTGGTCCTGCACTCACCAAGGCTCCTGCTCAATGCCTTGCGCGGCACCATGCGATCGTCTTCCTTGCGATGAGAGATGCACCAAGATTCTCAAATGCGGCCATCAATGCCCGAGTCTCTGCGGGGAAGATTGTCCAAGCAATCTGTGTCAAGAGTGCGGCGACAAGGGAGATGCGCGTGTTGACTTCCTCGAATGGAAAACATATTCGGAAATCAATCTCAACGAGACACCAATCATCGTTCTTGGATGCGGCCATTTCTTTACCAGTGAATCGGTTGATGGACTGGTTGGGCTGGATGAGGTATACACGAGAGATCAACATGGAAAATTTGACGGCCTCCGAGATGTCTCTTCTTCTCTTGCCAGTGCCATACCCTCGTGTCCAGACTGTAAGCAGCCCATTCGCCAGTTTGTGACAAAACGCTACAATCGTGTTATCAACCGTGCTGTTATGGACGAGACTTTGAAACGGTTCTTTGCCAAGGGTCGCGCCGACCTTGAGAGTCTTGAGTTGAGTCTGAATGACATCGAAGACAAGCTCAACTCAAAAGGTACAGTGCTTTCCACTAGAGATGTTAAATTACAGCTCTCAGAGCGACATCAACCCTGTCAGAACATCGCAACGAAGGCTTTGAAGCTCAGCAAAACCATGGGAGCCGAGAATCAGCCAATGAAACGGCTGATGGATGCGATTGCAATCTACCAAAAGTCAACACAGGACGATATAGCCTCCCTCTCAGCTCGAATGGAGGCGATGAATATAGCAAAGCGAGAACCCGACAACCAGATCACCCTCGGTGCACGGCTAATTTTCATCAAGGCTCAGCAAATCATGTTTGGCGATATCCTTAAAGTGATGGATTCTAGGGGAAGGTCGACAACACAACCACGGCTAAAATTAAGCTTCACCAAGCGATCATCAGCCTTGATTAAATTGTTAGAGAATTGCCGGGACTTGATCACTCTAGCTAATAAGAGAAACCTCTCTCGCATCGTCATCACAGCAACCATCTCATTTGCCACGATAGTCCAGCTGGATGCGTTGTCTCACCGCACTCAACCAGGAGAAACAACAATTGACCCAGATCTCAAAGAAAAGCACCCGGGTTTAGAGACGCTCGAGGATAGCAGTGAAACCACCCGCAATCTACTCACTGCTGCGTTGAAACTTTGCGATGAATTGGGGAACTTCCCTGAACTCCAAGAAAGGGTCCAGGATATGGCCCGCCTCTATGAGGGACCGCGGTACGAGACAGTGACTATAGAGGAACTTCAATCAATCAAGTTAGCCATGATCAGCGGGCATGGAGGAATCGCGACTCACTCTGGGCACTGGTACAATTGCGTCAATGGACATCCGGTGAATAAATACCCATTCATTGAAGTCTTACCATCACGAGATAAATCAGCTAAACATTATTTCTGTAGTTCGCTATTGGAGAGTGCGGTATGCCAATGGAGCAGGCTAGATGTCCTGAATGTGGAGCACCTATTGGAGGTCAAAATCACAGGGCTGTCGAGGGCGTATCCCGAGCGCTGGAGATGGAAAGATAGAAATCATTTTTCGATCATAGTACACTATCTAGTCAAAAGTATTTCCCCAAATCAGTCCTCGGGTCTACCCCATCAATTTTATATATTCACTAAACAGTTCACTGACTCACCCTGTCATACTGAAATTCTATATATTTACACAAAATTATTAATGCCCATCTAACTCACAGAACTGTCTCTTAATATACTAAGAAAATTTACCCTAAGTTTTCTAACCACTAGTAATTATCCAGGTGGTTGCCCTTTATACTGACACATCAATTTTTGAGTATGTTATTACTCACCATAATTCTGCTATAAAGCTATATGGATCTTCGAACTATGGTATCTTCTCAATTACCTTCTAAATTACCTTCTTAATTACCTTCTTAATTACCTTCTTAATTACCTTCTTAATTATCTTCTTAATCATCTTCTCAATTATCTTTTCGATTATCTTCTCAATTTCCTTCTCAGTTACCTCCTCGACTATCTTCTCAAAATACTCCTCTATAGTCATGGGTTAAAGTAAGATTTCTTTGAAGCGAGCCCTCTTCATAATGAGTGGTACATGCCTTCCCAAAGTTGGTTGTTGGGTTGACCCTACCGGACCCGCACTTGGGGAAATACTTACTGTCCCTATTGTCGGATGATATCTCAATACTTGTCTTTTTCCTGTCACGCCTTGCACGCAAATTTAGATTCAAATGTGTTAGGATATCTTGTGGCTGGAGGGGGGTAAATGATCATGCTGCCGTATACATACCGCTATTTACAAAGGCAGTATTGACCTTGTTTGTGACTTGACTCTGTTAGATGATCGGTATTAACAACCTTTTATTTCTTTTTTTTTTTTTCGGCGGATATCTATCAATCATGTAGAGAAAATATGTGAACACTCAAGTAGGAACACGGCTAGATAGTTGCCAGTCGAATTTGGTAGAGGCTGAAGACCCGGCCATTCAGAGAAATAGTCATTGGAAAGATTGAAAGCATCCGGGCAAGAGTGAGGATGTTTGGCTACTCCCGTCATGATTATTCTCAGTCCGACTCTGCTACCTGGATATTTTTATCAGGGTTGTGGACTGACTCTTCAGCAAAAGCGGCAGGGGAGCGATTTTATAAAAAGAGAAGTCAAGATCCGATACGAGTCTACAGGTACGTTTGTCTCGAAATGAGAGCTAACCCAGCTCAGACTTGCCTTTTAAGCCTTCATAAACCACATCTCTCTTTTACATCATCCTTTCCCTGTCACTCACTCTCTTCACAGCAAGAAAGAAGTCAACGTGCCTTCAGATCTCGATCTCAAACCCCGCGCCGTCTAAAGAAACTGCTGGTGCTGAAACTAAGATTGGAAGGGCGCAAACGGTCTGTCCTGGAATTTGGGGAGTGGGAAGTTCATCCTGAACAGGGAATGGAAGATAGTAGACAGAATGAGATGGATGCGGTCTCAGAAGTATCTGATTCCATAGTTTGTCATCATAGCTGGGACCGACCTTCTGATGGCTTGACGTAATAGAAGTCGGGTTTCAGGGGTTGGGAAGTGAAGGTAGGGGAAACAATAAAAAAAATTGGACAGGATGCCTCAGGGTTTATTGTTATAATTCAGCTGAGGGCATCGGTACCTTTCGTCCGGCCTTTCTCCATTTTCGCGGTGCGAGCACCAAATTGAATGGCGCGCTTCTTCTCACGTGCGACATTGCGCAAGCCGAGCCGAAGTGCAACAAGCCGAAGGGCCATTTTCTCCGCGTCAATACCTACGATTGTTTCATTTGTGTCATGGCCCTCACTTATATTCGTAAGCCCAAATCCGCATTTCACCCAAACTGGGGCACGGAGTACCCAAGCAACAAAGTCTTCGTCCAGGTAAGGGAAGCGGGTTTCACGTCCCCAGTGGGAAAGAATACGATCATCGCGGCCCAAATTTCTTTGCCCCAGACGGCTGACGTCCAAGTGAATTTCGGACACTAGTCCCTCAAATCCACTGCGGCTAAATGCGACGCTGTGTCGACCGTAGCCTGCAAATAGCTCATCGGCGCCTAGGCCGGACAGTAGAACTCGCGCAAAACTGGTATAGGTATTTGCGTCCGTGTTAGTGAGGGGATTGCATTCAACATGACTTTCGTGGATTGTGCCTTGACCTCTTGAGGCGAAGTATAGGGCACATGCGATGGATAAGTCCATTTCTGTGTTATGCGGTCGCATAAGACGCTTCACATGATCTCGATGTGCGAGGGTTTCAGTATACGGAACGTCAATGGCAATAAAACGCCATTTTCGACCTGGGCATGTTTTCTGCAACTCATTGTAGGCCGAGCGGCCGGTGATTCGGTCGGGGCAAGCTTCATATGTTGAGATGGGGAGGGACGGGGGGAGAATTTGCTGATTTGAAGACGCGGCAGCAGCAGCAGCCACTCGAGGGTTCTCAAATGCGACGTTCAAAAGATCGATTGGTTCCTCGATGGGGAGAATGTCATGAGAAAGACGTGCAAGGAGTGTACAGTCTAGGCCACCCGAAAAGAGCACGGCGACTTTGGCACTTCGCCCTTGAATATAACCAGGTGGCTCTGGTACTTCATCAATTCTTAATGCAAGCGATTGGCGAAGTTTGGATTCAAGCTCCTGAACGAATGGAGTATTCAATGTCAGCGGAGGTGGCTGCTCCGATGGAACCTCCATGTTCATCGGCGGAATGGGATTCTTCTGTGAGTCTATATCAGATATTGGGTTTTGCAATCCAAGAGGGGGAAAATGACTTACAATATGGCCTGCTGGTGTTGAGAAGTCTGAACTCCATGGCAAGGTCTCAATTCCATACTGATCCTCAGAGGCAGACAGATCATGAGACCTTGTAAGGTCAATCATGTAAACCCCATCAAACCCCACTTCCTTGAAATGCGCCGATGAAGATCCATCACACAGACTACATATTTTCAGTGCCCCATCATCCTCGTACCCTTGCAGGAGAGATCTTCGGCCTAGGCAGTCTCTGCTAAAGAAGAGTCGTGATTTCGTTGCATCATAGAAAACAAAGGCAAACGGCCCGGATATACTTGCAACCGCCTCGCCCAGTCTATGAGCAGCGCCCTTGCGATCGCCAGCCACAGCCTGCAGAAACATGTTAAAGACTTGCTCGGTATCATTTCCCGAGACTCTCTCCCCCGCGATCTTCCAAGCCTCCCCATTCCAGCAGAGCACTGACTGGGTAGCTTGATCTACGAGTGGCTGAGTGTGAATATGATCTCCCCTCAGTGCCAGCACCGTTGAAATGAAAGTGAGGTGAAAACTTTGGGGTCCTCCATCTGGTGCTGAGATCTCCTTGTGCACAGTGTGCGTTTGGCAGCAGTCGGGGCCTCGCTTTTCCAGTAAAGCACGTGTCTCTGGGGTCGATAATTTGGGTACAGACGATAAGGAGAAGAAAATCCCGCACATAGTGGGGGATTGATACGAGCCGCAGTAGGAGTCGCGACATTAATTTGTATTTGGGATATTTGAATTAACTGTGGCCTGAGGCATGGATATAAGTCTTAGTCAGCCCAACGCCGATCCGCCCTATGCGAGCCTCAAGATAAGTCGTGAAACTCCTAGACTAGATATTGCGTGGCCTGCATGCTGGAAATAGCTCATGTCGGCCACCGAATCCTCGTCTCTCCCGGGACCCGGGCAGAGCAACAACCACCCCGCCCAAGAGAACTCCGAACCCCTCGAGAACCCCACGTCAACAGCTGACCTCCCCACGGCCCAGAATGAAACATCGAACAAGAACCTACCACGAAACGAGATGGATATAGAGACAGAAGCGGGGCCGCAATTTATTTTTGAAGAGCATGGAGCTTCTCATATCTCTGATGTAGTTTCGCAGCAGCCACCGTCCACCCCGTCGCAGCCGGACCCGCTTGAGGGGCAGATGGATGAGCTATCATTATCAAGCACAAGCACACCTGTGCCTAGACAGTCTACAGAGCAACATACGCACTCTGCGCCCCCGCCACCCGAGAAAGACGATGCGTACCTGACCTCGGTGTCAACCCAAGCCGCGCCCCCGTCGACAAGCGAACAAAGCTCTGGTCCAAGCTCTGAAAAGGAACTGCCTGGAGTGCCCGGAGATAGTGACCCCGATTCAAGACAAAGCAGAAATGCCAACAAATTGCGAGACGAAAATGACTCTCAACCGGAAATCCAGAGTATTATGGGCCAGTTTCAAGACCCGGCGCGGACTACCGATCAGGAACAAATCATGTCGCCTCGGCTGGAGCTGGCTACCCCGAACTACTTCCCACCCCGAAGATCAAGCTTGGACCATATTCAGTCCCCGGTATCTGGACCTTCCATTGTTCCAGCTCAAGTGAATCATGCCTCTTCGCCTACGACCACGTATTCTCGTAGATCGATCGGCCCCGATGACCCGATGATGACACGGCGATCATCAACGTCGACAATCCCCTTACCAGAGCCCGAACCAGCCCAGCCATTCGACTTTCATCGATTCTTAGAACAACTACGACACCGTACTGCTGACCCCGTCGCCAAGTTCCTCCGCTCTTTTCTCTTGGAGTTCGGAAAGAAACAGTGGATGGTTCATGAGCAGGTCAAGATCATCAGTGATTTCCTGGCTTTTATTACAAATAAAATGGCAATTTGCGAGGTCTGGAGAGATGTTTCAGATAGTGAGTTTGACAATGCCAAGGAAGGAATGGAGAAGCTTGTCATGAACCGTCTCTATTCGCAAACATTTGCACCGGCCATTCCAGCACCTCCCACAATTCCCCGGAGTGCGAGTCGCAGTCGGCGGAAAGAGATTGAGAGGCTACATGGGCCCTGGAGACGAGGACAGCACCAGGAGGATATCGAGCGGGATGATATTTTGGCCCAAAAGATTCGCATCTACAGTTGGGTCAGTGAAGAACACTTGGATATTCCTCCTGTGAGCGGCGGCGGACGTCGTTTTCTGAACTTGGCGCAACAAGGTATTTCATATCACTGATCGAATTTGTGATCGATTTCTAACAGCCCCTTAGAACTATTGAAGCTAAATGGTTACCGTGCTCCTCGTGATAAGGTCATCTGCATCTTGAATTGCTGCAAGGTTATTTTTGGTCTTTTGCGAAATAGCAAAAAAGCCGATACTTCCGCAGACTCCTTTGTTCCACTTCTGATCTATGTGGTACTACATGCAAACCCTGATCATCTTGTCTCCAACATCCAATACATCTTGCGTTTCCGCAATCAGGACAAGCTCGGGGGCGAGGCAGGCTACTATCTATCATCGCTGGTAAGTTCAAGATTACAAGAACCAAACCTCGCTTGCTGACATTTACATTTAGTCTGGAGCTATCCAATTCATTGAGACCTTAGATCGCACCAGCATCACTGTCAGCGACGAAGAATTCGAGCGTAATGTCGAGGCTGCCGTCTCAGCAATCGCCGAACAGAACCGCGAAACAGAGCCTTTGGATGAGAAACCTCCCAACCGATCCACTACCCCAAGTGCCTCTACACAACCGCAACCAGGGCCAAGTCGCAAAGACACCTCACAATCAAGCGACGACGACAGCTCGGCTCCCGTTGCGGGTCTCCTGCGTACCATCCAAAAACCTCTTTCTACTATTGGTCGCATTTTCTCCGATGACCCCGACAGTAGCTCCTCACAAGATCGTCCTCTTCACCCTGCTGTAACTCCTCAACCAGCGCCTCCTCGCCTTAATCCCAATGTTTATCAACCCCCACGCTCTAGCAGCGAGGGCAGATACTCAGGGGAAGAACGCGGCCCCCCGCGCGAGCAAAGTGCCAAGAAAAACCTGAGCCGTGTCCTAGATGCCCAAGATGCAGCCGCTCGCCAGGCCAGTGCGGAAGATGCGGAGGCACGGCGCATTCAACGTGCTGAGCATAACAATGTTGTCGAGACATTATCGAACATGTTCCCCAATCTAGACCGCGACGTCATCGACGATGTGGTCAAGATGAAAGAAGGGAGGTGAGTAATTTGGAAGATTGGATATCCTCACTAGTCTTTGAACTAATGCATTTGACAGGGTTGGCCTTGCCGTCGATGCATGTCTCGCTCTAAGCGCAGAGTAGTATACACGAAATCTTGTTGCATTCGATGGGGATCTCTGAGCTTGATACCAAATGCCTAATGGCGGGGCTTCATTCTTTGATTTAATTATTTATGTTGACACTGAATTGCTTTTAGCGCGGTGGTACTGGGAAAGAGGTTGACATGACTTTTTCGTTTCTCCAAATTTGCATTGGTACATTGGTTACCTCGTACCTAGATATTTTTCTGAATGTCTTCAATGTATCTCTAGCTGCCGGGCAAGTTGGACCACCGTTCAATTTCCGCAGTGACCATAATGCCTCATGACCGAACATTCAGAGTTTTTCCTGCCTAGTCACCAATTCCATTACTCAATTAAGCTTTCTCTTTAACTCCTCGGCATGGATACTGGTGTGGACCCGTATGTACCTGGCTGAGCTGTAATATTCGGCAGTTTCATAGGCAAATAAAGCTGAGTTCTTGCTTACAGTCAGCGTCGTAAGTTAGCTAGAATGAAGGACCAGATGCGAAGCGTAAGCATCACACCAATGTCGAATGACATGGATCTGAATTTGGTACAGTCTAAATATGAAATTTGTAAATACGTAGCGCCTGTCTTGTGTCATTCTAAGAGCAAATAGATGCAAATATATTGAAGGTCGGGGATATAGAAATGTGAGAAGTAGTGGTTTTCGTAACCGAATGAAAGAACACGGGCAATACTCGGATTGCTTAAAAAAGAGAGAAACAAACGATATCGTACTAGAGCCTTACGAAGGACAAAAATATGAAGCGTAAAAAAAGAAACGACAGTAGTGCGGTTCGAACGCACGCCTCCGAGGAGATTAGATTTCTTCGAAAATTGATTTCGTTCAAGTCTAACGTCTTAGACCACTCGACCATACTGCCTTAGTAATAAGAATGCTCAAATTTACTTTATATGAACCAGGCTCTCATCGGCCCGAATAGTGTTCCATACGACCAAGGGGACGACTAACAATTACCATAATATTGTAGAATATGTCTCGGAGTTCACAAAGAGCGGGCGATCAAACTCCGACTATCAGCCTGGTAAGCACTATATGTACGACGGCTGGCTGCCTAGAAGCCACATTTCACCGCCTGAAAACATGCTCTTCGCCCACCTTGAATGACCCTGTAATAGAGCACATTACGCCATGATTATAGAAAAGCCCTAGATGTTCCCTATCTAAATCACTAGGATACAAAGATTAAGGATTAATTGCCAGGCTTATATGAAAGGGGCTACTGCTCTTGAATCTCAAAAAGGTCATTCCTAATTCTTCAGATGAATCTTTCGCACACAGTCCGTGTATATTGTAAAGACCATCATCGCTAACTTTCTAGTCACGTCGGTTTAAAGTCAGGAACTTTTTACTCTTTACTTATTTCCGTTTATTCATTTAAGTATCATCAGGGTCTGTAATTCAAGAGAAATATGAACCGGCTTTGAGAGCAGAAATTGTTGTTCCATACTGACAATAAGTCCCTCTTTTCATTCATATTTGGGAGTTCAGCGTAGAACGTCTAAACCTGTCAGTATGGCCGAGTGGTTAAGGCGCTAGACTGTTCGTTACCCCGTGACCTGACTCTCTTAACCAATTACTAACCCCTTCCAGTGAATTCTTCAATTCGCCATCTAGTTCTTTCGAGATCCTAGGTTCGAACCCTAGTGCTGACGGAATTTCTTTTTTTTTTTTTTTTTTTTTTTTTTTTTTCCTTTTTCTCCCTTCGTGCATCTCAATTTTATTATTTATCAGACTTCTGAATAAAAAGAGTGCCTTTATTCCAGTTCAGCATCAAATCAACGTTGACTGACCTTTTTGTGAAGACGAACCCATGCTCCTGTAGTGCTTTGGCGCATTTCACGCCAGAAAACCCCACTGGGTTCGCAGTGAAGGGCCACTTCATACACTTATCCCATTTGTCAGACTTGATGAACCACGCGGCTTCAATGTTATCTAGCTATATTTATGGCGGGCGGTAATAACCTAGGCATGGGCAGTCGCCAAATCTACGTGGAAACGGCTTCTACATTATCCTTCTATCCAGAGCCACACCTTTCCAACAAAGCAAAGGAACTGGTTAAAGGTCTTTGTCTCTCCTCAAATCAACTATTGGTCATCAGAAAGTGACGGAGATGATACTTTTCATAGAAAATTGAAGGGAAAAATTCTATACCGCACTAAAAACACCATCAATGAAAACCAGAGCCTTCCCATAAGCTTCCATCGTATCGGCAATCACCTTATCACTACCAGGAATCTCCGCTCCAGCCATTTTTCTCATCATAATAGCCCCCTCCAAACCATGTGGCCCATTCTCCACAAGATGCAGCTGTGATGGAACTCCCAATTTGGTAAGTTGCTCATGTTGATAAATACTTTCCTCAGGAGAAACAACCTCATCACTCTTGCCGTGTACAAACACAGATGGTGGATAATCAGCCGTAACAAACTCCTCCAGCATACCGGGCTTCAAGTCCTCGGGAACAGCCTCAAACCGCTTCTCATGCTCCAGAGCATCGAGTGACTTGCCCAATCCCGGCCTCTGGAAAACACCATCAAGGAATGTCCCCTTAATTTCCCAGTCGACTGTAAGCGCAAAACGGTTCGACATGCCTCCCTCCACGTAATCGTCACTGACAACAGTCTTGTCCGCCAACAAGGCGGGAACGCCGCTCAGATCGACGAATTTTGCGAACGAGGTTGGTGGCCGCGCCCTTGTCCAGTGGTCCAGAAGCATATTACCACCCAGTCCGAAGACAGACAGGAGAGCTGCCGGCTTGGGCGCTGCGTAGAGACAAGCCGCGCGAGCAGAGTAGGCACCAGCCGAGAACCCAGTCACAGCGATGCGGGCTGTGTCAAGCGACACGGATTCCGGCAGTTCGCTGGCGAACTGAGGTCCTGCGATATAGCTAAATAGAGCCTTTGCGTCGTCAATCTGGTCAATGGCGTTGGCTGGGTGGCAGAGTCGGTAGTCTGCGGAGATGAACATGTAGCCCTTTTCTTGGCAGTGATCTGAAAGGGTTATTAGCTATCCATCTGGGCATTTTTGGGGCACCGGAGAGGAAGATTGCAGCGTTAACGTACCGTACATCCAGCGCGGCAAACCACGACCTCGTCGCGAACCGGCAGACATGCCACCGCCGTGATAGTAGATCATGGCGGGTAGGCTGCCCGTGGTGCGGGGGAGGTAATAGTCCAGCTTGACTTCATGGTTGTCGATCTCAGAATAGACCACAGTGTGGCCTCCTTCTGGGAGTTGAGGAGGCATCTTCAGTTTCGTATTTAATGCAGGTTAGGTATTTGGGATTGTGTGTAAATGTTGTCGTAGCCTTAATCGAGGCACAGGCACGGTTTAAGTTCCCCTATGGGGATAAAGTTATTGCCGATCGAGTGGTGACCAACTTAATTAAGCTCCGTAGTAGAATACTTGAAAAACACATTGATATATGACATCTGATTATACTAGAATTAGGCATTGCATAAATCTAAAGCTTGAACTAACTGGGCCCAGTCTCCATACCCAAAAGCTCCTGGCACACTTGGGCCATCGAACAAGCTTGCCAGAACCACTCGATCAGCCTGCTCACCTTCCCAGGGCTCTCGTCCATGCTGCGCAATAATATTATCATAAACAAGCACATCACCTTCGTGCCATTGATGCAAGACCCTCACTTCATCAGTAATCTTCACAAGGTGCGCCAAATACTTCTCCGGGATAACAGAACCATCACCAAAAAGTTGCTGAGTAACATTCTTGCGAGCCGCAAGATCAACCTGCGACCTCTTCCAATACGCTGCCAACCCAGTAAAAAGAGCCGGTAGATTTGTTCCAGGCTGAGTTCTGATGCAAGGCAGTCGATGCGTCAGAATCAGTCCATCATTCATCCACTCCCACGTCGTATGCTTCCCCCGTCCATACCGCGCAATCTGAGCCTCAATCTTCCGTCTTCTGGTCTCTTCATCATCGCCTTCGACAACATCTTTACCAAATGCTTGAAGAAGTGTGGAACCACCCTCATATTGTGGCTCGTTCTTGTACGTCACTCGGCTCAAAATACCCTTCTCGGCTAGTTCGGCGATAAACTCCGGGATTTCGCGCTGCGCGCGATTGAAGAGCTCCAGCGATGATGACATGGGCGATTGACCACCTTTGTTCGGGGCGCGATGGCAATAGAAGAATATGTATTCGGGGGCGTGTGGTACTTGGGGGGACTCGTTGTGGTTGTAGATGAGGACTTCTTTGGGGGACTCGTTGGCTGGTGCGATGTTCGGTGCGAGTAAAGGTCTATTAACGACTATTCCGATGATCTCGTGGGGCTTGTAGCCGAATGCGTGAGCGAATTTGCTGAAATCTTCTGCGTTGTGGATGGGAAGTCCGCGGAAGAGTAAGGTGCCATGCAGGGCAAGTTTTTTGGTAAACGTGCCATGTCCTTGCTGGACTCTCTTGATCATCTCTACTATGTCACTCAGGCTGGAGGCGGTGTTGTCTTGCGTCAGTTGGAGTGCGAGTGGAATCACCGTGTTTGCTGGATGGGGAGGTCCCAGCACTCGTTGGTTTGAGGATGGTAGCTCAAAAGGCTCAAAAGAGACCGCTGGTGAAGCCGCATCGCTGATGGATAGCTCTTCGACGAGGAGTTTTTCTATTGCTGCTGCCATGTTACCGGGTGATTTGTCTACGGGTGATCAGAGCAGGGTCTATGGGTTTGAACAAACCCCGCGTTCTACAGGGAGTGTCATTCGTGCTAAAAATGACGCGATATGATTGGAGGTAGTAGATTTTCACGTGTAGTATCTGGGTATCCTCACTTCTATCGGGTCAGTATGTCACGGTACCCGCAGGTAAATTGTATCATTCTGTATGATTGTTCGTGCTGCGGGGTTTGAGACAATTCCGGTGGTACTTTGCCCAACTACAGCTATCTTGGCCACACGATTCCCGATAGGCCGCCGTCTACGGCAATGTCAGTGCCAGTCATGTAACTGGCCTTATCCGAGGCGAGGAAGAGCGCAGTCTCCAAGACCTCTTCTATTCTTGCGGGCCGCCCGAGTGGAGTCGGTTCCCACAAAGCACGCATCTCCGGCGACTCTGGATCGTCGAACGGCTTAGGGGCATTTGGGTTAAAGACAACGCCTGGGCTAATGCTGACGGAGCGAATTCCGTGAGGTGCACCTGCCCCCGCCAGCATACGGGTCAGGGCCTGGACGCCGGCATTGGCCACGCCGTGGGCTACGGTGGGAAACACAGATAGCTCGATATGCCCGGTGACTGACGCGACATTCACGATAACACCCTTCTTGCGCTCCATCATATGCGGCCACACCGCACGAGCAGCAACATAGCTGAGCGTCAATTCATTTCGGATAGTGTAATTCCAGTGCTCGATTGTCGCAACCTCGAACTGCGCGATCCCGACACTTGCAGCATTGTTATACAGGACGTCAACCTGCCCCCACTGCTTTATAGCGGCATCGACCCACCGCTTTGCATCTCTAGGATTTGGCAAGATCGACAGGCTCTACCAAGATCATCTCGCCACCTGCTTCATTAACCAGGCGGGTGGTCTCCTCCGAACATTTCACGACGACATCGCAGCCTAGGACCTTCGCACCCTTTCGGGCGAAGGCAAGCGCGGTTTCTCTACCCTGACCACCTCCAGTCCCAGAGATAAGAACCACTTTGTCTTTAAACAACATTGCATCTCTATTAGCCTTAAGGGAATTCAGTCGGACTGGTGCTCCCGTCAAATATCTTGGAACGATATTTTGCTGGCGCCCGACTCGACACGGCGCTATGTAACGCGCAGCAGAATGGATGGGAGCCGCATCATGAGAGTTATAGATGAATACTCTTACAAGGGGGGCGGCGAAGACTTTATAGATAAGGCGGGCCGACGTTTCGGCCTACAAAACACATAGAGAGTAAAGCCACCTTAGAGACCGCTCGCGTATTTAGTGTGACACACGATATGATAATATAACTAAAGTTTCTCGAGCTATTGATGAAAATGCACTGCACAAACACTACCATCATTATATGCTTCCCCGCATTAATAGAGTGGGATTCCTGTGTCCCACCTAATACCGGCTTATTACACGCTAGTGCATGTGGAGAATTGCGCATCGAGTCAAGCGGTGCACGAGTATGCGGAATAACGAATGAGATTTACAAGGTTTGGAATAGATTATTGTCTAGGTCCCACGCCTCACGTCCTAGCAGCCCACAACACATATATTCGGCCTGTTGCGTACCCATGCCTTGTGCTACCAGTTACCTCCGCTAGCTGTGCTCTAAAGCCCTCGTGAAGCAGAATTCGACTAAGGGAGGGTCGTCAACATGAGCGGTGTCCGGGAACGCTCGGTATCCGGCTCCAACACCTGTTCGTTGCGGGGCGTTGCGGGGCATCAGGTCCCGCACGTAGCTTGGTGTATTGAAAACTCGAGAAAACCTACGACAGGGGTCCAGAGGGCTCATGAGATTGTGTCCCCGCTAGACCGAAGGACTTACCTGAAATTAGCGCCATCCAAGACATCAAATTATCAGCTTTACTTGAAAGAACCTCTTCTCTTTTCTCTGCATCATAATGACTACCTATACCATCAATGAGGCGGAGCTGAAACAGCTGAAGTCTAAGACCATTCTAGTGACTGGATGCTCTACCGGCATCGGTCGGGCAACTGCTCAAATTGCACATGGTAAGTGCGAGAGAAAAGAATGTCTACGACTGAGAGGGAGAAACTCAATATTTGGTATAGCAAATGGCGCGAATCTCATCCTTGGAGACTGGAACCAAGAAGCTGCCCAGGCATTGATCAAAACATTGGGTTTCCCCAGGTAGGAGCTAATATCACTGACCAGAAGCCCTTTTCGTCTCTGACAACAGCTCTCACACAGCAATGTCCTCTTCCACAAGACTAATGTTGCGAATTGGGATGATGTATTCGATCTGTTCCAAGCCGGATCCGAGAAGTTTGGTGTGATCGATGCGGTAATATCCAACGCCGGTGTCACTTCCGGGGAAACACTCCTGAACGAGGCAATTAATGCCTCGACAGGCAGACTGCAGCCGCCAAAACTCGACTCAATTAATATCAATCTTATCGGTCATCTTTTCGTAATCCGATGCGGTAATTAATTCTTCTGCAATGAACCCGGTAGACCGCATCAAATCATGATTACCACAGCAGCGGCCACATTTATTGACGCCGCGCCTTTGAGCCTGTATGCCACGTGCAAGACCGGTCTCCTTGGATTGATGCGATCACTTAAGAGTATCTTGATCCACAGCAACATCACTATTAATATTATTGCGCCGTGGGCGACGGGTAAGACCCCTTTGACAGTTGACAGAAGTTTTGCAGATACCCTAAGCCATACATTCATAGCATCAATCAATTTCGATCGAACATTCTTCGACGAAAGAGACGCGACGTTTTTTTGCGGTGCTAATAGAACTGAGCCGTCAAGGAGATTGCTTCCCTTCATTGCCGCTGATAAGGCCGAATATGGCTTAGGGACATCCAAGTTGATCTGATGTACCAAGCCAAGATTCTCTTCTTCATATGGCTCTTTCTCGCGGCTAACTCGGCTTTCCGTTTGTTGCAAATCGAAATTTTCCGTTCTTGTTGGTTCAGGTTCAACATTCACTTCTTCCAAAGAATGATACCGTGGGCAAATTGCACTCCAGTAGTGGTTCCCACCCATGGATACCTCGGCTACTTCGAGAATCCTCCTCAATTGAAGGGGAAGATGAGTATTCCGGCGATATATCTCGGACATCTGCTCAAGAAATAGCTTCTCGTAATCCAGGATCAGTTGCTTTGTGTGGCTTTTCGCGTCTTGCTCGGAACGGTTCCCAATCCTCATAAAGAATTCGATCGCGTTGGCAATTCTTTTGTTGTTGTAGTTACGCTCTCTTGCCCAGCTAGAGTAATCGTTTGTTAGGATGAAAATCTTGTTGGAAACCTCCAAGATACTTAAGGATGGCCCACTAGAGTCCAGCGTAGTAGATGATAGATGATAATGCCTCCAAGTTAGATTGGATCTTATCGATTAATAAATACATTCATTTCTCCAAGCAACATACCACGCCTTGTTCACTCTCCGGGTACTACCTTCTCAGCTACAACTCCATCTACCTGTCGTCTTGGATGTCGATAGCGGTTTCCTTCCACTTGCGAGCCGGAACCTTACGGTTGAAGAGGATGTCAATCTCACGGTAGGACCGGCCTTTCATCTCAGGCACAAAGAAATACGCCATGACCCAGCAAAACAGACCAGTGCCACCCCAGACGTAGCCGCACTTGCCGCCAAGGTTTCCACCCTGCATGCCTATTCGTCAGCACATATTCACGCGACGGCACAGAGAGAAAGAGAGGGAGAGAGAGAAGAATCATGAGTTGAAACATACCGTCGGGTTGAGCATATAACTTCCCAAAAAGATGCAGGGAATCTCCACAATGTAGTACGAAGCACGTCCGATACCAGTCGTGAGCGGTCGAAGACGGATAGCTGAGGTTTCTCCGATAATGACCCACGAAGCCGGCGCTGGGCCAAGGGTAAAGAGCACGGAAATGATGAGACCCAGAGAGGCCTGTGCAAGAGAGGCCGAATTCGATTTACCAACTGAGCCCGCAACTCCGAGAGCGACGAGCATTATTACGTTGATAAATGAGCCCCAGAGGTAGATAGTACGACGGCCTAGATACGAGGTAAGGATCCACGACAACATGACGAATATCCACTGCAGTGCCGACGTAATCAGACCAAGGGCGAATGCAGTATTTGTCGAGATACCGGCCTCTGTTCTTGGAATTAGCGATTGCATTTTATGCGTCAGCTAGTGAGAAGAACTTACGCTCGAAGAAGTAAACGGCCTGGTTGGCGATCAGATTACCCGTCAGGTTCTGTGCCGCGTATACACCACATACAATGAGGGTACGGTAGAGGTCAGTGCCCTTGAAGAGCTCCAGATGATTAGGTTCCTTTTCAGTCTTCTCGAGTTCGACGACACGACGCATCATGGCGACAGCCTCGCTGGAATTCATCCTCGCCCGACGTCCGAGACGCTCGACTGCATTTGCTGCGGCTTCAAAGCGTCCTTTTCGAACAAGCCACCAGGGCGATTCGGGGGCAAGGAAAATGAGGATAGCAAGTGGAGTGGGGAAAATCCATTGCAGCGCAATAGGGATCCTGATCTCAATGCATTAGCAATGTCGCTTATCATATAGCAATGAGGGGCATATACTTGTAAGCACTTGGGTCCGGGTTAGTATTATAGACATAAGTCACAGCACCAACAATGATACTGCCAATAGCCCAGAACATCTGTAGCATCTGTGTTGCTGGGGCTCGTAGCTTAATTGGAACGATCTCACTGCAGTAGGCGGGCGCGTTGGCAATAAAGATACCCCAAGGCATGCCCTCAAGAAGCTGGGCCACAAAAATCACGGGCATCGACTCGGCATAGTAAAATGCAAAGATGAAAACATTCAAAAGCATGAGACCGCTGATAGTTGCCCAACGATAGCCAATCCGGCTAGTAAGAGGACCAGCGAGGAACACGCCGATCAAAGCACCGAGCTGCCCAGAAACTTGAAGCGCTGACTGCCACTTGGTAACGATAACTTTGCCGTTGGTTGCCGCATCATATACACCGTATTTCTCTATGAATGCCGGTAGGGCGACGAAGTTACCAATAAGGAAGACACAGTAGGACTCCATGATCTATCCATATTGTTAGTTGCGATTCCTCGTTGTGGAGACCGGCCACCAGGATATATGGGAAGGGAGCTCAGTACAATCGTGAAAGACATCACAAATGCCCAGAAAGACGCCATCGGGTAGGCTCGAACAGCCTCCATCACGGTCATGTCGTGCTCCGCATTTTCTGCAGCAATGGCATCCGCCTTGTAATCGGAAACCTGTGCTTTTTCGTCTAAATCGGCGGCATGATCGACTTGAGCGACGGCGGCCTTGTCTTCAACCTCATAGGGGTCGCCATGTGGTTCATTGGGAGCGCTACTCATATTGGCTAGTGTGTGCCGACCAAGCACACGTAGTAGAGAAGGAAGAAAATCACAGGAAAGAAACGAAAATGAGCCAAGCAGCTACCTTACATGCTCTTTATAAGTCCCAACCCTTCTATTATAGGAGTTATGGGCGTTCATCTGCTGCTAATTCATTTTTTTTTAATCCGGGGTCCTGCGGGGTAGGATCTAAAGGGATAAGCGTCCGGGGTAAAAGAAACCGAGCGCCGCAGCCACCGGACTTGATGAAACCTAGTCTTTGGTCTGATTGGTGAAGCTCGCTCCTCCTCGGGATAAATTGTGAGATACCATCCGTCTTCTAGCCTTGAAATTTGGTATTTCCCCTCCCATTCTCCCACAATGAATGGTCCGGACAGCATACAGAGCATACGTAAGGGTTCTCGTCGGACTACATCACCAGAGCGCCCAACGCTAACGCTCAGGGGCCGCCACCCACAGAACTACTTGATCATTCGTAATTGCTGGAAATTGGAATTGAGTACGCCTTTACTGGATTCCCTCAATCGCCGGGCCCAAAGTGGAAATTCCCCGGCGGCCAGACCAACATAATAGATGGCCTCAGCACGGACGACTCAGCGACCAGGAATAATTGGCACGGGTGTCTACATCGGTCTCTTCTCTTTTAGCCGTAATTGCTTACTGCTCGGTTATGATCCCTCGACGCCTTCGTTGGGCCTGAGCGTCTTTGGCTCATGAATCTAGAAAAGCTCTTCCAAATCTGTCTTTTGGATTCCTCCAATGAATTCGTCGCCCTGGTCAGGAGGATGTGGCGGACCTCATGAAAGCACTTTTGGGGCCGCTCAGGGGCGCTATTTTTGCCTCGGCTAGGTTTGATTCTGACTGTCGCACGCCAATATCGCACGAATGAACACCACTTTGGGGTTAAGCCTCATGCACGGCGTGAGCCAGGACAGTCCTGTGACAATTTGGAGGCCCTAAAAGGCAAATAAGCTATAACGGATGCCGCTTGATGGGCCCGTGTCCTTGGTCACGACCGGCATTCGGTCGGGTGAAAAAAAAAAGAAAAAAAAAAAAAAAAAGAAAAGGCCCGGTCGTGCCCTGAGCGTGCATACGCGCTGGGGGCTAGAGATGGCTGCGTTCTGGGAAGCCCAAAGCCTATATCAAGCCCGCATCAAGCTTTCAAGCCCGGAATAATGCTTGGCCAGATTACTGGTCTCAGTGACCAACCAGAACGTAGGGATATGATCGCTAAAGTATGTACTCGTACAATCATTCCATTGAGGAGGCCCAAGATGCAGAATAACCAGTGCAGCCATGCTTATTTTTGGACTAAATCAAACACTGAGGATCACAATCTATGATTTCAATGATCGCGGTTTGTATAATACATGCGAGAAGATAATTAGATTTTCAAACAAGGTAGAATGCGCCTTGAGAAGACCTGGGAAAGGGAAGAATATATTGAGGACGGGGTCTTTCTGAAATTCTAAAACCAGGGCATGTCGAGCGCGATACTTTGAATTTTTCGCCACTTGTTCCTTCTACAATTTTTAAAATCGATTTGCCTATAATATGGACTATTCCTTTCTAAACGGGTATGGTACTAGGGAGGCTGGGTCTAATTGGAAGCCCTCATTGAAGCGGCGGCAACCAAAATAGATAATCCTCAACTGTGAAAGAGAATCCAGCACGTATGGCGGCCGATGTTATCCCCGGCATGTGTAGTTACAAATCTAGTACTATTCAATTAAAGCTTTTTTTATCCAGTTTCCAAGCCCATTTGTTTGTCTATATAGATCTGATCTCGTATCAGACATACCGCTCCAATCATTTTATTTCTGATGACAGATCAAGCACATACCAACATCATCACGACAAGTGATTCAAAACAGCCTCTCATGTATCTTCAAACCGTGTCGTGGGCCTTTACGTAATTTTGCCTTAGGGATATGGAGCACTATGAATGGCCATGGAGTCGGCGGCTCCAAAAGCCCTGATCTACGTTTTAATGAGATTCACCTGCTTACTAGAGCCTTGAATGACCAAATTCCTTGAGTTCGACTGCGCTCTATCCCTCGATTCAAATATGCCGCCGGTCTGTGTCCAAGTATTCATACTGGTGCAACATGGCTTGTGTACCTAGGCTCCGTGACATGTGGACTTAGCGCGGAGGCTTTCTAGAGCGTTGAAGGCGCTATCGCAAACGGTTATCCAGAGTAGCATAAGTCCGGTTACTACACTGCAACGTGACTCACATGCCGCAATTTTTGTAACATCATTGGCGAAGCTGTTTCGCTAGGGATTAAACATGATGTGGATCATGAAGGGCAGGCTGGGTACCAGACTAATATTTTCTTTACCATGATCCATTATCGGGGTTTGGTACTTGGACTCTTGTCATAAAGCCAGGAAAAGGTGCAACAAGGCATCAACACGCGGATTGGTGCATCTCGTGGTTCTTATTGGCGGCAAGACGCTCGCTCGATGTGATAATTGACGAGAGGCAGGTCTGTCCTGCTTGCCTCTCCTCTTTTTGGTACTTTATATGGATTCAAGAGTGCCCGGGTACTTATCTGGATATTTAATAGGCGTTTAGCTCGCGGGCTCTCGGCAGCTTTATGGCTGGTTGTTTTCTATGTTGATCTGCCCTGGCACAGAAGTCTAGATGGCTGACAATGTTTACCTTTATGCTCACTGCGTTTCTTCACAGCACGACATGAATCTGAGTGATCATTATACAGGATGTATATAGGCGCACAAGCCCTTTCTTTGAATGGGGCAATCAGCACTCATTCGGTCGGGCTTTTGCGCTTTATCACGTATCAGCCTCGCTCTAGTTGAGAATTATATATACTAGTCCATCGGGAAACTTTCAGATTGACCGGGGTGTCAAGTTCGATGTCACTCTCTACTAGGAGGAATTAAAAAAGTCGGGGCTGCTGTAGAGTTTGCAGTTCAAGCTGTTCCCACGAGTTTGATTGCGACAGCAAGTATCAACTGTGGATTCTGGTTTGCTGCATTGTCCTTCAGCTACTATACCACTTTGCGGATTGTGAGCAATTTCCAAACCCATACAGAGCTCATAGAGCGAGAGGAGATAGGGAAGACCTCGTGAGCGAATAATTGATCCCCAGGGCTTGGGGCCATGGATGAGGTGTGGACTTTCAGAACAAAAAAACCTCTGAAGCAACACCGCCGCCGATGGAAATTAGGCAGCTAGCCTTGAACTAATGATATAGCATTTTATAATCTGATGTCATTTTAATCCTATCAGTTCCTATGTGCTTTCTTGCATGAAACTTGGAAGTCTGGCGGCCGCAAATCTATTTCCATTCGGTGTTCGCGATCTTTATTATATATCTCCGTCTTGAGAACTCCAGCCCATCTTCCACATTCAACCACTCGATGCAAATCAGATTCAAATGCGACAAGATTTGGTTTTTTTTTTTTTTTTTTTTCTACCCCGAAGTTGAAGTTACTCAGCATTATTGTTTTGATTTCTCCAAATGATCATAGATCAATTCCATTTTTGCCTCTTTTGATGAATAATAATCACCACTCCCTGTATTGATTTCCATGACCTGCGACATCCGGACTTGCCCCAGAGATGAAGTTCGTGGTATATTTAATTTGAATTCGAAGCTATTTCCACGCACTGGGCTTGTGGTTTAGTGGTATAATACTCCCTTAGCATGGGAGTGGTCCGGGGTTCGATTCCCCGCGAGTCCATCCTTTTTGCTTTTCTTTTTGCCACTCCAGTGGAGTCTCCTTTAGTGCACTCGTGGATCATATGAGAGGTACAAAATGCTACTATTTTGTTTTGATGCAACGTAGTAAGATCGGCAAATAGCAAGAGAGTTAGTTCCATGTGTTCATGCGAGACTGCGTGGCTAAACACGATACACAGTGACAATCACTTACCTAGCTTGTCTAGGCAAATGACTTACTTAGTTGCGACCTGCGAATCAAATTACAATACACTCAGCCTTGTGAAAATAGAAATGTGATTCAATGGCACCATCGGCCTCATGATTGGTGTCTCCTACCCCATACTCGGCATTGGAAATTATTTTAGGTATGGTAGCCCTGAATAGTCCCATAATCTTCAACAGTTTATTCGCGATAAGGATGGCAAAGGCGCTTGCCCGGGTTAGGCAGGTAGATATATTGATTCCCTGCATGAACAAAGGCCTTATGCCGACAGAATACTCAATCATCCGGCTATCCCGTGTGGCATCGACACCTCTTGACGAGTGCGGGGGAATTCGTGGACTCTTACTTTCCCCTGGATAACTCCTAGCTTTCGATCCTTCTGACCCTATTGATCGGGGTTGCTCTCGCCCCCCAAATCCGCTAGCTCTTATCATACTTATCAGCAACCAGTCACAGTTGAGGATCTTACTTGGATGATGGCCCCACGAGACGCAATCACGGACACCCGACGGGCGTGTCATAGCCCGGCGGTGTTAGCCCTGCCCCCGCAGCAGCAACGAGGTTGACTTATAACAAACCCAGAAAGGCAATACTATGTTCCTTGCGACGTTTGTGTGAGCATTGAGTCTGATTGAAATTATGGTATGTTTAGGTAACTGTAAATATGGGTAGGAAAAAAAATTGAAATGTAAAAGGCTTGAAATGCCATAGAATTCAGTCTCTTCGATGTGCATTTAGGCAATACAAATCACGCTAGGAACTCCGCCGGACAGCTCTCGCTTCACCATATGACAAGGTAATTGCTATCTACGTCTCCACTCCGTTAACCTTCCCGTCTTGATCAGGTTTGAGAGCACTAAGACAGGCACCATGACTAGCTGCAGAAGAGGGGCAGTCATGCCCTCAGTACCTTTAAAAGGAGCCTATCCGGGGTTTCCTCACAAAATTGACTGGAGATTTCTCTTCATTATATTGCCGCAATGTATATACTACCTAGCATTGCAGTCTCGTTGCTAGCCGTCCCGTTTGTTCAGGCGGTAGGCATGCGAAGACCTGCTCCACCCCCAGCAACATCAGAGTCAACCTCTACGATCCAGGAATCCACATTCGAACAATTACTTGATCATGAGGACCCGAGTCTTGGAACTTTCTCTCAGCGCTTCTGGTGGAATTCAGAATGGTGGGACGGCCCAGGATCTCCTGTAAGCACCTTGCCCTAACTGGTTATCCAGAGCAGAACCATATTCTAACTAGCCATGGAAAACTACTAGGTGGTCCTGTTCACGCCCGGTGAATCTGCGGCTGCGGATTATACTGGCTACTTGACCAATGTGACGATTACAGGCCTTTATGCCCAGGAGATCAAGGGCGCGGTGATTCTGCTTGAGCGTAAAGTGCCCATCCTTTTCGAAAGTGGACATAAAGCTAATCGTTGCCCCCTCAATAGACCGTTATTGGGGCGAATCTTCACCATATGATGATTTGACCACCGAAAATCTGCAATATTTGACATTGAAACATAGTATTGCAGATTTGACGTACTTTGCAAAGAACGTGGATCTGCCGTTTGACACGAACAGCAGCAGCAATGCTCAAAATGCCGTATGTGTACACAAGTTTGATGCTTAAAGGCCCCATAAGGCTAATATTTTGTGATCAATAGCCTTGGGTTTTCAGTGGAGGATCATACAGTGGTGCTTTGTCCGCTTGGGTCGAGTCGGTTGCTCCAGGTACTTTCTGGGCGTACCATGCATCCAGCGCTCCCGTCGAGGCAATTTATGACTACGTAAGCTAATCATGAGGCTCTGCTACATCTATGAGTGCTAATAAGAGTTTAGTGGCAATACTTCAAGCCTGTCCAGGAAGGCATGGCAAAGAACTGCAGTGCAGATGTCTCTCGGGTAGTCGATTATGTTGACCAAGTCAGTAAATATGGCACAAAAGCACAACAGAAAGAACTTCAAGCACTATTCGGACTCGAAGATCTGAAGCACTATGATGACTTCGCCGCGTATGTTTCCCTCATTCCACTCCATCCACGCTCGACATGAAGACTCACATTGATTAGTGCATTGGAGAATGGTCCTTGGCTGTGGCAGTCAAACAGCTTTTATACTGGATACTCCGAGTTCTTTGAATTCTGTGACTATGTTGAAGTAGGCATCGTCTTTCTACCTGGAGAGATCACTCAGTACTGACGCAGGTTTAGAATGTCGAAGCAGGAGCAAGCACTGTACCTGGAGCAGATGGAGTTGGCCTTAAGAAGGCCCTTAAAGGTTACGCCAAATGGTTCAAGACCGTCTTCTTCCCTGACTGTAAGTCGACTCAGCTTCAACCGAGCTTCCGTCACTGACAATAATCAAATTTAGCATGCGCCAGCTACGGTTACTGGACGGATAGCAACAGCACCGCCTGCTATGACACCTACAATGCCTCCAGCCCCTTCTTCACAGATATATCTGTAGACAACAAAATTGACAGGCAATGGCAGTGGCTTCTTTGTAACGAGCCGCTCTTCTATTGGCAGGAGTAAGTCACACCCATGTCCATACTTCAGATCAGAAGTCTGATCGATACAGCGGCGCGCCATCTGATGTCACGACCATCGTCTCCCGAACCGTCAACGCAGAGTATTGGCAGAGACAATGCCCTCTCTTCTTTCCCACTGTCAACGGCTACACCTATGGCAGTGCCAAGGGCAAGAATGCGGCTGATGTCAACGCTATGACCAAGGGTTGGGATCTGACAAAGACTACCAGATTGACCTGGACCAATGGGTAAGACTTTGCATCTTCCTTTGAACTGAGTGAGAATGTTATATTAACATGAAATGTTAGACAATATGACCCCTGGAGAGAGAGTGGTGTTTCATCTTCCGTCCGCCCTGGAGGTCCTCTCAAGTCCCGAGCTTCCGCGCCTGTCAATATTATTCCTGGTGGCTTCCACTGCTCAGATCTTATTCTGAAGAACGGCGTGGTCAATGCGGGTGTACAGAGGGTGATTGATACTGAAGTTGCCCAGATAAAGACTTGGGTGGCGGAATACTACAAATAGTGAGACAAAGGCTAGAATATTCCGGGGCGTTTCAGATTAACGCATGATGTTTCGGCATCTCAGACATAATATCTTTGATAGAAGTGATCTTATATAGTGTCTAAAGAGTGTCCTGGATCTGGCATTAAACTTCTTTTTAATAGCTTTCCAAGGTTTCAGTCTCATTACATTCTTTTTTGATATTGAAAGAATGATAAGAGACCGCAGAGTGATTTCCATGATGAGATGTCTTAGTTTCCTGCCATGGAGAAGCTCACGTGGCTTCCAAGGCTCAGGGTTCAGTTCAATGCCAGCAAATCATCTCTTTCAGCAGGTATATCCATACAAGGATGAATACAGTACTCCAAATATTAATATATAGGCATCTGATCTCCAGCTCTTCTTTCCATCGTACCATCACCATCATCCTCCAAGATTCCTCAACAGCAAATAATTAAACCGAACTCGTTACCCCAACTCAAAGCTTCCACCAGAAACATCACCATGGCCTCCGAGTACTACACGGTCCCACTAATCAAGATGATGATGGAAATTTATGTCAAGAGCCCTACCAAGGAAACAATGAGTGCAATGGTGCTGGGAATCCTCAACTACTACTTCCCGCAAAGCCTGGACTACGCAATGGATTTCCAGCCTCGACTTCAAGCCGACTGGAATCTGAATGTCGATCTTGCTATTCGCCGATGGTATCCCGAAGCACCTGCCAAATATGAGCTTGCAAACCAAGCTCTCGTCGATATTCAGCTTGGCATGGGTCCATTCAGCGAGCAGGATTGCGAGGAGATTGAGAATAGGCTGTCTGTTTTTGTCGACAAAGACAAGAACAACACGAATGATTGCTGGTTCATCCTTTTTCATGGGATGTTTGTTCGATCTTACCTCTGGAGGGCTGGTGATGATGATGAGGAGCATTTGGTCATCAATTATCCACTTGAGGACCATGAGGACCATGGGCGCGATGGCACCCCAGCGTACGGCTTCCACCTGATAGAAGACCATGAGCAGGTTGATTACATCCTGCGTCGTCTTGCTCGAGAGGGCTGTGTGTGAGCCACCGAGTGTTCTGTTACTATAGGGAGCGAGGGGCATTGCAGCAATCTTTTAGATAGTCATTTGTGATTTTCAATGGGTTCTATTTAATATTTGAAGACCAGTGCAGTAACTTAGCTGTACAAATTTCCAAGGATATCCACAACCCTGATGTAAAATATCCAACTCGACAATGCACAATGCCAGGTATCTTGGTAGGTAGATAGGTACAAGGAACGAAACAGGACACAAGTGACCAAAAGAAGCCTCTAACCCATCTTAGCCAATAGTATCATTCACAATGTCTTGAAGGATGGGTCTGTTCCCCAGGACTGTTTTGCCACTCATCAATTTTGCTCCTTTTTTTGCTGGTACTCGAAGATTCGAAGCGGGTTGTCTCGAACCGAGAGGGCTGAGTGGCTCACGGGACTGGTTTTCATTCTTGACAGTAGGACTTCTCTTCTTGGCGGCACCCGGAGACGCAAAAGGCATTTGTGAGGAGTCCAATATGTCAGACTGGAAAGAGTGACTCTCGGCAGCGCCTGGTGTCAAATTATAAACCCAGCCTTTGCTTTCAACGAGGCGAACATATTTACGAAGGAGTTCGTTACCATCACGCATAGTGGATCTGCTGCCGAGGACAAGGAGCTTGGTGCGGGCACGAGTGAAGGCGACGTTTACGCGACGCCAGTCACGCATTAGCTCACCGACATGGTTTTCTGAGTTACTGCGGACGCAGCTGAGGATCACAATCTCTTTGTCGCGACCCTGGAACTTATCGGTGGTGTGCATCTCTAGCTCTGGGGCGTACCGGCGAAGACTATGTCGGAGAAGTGCAAGCTGGCTGCGGTAAAAGGTGATAACACCGATGTTTCGGGCCGGTATACCACAGGCAATGAATGCCTCGACAAGCTGCGTACATAGAATAGTTTCCAAGGAATTGACAACTCGTTGTCCTTGCAGAGTTTCGAGAGCTGCAGGTCCAAGGGGATCGGTATTGACCAGCAGTGCTTTTGCCGATGGTGCCAACAAGTCGTCTAACCAACAGCTGCCGTGTTTTGGCCCCCGGCACACATGTTGTTGATGCACAGATTGGGAAGTATGAGATTCATCGAAATGGAATTGTTCAAGAGCGTCGATGTTTGGGATTTGCAATGAACGGGCCGCGACTTCTGGCGTGCCACATTTGAGGCGACCCGAGTAGATGAGCGTGTTTGAGAGTAGCATGATATCCTCACACATGCGGTACTGGTGCTCCAGGTTGACGACTGAATCAGGCTGGGAATCGGACAGCAGCTTGAAGAGACTAACATCGAGTCCGCCTTCTGCCGCGGCCTTGCTTTGGACTAGTGGTGGAAGCTGATAGTGGTCACCGACAAGAATGAAACATCTCGCCATGCGGATAGGACCTATGCATACAGGAAGGGTAATCTGTGAGGCTTCGTCGACAATGCAATAGTCAAAGATACGCTGGTTGAAGATTTGATGATTAACACCCAGGCATGTTGATGCCACAACTTGTGGTTTTTCGTAAGAGTCTTTGAGCTCCTCGATGGTCGATTTGGGGGTTGCTGCTAAATCAACAAACTCTTGTACTTCTGGATGAACCTTGGTGGCTGCACCAAGACGAAGGATTCGAATGTTGTCATCGCGAATCTTTAGCAGGATGTTGTCTACCGCGGTATGAGTGTAGGACGTCAGCAAAACACTCTTGCCTTGTGCGACGAGTGCACGTATGAGATGGGCAATTGTAGTTGTTTTGCCGGTTCCTGGCATCCCTAGAATAAGAGCATAGTCTTTGGCACTCATCACCTTCTCAATGGCTTTTTTTTGATCAACATTGAGGCTTTCTGGGTCGGAGATGGTGTATGCAGACGACGAAGGCTTGAACACTGGGGGTTCGCCTTCGACGATGAGCCGCCTGAGATGCCTTGCCTGAGAGAGTTCTTTGTCCATCATGCAGACGAGATTGTTGCGAATATTGGCCATGCCATTGCTGAACTCGTCTTTATCCAATCGGTAAGTCACCCGTTCATCAAGAGGGTTTTCGAGCACATCATCTCCATCTTTTTCAACTTCCATGATGCCCGTGAAGGACTGATTTGTGACCGGGTGGAACCCGGCAGTGCGTGCTCGACTGTTGAGCAGACTTCGATCCACACCAACAGTGATATGCAGCCTGCTCACTTGAAGGACATAGCCATTGGCAAGGGCAAAATGTCCTTTTTCATCAGAAACAACGATTGGTTCGCCAACGGTGACCTGGGACTCTGCGAAAGTAAAGCCCGGAGAAGGTTGCTTTTTAGTAAAAGTATAACGATAGCGATTGATCCTGGATCCATTTTTATCCTCAAAGGCTGAGTGAGGATCGATAACAACGTCTCCAAAACAACGACCGAGAGATTCGCGCTCACTGCTCAGTAAGGTCCACAGCTCGCGTCGAAACTTGGCCAAGTTTCCCTCCTCCTTGGTTAGAAGCTCATCCCATTTGTTAAAGAATTCGCGATCTTTTTGGGTCAAATGGCTAGTAACTGCGTCAAAATCTTCCCCCATGCCGCTTGTTTCGCCATCACCTCCCTCTAACAGCTTATGATATATGAGGCAAGGGGTTTTCGCATAGCATCTATTGCACATGCGAGCTCTTTTAAGCATAGGGGGAAGCTGCAATTTCTCGCGAATGTAAACTGCCAAGCGGTTGCGCACTTGCACCATCTGGAGTAGTTCGTGTCGGATGCCCCGAATACTGAAGGTTTTGTTGAGCTCGAGATAATACAACAGACCAAAAGTCACATCGATATCTAAACATACTGTTAGTATGATATCACTCTCATATCCCATGATTGAAGACAAACCGTAACGATCCGAGAGAAGCAATGTATAAAGAGCCGTTTGGGCTCTATGCCCTTGATTTGTATCTCGTTTTCCAGTTTTGAGTTCGAGTGGGACCACGAGATTTCTCTTGCCGTCTTCACCATTGCATGCAACTTGCACTGTAGCGTCGATATTGCCCTTGAGTCCGTACATTGGGGACCAGATGTGCTCCTCCACCTCGAGCAGTTTGCTGATACTCAAATTGAGTTTTGCATTATGACGGTCCTCAACGATAGAGTTGGACTGTAGGAATGAATTGTTAGCATCGCGAATATACAGGTTGAAAGGTACACGTACTCGTGGTTCGGCATGAAGGAAAACATCGGCCCACGCTTGCACCGTAGGAATTTTGCTCATCACATTCTCAGTGGCTTCGGGTACACTCATCTGGATTGCGTATAGGTCTTCAATATGTCTTTGAAGAACGACGTCTACCAGGGACCCAAGAGCATTCATATCCCATTGGTTCGCTTTGAGTGCCTCTTGAAAGACTTCGTGGAAGATAGTTCCAAAGACTTGTGGTGCTTCAAGTTGAGAAAAAGCCTTAATACGATCTTGAATGACTGCACGGCGCTGACAGTCAATTGAGTCCGCTACAACCGTAGCGGAGATGAGATGATCAGGGTGAAGAATAACCATGTGGTTGGTATTATCCACTATGCATAGTCCAGATGAGTCAAACTCTCCAACCAAATGAAGGGTTGAGTCCCTGTTGCAGGGAGTATCGAACCAAGTCTCACGCAGTACGATGACTTTGCGGGCTTTCGTTTTTTCATCTTCAACCGAGAGGACCTATTTTCTTGTCAACTGATATATTCCTTGCAAATACGGATTGGCTGAGATGACAAACCTGCTCAGGCTGTGTACGTCCTTTTGAATTCACATACGCACCTTCAGCGATGTCCACGATTGAATAACGCTTGATAGCCTTGCGATCTTTGAGATTCTATGATTTCATTGTTTTAGCATATTTTTATGATTAAAATCAACTAAGAGCGACAAACGTAGGCTCCATCTGTACCTGTCTGCTTCATGGATTGTTCAATAGCATCCAGGTCAAAATCGTCGTCAAATTCATCATCAGAAAACGTATCCGCAGCAGCGGGTGTTGGTGTGCCTGACTTGGCGAGGACTTGGACCATTGAGGGGACAGGGGATGGTTCCAGCTTCTTCACAGTCTGTTGCTCCACAGTAGTAGGTTTGCATGAATCGATTTTTCCCGGCTTTTCATCACACTCCGCAAGAATATCGTCGAAATCTCCGTAATCGTCATCGAAGTCATCTGAATCATCAGGCTTCGTTTCTTTATTCAGGATGTTGTTCACAATGTGTGAATCCTTATCAGTAGTCGATGATTGCTTGAGATTGCTCGAAGATGGCTTCTCTGCGGCCAGCTTTGACCAACTAGATCCAAAAGAGCCAAACTCCTTGCCACTATCGCGGCTTGCGGGAGGGAAAACGAATGGATCTTCTGAGGCATCGGCCAAGTCCATGAAGTCCTGATCGAGATCATCATCACCAAAATCCGATGAAGACCCTTCAAGGATCGGCGCTAGATTAACACCGGGGTTGCTTTCAGGTTCAGCTAAGTGCTTTTGAGCTGCAGCGGTGTCCCCTTGGCCTTTTCTATCAGCAATCGGGGAAGATGAACGACATCGTTCCGCGTCGAGACGTTGTCGCAAGGGGGAGGAGTTCGGCGGGCCCGCTTCGGCTGGCTGAGCTGGTTTAAGACTTCGCTCAATTTTGTCAAGGAGAAAATTGATCCTTGATGATTTCCCTTTGCCCGAATCCAGGACATTGCTGTTTGTGCGTGAGAATATTCCTCGGCCTGAGTTGGGTTCTTGTCGCACAACTCGTCTTCTCTTCGCACAAGAAGTTGGCCATTCAGCAGCACAACTAATCGAGCGCCTTAATCCGGAAGATTCGCGACTTGTTCGGCCTGATCCTGGGGTCTGAGGTGAAGAGGAGAGGAGATTGGCAAGACGTGGCGCTGGAAGATCTTCCGAGTTCCCGACCATGTTTTTATCCATATAATTGTTCCATAACTCTGTAGCCAGATCGTGCTGGGGAGTCTTGAAGAGCGCTTGAATTGATTGTAGATCAAGTGGCTCCTTTGGGACTTTTGATGAATTGTCTTTCGATGGAGATCCTGGGGGCGAGGAGCTATGTCGTCGTTTCCTCCTCCGACCAGCCGGTGTTTGGGATGATGAGTCGGGATTCGAGCTGGCTGGAATATGCTGCCAAATGACATGATCAACAGGTGTCACTTCAGGACCTGGAGCGGGGTTGAAAGAGTCTTCAGCATTGCTGATTAGATCCGCCAGAGGTATTCGGTTTCCGGGGGTCTGTGGACAATCCTTAGCCGGTTTGGATTCTTTCGAAGCTTCTGCCACGGCGTTTGGGGCTGCAGGCTGTTCAGCTGGTTCAGGTCTATCTGTTGACGTCTGCATTGATTCCACCACACCATTCAACCACGAGCTTTGGTTTTCCTTGTTGCGATGAGCCTCATTGGTCCCATCTTTCGACGTTGTCGAATTCGTAGGCAAATCGTCGTCTTGGTAGCGAAAAGCATTCAACTTCTTGCGAGAATTGGAGGAGACTGGATAAGTATTCTTGTTCGACGCCATGGCGGCGGTCTAGCTTTATATGCTTCTTCTTAAAGCGGGTAGCAATACATTCTGGAGCTCTGCGACCAACAATGTTAGTAGTGGAACTTAGTGCATGTCCAGCCAAGCCAAGTCCGAGAACATACCAGTGGGAGGACAGAATATGTACTCAATGGGTTGGTATGAGGAAGTTGAAAGGCCTCATCACATTGCCCTGTTGACAAGAGGGGGATTACTGTAATTGGCGTTCAGACGATAACGGTCGGACGCGTCGCGCGTCGCTCCTGCCCCCTTTGTCAGGCATTAACATGCATGTCATGATTCTTTGTGTCAGGCATTAAGGCAACAAGGCACCGAAAGGCGGCCAAGGTAAAATCGCCCAAAGGGGCTAGCGCGATGACCACCAGCTCCCCGTCGGCCTTTTGCGGCTTCACCATCAACCGCCGACACCCCTCCCCTTCCTCCCTCGTCAATCCATACCACCAATTGGGATTGTGCTGTCAAATTGGCTAAGGCGACTATTTGCCTTGCTCTTATTCCCGAAAGTTCCTTCGCTGGACTGCTACCGACTTCCCTAGTCACCTCACATCCACCCCCATTTTCAAGATGCCTGCCCGACCAGTATCGCATATCCTTCGCTCGCGCTGCCTGCTCCGCAAGCCGCAAAACATCCAGGGCTTCTCTACTCGCAGCAATCTCCGTGCCGCCGACCATGGTGACCACTACGACCCCCCGACTGGCTGGCTGTTCGGTGTCAAGCCTGGCCACAAGTACGTGAAAGAGGGCTGGGAGAACATCTGGTACTATGGATTCATCGGTAGCTTCCTGGTTGCTGGTGTCGCATATGTTTTCAAGCCCGATACCTCGTATGTATCCTGTGTTTCGAGTTTCCCTCGGTTGCCAGCTTCGGCTGGGTCCTTGACAGGGTCATTGCATGAAATATGAATCGGAAATGAATGCTAACTCCTACTTTCAGCATACAAACCTGGGCTCTTGAGGAGGCCCGTCGACGACTGGAGGCTGAGGGTATTCTGGAGGAGCCCAAGAAATGAATGGCCCGCTTTTGAGCCTAAATTGTACACTGTACATAGAGAGATCGGAAAGCAACTATTTCGGTTGACGCCTGTACCACCTGCCATGGCAGATACGATGTTCCGATCCTTTTGTTAGATGGGGGTTTTTCGCATGTTCCATTTCAATTTTTGCCTGCTTACCTGCTGTACTACTCTATATTATCGTTCCCTCCATCATATCAATACAGGTGGGCTAAAACAAAATGATCTTGGTCCTTCTATCACAACCCCCTATGTTTTACCTTTTTATGGCCCTCAGAAGATATGAACTCGAAACTAGAATAGAGAATCTTGAAAACCGCAATATCTGCTTGATATGAAGTGTGGATGACAACATTGTACCCAAAGTCATGGACTCGCAGCTACAAAGCGAAGACAATCAAACCTCCACCTGGGCCAAGGCTGCTACTCGGGGCTAAAGTGAACCTTGTCCACAAGCAAGTATACGTTCACCTGGCAGTGTACTTGGGCCCAGACACCTTATAAATGAGTTATACAAACAGTAAAGCCTCGTCAAAGAAAAGCCAGTACGTATAGATTAGAGGCCTAGATTACTAGACACATACTACAGAAATAGGAAGAACGGATGTAGCAACATTGTGGGAACATAATCATTGTAAATTGGGGTTTCTAACATATGGCTTCAATCCTTAATTTTTGTCCGACGCACCTGTGATTAGGACACGGACTCTTCGCTTGCCAGCACCACGGCCCTCTTCTTTAACCGAGCTGACATTAACGTGAACTCTCTGGAAGAGCTCAACAAGCACACCCCGCTCCTTCTCTGAGTGGCCCTTCTCCTGCACACGAAGGGTGTACTCCTCAGGATCAAAGTCGGTAGTACGATGCGCCGCAAGTTCCCGTCTCTCAGTCACATTCCAGCCACTAGACTCCCCGGGCAGCACAAAGTCCTCCAATCGCACCACACCTTCGATACCGAACCGAGGAACAAAGACGACGACACCGTTTTCGAAAACGCGCATCACGTATCCCTCTTCATCGACGCCCTTATCGGTACCATCAACGGCCATCTTCTCTCCACGAGCCTTGAGCGCCTGGCCAACATAGTACTCAATACTAGCGCGACCAGCGAACTGCGCATTACGGTGACGGTAGTTAATGTTGCGGCAGATATCATCCAGCTTGCCACGGGTGGCGACACCCTCCAGCCCAGCGTGGCCATCCTCACCTTCGTAGCCGATGGCGGAAGCCAACTGTCGGTGGACGAGTAAATCAGCATATCGACGAATGGGAGAGGTGAAGTGGGTGTAGATAGGTGAAGCAAGACCGTAATGGCGGAATTCGGATTCGGCGTGGGCTCCAGCACAGAAATATTCGGCGGAAGTCATGCATCGAGTTGCCAAGATACGGACGAGGGTGTTGAAGAAGGGGTTCTCGGGATCGACGCAACGGTCCAAGGAGTTAGCGAGGGCTCCCGAGCTGGAAACGTCTAGTTCCATGTTGCGTTTCTTCGAGAGTTGGTTAATGAGATCTTCGAAGTTCTGCGGTGGGGGAGTGGCGTGTCGTCGTAGCAAAGCAGTTTGAGAGAACGAGGCGTAAATCTTGGAGGCAACTGTGATATTGGCGAGTAGCATGAACTCTTCAACCAGACTGTTGGTTGAGAGCATAGATTTAGTTTTGACGTCTGCCAACGGATCACCGACTTCATCGGCATCAGCCTCAATGCGAACTTCGGGAGAAGCAAGGTTGAGGGCACCAGCATCATAACGCTTCTGACGCAGGATCTTGGAGAACTTCAGGAGATTCCGCATACTCTCAGTAAGTTCGTCAGTTTGGGAGGCATCGTCGATGCGCAGCTGGGCTTGTTCATAACTGAATGCCTCGCGGGAACGAATGACAGACTTGGTGAAGTCCGAAGAAATGATCTCTGCATTCGGAGTGACCTCCCAAATAACGGAGAAAGCGTAACGTTCGACGTAAGGCTTGAGTGAACACAAATCTGTTCCCAGAAGGTGTGGAAGCATATCAATACGCTTGTCAACCAAATACACAGTGCTTCCACGAACACTGGCTTCAAGGTCCATTGGGTTATTAGGCTTGACAAAGTGTGACACGTCGGCAATATGGACACCGACTTCAAAGTTGCCATTCGGCAGGGGGCGCGCATGAAGAGCATCGTCAATATCCTGACAGCCTGGGGGGTCGATACTACAGATAAGCAGATCACGAAGATCACGTCGGCCGTTCCAACCCTTATCCTCCTTCGAGGCGGGTACAGTCCAGCCATGTCCTTCTGATGGTAAACAGTCCAGAACAGATTTAGGGAACGGTTTGTATTGGACATCGTACTCCAGAAGTAGAGCTTCTGTTTCTGCGCCCTTTGTCTCGAGCTCTCCCAGAGAGCGGATGAAGTGACCTGATGGGTAGCGTGAATCGCGGTCCCAAGCATCGATGGTCACAAGGATACGGTGACCAACCAGATCCCCAGCCTGTCGAGTACGAACTCGAATCTTAGGAACCTTCTTGTCCATGGGCAATACAAAGACGGTCTGCTGCCGGCGACCAGAGGCAGCCTGAGAACCAGTAGAGCCGGAGTCCACATGTCCCACATACTGGCGCCAGTTGCGTTTAATCACACCCACGACCTTGGCAGTAGGCTGCGGCTTTCCTTCGGAGCTCTTTCCGTGGGCCTTTTTGACCTCCTCCTGGAGAGCCTTGCGCTCCCGATCCGTCACGACAGGCTCAGTGTCGTCAGTATCAGGGTTATCATTCCGGGTCAGCGCCTCCTCATCTACCAGTTTTGTCGAGGGAGACTTCCACTGATCTTGAGGCAGCACTTCAATCACAACGGAATCGCCTGCGATCGCTCGGTTGCTGTTGTCACGTCCCAAAATAATGAGCGGCTTGTCAAAGGCCGGAACGTTGACAGAGCCTTCCAGGTAGTTGTAAGGCGAAACATTGAAGACTCCTTGGTGCAGGGTTCCTGCTCGGAGACCAGTCTGGAGCTTCGACATAGAGTAGTATTCGGGGTAGAATAGCTGCCCACGAGCTGAGCCCTTTGTATCTCGTGCTTCCCGAGCTTCACTGATCATGTCCAACAGCTTCTCCGAGTCCTCCAAACCAGCGACGTAATCAGACAACGACAGAGCGGTAATATTTTCAGCTTTAGCTTTCCGGAGATTTTCCTTATCGTCCGTAATAACTACGATCGCTGGAACTGATTTTTCTTTTTTGCCCTTCTTCGAGGATGTCCGGAGATGCTCGCCGTACCAGCTTGCCACAGTTCGCACAGCTCGGTCGTTACGGTCATTAATCGACTCATCGGGCTCTCGGCGCACGTGGGTCTCTAGACGGAATTCATTGAAGAATAGGTAGAAGCGCTTCTCATCAGTCTTGATCAGAGAGAGGAGACGGTTGTAAAGAGGGAGCGACTGATTTCGGAGCTCTTCGAGGACAGTCTGCAAAATAATCACATCGTAGAATGCACCGGTGTGCTCGAATAGATCCATTCCGTTTAAAAGCGCATTTGTATCGGGGACGAGGTAGTGACCGCGAGGGAACGCCTTGGTACCGGCGGGGCGATCGGAGAGGATGAACGGTGTGACTATACCCTGTTAGCAATAGGCACTCAGTTGCCATATCAAAGCGACATACTGTTCCCGTTCGCATCTGCTGGAGCAATTGAGGGGCATAATGAGCAGAGCTTCGATGAGCAAGGAATGTCTTGCCGCAGGTAGAGCTCGCGGACAATCTTTTGCACCTTTCCACTTTTTGTGGACCTCACGAAGACTTTGCTGGTGACATTAGCGGCTTGTGGGTTGGAGGAAAAGTCCCTCCTTAAACTTTTCATTGTGATGGTGGAGATCAGCAAGTTGTGCAGGTCAAATTGGACTTGGAGCAAAGTGAGAAATTGATCTTTGCGGGCGACGGTTATCGCATCGCGATAGCTGAGTAATCAGCCTACCGTGAGGGCATTGGATCCACAGGCGGGCTTGATGTGAGGCACTTGGCTTATTACGCCATACACCTCATATTTCCTTCTCTTTTTCAAGCTCCGAGGGGCACTACAAAGGAAAAACGCAATGGTTCTTGCCGTAAGTATGTGAACTCGTTTTATGAGCAGAGATCACTGATTGCTACTTTCGAGATAGGCCGTGGGGCAACTTTGCGCGACAGCGAGCATAACTTCTAACTTGGCTCAATGCCAGAATCTGATTCAAAAAACAGCTGCAGCAGGCGCTAAGGTGATTTGATGAAGAATTCCATAATTTTACTTCGGCTTGGTCCGTGGCTTATACTTTACCAGGTTCTATTTCTGCCGGAGGCTTCGGACTATATAGCTTCATCGGCCGATGAGTCTCTTGCCTCGCTGGATCGTCAGATCAAAGAGACTTTGTGTCAGCACTTCAGAGTTCAGCCAAGCAAGAGAGAATTCATATCAACATTGGCATCCATGAGATAGCTTCGAAGCAGAGACTCAAGAACTCCTTGATTTGGATCGATGATAAGGGTGTTATTACACAGAGCTACCAGAAAATACATCTCTTTGACGTTGACATTAAGGACGGACCAGTTCTTAAAGAGAGCGCGTAAGTTCATCTTTCCATCCTTCAATGCGAATGGGATACCCAATATTGAGCAATGGCTGCAGGAGCGTCCAACCGGGCAACGAAATTCTCCCGCCATTTGAAACCCCTGTAGGGCGTGTCGGCCTAGCAATCTGTTTTGATGTGAGTATCAGTCATCTGTGTGCACTGCAAATCAGATTCAGCTCATCGGCTTATAATTTGTCCAGTTACGCTTTCCCGAGATCAGTCTGGCTTTGAGACGTCAGAAAGCCGATATTATCACTTACCCCTCAGCATTCACAGTGCCAACAGGGAAAGCTCATTGGGAATCGCTACTTCGTGCCAGAGCCATTGAGACTCAGTCCTATGTCATTGCCGCGGCACAGGCTGGTCCACACAATGAAAAACGACGAAGTTATGGTCATTCCATGATCGTCAATCCTTGGGGAGAGATTGTCGCGGAGCTAGGGGAAGATCACGACGAGCCACAAATTGCGACAGCGGATATTGACCTCTCTTTGGTAGCAAAGATTAGACGAGAGATTCCTCTCCTTCGAAGAACGGATCTCTACCCTGAGGTCTAATCGAGGGACCCGTGGGCGTAGTATTTCATAGCGAAGCAATAACTACCTACCGAATTCTTTATAACGATTCCTGGCTTCCTTTTCCATATTAATATTCACCCTTTCCGCCGCTATTGCTCACAGGATAGATCTGGGCGCGGCCTCAGGTGCAATGACCGGATTATTGAGCCTTATGTAAGCTCATGCTCATGCTCATGCTCAGTAAACTACGCCTGAGCAGACAGATCCGCTCACTGAGCCTGCCCTGATTGCCGAGATCCGCTGACTAGCGTATTACTCAGAAGGCCAACGGCACACGAGATTTAGCTTGATAAATCGTGGTTCGCTAATTTAGTTCTGCGCGAAGGCCCACTTAAGTAATTTCAGCTTAGGAGGACATTTCCCGTTGTATGATCATCATGTCACTCTATTTAATCAGAGTCTATGATGACGCCTTCGCCTACCAGTGAGGGAATGGGAAATAAAGAGAATGAAATCATGGAATGGGTAGTCAGAATGAGAATAAGTTTTTCGACTGAACTGGTTTGCTCTAGTTGTTTTCCGAAAGTCCATTGGCGGAAAATCTGGCTCGTACAATCGCAATAGGAGCCTCGGCAGGCTTCATGGACCTTGGCTACGTTTGCCATTGCCGCATTTGCGCTATCACATTCGATCTTCTGGGTTCGAAAACTATGTGCCTTAAGGTTCTTGTCCGATTTAGATGAATCGAGATCTCACCGCTTCATGACGTGTATGACCATTCTGACGAACAATAGATGCGTTATGCACTTGCAAAGCCGTTCCATGGTACAAGCAACTTTAAATATACAAAATCAAGGATAATACTAATGACAGCAATTGAATTATTGCTCATGATAGTTGGCAGTCAGTTTAGGTCCCCTGTTACTGCCTTTTTGCGATATTTGCGAGAAACCATTATAACTCGGTCTCTAATCACTAACTAGTGACGTTCCATTACATAAGGTCTAAACTACCTTTTGACTTCCTCACTTGAAAGGAATTCTCTACAAGTTACGGTATCATACAGATAAAGCACATATATATAGAACATCCCGTTTTCTTTGTTCTATTTCATCATTCTGGGAAGCAAGATAAATCTGAAATAACATCCCGTAAAGACTGATAGGAAAATGAAAATCACGAATCAATAGGCTTCGGCCGGCAAATCGTCCTCGCCTGGCCCTTCGTTATATTTGTTCGAAGATTGAGGTTTGGCATGGCGGAGGCGATCTCCCCTCAAAATGTTGGACTTGTCTAGCGCATCGTTTTCGTCCTCTTCTATTTTTTGTTAATGGCTTGATTGCTTGCATATTGATCAAGAATGGTATACTTACGGAGCTGCTGATCTGAGTTGGAGTATGGAGGTTGCATGGGGTCTTCAATTTGCTCATTGTCTCCTTGAACAGGAACTTGACCTTTCAAACTGGGGTTGGTCTCTTTGGCATAGGAGCTGTCCGTGAAAGCTCCTGTCACAGGCGAAGAATCATTGTTCTCCTCATAATCATCCTCTGCGATTCTTTCGGCGTTATTCGACATCTTGCGTTATGAATTGAGATACTGTGAGAAGATACGAAATTGTTTATCGTAAAGGATTGGGGTAGTGGTAGAATTGCGTTCTATATACCACTTTATGAGATTCTAGACCTGTTTTTGAAACCAGATATTACGTCGTCAAAGCTTGTCCGCGGTACTTGTTGTATAACCTTCCTGACGCATGAGGTACGTAATTCATTGAAGCTGGTGGCAATCACATATCAAGATAAAATACTAGTCTACAAAACAATTCGCCAATCGAAGTCATATGCCAAGATATCGACGAGAGAAAGACAAAAATTGCACTCATGTATCGTCACAACAGAATCCTGGTCGAACTATCCAAAAGGCTAACTTTGACTTTTGAGACTTTTCTCAGCTTGAATATCTGTAATTGAAATAAGAGAGTGGGATCTCTTATGACTTGGCGTTTCGTCTTCATCTGTATCGAACAAACAGTTTCTTCCATAGTTAATCGGCTCTGTTATGACAAAACAACGCTAGGCTCCGGGGCTCTTCAATGAAATGGCGATCTTTTGCATAATTAATGTGGTTAAGCTTTCGAGTTCAACCGGGGAAGCGGTCGCGCTGCCGAAGACCTTAAAATTGATTTGCAAACAATCATCAAGAGCGAGAAATCATGGCATATGAGGCATCATAAATCTTACTCCACCGGCTTCTTGGAGGTCCTTTAAGGTAAAAAAGAAAACTTTCGCTACCGTTGTGCGACGCCAACCCTTCCCATCATCAACATCCCAACTTCCTAACCCGGCAAAATCACCTGGTTTTGGAAATCACACAAGTCATCGAGCTATCAAATACAGATACGAATACTGTTCTGGACTCTGCACGGCAATAAAAAAACTAGGTCATGCCTCCAACCATGGAACATGGGAAACATCGCACGCGTCAACTCCTGCTCGTCCAGTAACTGTAGAAAGTTGCCATATTTCTTTGAAGGCAATCATGATTCTCGACTAGCTCGCTCTCGTGTTTCCCAACCGGAACCTACCACCATTCTCCCATCAGATTTTTTCTTTCTTTTTTTTTTTTTTTTTTGTGCCAGACGAACAAACGTCCTACAATGCAAAGGTTGCCATATGATCTTATATTGTGGCCGCGATTACCAAGTTGCCCACCGCAAGGAACACCATTACATCTGCAATATGACCCAGAATCAGTGGGCTTACATCCAGAGACTAGAAAGGTATTTTGGGGAGGAATTTTATGCCAACGTATCTTATTTCAGTATCCATGACCCGGTGATCCCCCTGGGACAAAGATGGAAACACAAGAACGTGAAGATTATGTTGGCTAGCGCCCTAGAGCGAGTTCACACAATCAAATCAGTCGAGGATCAGCTCAGAGCTCACAGGGAAATAAAACTCATGACCCTTGACCCTTAACGGACTGGTGCTGCTATTGTCTCTTTGATGGCTCGTCTTCATAACTAAATAATTATGGATCAGGAGTGTTACGAAATTATGCTATCCTAGATCTTGCATCTAGGTGCTGATTGGCGGGTAGGCTGAATGCCGAATATGGCGCATTATCAGGACGAAGCTGCACGCGATCTCCGTTTCATTCGATGCTTTCGGGGATTTTGATGAGTTTACTGATGCTGTCCCAACCTCACTGGCTTCACGGCCCATACTGGCCTTCTCAAGTCTCTGACATTCTCACTACCATTCTTCTACTTGAGTCAAAGAGACTTGTGATGGTGATGTATAATCTTGGTCCGAGATCTCCTCACGAGATACAAGGCCTTGATTTAAATTACTTTCCTCAGACCTCGGCATATGTTGCTCATTACACGGCAAGGAAAAAGGATGATCAGCCTATTAACGAAGAAACCTCATAGCCACAGGAAGGCGTAGATGAGTATTACGCTGCAGTCAACGAAAGAAACCGACATATTTGGCCAACCTTTGCGGAAAAGATGGGTTTTTCTATGACAGGTCATGGTTCCCCCTTGACGCGTAATTCGGAGCCACGTCTGAATGCTAAGTGGAGATATGCTAAGCGCAGCTTCCGGCAACGCTGTTAGACTCGCCGCTAAGTTACCACTTGCGTAGACATTTCAAATTGCACCCTGAGGTAATTTCTTGAAAGATTTTTGCCTATCCTTTAGACCAAGTGGTGTTCATATAATTACGAAGGAGCCTAAGCAGGAAAAGCAAGCCGAAACTTTAAATTTGGTGATTCGCAAGAGCTTAAATTCCCGTGGGAAAAATATATAGCCCAGTGCTAAACAAAACAATCTCGAAACATCCTCGGATCCACAATAGTTCCAATCGACTTAGGCAACCATTTCGTCGTCTAACCAACTTGGGCTTCAGTCAAAAAGAATATTGAGAAATGATAGATTGAGTTTAGCACTTCTTTTAGTTTAATTAACCGTTGAATAAGTTACGTCGTGGGTTCTAGAAAGGAGAAAACAACGACTAATTTTCATCCACATTTCCTCAACCCCCCAAGATATCACTGATTTCCTTGAAGGTGAGATTCCTGGTCATTTGAAAAGCCACTTTCGAATTTCGCTCTGAATATCATTCTTATTATCTTCAGGCGAAGGGGGTTTGATCGAACTCAAAATATATCAAGCCGCCCAATTTCTGGACTCTGCCCCCATTTCACGAGTAAGATACAACACAATGGGCTTTTTTGACCATCACCAGGAGCCTGCACCAGGCCCTCCCCCTCCCCCATCGGGTCCTGGAGGACCTGGACCTTACGGTCGTCATGGTCCTTACGGAGGCCCTGGTGGCCCTCCTCCAGGTCCGCCCAGAAGATGGGAGGGATCTGGCCCTCATGGTCCCCCTCCACCAGGCCCCCGTAATGACCCTCGTGGCTGGGGTGGTCCTGATCCTCGTGGTCCTCCTCCCCCCGCCTGGCCCTCCCGAAGGCCCTCGTGGCTGGGAAGGCCCTGGCCCTTATGATCGTCCTCCCCCGCCAGGCCCCCGTGATGACCCTCGTGGCTGGGAAGGCCCTGTCCCCCGTGGCCCTCCTCCTCCAAGCCCACCCGGAAGATGGGAAGACCCTGGCTCTCGTGGCCCTCCCCCGCCTGGCCCTTATGATGCCCCTCCCACACCCGGCCCCCGTGGAGGCCCAGGTGGTTGGGGTGGTCCTGACCCTCGTGGTCCCCCTCCACCTGATCCTCGTGAAGTTCCTGGTGGCTGGGGAGGCCCTGGTCCCCATGGCGGGCCTTATGGTAGACCGGTGAAGTGCCCCCAATCAAATTATTTGGGATGCTTGCTAATAATTCTATCACAGCATGGTGGATGGTAAACTTGACGCATTGCGCACAAGAATGTACTGTATACATATAACATAGAAACCGGAAATGTTTAGCTGCGTATGAGTCTTGCTGGGAAAGACTCATTCGCAATTTTAGCCGCCTTTTTGGTCTTTCTGGGCTTTTGGCAATTACGGTATAATGTCAAAAGTGTATTGGTTGATTGGGTAATAAGATTATCAATTGAAGTCTCATACTAGTGAATTGTTTCGCTCTAGAAGAAGCGGGCGTTGCTAGCAGCTCAGGAAGCTAGCAACATTAGAACCTTTCATCCCCTAGTAATATAGCCTTGCATAGCCGATGGCCCATCTTGATTCGTATTACACTATCTCTATCCCAAACAATCTTACTTTGATGTCTTTATGCCGAGACATAAAAGTCCTTGCAGGCTTTTTTGCGGAAGTCTGGGACTAACTAGAGCGTGAGTCAGGATCCGACGTGTGTATTTTGAATCATTCGATAGGTACTGCAATCTGGGTATTCTAGAGGTAAGACTGCGCACAGATATGGCCTCACATCATCTACTGTCTCCTGGTTGAATACATCATGCCCAGTGTAAAGGATCCGTATTGTTGGAGTATTGTGGGCCCGTCTAGATCCTAGACTCTTTGTCCATCCAGGATGGATTTCCACTTTTTAAGCCATAGTGTAACTAGCTTGTCATTTTTATACTCTTTTTAACGTAACCATCCTTCGTGCCATGCCAAATGGAGCCCATAATTGCACATCGCTAGTCCCAGCTTCAGAATCAGACGGGACGGTCGCAGGGCGACCTTGCTTTTCGCTCTCACTAGGATGCCCAGTCAAGGGCCCCTGCTGCGTAACGGACTGTCGTTTCTGTTCAGCACGCTCGAGTTCCCCAACTTTCCAACCGCGGACAAGCCATAGACAAATTGAAGCAGCTATATACATAAATCCCGTAAAAATCTGTACATGAAGGTACGAAGTTCCACCATCGGCAGTAGGGCGACGAAGCTCCAACGCAATGACCTCTGACACTGTGCAAGGTGCAACGAGCCACAGCCAAGTGATACTCAAGCCAGACGGTAAATCTCTCAGCCCAATAATCTCCGCCAGCACCGGTGAGACAGTAGCCCAGTACGTTCCCGAGACGGTACCCACAAGCACAGCAAAGAAACAAACCACACCCATGCTATCAGCAAAGACCCAAATAACAAGACAGAAGAGGCCACATATGAACGTCAGGAATGTAGCGATATTGATACGGCCCAGGCTATCGCTGAACATCCCAACGAAAGGACGACCAAGACCCTGGCCCAGGTTTAAGAGTGCTGAAACAACACTCCCCTGGTGCGAAGTCAATCCAACCGAGAGCGCAAAGTTAGCCACACTAAACAACAGTGCTACATAACCCAGCATACTGAAAAATCCCCATCCCAAGAAAAGGAGAAACTCAGGCCGACGCAGCAACGGGAAATGAAAAGCCGTAAACCGACTCCCAACGAGCTTATTGCGATCACGAAGTAAATTTCCGCAAACTACATTCACGACACAAGATACAATGCCGAGGATACGAAACGCCCAGCCGAGTCCGTAGCGTGGAATGATCGCTCCAACCGCCAGCGAGTAGATTAAGCCACCGAGACCGGAGCCTGCGGCCGTGATGCCCATTGCGACACTGCGGCGTTTCTGAAACCATTGTGGTGCGATCCCAACGCTGCCGACAAAGAGAAATCCCATTCCCCAGCCGAAGCAGACGCCTTGACTAAGGAAGATATGCCATTTCTGTGTGGCAAAGGAGGAGCCGATTAAGGAGAGTGTTTCGAAGAAGACGCCTGTATTCAATACGAGGCGGGTGCCGTATAGTTGGATGAGAAATGTTGCTAGTGGGGCCACGAGGAGCGCACAGGAGATGCTCAGGCCGCCTGTAAAGGCGTAGTCGAGGGATGATGTGTTGGGGAAAACATTATGGGAGAGGTAATAACTCAGAAAGACGCCGTAGCTCTGAAGTTTTATACATGGTTAGCGATTATCCGAAGTTAAAAAAAGTTCTGTTGCTATTGCGGAATCTGTCACTCACGCTATTGATACCCCAGGTATGGGCGTTGATCCAGAATACACATGCGACACAAACCCAGCCGTAACCACCATCGGGCGGTACGTCATGCTTGTACTTCTCGTCGGGGTCGGGCTGTGGGGTAAACGAGGATTGCGGGTTCTCGGCCGCATCTTTGGAGCTTGTTACCGAGTCCTGGCCGTCTTGATGTGACCGAATGACATCGATAGTGGTATTGTCTGCCATGTCCAGTCCGCATATACCTCAAATCGCTCGCTTGAGAGTCTGAGGAAGAGTGGAGGGAGTTGCGGGCCCCTCTTTAGGGGTCTCTGCAGGTGGCAATGGGTCTAATCTTGGGAACCGTTTACCGTTTTCACGACATGAAGCTATATTTCTGGGGAAGAAAAGAAGAAAAGAAGAAAAGAAGAAAAGAAGAAAAGAAAACAGCTTAAGAAAGCGGTCGCTCTTTTGAGTCACATCATTCTAGTCTGATGGCCTAGTCCGTAATTGTTAAGTCGGACTTGGTGCCGACGTTCGGAACATAGAGATGGAGAAATGTCCGGGATCTTGGGGTCATAACGGTTCGGGGACTTCAAGCCAATAAAGTAGCATAGAGCTGTTGCCGAGAACTCTAAGGGAGCATTGACTTGGAGTGGGGTCGTGGGGTCGTGCCGTAGAGCCGATGCGGAGATACGGATGCATTGACAATGAAGATTTAGAACCCTAAGGAACTCGTCGCAATACAAACCACAGAAAAAGCATATTAAGAAGCGTACAGTTCCTGTAGAAACCCCAAAAAAGAGCATAAAAAATGGTGTGCTCTAGAATAGGGGCACGCTGTATTGGTCCCGAGTCCCCAAAGCAAGTCTTTGACGAAGCGAGACTATCCTAATCGGTCATTTGTTTCCATTAATGAAAATAGCTAGATCAATTGAATTGACTGCACCCATGCAATAGCGTCACACTTTTCATGCACTGTGATAGTTGTATGAACTGCAGCGAATGTCAATAAGGAACGATAAGCACGTGGAGAAAGCCCTAAGCCCTAGCCCGAATAGGCAATACATGATTGCATTGGTTGCCCTGGTGGTGTTTGTTTGGGCCCGCAGTTGGGTACAGCGGAGATCGATCGTGACCCGCTCTTGATTAAGTTGTCCCTCGGATCCTGACGTCGTTCCTTCCCTACGTTGTTGGGATTACTGAGGATTCCTGAGTAAGGTTACGACAGAGCAATCATGATGCACAAAAATACCAAGACTGGCCAGCGGAAGGTCTCTCCTCCCGGCCCAACTTACATGAACGGCGACCAGATCGGTGAGTTTGGCTTGACTCATCATCCCAACTAGGATGTGATGCCCTCTGAGATTCTTCTATAGGGTTCGCAGGAATCGGGGAAAGAAGTATCATCTAACGCGCCTCGACAGCAAGCTTCTTAAAGGATCTCCGAACGAATCGTCCAGCTCGTCCCACTGGCTCTCGTCCATACCCAGGGAAAGCAGCAACATCCCCGACCAATCCCCAGGATGACCTACCCCCGCGAGCGACCTCCGCCTTCTCAATGAACCGACCGCACGAGGAACCTGTTGAAGACCAACCCCGTGCTGGCAGCGCGCTGTCGCATCGTCGAACAACCTCCAACGTCCCTCAGAGTGGCCCTATCGGCCGTCCTTTAGCCCAAGAGCCACGAGCGATGTCCGTGCGGAAGAATGTCTTCCCTTCGCAAGTGTTTTCACGCTCTGTGCCCATTGCTGCGTCGCCAGTCCCTTCATACCGTGAAAATGGTCATCGGCTACAAGAAAAGGAAGAGGCGCGTTCTCTACGCGATGCGCTGCAAGGATTGGATCTGGAAGATGACGATGTGCGTCTCCATAAAGCAGCCCAAGATGAAGCCACGGAGCTGGTGTGGATGCATCAGAATCCAGGCATGGCCAACAAGAACCCCTACGCGCCTTATCAGAACCCAGACTTTAGCAAGAGCAGTTCAAGTTCCGCGCGGAGAGGCTCAGAGTCTTCTTCCAAGAAACATCGACACTCAATCGGCTCCAGTGCCTCCTCTAGTAACCCATCAAGCCCGGAGTTTACCATGGATTCGTCTGCAAAGAAACGGTCATCTCGGGCGGGAAATCTAAAGAAGAATCTTAAAGTCAATTTCGCACTGCCTGACGATCCCCCGGAGTCTGCTCCCAAGCCTCGAACTGTCAGTGGGGATACCTCCAAAGGGGTATTCAGAAACCCCGACGATCACATTTATGAAGAACCCAATGAATCTAGTAAAGAAGCAGCTGATACCCGACCCTTCTTTTCGAGATCCGCCTCCTCGGCATTACGAAATGAACCACGCAACGCACTTCCTCGTACCCCAAAGCCTCTTCCTTGGTTACGGGATCGGAACAGTAATGGATCCGTCCGCGACAAAATTTCCAAGTTCGACATTCATAAGAACCCGCCTACCCAGTCTCGGGACGCTGGATATACAAGAAACGAACCGACTCCACCACCCGCACCCTCTACCAAGGAAGAAGATGTCCCCACAAAAGATGGAATCGAGATACGCAGTGATGACATCCGTGCCGCCACCAGCAAGAAACTCAAAGACCGAAGCGAGAACCTGCCCAGGCCTTCTGCTGTTAGTGATCGAGTTGGACGACCGATCGTGAGCTTTGATCCGAAGTGGCAGCCAGAAAATCAGCCAAAACCCAACCGCTCGTCTCCTCCAGTACCTACCATTCAAGTGGCGCCGAGCATTGAGATCACACCTAGTATTGAGGTCACCCCCAGCATTGAAGTGTCCGCACCGCGTCCTATCCCTGTAATCAATATCCCGGATATCAAGGAGCCAACTATCTCGGAATACAGCTCGCCTACCAAACAGGACAGCAGATCCCCAAGGCAAGTACCACCATCAACAGCCCGCCAGACTCAACCAAGACCCTTGGGAAGACAGCCTTCGGAACCACAGAGTCGCTGGACCACGCCGTACAGCCGATCCGGTGTACCAACTGCAAGCTGTGAGGCCTGCTCGCTCGGTATCTCCGGGAAGATCGTTACGGCTGGAGGCTGTAGATTTCACCCAGAGTGTTTTATCTGCTTCCATTGCCAGACGCATCTAGAATGCGTTGCTTTCTACGAAGAGCCTTCTGCCAGTCGAGAGGAACGCCTGGCAATCTCGCCCGACGAAGACCGTGTACCTCGATTCTACTGCCACCTGGATTTCCATGAACTATATAGTCCTCGCTGCAAGAGCTGCAAGACCCCGATTGAGGGCGAGGTAATAGTTGCCTGCGGTGCCGAATGGCATGTGGGCCACTTCTTCTGTGCCGAGTGCGGAGATGTAAGTTTAACTTTCTCTTTTCCTTTTTTTGGGAGGGGGGAATATCACCTTGCTAACTTCTTTCTAGCCCTTCAGCTCTACCACCCCATTCGTCGAGAGGGACGGATTCGCCTGGTGTCTCAATTGCCACTCTCGTCGCACTGCGGCCCGTTGTATGGGCTGCAAGCAGCATGTTCTTGACGACGTCGTTGTCAATGCCATTGGTGGGCAATGGCATGAACGTTGCTTTACCTGCCACGAATGCGGAGACGGATTCGGCCCTGAGGGCCGCTTCTTTGTTCGTGAAGGCGAGCCAAAACGAACGGCCAAGGGTCGTATCATCGGTGGACCTGTCCAACTGGCTGTCTGTGAGCGATGTGAATGTATTCGCCTCAAGGCGCCTGGCATGTGTTGAAATCTTTGACGTTTTTTTTGGGGGGGGAGACTGAACCATTTATTATGATGCTACTGCATGATGATTTGTTTTTATTTCGGGCATTGTGTGCGCTGTTTATCTTCTATTCGTGTTTCTATTTCTAGGGTTTGTGAGATTCTGTTCTTGGTCTTGCGGGGTTTCGGTCATAGCATGAGCAGATTGTCATTGTTATTAGCGTCGGTCATTGGTAATGCAAGATATAGACATTCATAAACCTCCTTTACACCAATCGATCTCCGGTTTTTTTAAAGAAAACACATGCTCCAATTGCTCCCCACAGAATCAAGCAGGCCACTCAGGGTTCTCCTTCCTTCTAAAAACAGCCACATACTTGTTTCCCTTATTCCTCGAAACCTTTTTCGACTCCTCAGTCTCACAAGACATGACAGTAACACACGGATCATTCTCAAGTTCCTCTCCCTCCACCCGCTCAAACAAATGTTTAACAGAACCAGCCGAAACATCCTCACCCTCCTGCACGATAAAATGCCTCAGAATCCAATGATGATACTCCTCAACATCGGTGATAGAATACAATAACCCTCCAGGCCGCAAGAGATACGCATACTCCGCATTCAAACTCTCCGAAATAATACGCGCCTTGTGCTTCCGCGCCTTGAAGTGCGGATCAGGGAAACAGATAAAGATCTTAGAAAGCTGTCCGCGCTTGAAGAAGTTCGGCAGGAACTTCATCGTGTTCGCGCGAATTCCGGAGATGTTCTCGTAGTTCCCGGGCACGAGTGCGTCGGTCGTGCCGACTTCGTCTTCGGGGGCGGGCGCATCGGGGAGTGTCTCTGTTGGCGCTTCTTCTGATTGCTGTGTTGTAGGCGCTTGGGTTGTTCCCTTCAATTGCTCTTGACGGAGACGGAGGGCGCGGACGCGTGAGCGTACGTAGTCTGAGACTGAGGTTCGGATTTCAAGGCCCAGTATTAATGTTTCTGGGAGGAGGGGGGCGAGGCCGACGAGGAGACCGCCGAAACCGCAACCGATGTCGATGACTTCAACGTCCTTGATGAGCTTGCGGGCGCCGCCGAGGTTCGTGTGTGTAGGGTCTTGATCTATGAATGCTGGATAGTGGGGTGACCAATCCATGTGGTTGGGGGTACGGGGACTGAATCGGAGATGTTAGCTTCGTCATTCATTTTGTTCGAGCTGGGGTTTGTGTAGGCATTGTCGTGAGCAGGTGGCATTGGCCCAATGTTGAGCTCCCTGCTGACGAGAATATTCATATCAGTGTATGTTGAGTAGAGGATACACGTACTATTCAAGATTATGATCCGAAAAGACATTCGCATGCGCGCGCTGCCGGAAGAATTTCTTCTGCGGCATCTTGACTTCGCCATCGATAGCTGTCTGCTCGCCGAGCTTGCGGCGGTATTCTTCGCGCTTCTGCCGCTTATTCAGAGAAGGAGTCGTCATGGTGAAAGGTGAAGGTGAACGCTGAGTTCAACTACAGGCAATGGAGAATCGAATTGAAGGAAGAATAATTTGCGGGAGTTTTGCCCCACCATCAACTCCGATTGGCTCTCACATAAGCTCGACTGGGAACCAGCTTATCTCTACTTGACTCTCCACATCCACTACTATTTGTTTCTTTGGATCGTTTCCGTTTTCGTTTTCTAGACTAGACAGCATACACAGCGCAAGAATGACAGCCACAACGCCAGGGGCTTTCTCTTTCCCTCCGACATACAACTTCCCGCCCTTCTTCACCCCGCAACCGAATACCAATACCCGCCAAGCTCAACTTGAGAAATGGTCTTCATTGATCCAAGCATGGTGCAAACACCACAGACAGTATCGCCTTAGCTTGGTTGAAGCAGTCGATAGCCCGCTTTTCCATAATGCGGCACTGCGCAAGCGTCTAGATCTCCGTGAAGCGCGCGCGGTGATAGACTGGATGGTCAAGAGCGAGGAGGAAGGTGGTGGGGGTCAGCGCGCGGAGTGGATTGACTCTTCTGCAGCAAGCCAGGGACCTAAGTCTGTGGCGTGGGTTTGGTGGCGGAGGCCGGAGGAGTGGGCGGATATACTCGTGGATTGGGTGGAAGGCACAGGGCAGCGCGGGGCGGTGCTGACGGTGTATGAGCTTATACAAGGGGAGGCGACGGAGTCACAAGGTAAGACCTGGCAGGACTGTACTGGTCGATGAATATACTGATCCTTCTATGCAGAATTCCATGGCATGGATAATGATGTCATGTTGAAGGCGTTGAGCATCCTGTCTAAACGCGGCAAGGCGCAGGTCTTTGGGAGTGAAGGACAGGAAGGTGTCAAGTTTTTCTAAATTCTAAAGACGTGGCTATTCATGATGAAACGCTCAAATACTCCCATGTGTGCAGGCCAAGCCTGGCCAGTGCGCCTAACATTTACATGACATCTGTGACTTCAAAAGCTAAACCCCGAAATATGGGTGCCAGAACAACACCTCAACCCTAGTCTTCTTCGTTGCCAATCATATCCTCCGTCAGCTCGTACGCCTCGGGGCTTTTCAACTCCTGCGACATGGCCATGTCGAGCAGCCAGTCCACTCGGACGATCCGCGGAGCCCGCTTGATATCGCCAGCTACCTGACGGAATCGGGGCCAGAGACGAGCATGCTTGGACTCGGCACTGCTGAGAAGGAAGACGTCGTGTCGTCCAGATTCGCCATCCTCTTCACTCTCTTCGTCGTCACTTTCCTCCCGCCGTGAAGGGTTGGTCAGTGCAAGGCGGCCACGGAAGAGCATGCACTCTCCGCCATTCACGTCAACGATGGACTTGAATGCTTCAAATCCACCACGAATGTCTTCCACGCAGTAGATGCGGAACCCGCGCAGAAGCTTGTTCTTATTTGCCTTGGCCTTGTCTGTAGCCTTGGCTAAAGAAAATCGGAATTTGCTCTCGGCCGCTTTGTCGATCAACTTGAAATCTGCCGGGTCGAGCAGCTTGTCCTCTTTCAAGCATTTGGTGACAAAGTCGGTATTAACAATGACGGGCGCATATGCCAAAGCATTTACAAACTTGGTGGTACGCAGAATCGACGGGGCCGCCATGTGGGTGCATCGTCGGGCATCCTGAACCACCATGATACCCAGATCTCGAAGATGTCGCTATTGAAAATTAGCACAGTCTCACGTACATAGAAAGAATACACATACCTTGTCTGCATCTTCTCTTTTCTCATTGCCTTTCCCAACCCAATTTTGGTAGCCGGTGATTAGTAAGTGCATCGCAATAGCAGGTCGAGATTTCTTTGCCCTTTTAGCTTCGTTTGCTTGCTCAGTGTCACTTTCTCCCTCTGCTTCGACGGAGCGGCGCTTCTTGGGGTTGTCGCGCACACGATCCTCATCTGACTTCCGTCTACCGCCGTGTATGACGCCACCGACGCGCTTCATTTCTTTTTCGTACAGAGCAATATCGGGGGCAAGATCATGGAGATGAGCAATTGCTGCCTCTTTCGATTTACGGCTGCTAACCGACGACGGAGTCTCGTTCTCCTTGTTATCAGGGATAAGCCGAGACCGAGCAGGGGTCTCTACCTTCTTCTCTGAAGACTTGCGGGTCTTCCCATTGGCTTTGGGGGTACTGGTCTTTTCGGAAGCCTTATCACCGTCTTCCTGCTTTTTATCAGCAGGTGGCTGCATCGATGGCGCATCCCTGTCTTTATTCTGCATTGTAGTTGTTTCAGGACTCGGTAGACCTTCGGAAGAGAAGAAGTTCTTCTCAAGAACATCACGCTCCAGCATCCTCTGACCGGCAACGTCACCTAGGTTAGTTCGTGATGGGAAGTAATTGTAGCGCGGGCAGGAGACGGGTTGCATTTGCCATTTGGCGTAGCTGTCTTCCAACCATAAATGGTTGACCACGTGTAAGCCCCATTCCCTCGCAGCGCTGCATTTCTCACTTGTTCCATGGGCAGTAATTAAGTGCGTATTTTCCTGCTTCAAGGTTTTCGTGCACTCGGCACCAGCTGCGGCGATCAAATTTTCCAGATAAATTCTGGCTTCGCCAACATAGTTGGACAGACTGATTTTGAGCCCTTCAAACCCGGGAATCGGTGTGCGAGAAACTGGGTAATGAAGCATTCGGCTCAAAGGCCGAGTGTACTCGTTGTACGTCATCAAAGAGTACAGCCAGGCAAGATTGCCGACTTCTTTGTCTAGTCGTGAGGCATTTCGATAGACAAACCCTTCACGGAAGCGACAAATAATCCAATCCGCTTCGTTGAGATTTCGTGTCACAGTCGCACCACCTTGCTTGATGACCGTTTCGATAGATTCCAGCAAGCGCGAGCCAATACTCAAGTCAGGGGACAGCATGATGCATTTCCCATCAAATACGCTGCGGTCATTGGTCCCCTGTGCATCAATGTTCACTGTAGGCAAGGCAGACGGCTCAGGCGTGGAAGCGCCAGCCAGGCCCTTGTTTCCGTTTCCTCGAATTGGGTCGTCGGGGTTAGCGCGCAAGATCTCTGGATCGGGTAGTATGTACGGGCGCTCGTCAATGCGCCGACCAAGTTTCAGGCAATCATCAAACCTAAATTGCGTTAATAGAGAATACCTATGCATGCCGAATCATAAAAGACGCACCAATGAGGCAAAACGATCTTTGCACGCAGCTTTTTAGCTTGCGTCAGACGCGCCTTGTCTGAGTCCATGGTCAAATCTACCAGATGAGTAACCAAAGCGGACATGCGAGGGCTGTACAGGCCGCCTTTAGCCACAACTCCACCAATAATAGCATCTTTATCTCCCTCTGGGATGTCGCCGCATGTCACCACCACATCGTGCAAGAATAAACGTGGGTCAGGGCTATGTTGGCGTGGGTTGGCAAGCTTGCGTTTAGACAGAGAAGTGTGTACCCATGATGGCTTCACGATCGGGATCAAGGCCTTACAGGCGATGTCATAGGACTCAAAGTTGATGGTATTGGATACAATATGAGTGCACTCGGCAGTGTCACCTTTTGTTGGGCTTGAATTATGAATCGATGGTTCGCCGCCGTATTCTTCAATCACTGCTGCTAACTAAAGGTTTGGCAAGAGTGAGCCTTGTGCGATGCGCGTGATTGTAGATGATCGAAAAACATACCTGTTCGGCGGTCTCGAGGGGCAGTAAGTCTGTACATACAATGCAGACACGGCACTGCTCAAAGAGCTGAGGCTCCTCGTCCGGTTGCATCGTGGTTGGTAGATCCTGTTCTTGTCTGAAGGCGTGGCCCGCGTGGGGAGATGAATCGCAACGCTGACACGCGCCGGGCGCGAAGCCTGACGCCAGGTCACGTGAGTGGAACCAAGAGAAGTGCATCGGGTTGAATTTCTGAAAAAGTGATGATGAAGATTCAATGTAAAATTTAGAGATGAGTACTCAATCAACCCTGATGAGCTGAGAAACTGGGCAAATGGATTTGATGCCCATGCACCTCGATGGCGAAGGAGCGCATTGTGGATTGATCTACAAACGGAAGGAACAACCAACGACCTCGGGATAGTGCAGTTCTAGCCTCGAACTTCACCTAAGCAGTCTTTTCTCTGATCTTGATTAGTATTGATTATCCTCCCCACATTATTGACCAACAATGCGGCCACCTTCGAGATAGATCTCCTTTGCCGAAGACGGGGTATCGAGGAGCATTCATTCCCAGTATCGTCTACAGTAAGAAGGTAGAGTTTGCAGTCTGCTCAACGGGCCTTGAATCCTAGGATAAAACAGTAAAACAGCTACAGCACTTCAACTGGAATCTATACAGATCATCTGGGTATTTCTATTGCATATCTCCTAACGAATTAGGTAATAGGAAGCCGGTACAAAGCATAAAAAGAACCAGCAAAGAGATAAAGGCCGACTTCTATCTATAGCAACCCCGCGCCATAATTTTCTCCCGCAATTCGGTGGCACCAAGTAATACACCGACAAGAGAGAGAGAAAAATACATGTATGGTCAGCTAATATCGGATTTCCGTCTTGGACGAGAGACAAGTGTGACAATGACTAAGAAAGGTTTCATCAACCGCCAAAGTATAGGTGGTAAGGATATCCAGTAGCAGTCAAGCACAAAATGAAGGGCGTCACTGCTTTTTCACGCGCATCCAAAAGGCCAAATTGAGCTCATTTTGGTTACGAGTTACCAATCGCGTCGAAAGGATCATGGCAAAAATGATTGGGGTTATCTCTGGGCCGCTTTGAAACAAGACAGTATTTGGTGATTCAAGAAAAACTCTAAGTGGCTTTTTTGTCTCGGGTGACGCTATTCTCCGATGTAGGTGTGATACGGATAACTTCGGGGATGTGCCAGAACCGTGCCCATCGTAGATGGTAGTCGTCCTGGTTGCCGTTCAGACAGTGTCGTAGCCAGATGCCCCAGACGATGTACAGGTATGCCCCGAGGCCGGTCATGACATGCCTGGAGTATAAGTTAGCGGAGTCAAATCATACCACGAGAGGTAACCCCAGGTAATAATAGATTGCACAATCAGGGGGCAAAAGGCTAGAAAGCACATACCACCAACCATGTCCTTCCAGGAAAACCCCCCATGGCAGGCCCACTAACCGCCTCCACCGGCGAATGCTGGAGCAGAACTGATTATCAACGTTCCAGATTGCGAACCCGCCGAGGAACATGCTCAATCCGTATGCCACCATGAACCACATTGTCTTCAGAGTTTTCATGTCTCGCACATTCTCATAGTGCTGACGCTCCTTGGTAGGTACCGGAAGTCCCTGCTTTTGTCTTTCTAGTCGGTCTTCTTCACGAGACTTACGCCACCGGGGTCGCAGAGCCATCTCCATCGTGTGCATGCTGCGAAAGACGACAACGGCGGTTAACAAAGCGTAGACATTTTGGTGGAAGACGGGATCCTGCAGGTAGTGGTAGTAAAGGGTGATGAAGACGGAGAGGAAAGTTAATGATAAAGCTAATACAATACGCACGCCTAACGGGCGGGTATATGAAAAGCTCGCGTAGGCCATGAGGCAGGTTGTGTAGATCATTGAAAGCTCATCGACAAGTTGCATGGGGTCTGTTTACAGTGCCAACAGTTAGCTTGAGCTTTATGACAACACCGATGCGACCAAGGGAGAGGCAGCGACATGCTCGTGGCAATGATCATACACCCTTAGGAGAATACTTGCATTTAAGGGTGGAATGGAACAGGAAACTGCCTGTTCCTACCACTAGGTAGCCTAACAGAGCAACCAAGAAGATCTGGTCATGCTGATTGCGCCGGCAGCTAATAATGCCCTTGACGCCCAACCACATGAATAGCAAGTTCGTCAAAGTGTTGACAATTTCAGCGGAATATATAGTGGCATAGTAGTCCTAGAAACCATCGTCAGCCGGGGTCCCAAAGCCATCTGGGGTTCAGTGGGGCCATAAACGAGTTCATACTTCTTCGCACCAGTTGAGGGTAGAGGTGACTGGGCTCCAGAACCCAGCCTTGGAGGGCGGGTACGGAAAAGAAGGAATCCACTGCATTTTGCGGTATAGCCCAGAAGTAAGAGTTCTCCGGAAGAGAAGGTGACAATGCAAGTCTAAGACCTGCACATGACGTCGATTACAGCAGCAGCTGAATTGACGGGATCTGATTGGTTCGTGCGGGAGTCCGCGAGATGCCGGTGTGTTTGGTCCGTTTGCGGGAAACTTGCGAATTATAATCTTTTCAATATTTGTTTTGATAATTCTGGTTTAGTAAATAAGTTGAAAAAGTATAGAGATCTCGATGGAGTATTATTTAATTCTCACATCTGGAGAAGATTTGGTCAATTGTCATAGTGAATTAATATACTGAGGCTGAATGCACCGTTATTAGTGCATCCGGGTTCTTATCGATACCGAGGTTCTGACCGCGGATCCGATGACTTCACTTCCTGCATTACTTGGTGTAAGGCTTCAACATTTCAATATACCAAACCTTTGACATTGTCGCCAATAAGGACTATTGCCTTGAACCCTCTTTCATTCCAAATTTGTGTTTGGTTGGAATGCCTGCCCCATTCCATTTATTCTGATCCCGATCCCGATCCCGTCGTTTTTTTGCTTCAATTTTCCTGCATGCGGTGATTTCAAACCCTGCCATCTCCTCGCCGACTTCGCGACTTCCACAAGATTCGATCTGGTATCGAATCATTTCTCTTCCAACCCCTAAATCTACCCTAATACCCGAAGTCCACGACCACTGGTTGATTGTTGCGCAACGGGCACCGAAGCCATGTCCAATAATGGCGCGTACGTTGTGCCGCAGGTGAAAACAGGCACCTCGAAATGTATTTATCTCTACAAACAGTTTCTTCGCTACCAAACAAGAAGTCCTCCGAACTAATTTGCACATTTATCTAGCCTCCAAAACCATCTTTCACTTCTCCGCCGGTCTCTGCTCTGGTCTCACATCATCCATTCTCCTCCAACCAGCCGATCTTCTCAAAACCAGAGTTCAACAATCCCAACAATCCCTTCTCCCAACCCTCAAGGGCATCCTCTCATCTCAGAATCCGATCCGGGGATTATGGCGCGGCACACTCCCCTCAGCGCTCCGCACCGGCGTCGGCTCGGCCCTTTATTTCACCAGTCTAAACTCCCTTCGTCAAGCTGTCGCCCAAGCCAATACCCCCCTCCTCGTAAACCAAAACGTCACTCAGTCCTCCTCTGCCCTCCCCAAACTCTCCAACACCGCCAATCTTGCCACAGGAGCCGTCGCCCGTGTCGCAGCAGGTTTCGTCATGATGCCCGTCACAGTCATCAAAGTTCGCTATGAATCCGATTTCTACGCCTACCGCAGCCTGTTAGGCGCTACCCGGGATATATTGCGAACAGAAGGATTCCGCGGCCTTTTCGCTGGCTTCGGTGCCACCGCAGCGCGGGACGCACCATACGCAGGTCTTTACGTCCTTATCTATGAGCAGCTGAAACGGCGCCTCGGATCCATGGCAGCGAAAGGGTCAAATAAGAACAGCGATGGGACACCACAGGCTACATCTTCCTCAGGTATCCATTTCGCGTCAGGGGCATTGGCAGCCGGTATGGCCACTGCCATTACCAACCCGTTTGATGCGGTGAAAACCCGGTTGCAGCTTATGCCGGCCAAGTATGGCAATATGCTGCGTGCGGTACGCGTGATGGTACATGAGGAGGGCATTCGCAGTCTTTTTGGCGGATTGGGACTTCGTATGGCGCGGAAAGCGCTCAGCTCGGCGCTGGCGTGGACGGTGTACGAGGAGCTCATTCTGCGTGCTGAGAAACGGTGGGAGACGAACCATCAGATTGCCTTGAGCACTTGAGTTTATCCAGGTTGCTCAGTCATTTGGTTGTCTTGTATTAATAGGTAAAGGATTTTTTAGTCGCTTCAAGCTGCGGGTATGCACTATGTACCCCAAGAAGCGGCAGCACGCCTTGCGTCAGGCATTTACGCCCAATGGGGAATTTACCGTTGCTTAAAGTTGTGATCTGCAGTATCTGCAGGCCGGGGTACTGTCAAGAAATGGAATGTAAAATTGGAGATGGCTGAATACATAGAACGGAGCGGCGTATGCTGAGAATGGCACAAATGAGAAACAAAAAAAAAATTGGTCATGAACGTGGAATTCGTGTCTCATTACTGTGCCACTTCCTGAGCAACAGCCAGCTTCAAATAATTGGAATCTCAACTCGAAAGCAACAATTTCAAAAAGCATTTCGGTCCAGGTCTCATAGCAAAAACGCAACGCAAAAATCTGTGCATAAAATGGCGAAGAAATAATTGTGTATCAACAGACGAGTCCGCATAACCTTGTTCAACAATGGAGAGTGCGGATGGTCATCAGGAGAGACCTTATTATGCGAAAATACGCAAGCGGTGCTGTGGGCTCTTCTTGCGAACCAAATACATCCTGTCCTTCTGCCGGTCGTTGACCTTGAGCTCGGTCTGCGATTGAGAAGTCTGGGTGATGACTTTGCCCTCCCGGATCCTCTTGGTGTGTGAAAAGAGCTCTTCCTGGAAGTCCTCGGTGACCCATCGCTTGATGATTATATAGTTGCTATCGGTCTAGACGGAGTTAGCATAGGAATCATAGAGCTGCTTGAGTCATAGTATGCTTACCTCGTCCCAGTCCCAGGGAAGATTATAGGCAAGCAAGGTTTCAGGGAGCAGATGCTTGCGGTGAACCTAGTAACAAAGTTAGCATCTATGTAAATTGGATCTAGTTCATTTTGACATACCTTGATCCAGGTGGTCTTGCGCTCCTCGATGAGATCCTTCTCTCTCTTCTCTCTCTCCTCTTTCTCCTTCTTCTCCTTGGCTTCCTTAGCCTCCTTCTCTTCTTTTTCTTTCTTTGCCTTCTCCTCATTCTCCTTCCTTTCTTGATCTCGCTTTCTCTTGTTCAAGATATGCGCAATCTCCTCCTCGGAATAACCAAGATCATGACGCAGTCTCTCTCGGAATTCAAGATCTCTCTTCATAGCTTCTTCGGCTGCCCGCTGCTTCATACGCTCCTGCTCCAACTTCCACTCCTCGACCGCCGCAGCCTTTAGCATCATCTCCTTTTTCCTCTTCTCCTCGGCCTGGAACGCTTTCTGGCGCTCCTCCTCAATGATCTCCTTCTTGATTTTTTCCTTTTCTGCCTCCTCTTCCTGCTGACGTGCAATCTCCTCAAGTTTCTCCTTCTTCATCCTCTCCCGTAGCTCCTCTTTCTCAGCAGCTTCCTTCTCGGCCTCTTCTAGCTTCCTCATCCGCCATGCCTTCTCCGCCTTCCGGGCCGATTCCTCATCCCTCTCAGTCTCCTCCAGCCTTCTCAGCCGCCATGCCTTCTCCGCATTTCGCGCAGTCTCCTCATCTTTCTCGTGCTCTTCCAGCTTCCTCAACCGCCATGCTTTCTCTGCCTTCCGGGCGGTCTCCTCCTCCTTCTGTTTGCGCTCAATCCGCTCCAGACGACGCAAACGCTCACTAATCTCCTCCTCATACCACTCCTCCTCTTCGCGGAGTAGTCTGTGCTCACGGGTATCTCGCGGTGGCTCAGGCTTCTCACGATGCTTATCAAGCTGACGCTCCAGCCGCTCAATCTCCTGTTGCTGCTTCCATATCTCCATGTTCTGTTGCATATCACTGCGCTCCAGTATACGCTGATTCATAGCGAGCTCAATGTCGCGGTGGAAAGGCGACGGTGTCCGTCCTTGCACCTGCGGTGCCTCCGCAGTAACATTCACATTCGCCGAGATGCCTGTCTCGCGCTCACGGTGTCGGCGTCGCGAACCGCCCCGCCGCACACGTTCCAGCTCCAGCTCTTCGTCGGAATCATCATAGAGCCTTTGCTTCTGCTGCACACGGTGGCGCGGCTTATTGCTGTTGGCGTTGCGGGCTTCGGTGACGTTATCCGTGCGGGTTGCCTGCTCGTTCACGATCATGACGGCTGGCACGGAAGAGTCGCGATCGCGGGGGCGGCGTCCGCCTGTCGAGGCAGAACGATAGACGCGAGTCGTAGGTGCGGTTAGGTATTCCTTTACTGCGGGGCGGTGGTGGGCGTGGCGGGATACAGAGCGACGGCGGATGTGGGTGCCGCCGTGACGACCACGGATGGACATGTCGGTCTCGGAGAAGTCCGAGTCGTCCGAGTCATAATATTCGACAGGCATTTTGGGTGGTTTTTATCCTTCTCTTTTTTTTTTCTCTTTGGTTGTGTGGTTAACTGTGAGATCACGATGGTGGATCTGTATAGTGTCGAGACCCTAGCAGAGGGGGAAAGGGCCCGAGCACTCGAGACTGAAGGACTCGCAAGTGGGTGAGACGTGGAGAGGAGAAAAAGGGGAAAGAAAAAAAGAGTCAGCGGAAAATAGTCAGAAATGAGTGTGCGTCCTGAACACGAGGCTTATCGGGATCGCCGCTCAGCTGAGGGCGGGGGAGGGGCTGGTGATTGGAAAGAGGAAAAATGAGAAGGAAAGCTGGGACAAGGGGCCATTTCTATTTATTGCAAGACTGACAGGGCTGGAATCGCCCAGAATTTCACTTAATTTCTTATTCTTATTCTTCTCTGCTTCAGCCTCAACGATCATCGACCCGACGCACTCCTGTACGGCATACTCCTTACATCCTATACATCTGAACCAAAATTTCCACCGAGTATAATTCTATCTCGCTGCAACTACTGCATAGAACAACCTTGGAATGTAGAATATAAAGCACCCAGGGCCCCAAGTACACCCAAGTCCCCAATCCTGTGTTCCCATTCTTCCAAGGTTTTGGGCCATAGCATCATCGTCACCGCAGACCCACTTTTTGGAAGTCCAACGACCCTATGTAATTAATGGGCGTTACAAAACCCCGTGCCCCACCATGCTCCAGAGCGGTAAGCCCTACGGAGTTACACCCGTGAAAGGTTGTGTCCAGGGAGTTCTGGACATTCTCTAAGAAAGCACACACTGCATGGACTCGACACTCGCTATGGGCGTTTGGGGGCGGGGCGTCTCTTGAAACGAGTCCGAGACGGCACCAAACTTAAATTAGTCTTGGACAGCCACGTTGGAACCCGATGGTCCTTTTTTAATCTTGGGCAGTTCTCTTCTCTATGGCACTTGGGCAGAAGCCTGTGGATATAATCGCAATCCAAATCTATGAGGTTGGGTCTGAGAACCAAGGGACTGATCGGGTGTTCCCGCGAATGATCCAGGGAAACTCGTGACTTTCCCACATGGACATGCGGCCTTGATGACCAACTCGCGGTTAATCAACTCCTCAGAACAACACATGATCAGCGTCAAATGCGATTGTCGATCGCTCCACACTGCAGGTGGGATATTCGCTACCCTATAGAACTCGACATGCACCCCCTGATGATAGGGCGATTCGCGCTGTCTAGTGCCGCGGCTCTTAGACCGGCGCGTCGTGGACGTATCGGCGATGAAACTTGAGCCGTTAGCGGGAGACTAGGAGTTCCTAGCGGTAAACAGGGGTCTGGGAGATAGAGACAGCATTATTGCGTCGAATAGTGCTCGGTTTCACTTTTCTCAAGAGTGCTACCAGGGTCCTCTTTCTGTCGGGTTGAGGAAGGCCGTTCTTTCTCGATTGTCCATCTAGTGAGTAAGTGGGTCGCGCCGCATAGCCTAATGGCCCACAAGCGCCCAAACTCTTCCCCATCGAGATCAGAGATCTCGAAAATTTTGATATGGTCTCTCCGATATGTAATTCAAATACAGACATATCAATCGGCAAAGAAGCCGATCTGCACGCCAAGAACATTCCATGTAGTCTGTATACCAACCACACGTGCAAACCGGTCGTCTGTACGAAGCATCAATACTAAAACTCCATGATTCGACAAAATCACAATTTTCGACGATCGTTTTCACTGAATGGAACCCCGGAGCATATGAGGGGTAGCCCGAACAGGGATCTAGGCTGTAGCCGAGTGGTGATTAGACGTCATCTTTAATATCGGGACTGACGATCGGGCCCAATCAGATGAAAATTTGCAGTGCAAAACGGCTGGATGTGCCATAGCGCAGAAATGACGACAATGGCGCTGGGTAGGGCGCTCTCGATTTTGGGCCACACTTACCACCTATTTGTGGGAAATAGTCGGTAATCGCTTGATTCGGACCAGAGTCATTTTCTATGAATTGGGGTGATCTGAAGTCGAGTGTGTGATATTGGCATTTTTGATGCATTGAGAATGTGTTGTTCACTCAAGACTGGAGATTCAAAAAGTTCATATCAGATGCAACCTTCCAATATTAGAGATTGCACCTGAATGTCCTCAAAAGAGATATAACAATAGAATATTCCCAATAGCTCGACTCAAAGATCAATAAATACTGCAGCAGGGCATTAGTGCAAGACAATTGCTTCAGCCTCTATCAGGTGACTTGCCATGCTAAGCGACCATGTGTAACACTTTTACTTCACAATACCTTAGATGGTACAAAGGCCTATATTATCGATGTGTCTCTCTTCTTCTTCTGTGATCTCTTAACGGTACAATTCCATTACACCATACACGACTACGCAGCCGAGTGAAGCCTGGGTAACACATCTATGCTCCATCATCTACTAGGTGATTAATGTCCATCAACGCCCGCGCACCCGATAACAAAGATGAAGTCTCAACCTTGGAACAGATTATCATCGATTATGTTAGGCTTATAGTTCTACTCTCATTATTACAGGTTGTGATCCAAGTCTGGAATACTCCTCATAACGTTGATTCATTAACTCGGGAAGATGTGATTAAAGACATCTACCTAATCAGATGAAGGGCAGAGATCGTAGTTCCCGTTGGCATTATTACCCCACCATGAGGGGAAGGCATGGGCAGGACCTCCAGCACCGAACACTGCAAAAGAAAGAATAAACAACACAGTCAGACTAGCGCCATCAAAGGCACCAGTAATCAAGTATGAGTAGTCCTTGAAGATGCGTGGGCGGTAGTTTCGGAGGTAGTACTGCACGTAGAATCCCGCGAAGACCCAGCTGAAGAGAACGCAGGTCTGACTCTGATTGTAGGGAATGTAGCCCGCGTACTGGATAAACTGGGGCATGTTGATATCGGCAACGTCAAATCCGCGGATCTTGGGGACGAACTATCATGGATGTTAGTCATGTTTCCGGTGCTCTGTTTCAGATTGCTCACTTGGTAGAAGATGCGGTGGACGACAACGGCCGCAGCACCGATGGCAATACCAATGGGTACCATCCAGTACTGGCCACCCATCTTGTAAAGATAGGAAGCCAAAGCCCAGGAGGTTGCATTGGTATTGTAGGCTTGCAGTGTGGCACCACTCCAGGAGTTGCTGCCATTGGCTGAGTTGAGGACTTCCTTATTTTTTGCGACAATTGAGATCATCACAGCGTAGTTGATAAAGCCGCCGAGAATAGTGCCCCAAATTTGAGTCAGGAACATGACACGTGGGGGAATTTTCACTAAGTAAGTTAGACCAGGTCTAGAATTTAAAGGTAGGACACTTACAGTATTCACCCATCTTCAAATCGTTAGACAAACTGACTGCGTTGGAAATGACGTTGTGTGACCAAGCAGCAAAATACATGTTGCCGACTGGACGTCCAGGAATCATAAGACCCGCCAACATCTTCGACAAGTTGTTGGTGGCAATACCGTTACCGTAGCGAGAGTACAGGATGGTACTCTGAGAAAAGTCAGCGGAGCTCAAGTCCAAATCCTGGGAGTACTCACAAAGGGTGACACAATGATTCCGACAATCAAGGAGACCACATATGCCCAAGCTGGGAGACCAATGTTTTCTTTGAGGACCACAATAAGACCCAACACAAAACTGATGACAAGGACTCCAATGTACCACCACCAAGGCGCCTCCTTGTAGTGTTTGGCCATGTGCTCGTGGTGGCGATCATCGTAACGACCTTCCCTGGCCTTTTTAAACGCGGCAACGATATCCTTCCCCCAGAAGAGGAAACAATGAACGATCAGGGCACCGATCTAGAGATTGAAGATGTCAGTTTACTAATATCACATGAGGGTCAGGTATTTTCGTCCTTACAGCAGCATTGGCCATAAACATGGCGAACGCGAAAGTTCCGGTCAATTTAGGCAGGCCATAATTGAGAAGCTGTGCTTCGTCAAGTACACCATCGACGAACACGTCACTAACAGGGTACGCGGTGCCATTGCTCATGAGAAGTTTCGTGGACATGAAGGGGAGCGACTTTGCGTCCCAGCCATTTCCGTAGTAAATTCCAATCATGGCAATAAAGCACACAACGAAGCCGGCAGCCTGGTGAGCTTGAAGTGTAAGAGGGAGAGAGGTTTGGAAAGAGGTGATCTATAGCGGTCAGTTTTCTTGCTATCTTGTTGAGGTAGCGGAAATCCTACGTATTGCCAGTCAAAGGAGAAGGAGAAAAGACCCAGACCCTCGTTGTTAGAGGCTCCACCGAAGATGTTAGTGAGGACAGCAGCCTTCTCACCAGTAGCCTTCATAGCAGCCAGACACTACAGTACCAGAAATTAGCAACTGAGTTCGGAACAAGCGCAGGACTAGGAATGGTCGGTCACATACCGGGATAGAGACAGAGTTAAGCCAGACAAAGATGTAAGCTGGGAAGATTTCATAGAGAGTCATCCCAGTAAAGGCATACCAGAAGTATCTCAGAGGCTTTGAATTCTTGATCTCCTGCCAATGGAGTCCTTGGAGAACCTTGACAGTAGGCAGGGTACTCCAGTAGACAGCATCCACGTGCCAGACCGCAATGGGACGCATGATTCCACAGATTCCATAGCCAAACAAGCCAATAGAGATGGTACTCAAGATGACAGTTGCTGGGCTCAGTGACATGTTGTAAAACAACTCCTGCGCTGCGAAGACCTCAGAGCTTGCGGCGGCGTTTGAAGCACTGGTGGCGGTGATAGAGCAGATTGCGTGCTCCTTCAATGTCCACGGCCCACTGTTGATGAACTTGAGAGCACTGATGTAAAAGGGAAGCTTTCCCTGACCTCCTTGTGCCCTCCATCGAGCCTCGAACTTGTCTCCGCGGGGAAGGAATTTTGCCCAGGCTCGGCCAACAAAGTAAGAAATGAGAACAATGAAAGTTCCCTGTATGGTAATTGCGGTGGGTTTGAACTTCATATGAATCCGTTAGTGGAGGCTCTTTGGCTTTATTGGGCAAGAACATACCATGTAGATTTGGTACATAACCGCTTGGAAGCACGCGAGGCCTGAGGCTAAGATGAGACTGCGGAATGTCAAAGCTGGGTCACCATCATCCCGCATGGGGAGCAGGTGGTTCGCCGCATCAACACCATCGACAATGATAACATCGTCGCTATTGCGATCGTCCTCGCCTCCAATCTCCCCAGACCCGAAGGACGTCGTAGTGAGTTGGTGATCACCTTTGCTGGTGACATTGATAGTGGTCTTCTCATCAAAGACATCGTGGCCGGAGACGGAAACAACACCCTCATCGAGCGAGTCGGAACGAATGGCCGACATGGTGCGCGTTTCACGGTAGGGCTGTATAGTGAACTGGGCCTTATTGTGCAACGGGCAGCTCCCTTATATCCTTGCGATGCAGGGTCTTAAGAACCAAGACCAGCCCTTATCGGGATAAAGCTGGGCGTGATACCATCAAGCCGCAAATTGAGCCATCTAACGCGAGACTTACGTTTGTCGCCATCGGTAACAAAATCCAAGAAGTGAAAGTGGCCAATACCCTCCGATGCACCAAAGTGGACCTTCCATTTTCGCTCTAGCAATCCCACCTCACTATCTAACAAATTTACTTTATGCGCCGAAAGTCTTGGAACTTGTCTGATATCTGGAACACCAGGTTTATCAGAGGTCATGAGTGCTGGAATATTAACGCCAAGTAAGAGAGGACTAGGGATTTCGTTCCCCCTCTTCCTGATAGCATGCATAGGCTAAGACAGTTTAAGCTAGTCGCGCAGGGGCAGACTGTTTAAGGATATGTCATTGGCGTTGCTTATCACGCCATGTAGTGGCACTCAGCTAGTGGGGACAAGGTATTCTCGGCGGCCCAAGATTTATGCTGGTATGGAAATACGTGTGAAGGAGAATGGGGAGGGAGAAAAGGAGAAAATTCGGGAATGTTCGTATTGTACGGAAGCATTGAGAGGGAAAGACATAGAGAGAAGTGTCCTACAGGACAGACTACAACTGTTACATCAGCCACTTTGGACATGATAACAAGGGGGCGGGTGAGAAGGCGAATAAACAGATGTTCTTTAGTCCGAATGAGGTCAAACCAAGCCACTAATGAAATGCCGAGAGAATTCATCAAAGCCCAATGCCGCGTCCTCCAGGGCTGAAAGGTCCATGGTGGCGAGCAAACTCCTGGTCTTAACGGTCTAGCAAGTCCAAAAGTGAAAATGCATTATCCGGGTTGGTTGCGCGATGATCTATGGTTATCATGTCGAGAGGTCCAAGCGGTAGGGAAGTCCGACGGCTTCCCCGCGCCACCAATCCGAGGAGCGCGAATTCCTAAACTCACCCTTATCCCCATCAGTCTAATAGGCTAATGGCCCTACGCGATCTGGGGTTTGCCCCGTATGATATTCGGGTAATCTCACCACAAACCACCATGCCGACGGAGAGGAGGCACGTGGAAGTGAGACGCTAATTTCAAAAGAATCTTTATCATTCTACCAAGCCTTCGCTTATCTACGAGCTGATGCACACATGCGCCCATGACATGGACTCTCATCATTCTAGAATGAGAGTGGAATTCCTCTCAACGCTTATCTTGTGCCTATAATGTATACTCAGAGGACCCTCGAGCCCTCGACATGGATCAATTTAGCTTGGACATGCAGGTGCTTTTTTCCAAGGTGCCGCCGATAAACAAGGTAGCAAGTGATCCTAGGGTCATGCGATAGATCACTTCCTATGCAATCAACCAAGCCGTGCATTCATAGTGAGTTGGATGGCAAATTGCCTCATATAGACATAAAAGCACAAGGTGCTTAGGAATACATCCTTACAATCAAACTTTGGGAAATTGAAAAAGAAAAATATGCACGAACAAATGGACAATAGGTGGATTCGCTCAATAGCCGCCCGGATGCAATGCAAGAAATCTCAAAAGAAGCAGAAGATATCATCAAGTATCAAGCAGCCATAGTCAGCACATATCTATAATCATTGTTAGTACAAATTCCCAGAATCAAGAGTATCATCAGGCTTACGAGGTGATACAGTCCATGCGCTCAGTTGTCAATTTTAGACTGACTGTTAACAATTCACGGGCGACTCGCGGCTCCGCTTCCTGAAGGGCCTTCCATTTCCAATCACTCAGACACCAAGCGACACACTCATGCTCGGCCTTGACTGTGGCTGTGCGACGTGTATCGCTGAAGAATGGTAGCTCGCCACACGGCCTGCCGGCGACAACGAGCTCGAAGTAGCGGCCTTGAGGGAGATCATACTCGCAACGCAGCATACCAGCCTCAAGAAGATAGAAAGCACGCGGGACGTCGCCTTCGTGGTACAAGATGGTGCCTGCTGGGTAAACTTCGCGTGAGAAGTAGGCGCAGGCGGGGAACCAGAAGTCCTCGTTTTGGTTGGAGAGACCCTGGAAGGTCTGTAAGAGGAGGGGGAGAGGTTGGCGCATTGCAGACCAGGCAGGTGCAGCCATCATTGACATTGATGTTTCATGTTCGCGGATTGTGGTGGTTGCGACTCGCTGGAGGTATTGGCCGCGTGGGGAACTGACGATGGTTTCGGATAGGTTGGGGTGAGAGTGTGTTGGGACAGGGACAGGGACGTCGAGGCGGTTGGTGGTGTGTGAGGTTTCGACAGGTTTGCTGATTAGCGCTTCCTGGCGACTGTAGAAAACTTTTAGGTAATCGTTTTCGCAGAACTCGAGGGCGGAGTTGAGATCTTCGAAGATTGGGACACCTGTTTCGGGCTCGAAAAGGCCCACATTCTGGAGACTCTTGCCCACGTCGCCTTCTACATTGAGACCGGAAATGGTGGTTTGGACGTTGCGCTTGCGGAGGATACGGTTGATACGTGTAAACGCCTCGGCAGCTGAGAAATCCAATCCGTAGACTCGGGAAAAGTCCAGGATCAAAAATCGGATGGGCTGCTTCCTGAATGCATCGTCCTGAATCAGGCCGCGCATGGTGTTCTCCACGTTGACGATTGTGCCAAAGAAGAGATAGCCGCCCAACTTCATAATCACAGTCTGCTGACCAGCCTCGTGCAGGAATTGCTGCTGGATCGGTGGTCGACGAACTGTCGAACCGGCAATTTCTCCTGAAAATGTGGCTCGAATAGCAGATTTACGAGAAGTTTGGACCACAAAGTTGACACAAGCCAGCATGATACCGACCAGGATACCCATGACAAAGTCCCAGGCACCCATAGTAACAACGATGATAACAACCTATAAAAGTCAATTAGGAGAGGAAAAGCGTGTGTTGAAAGATAGAAGCATACCGTGAGGTACTCGAGCCGCGAGAGCTTTCCCCAAGTGTCCACCAATGCTTCTTCCAGTAGTTCGATTCCCAGCAAGAAAATAAGGGCACCAACTACCATGACTGGAATGTACCCAATGATTACTGGGCCCACGACCATGATCCCTGCTGTTGCAGCCGCTAGCATCAGACCAGCTAAGCGGGATGTACCGCCGCTGGCAATAAAAAGGAGACTGTTCGTATATACCAAGTAGTTCTACTAATATTAGTATATATCTTCTTGATTGGCTTTTCTTCAGTAGCTTACCTGAATGCTACCCGCAAATCCTGACACAGCATTCGTCACACCATGAGCCATCAGCTCTCGGTCAACATTGAGATTGTCTTCTCCCGTTGAGATTCCCAATGCAGGAACGTTAATGGGCACGTGTAGGACACCGAAGAAAGTCAATGCGAACATGGCTGGAAGTGTATCCGCGAAGGCCGTCCAGTTCACTTCAGAAAAGTCTGGTTCGAATTAGCCATGCATTGACACAGAATTTATCGTCGAAGCTTACCATAGAGACTGTAAAAGTGGTACCAAGGGTTATTGGATGAGGGAGCATCAAAGGCCCATCCCTTCTTGTGAAGAGTATCCATAGACACCCCAGCACAGAGGACGACAATGTAGAACATTACAGCCACAACAATGAAATAAGCCCCTACAAGGAAGTTCGATCGAATGAAGCGCTTCAAAGCAAGCAGTCCAATCGCAAGAGATAAGGGTATCATCCAAAGTGCAACCGTATCCGCATGAAAGAGTTTCTCCAATGTCTCCAGGTTGTAGTCCAGAGATCCCGGCAGACGAGCAGAGACCTCCACTCCAGTTTGCAGAAGGAAATAGCCGACACCCCCGATGCAACCAATAAGGATATGACGTGGGAAGAAACCAATAAGGGAACCAAGCCCGAACACGCCCATCAAAAAGAAAACCAGACCGGTCAGGACCGAGCTGACCGAAAATGCGAGAATGGTAGTCGCAATAACTGACTGTGGGTTGTCCTTGCCAATGCGATTCATGATGGCAAACGCCATCTGGTGGAAGAACGGGACTACTTCAATCATCTCACTGCCAATTCCTCCTTTAAAGATTGACCCGCCACTTGAGAATACCACCTGAGCAATAATTGTGCTGACATAGAACATGGAGATTCCGTCCGAGCCGAGATCCGCAAATAGCGGTTCTCCCAGCGGAAATAGGATCATGCCGTAGGACAGAGCGTCCAGGATGTTGAGGAGAAGTCCCAGCAGAACAGCAGGGATCAGACTGGCTGGCTGCACGATTCCCTGCTCCCACATGGCACGGCGATCCCAGGACTTTGGATTCAATATAGTCCGGGAGCACTTAGCCACCGTAGCGAGACCCTTGGCCAGGACGGTGGAAGACCGGCTAGTAACACCACCTTGGCTTTCAACATCTTCGACCGCTCCGTAATTATGCGGGGATTTGGATCGTCTCTTCGTTAATAATGAGGTTCGTTCTGTGTCTCGTTCCGGCTCACCGTGAATGGTGGGTAAAGGTGGAAACGGTTCGATCTCTGATATAGGTCTGCCATGGTCTTCCAGGGGAGATGAAGCAGGTTGACGGATCATCTCTGTCAAGGCCGACGAAGCCAACGGTGGTTCTTCGTGGACAGCATCCGACTCTTCTATCACCTCCTCCACTGGCGGGTACGACGAGCTGGCGATATCATTATGGGATAGACTGGAAAAGCGACGCTCGCGGAAAAGGTCCAAGCTAGGCGGCAGGCTTGTGCGGGCGCGCGAGGGCTCCTTATTTAAAGACAGACCGTAAGTCGCAAGTTCGGCTGTCTGTTCGCGAAGACCGTCCGAGGCATAATGTGCCGGGTCTAGAGCAACGTGAGTGGTCAGCCAAAATGCCTCTATCCTCCACCATTTTTGCCGACCCGTAACGATCTGAGCAATAATACCTTGGAATGGCGTGCACCTACCGTTTGTTGTATTAAAAGAGCGGTGGTAAAATGAGCGACTGGGGGTTCTCATGCTCGCGCCATTGTAGCTTGACGCCTCCACGCCGCCGGGAGAGCTACCCAGATTAGCGTGTTCCACCAGCGACTGCGATGGAAGGGAGGAAGCGTCCAGGTCGCGGTCGAAACTCCAATTTGGATGTGACAAGACCGAAGCGCGCGAATCACGCCGGCCACGAGTTTGTAGTACGCCCATCAGCTTCCCCTTGGAGGTGGTGCAATTGGACGAGGTGAAGTTCGGGAGATTACCGGAACACTAGCGTATGCAACGCCGTTGAGAAAAAGCAACGGATGACGCAACAGGAGGCAGCATCACACCACGAAATTTGGAAAGCAAGATGGATATAAGAGATAATTTGACTTCCCACCTTATCAGAACAACTTTCAGGCCGAATTAAATTATGGGGTAAGAGAGAAAGGGCAGTGACTAAAAAAACCAAGTTTCTTGTCTGGACTCGGGCTTATCGCTACAATCGGCGGGCTAAACCGTTTACGGGGTCCCCACCTTTGATAGTAAATTGATAGGAATCCATGTAGCCAGTGAGAATCACGTTAGATCATACATTAGTGTATTAGTGCAATTATACATCTCCATTTTATTTGCCAAGTAAGAACGCTTAAAATCCCCCGATCGGCACTTTTGGTAGTCTAGACGGCGCTTTCTTCTTCTCATCTCCCAATGGCTTGCAGCTTACCCTGGTCTGTGCAGCGATCGAGCGTTTTAGTTATGCTTTAGTTCAATGTCCTGCGTGCTTTCTTTGCCATATTACGCAAATATTCGTGTCATGGTTTTTTAAAGAGCATTCCAATTGGGCCTCTCCCTTATTCTATGGGATGTTCGTGCTTTTGGCCCCCGCTACCGGGCCATGAAGCATGATCAGCCCTAGGGTACTTGGGTACTTTGTTACCCGAACCCGAACCCGAATAGCTCGGACCAACGTGTTCTACAGCTTAAGTTTTACTGGGTTTGACTACATATTTGAAAAATTAGTCTACGGGTCTCATGACCGATTGCAATAATGCAATATAGACTGTTAACTGGACGGGGGTATCTCAAAAGTACACAAAACTCCCACGTAGCACGCAATGCCTCAAATCAACTCAATCGCTCCAAGAAACCTTGTGCAATTAGTCGCTCAACATCTCCCTGTCGAACATAAAGCTGACTATTCTTAGTCAAGTTGATCACACTGCATCAATTAGCATTTTTTTCACGACAGAAAAAGAGAGAAAGAAAAATCTCACCCATATTCCGTCTGGATCTCCCCCGCATCTTTCAACACTCGTACATCAATAAATAAATCCTTGGGCGGCTCCAACGATCCCGTCAAATCAATATCCGTCCATTGCCCTTTATACGCAGCTAACATGTCTCCATATTGACGAAAGTACTCCTCTTCCTCGGGACTTAGCGAGCTATGTCCACCCACACCCGAAGGAAGTCCCCGGTCCTCGGAGCCCTCACTAGGCTGCTGCTGCTCTAATGCATCAACGCCTGTCCAGCACAGCTCCTCGAGTTTCTCGGTGCGCACGCGGTGGTACGCGAGAAGGCAACGTTTATTGCGTCGCATGCATAGGTGGTCGACTAGGAGGGTACAGGCGGTCGCTGGGTCAGCGGAGGGATTGAATGAGCCCTCAAATGGGTTGAGGAGGCGGGTTGTGTCGCGCTCTAGATCGCGCACTTCGCGGGTCACGGCGCGGACGATTTCGGTTTGGTAAGGCGGGAGATGGGCGAGAGATTGCGTGCGTTTTGCATGTTGGACCTGGTGGTGGTTAATTGGGGATTCCCAAATCATGTAGGTTTTGATTAAGTGAGTTTTAGTGTAGCACGTACCAATTTGTTGCCTAATTCCCCGTACATCGTGGCGACATGATCTGGGTCGGGTTGGCAGTGGCCGACGCGCTCTTGAGGATCCATTGCGCGCCAAGACAATTAGTCAGGGTGGGGGGATCGGCACTAGGCAAGTATGGAGAGTGGAATCTTCGAGGGTCTGAAGGCCAAACAATAGTTGATAATAACTTGCATGGATGACTTACTACGGAAGGATTGACGGCTCTGGCTTGTGATATGAAGTTTCTCCTTTGTTGGAGTAAGAAGTAAGAGCTGGACGGTGTAAAGGCTTAACCAGTGTGACCTGAAGAACAACCCAACAAGAAGAGTACGTGCATTTATAAATAATTAGTCAACCTGGGATTTCATCATGAAATTCAAAAAAGCGGATCCTCTTAGTACTGCATTGAAGCCCTCATCCGATTATAATTCGCCTGCGTGATCGGCTCATACTTGGCCGACTCCTTCTCACCCCTGCAGGATGGGATACATTCTATCACCGAGTCAGAATCCGGGGACAGAAAATATGGAATTGAGAACCGTCTCCTTGTCATTCTCTCTTGTCCTTCAAATCGATCCTCCAAGGGCGGCAGTGTAACTCGATGGCTAGTCGATCTCAAATGATCTACATCTATTAGTATACAGCCTAGCAGGATAGACCGGACGACACACGAACCATTACTCCATCTCTGCAAGAGGTCGCCTATGTTCATCACAATGGCATTCTTGACGGGCGTTGCAGGAACAAAGGTGCCCGAGCGATGCACGTCTTCCACCTCCAGGCCACCGCAGTCGTCCTGGAAGAGCAGGGTGATCGAGCTCCAGTCCGTATGCGCTGGGCAGCGAGCAGCACGATTATTCTCTAGAGCTGAGGCTGGAACGGGCGGGTAGTGGAGCAGACGGAGCTGGTTGTTGAGGCCTGAGTGCTTGTTGAGCAGGTGGTCCTCGTCGAGATCGAGGCCGATAGCTAGAGCTTGCAAGATTTCTCCACCCATGCGAAAGCATTCCTTATAGAATTGTGCCATGAAGGAGCGGAATCCTGGAAGGCTTTCTTCAGGTATCCATTGGTTTGGCTGTTCGGGATTGTTCTCGCTGCCGATGTCGTAGCTTTCCTGGTATTGGTTAGAGACCGAGCTCAAAGTAAACCCAGTCGATTCAAGTGCAAGGAAAATAGATCGAAGTATCAAATATAGCAACTCTGTGGTGAACAGACTCGCTTACCTTGATATCGGGAACCTCCCGTAGCTCCCTCGCCCGCTCCTGATCGTCGTCTGCACTCGCTGCCTCCAGCCCTGACACTTTCTCTAGCCCTGGCCAAGAATAACCCCGATGAACTGCCCACCCCTCTGGATGAGGGGCTTTCAGCTTCTCATCTTGAGGTAGATCAAAGAAGAGCTGGGACCAGTGGAAGGCCTCGTTCAGAAGAGACTCCGGCAGGGAATGGTTGATGATATAGACAAACCCCACCTTCTGGCAAGCGTCAACTATGTCCCGAGCGATAAGCAGACGACTAGGGCCGTCGGACTCCCACCGGGCAAAATCCACGATCGGAATAGTGTTATTTGGGTCCATGGCTGTGGTCATTGCAGTAAGTTGAGATCACAATTGTCTACGAAGTTCAGTGCAGGTGAGACCACGGGTGAACGCAGCTGCATCCAATAGGAAGGTTTCCAAGAATCCGACCGAAGTCATTGTTATAGATTTGAATAAAGTCAGACAATTTTACTTTCATTTTCGAACCTGCAGTGAAGGATTTGAAATAGAAGCTGCAATACTTGGCGTCAAGCTTGGGCACACTTTCGGGCGAATTGGTTGCTGTGGCAGGGATCCCGGTGGAGAGATGGGCGCACTCCACTACATCATTCCCTCTTCATCCTGAACCCTGATCTGAAATTCTTCACTGCACAATTTTAAGGAGTTAAATCCCATTCTCCGTGAGTCTTAACCAATTCCAATTTTGAAGGTCTTCGTGTTCGTTGTGCGTCAATAATGCTAATCTTACTCCTTTGAGTAGTTTGTTGACACCCCGACCCTCGATAACGCTACTTCGAGATTTGAGAAATTGAGAGCATCGGACAAGTCCTAAACACAATACTAATCCTCTCAAGCCTCCGTTTAATCGATCGCATTGGAAAAACAGATACCGCCGATACACTTGCCGCTAAGGTTATAAGAATGCGAGCATCCTGGTGGATCGGGATCTGGGCGACATTCCTCCCCACGGCCGTCCTATCGATAGACACAGCACCCTTTATTTCGCCCGAAGACGTCGAGACCAGCAAGCGAGCCTACGAGATCCTCCAGATCCTAAAGCGCAACGATAACTGTCCTAGCGGATACAATGCCTGCACGAACGAAGGCAACTCCAACGCCTGCTGCAAAGAGGGAACAACTTGCACCAAAGACTCCGCAGACAACATCGCTTGCTGCCCGACCGGTGCAAGCTGCACAGGCAGTCTGACTGCCACTGCGACCGCGACTGGCACCACAGAAACCGGGAGCAGCTTTGTATTCCCTCAAGGAGCGACCGCGACAACTACGGAGTCCGGCTCGGAGACCACATCTACAGTCTCAGGCGCATATCCGTTCGTCTACGTGCCGACTAGCTTCGCGAACGCGCAGACGTGCTCTTCTTACTACTCGCAGTGTCAGTCGGAGTATACGGGCTGCACGCAGGCTCTCATGGGCCGCTACGGAGTGACGGTGGGTGGATCCGGTGGGGGTGTGACGGTGGAGGCGGTCACCGCAACGTCGCAGGCCACGTCTATCTGCTCAAGTTTGAGCGCTAAGGCTTGCCATGGATTGAGTCTTGGTTATTGCGCTTCGGTGGAGACAGCCACAGCGACGGATGCCAGTGGGAACGGGGCTTTGCCGGGCCGGACCTCCAGTCTTAATGATTTGGCATTAGGGTTAGTTGTTGGGGTTGCGGGCATGTTCGTTTGATGTGATTTGATGCGATGTGATATGATTTTGGATGCATTTTTTCTAGGGGAACTGAGGTTCTTCTCTATGTTTTTGTATATCTTGTGATGATTATGTTTTTATGAACCCCGAGCGCTTGGGGATGTCCATAGCTAGAAAATCGATGAGATGACATGCACAGTTGCAATTCCAGCCGACGCGGGATTATGGGGCTTCGGGGCGATTGGGCCGTTTCGTGTTGGGCTGTCCATTGGTCGCACCGATAGTTGCATAGTTGCGGTCTATTGTTATTGCAGTTGATTCCCAACAGCATCAGTATGATCGGATCATTGTCTAATATAAGCTATATCTTAAGTATGTTTGGCTGCATGTCACCTGTATTTGCACTGTCGAATTGACTCTACAACTGCATTGAGTTGACAGCTTGAAGATCAGGGATCCGACCGCATGGTTGATCGCTGCCACGCGGGGTTGGGATGAGACGGGGATTACTGCATATGCAATTTAAATTGGCCTGTCAGAATACAGGATTCAGAGACAATGTACAAGAAAAGTGTCGGGAAGAGTTTCTTTTTTTTAATATAATTTGAAACCCAGCCTCCCAGATTAAAAAGAAAAGTGCGGTAAAGACGTGGTTATTGGGCGGTTTCCAAGCTTTAAATCGGGTGGTTGGGTATACGGAGGCTGGGAAGTACACAGCAACCACCACTTTTCTCTTTTCCATTTCTCTTTGTTTCCTAAACACTTCTGCATTCCTTCTCCCGCTTGGAATCTTTCGCGAATCTTCATTTTGTTCCCCCAAGGGTGGTCTACCGTTGTAGATCGGCCAGGGTATACAAAGTCGGGTACTAGTTTCGAGTCATCGCAGCCTGCATAACGACAAACAAACAACTCGTCCCAACAATTCAAATCTGCAGCGTTCTCAAGATATTCCAGACGCAAAGTCACCCATTCTTCGCCATGCGATCCTCCACCATGACCCCCGCGCTCTCCAGCCTATTGCTCCTACTGAATTTTGTCCCAACCGTCATCGCAACCCCTCTAGCAACAGCCCTACCACTGGACGCTTTGCAGATTTTGGAAGGGAATGCCCTTGAAAAGCGATGCGAGAATCCCTGTGGCTCTGGTGATTGGCTATGTTGTGGTTCCGGCGCAACCTGTTATACAAACAGTGCCGATCAAGCAGCATGCAGTACAGCGGGCAGTGGATGGGAGTACTACACTACAACTTATGTGGTCACAGAAGTCGATCGCTCCACCGTCGTCTCCGTCTGGAGCTCCCAGGTCACAGCTACCGCAACAGCAGCCACGGCCACTGCAACATGCGACGCCGGTCTAGCCCAGACAACATGCGGAACCAATTGCTGTAGTGCGGACGAAGAATGTGTGGACGGCGAGTGTGTCCTTGAAAGCTCCTCCGCAGCAGTTACCGGTGACGCTACACCTGCAGCACGAGGAACGAGTAGTGGTTGGTCTACTGCGACGGCCACAGCGGCCGCTACCACGACAGAGGGATTCATTGCGCCGGTCAGCACAGATGGATCTGATTTGATCGGAGCTAAAGCAACCAGTAATGGAGGTGGCCTGAGTGGCGGAGCAATTGCGGGTATTGTTATCGGTACGATTGCCGGTGTGATTCTGCTCTTCCTGCTCTGTGCCTGCTTCTGCTTCAAGGAAGCTCTGTACGGTCTACTCGCTGCGCTAGGTTGTGGCAAACGTCGCAAGAAGCAGGAAACCATCATCGACGAACGCTACTCGCACCACTCGCATGGTAGTCGCCCACGTCCACAGGGTGGCCGAACATGGTTTGGAACTAAGCCTGCGGCGAGCGAAGTCAGTGAGAAGAAGTCTTCTTGGAGTGGCTGGGGCACGGTTGCCGTTATCCTAGGAGCTCTTGCGCTCTGCTTGGGATTGAAGCGACACAGGGATCGGGAACATGATGATGACAGAACTGAGAGCAGTTATCCAAGCTCATATTCCTACTATTACTCGGACTACACCAGAAGTGAGTCTTTCCCCGCCAATGGCTTATCCTTCGTATACTAATGATTACCCCACAGGTAGCGACAGCTCTGGAGGACGAACTCGAGACACACGACGATCTCGCAGATCACGCACACGATCGCGACGCTAAAGGACGTGACAATCCTTTTCTCTGACTGATTTGATTTTTTGAGCTACTGATGCATTTTCGGCGCCGTTGATCTACGATTCATGTACCATAATGACCTACCCTATGATTTTTTGCCTTGGCCTGGATGTGATGATATTATGCTTTTTTTCATGTCGATATGAGAATTTTCCCTTATGACGGCTCTATTTTGAGATGTTTTTTTTTTTTTGGCAGGTACAATTGGGGATGCACATATGAGCTATTGGAGATGCCGAAAATATGATAAATGAGAATCGTTATAATTGGTGACTGATTCTAAGTAAATTGACAAGCGATATCAGCCTGCATGAATACTACTGTACATTTTAGCTTTGGTTTGAGGTCAGCTCTAGAGTTAATGGTTCCAAGGGACCAAGCAAGAAGCCGTGATTGGGGCTCGTCTTGCAGGTACAAGGTGCTTTGTTCGTAATGATAGCCCCGGCAATATGCTCCACGCACCAATTCTGCAGTCGGTCCCGAGGCATATGAAATGCATTGATTAAGTTAGAGCTCCAAGAGTATTACCGAGCCATTCATTCTAAGAAAAATAGACAGAGGCTAAGGGGTGGTTTAAAAAGTTGAATATCCGTGTGACAAGGGCACACAAACTAAGGAATCCGCGGTGGAACTCATTTCACTCCCCGCCTTCCGACCTTCTCTTTCTCCCTCGTCAGGCAGACTTCCGCCCCGGTTCTTGGTTCTTTCCACCCCCAACACCAATTCATCAATGACTCTCAACCTGAGTCCATACTGCTGACCTTCTCTTTTCTAACTCCTACACTTGTCTCCGAAAATCCCTGTCTACCCGGTTTTCACCCCAGTCGCTTAAACAAGGAACCCTTCGGAGGATTACGAATTCCCCGAAACGTCTCATCATCGCTCGCCATGCTACAAGCGCAGAGCCAACACGTCTTCTCCCACCAGCATCAGTACCCACAGGCTGATCCCGCGTGGCTGCAGCACCAACAGCAGCAGCAGCAGCAACATCACCAGGCACAGCCGCACCAGCAACACCAGCAGCAGCACGCCTCCTTGGTCGCTCAGCAGCATGCCCAGGTTCAGGCTGCTGCCGCTGCGGCACAGCAACAACATTATGGTCGCCTGGCTATGAGCGGCAACGGCGCTGTCAATCCCGGTCAGAATGCTGGAGGACTCGGCAACATGGGCGGAGAGGGTCTGGCCAATGCGATCTCCGGCATGGACGGTACTATCAGCGATGAGAATCGCAAGGTCTTCATTTGGGTTGCAGAGCTCCTGGACCCAGCCCGCAGGGAGGCGGCGCTCATGGAACTGAGCAAGAAGAGGGAGCAGGTCCCTGAGCTGGCCCTCGTGATCTGGCATTCGTTCGGTATGATATTATCGCTATTGTGGGGGCGCTTCCGACCGGAACTAACTGTCGGCAACTTGCAGGTGTCATGACTGCCCTTCTCCAGGAAATCATCTCGGTCTATCCCCTCCTGAACCCTTCGCAGTTGACGGCCGCTGCATCAAATCGAGTCTGCAATGCGCTGGCGCTCTTGCAGTGTGTCGCATCCCACAATGAGACGCGCACTCTTTTCTTGAACGGTAAGCCATAGCCATACCGACCAACTCCCCCGCCTTGCTAACTGTTCATGTGTGTCGCATAGCCCACATCCCTCTCTTTCTTTACCCCTTCCTCAACACCACCTCCAAATCTCGCCCATTCGAGTACCTCCGCCTCACGTCGCTCGGTGTCATCGGCGCCCTGGTGAAGAATGACTCATCGGATGTTATCAACTTCCTGCTTACTACTGAGATCATTCCTCTCTGCCTTCGTATCATGGAGACCGGATCCGAGCTGAGCAAGACCGTCGCCATCTTCATCGTTCAGAAAATTCTGCTTGATGACATTGGCTTGGCATACATTTGTGCGACCTACGAGCGCTTCTACGCTGTTGGCACTGTCCTCAGCAATATGGTCGGCCAGTTGGTTGATCAGCAAACAGTGCGACTGCTCAAGCATGTCGTGCGCTGCTTCCTTCGGTAAGTACCATTCACTGCACATATACCGAGTGTAGAAACTCATATGAGACTCAGATTGAGCGACAACAGTCGCGCCCGCGAGGCATTGCGACAATGTCTACCAGAACCTCTCCGGGACGCCACCTTCTCCTCCGTCCTCCGAGACGACGCAGCCACCAAGCGCTGCCTGGCTCAGCTCCTGATCAACCTTTCAGACAACGTGTCTGACGGAGCTTCGGCGGCCATGTAACATACAAAAACGCATTTCTTTCATCGCGGGACGTTTTTTTCTTACAACCTTACGTTATGCATGGGACAGGTTTCTGGCGAGTATCGGTGACAAGGCGCAAAAGTTATGGGTAAAGCGCAATATTAACCAACTATCACCATGATGGGCCTTGGTGGTAGTGTGTTTCTATTTTGGCTGCTTTTCTCTTTCATTCTGTCTGTTTTTTATCGCAGCATTTCATCTTGGGACAGTTCCGGGATTCGGTGATTTTCGTGTCGATGGGAGGGGACTCATGTATTCCTATGTCCTTTTTTTCTCTTTTTGTTCTCTGCCATTTTCTTTCATTCTGCTTGCATCTTTGCTCTCCCATTTCTGTCTTCCCCTTATATTAGTTTTTCGTGGCGCTCACAATCGGGTGGCGTGGGTTTCTGGTTGGCGCTGTCGTTTATGTGCATTATTACCCTCAATCCCTCTCCATTTTCGCTATGAGATAGACCCCTTCGAGCCAGAGATACCACGACCCAGTCGTCGGTTTGTTTTCGTTTTTTTCCGCTCTGCTGGCTTATCTCTGTACATGTTCTCAAAAAGAATGTACTTTTTGATCTGACTATTCTAGTAGACTGGGATGCGTTAATGTATATTGTCTAATCTGTGCTATGAAATAAGCTACGTGATTTTCAAGGTACCCGACATTGAAACCATAGATTACAGTGATCTATAAAGTGCCTAGCTAGTTTTAGCACAGTGCTGTTATGAAGACTAGGTACCATTGCCCAGTGGATAAAGTCTAGGGTGGGTCGATCGATTTATATGTATCCACGGCCCCGAGAGCCATCTTTTTAATCCCACAAGTAATATTCCACTTGGGATCTCAAGGTCTCCAAACATTTTACCTTGACCTCACAGAGCGCCTCACACCCTGATACCTAGTCAATTCAATGTTTAATGCAAGAACAATTGTCGAACGTTGAAATTCTGGTTCTTTTCTGGGAGATGAACCAAACGCGACACTCACGTGATCTACCCGTCCCGACGCGCCATTCACTGAGATCATCTCGCCTCTTGGACACGAAGAGAGTGAAAAAAAGACGACATCTCCGTTTATCCTCACTATCCTGCCAAACAAATCCTACTTCTTTACCAATCTGACACAATCACGTACCTGTGTGACTGTGGCTACATCCCGACTCCTTGACCTACCCCTCGAAGCAACCTCCCCTACCAACACCCCGGCCTTGACCGGCGTCCCGCCGCCATGGGATCGCGAAAGCGCAGCCGCTCCGATGCGATTGCTGCTCCTGTGCAGCAGCCCACAGAAGAACCGGGTTTGCTCCAGCAAATTCGCAACAGCTGGGAATTCGCCAGTCTCATGCAATACATTGCCATTTTTGGCAAAATTATGAAGATTGATGAGGATTTCGAGATCGAGGTAAGTAGACGTGCGGAATCTGCTTATTGCCCTGTGCGCGCCTCTTAATTGGTGGCGCATGGAAGAAATTCATACCTCTGCGTGTTTGGCGCGCTTTTTTGATTGTTGGGCGGGGTGGCTGACACTTTATCCTTTTTTTTCTGTCTGATCTAGGATCTTGAAGATGAGTGCCTCAAACCCGAGCATTCGCATAAGCTGTTGGAGATTGGTCTGTGTCTGTTGAAATGGGTCTCATCGCATCGGGGTCTTACGTATGTCAAGATGAAACGCCCTTCGAGGCTACGCCTGGGATGAAGTGGTGAGAGCTAACAATTTGAGGCAGGAACGACACCTTTGATGAATATACACGTCGACAGTACAACGCAAAGTGTCCGCACATCCCTAATCCCTTCGGTTACGATGAGGAACCTCTGAAGTTCCTCCACTTTGATGTGTTCACCAAGCTTCGCGTCCTCCACCAACTGTCTGTGTGGACTTTCTGGAATGCTGATCGCATTCGGGATAAGATGCCGGAGAAGAAAGAGAGTGAACAGCTTCAATGGGTGAGTCCGGCGCTTATTTGGTTACCAAGCCCTTGCTAACTTTCTATAAGCGCATAGAAGAATTCGGATTTGACCGCGAAGGTCGCTCCTACTATGTCCTGGATGATAACCGTCTTTATCGCCGCACCGATCCTCCCATCCCCGCGCAACAGCGCCCCAAGAAGAAGCCTAAGAGTCGCTCTTCGCGGACCTCCCGAACCTCGAGACGTGTGTCCGCTCTTGCCGCGGAAGAAGAATCCGATAATGAAAGCAAGGGGGAAACTACCAACGGCACCTCATCTGGAGACCAATACAAGTGGGAGTGCATTGCTGTTACCTTGCCAGAATACCAAGAATTCCTTGAAACTATTCGAAAAAGCAAGGATGCGGATGAGAAGTATCTCCGCGATCAAATTGAGGAGCACGTCATGCCCCTACTCGAGAAGACTGAGGAGGCACAACAGCGCAAGCGCATGAAGCGGGAGAAGGAGCTGCTCAACATGCAGCTACTTGCTGGAGCTAAGCGATCCAGCCGACTTCAACAAAAGGACGAACGCGAGCGTGCCGAGAGAGAAGCCATTGAGGCTGCCCGGAAGCACGAGGCTGATCTGGCCGAGGCTCGTCGGGAGCAGGCCAGACAAAACCAGCTCGAGCAAGACCGACAGTCGCGTATGATGACCCGTGAGCAGCGGACTAAGGATCGCGAGCAGAAGCGCCTTTTACATGAAGCAGAGCTTGAGCGAATCGCCGCAGAGCAAGAGAAGTTGGAGCGCGGCGAAGGCAGAGTCTCTGCGCGGAACCTGAAAGCTGAATTGGAGAAGTCTCAGAAGAATCTGACAGAATTGTCGCAAGACGATGAGTGGGTCTTCGACTGCTCTGGCTGTGGTGCCTATGGCGAGAACCTCGACGATGGCAGCCACAGCGTTGCTTGCGAGAAATGCAATGTCTGGCAACACAGCAAATGCCTTGGAATTGCACAGCAAGATGCGGAGAAGGAAGACTTTCACTTCGTCTGCGGTGATTGTAAGCGAAAGGCGGAAGAGGCCAGTAGGCCTAAAATTCCCCCTCTTAAGTTCCGCGTTAGCTCTTCTGCGTCACCTCAATCCACTCCTCCGTCGAGCAAGAAACGAAAGGTGGAGGACGAAGATCTTATCCCATCGTCGCCTGTGAAGCAGACCCATGCTGCCTTGTCTAGCCTGCAAATTGGCCCTCAGGCGCCTACAAACTCCGCTCAACCTTCTCTTCCCCCTCTCACCTCCCAAGGCCAGTTCTACGTTCCTCCATCCCCCGAACGTCGCCTCCACCCCACAAATCAAACCCCTTTGCCTTCTTCAAGCCCTCCTCGGCCAACTTTCTCTCCGCCAAAGAATGGCCCTATTCACCCTTCTATGGTTGCACCCGGCCAGCATGTGTTCAAACCAATGCAGCCAGGTCCTCAGCTACCTCCCATTGGGGCTTTCCATACAGTGCGGCCTTCCTCCTCCCACTCTGGGCGTACTCCGACCCAAAACCAGCCGGCTATGTCGCCTACCCAGGGCAACCACGAGGTTGGCCCCCTCGCTGGATTCCCGCCCGTAGCGCACGCGAATGGAACCGGCAATTGGTCTTCATATGAAAGCTACACGACTCCCCGCCCTCAATCTGGACATGGAATCCCACCCTCTATGTCTAGCCACTATCCCTCCTTCTCTGCCCGTGGGACCCCAAATGGCAACCACTCCTCTCCTCCGCACAGCTCTCACGGAATTGGCATGTCGGGGATTAGTCCAACGAAGCAATCGCCTCGCCCCGTAACTTCGGGTAGCGGTATGGCAGGTGCTCCGGTCCTACCTCCGATCCGCCGGCTGGAGCCCAGCCCAAAACTCATGGGTCGTAGCTCGCCGGATGCTCCAATTCCCCCGCCAGTGAAATGCATGACACCAGAGCAAGAAGAGCGTCGAGCCCGTGAGAATGCTTCACTCTTTCACCCGGGTCCCGGCCACAGCACTCTCATGTCTTCACCCTCCATGAACCGTATTCCTCCTCTTGGACCTGCAGCCACACAGCCAGAGCCTATGTCATCGCCTCAGCGAGGCGGTGATGCTTCGCGGCAGTGATATTATGAATAACGTCAAATTTGTTCTGTGATTGAGCGATCCATCACATATTTGGTGGGTTTGACTCTTCAGGATGAATAAATTGTCACAATGCTCTCTATTCTTTCTTGTATCCATCGACGTTCTTTCGATCAGATCAAGCCATCAAAAAATCTCGCCGTTGAATTAAACATTATGGAACTTTTGGCAATATCCACTCTAATTTTCCACGGGCTCTTGGATTTGACGTGTGGATCTATCCGCTCTGAGATGAGGAGCGAATGGTGATAATCCGGAGTCATTACCCCCAAGCCAACCTCAATAGTCCAGAAAGTGGATAAGGTCTGTGTGCTCGATCGATCTTACGATCACCAACTTGTTGGACAGTAGTCCAATCTCAAGTTGGTAGATTGATTGATGGATGTGATGTGATCGATTGATTTGCGTTTGACATGGGGTTAGTAGCCCTGATGTCTAAAACTTGTCTTTTTTTGTTATTTTGTCCAAGGTGTCTGGAGCCCCTACGAGCTTTGATACCATGTAGGCACCAGTGTTTTCTGTTCCTGTTCTGTTACCATTTCCTTCATATGTGCATTAAGATGGTTGGGGATTGGGCGTTTTCAGAGGGCGTGGAGGCCGGAGTTCACGATTGATTTATCTCCTTGGCCTGGGCTAGGAGTGTATTGTAATAGAGAACTCATATTGAGATCATGCACAATCACTGTTATTAGATGTCTGTACTAGGTAGAATAGTATTTCTAGAAGATGTCTAGCAACATTTGAAGCAACACAGGGCTCACATGTAGTAGTATCACTATAGCGTTGTAAATCATGCTTGGTAATAATATCTGATAATTACAAAAAAACCAATTTCAACAAGATCATTGTAACATGCAACATAGATGACCCCTCCGTCCCCCCCTTCCCCTGAGCGTGATTGCGAGCACAGTAAGACCTGGATAGCTGCCGCTGCAGGCTGCAGCGACCGTCAAACCTAGCCAGTTGTATCCACGTAAAATCCAACAGCGGCTCCTAGCAGATTGCGCAGTCACGTAAACCCCTCTACGGTTTAATGTCATATGCTGATTTTTCGATAGCGCAAAAGAATGGGGAAAAAAAAAGATTAAAAAAAAGGCAAGCTAGTAAAGTACGAGGCTATACATAATTGACCCACCTGGGCACACATTATGTACGTGGGTACTAACGGCGCGCGTATTACCTAGTATAGCAGTATACGCAATGCAGGCTAACGATGCAAAGTGTTGGGCATCTAGGAGTTTTGTTCGATCTAGAGGACCCTAGATCCAATCACGTGGATAATGCAGTCCATACGCGGGCCAGGAAAAAGAAAAAAAAAGGCTCAAGGACCAAGATCGATTTACGCTAAAAGGGCGGGTCCACTTTCGTACAAGCGATGACACTAGCTAGACGCGCGCGATCTGCGGGGCCCGTGTGATTCGTCCCCCCACCCCCTAATCCTCACCCCCTCTATGGAAAATTTGGCATAGAGAGAATTTTGGCGAGATGTGCTTAAACACGTATTTGATCACCTCCGCCGGGGAGGATTGGTAATCAATACTCTACAAGTCTCCATCCCTGAACCTTACTTCTCGCGACAATCTAGATCATGTATGACACCTATACCATTGAATCCTGAATCATGATCCGCAGAGCCGTTCATTTTCTTTCGAAGATGAGAAGATCCTCAAAGCCGCAGAAGACATCATTAACTTCGAGTCATGGACTTTGTAGAAGCTCTTGAACCGTACAATATCCATGTAGATCCTTGAAAAGCCATCTTTCCTCTACTTCGGGTACTTTTGTCCGCATACGTCCGCCTCCATCTTCGTATAGGTACGAAGCTCAAGGATGCAGATCCTCGAAGAATCACAGTGATCGTGACGAGGCTATCAAGCTAGTAAAGTAGTTCGTTCTTAGTCCAGCTGTTGCCTCTCCCGCACCAATAATGTGACACTAGTAAACGAAAAAAAAAAATAAAAATAAAATAAAAAATAGGTCCCGGTGCTCAACCCCCAAACAGTAGTAAGCCCTTACACTAACGAGGATCGATCCGCTATGGAGTAGCCTCTCGGCTGTTCCGGTGAAAAACCCCGTATATCATGGTCCCCTTTCCCTGGTGCGCTTGTTCATCTTGGTAAAGAGGGTTCCGGGGAAGGCATTCCGCGGTTCCTGTAGTGGGGAGTCGCACAATTTACAGCGTACTTTCATTTCTTCGAATAGGGAGTGCCGTGATTGGGTGCGGCTTACCCATCACATTTCCTGAAAATGAGTGAGGCGAACTGGTGTGGTACAGTAGGCCCCGTGCGGTCCGCGCGGAGCGTCAAGCCCGGCGTTCGGGATTGCCGCTCCGTTTAGTCGGAGAAAGCCTTAGCAGTCAAGGCCATAAAGTTCGAGTTAAAGTCAAAACTAGGTGCCAAAGTGTATTTGCTATTCTAGAACTGATCGCCTGATAGATAGGAGTTGAACTGTGGGAGGAATTCTTTCATTCGCGGGCGGATGAACTATCGACGAGAAGCGTAAGAGTCTAATGGATACGAGTAAACCTACTCTACATTCAGTTAGCGTTGCGCATCCTGAAATTCAAGAATGACTGGCGGAGAAATGGTCTTCCATTTCCTGTACCTATCGCTTCAGATCCTTACTACACAGCAGGTACACTATACTAGGACAACGTGATCTATTCTCCGCGAAAAACGAAACGTGCCCCTTTTTACAGTCATTTTTATGATGAGCTCGTGGAGTCCTTCCCGAGGTAAAAAAATATCCTCGACGGAGTACACCCGAATAACGGCACTAACCCTAGCACACTTGCATCAGAATCTGAGAAAGGAAGGAGCCTACTCTGGGAACGCCATGATCCATCACAGTAAAGTTTCTTCGACCGTTTAGACGATCAGGATAGCTCTGAGCACCGTGCACAGGATCCACTCATGCAGCTCATCTCCTTGCAAAAGTGGAACCGAAGTTAGCCCGTCCGCTCACAGGCATAGAATGGGTGGGGTGTGGGAAAGAACGGCGCGATTGTGTATGATGTGCACTTCCCGCCCGAACCAACAGGAACAGACTTTGAATTTAGACTTCTGGAGACGCGTAGTCTGAGTTGTTGTGATCTCATCACCGATTAGCCGATTACCCTTGCCCGAGTACCCGACTTATGTATAGCTATCCCAGCTATCCTTATGGGGCCTACCAAGGTACGCGCGTCTACGAAGAGCTATTTCTTGACTTATAATTTTTGCGGAGACTCATGCTAGTCTTTAAGCGACATACGTATTTTCTTTATTTTTTTTAGCGACCTGGTATGACCCAACGCAAGTGCATACTGGTCAAAATAGCTGTGGGGAAGTGTGGAATGGTGGATGGCGGCAAGTATTTGTCAACTCTTAGTGGGATAACGGGGCGGACTATCGTCCTCCCTGGCCACAACAGCACGGACAATTGCATTCATTTTTGTCAATCTCCTTTTCTTTATTCGCTAGAGAGAATGAATATTTTCTATATAGGATCTTATTGGGAGGATATCCCACCGGGAGCTTAAATTATGCATCGGAGTATGTGCCTTCAGGCTAAGATAGATACTTTCCCAACTCCACACTATCAATTCCATTTATTTTACAGAGCAAGAGGGAGAGTCTCACAATCTCGGACATGCCGCTCTCCTTTGAATCAACATGAAATTGGTAAACAGGCAAGAAAATTAATGGGGGCCCAAGGTTGTAACTAAGAAGTGGATCGGCCGTAATCTACTGTACCGCTCGGCTGAGTTCGGCCGATGGGGGCCACGGGAGAGCCTGATCTAAGACAGAACTAGCATAGGGCCATGAAACGGGATCTCTATCACAGCCAAACGTGTAGTAAGACGAGGACGAAATTTGGTTCTTGCCTCTCTTTTCCTCCCTTTTTTGAACCAATTTTCTTTTCTTCTCTTTCTCCATGATGTGGTAATCCTCATGGAGGTATAGTTCAGACTCTAAAACTGGCATGTTATGGTTTGAACGCTTCAACCTCAAAATCGATTGCCCCGGGTCCGATATGCAGAAATTGATGGAAGCGGTCGACAAAGCCGATTCGCCAACACATGACCATTTCCGTATGCGAGACTATTCTTTTAGTGAAAAAGAGCCACAATTGATAGGCAAAGACTGGGGTCTTGTGCCGCTATGACGAACACATTTAGCCCACCCCGGTCACTTCCCCTCTTTCTTAGGGCCAGATTCTGAAACCCGCATCCTAAATACCGCAGATTTGAGCAAGCCCGATGGTCCCCGTAAGGCCCGGACCTTGCGCCTGGCGTGCACCAGAAGGAGTGCTCCGTAGTACGGAGTACCCCCCTTGGACAACTTCCACTTACGGATAAGATCCGATGTGATCGGAAGATCTAGATCTCTTGTTTGATTATAGTGAGAGAAGGCAGATCACACGTGCTATCCCCTTTTCCTATCTGAGCCTGGCGGGACTTGGGTCATGAATACGAACGTTCAGAGTCAGGGGTGTCTGTGGGAGGGGCTGACACTCGGTACTTGAAAACGAAAAGATAACCGATGACTGAGATAATTTTGCCCCAAGGAAATCAAGAAACTGCTGTTAACTCGGTAATCTCGCCATGTGGATGTCATGGAGACGCAGTCATGACGCCCAGATGCATAAGCATGGATGTGTTGGGATCGTGATACTGGTCGCAGCAGTGGCGGTGTCCACAAACCACGTCGTTGCCCTGCACAAGAGAAGTGGACAGGAGACCATAGCTCACGATATGATGATCGACAGTCAGTGCCGGCTCGTCCACCTTGGCAAGGCAACAACAAGCGAATCTCGCTGTAAAAAAGTACGGCACAGGGCTACAACGGTTTTTCCTAGAGTGAAACAGGCAGAGTGGATCGAGATGCACCAGAAACCAGGCAATCAGATCACGCAGACAGAAGATACGCGCTAACGCTTTCCAGCTGCATTTTGCGATGCAATGTGGCAGGAAAACGGGAATATACCGAGACCAATGGGGAGGCTGTTCTGGTGTTGGGTGACAGCGCCAGTGTGATTACCCACCTGCGGCCAGATTGTTTTAGGTATGGAGGATGCTTTTTTGGTTTTTTGTTTTTTTTTTTTTTTTTGGTGTTTTCTGTGTTTCTGTTCTTCTGTTTGTTTTTCAATTTTCCAAAATCTTTATTTTTTATTTTTTTATCTCGCGATGTTGCGACTCGAGTCATGTCACATCGAAAGAATGGACGCCCCCGGACCTTTTCAGGATTGAGAGCCTTAAGCCTCTCTGGATACCGAGGTTGAAGCAGATCTGCAAGGGTTAAAAGCGATCCCCGAATGTATTTCTTTGTGATCGGGGAATCCTCGTGGCAGCCACCTGGAAGGTTTTCTGAGATTTCTCCTAAAGCAGTAAACGCCCACAGAAACTTGCCGGTTGTAATAGGCTGAGCAACCGGGTCGCCACAGGGCCATGGACCTCAAATCTCAAATCATCAACCCGACCAACTACCAAAAGTGAGCGATTGCCCGCTGATCGATGGCGAAAGTCAACCAGTGATCTACGTACGAGCACGGCAAGATCGTCCATCCCAGGCGTAATTTTCATTTCGCGCCGTTGGACTCCCTAGTGACGACCACTGTGCCCCGTCTAGCGCCATCCACGGAAATCAAAATCCACGGAAATCAAAATCCACGGAAACCAAAATCAGACACGGCAGGGGTTTATTGCCGACATGCCAGATGTGGAAAGGTATCAAGCGTTGGCTTGTTGGACTCCATACATCCAAATGTTATTTGTAGAATTTCGGCTACTCCCATAATCTGTCGATCTTCCACAAGGGCGTCAGTATGGATAAGAATAACTCTTGTGTTGAAGCTCATTGAAACAGGATATCTTTAGAAACTCACCGGATGTGGTAAAGAAAATATAGACGCGAATGTTTGAGAGTGAGACAGACAGACATCGGCGTTCGGACGCATCTGAGCCGGCTCAGAACAAAGGAAAAACGTGGGCGAAAGTTAATTAGTGAACCGCCTCTGATTCGAGCTGTGGTGGAGTCCCAGATTCCTTGTAGAAGGCCGAGAAGGCAAGATGACGAGCCAGGGCTATGCATGTTGTCATTCACTTGCAACCCATGGAGGAGAACAGACTGCAGGGCTTGACAGGTTGAAGGTGGTTCAGCGGGCCTGAGCGTCGGCTCCCTAGAAGCCACGTTTTGTCGTGTATCTATCGACTGGAGATAGTTGAGATTTGGAATTTCAATAGTCGAGTTGATCGACAAATTGGAACGGTGTCAAGGCAATTCGATCTACAACGTGCACTTCCATGTCTAATGATCCTGCAGGCAAAGAGCTTAGGTCCTCGTAGAATTAGAGGCACCCAGCACCTAGGTACTGGGAATGCCTCCCCCGTTCGCTTTGGCCATGCAGCACCCAAAAAATCTAAGTTCGGCCACATGGCGGACTGCGCCCCCACCCAGAATAGATCTGGTCGAATTTATTGGAATAGAAGATCTGACGCCCGACCAGGATCTCTCATAATGAGATCCATGCACTCATCGCCCAGAAAATACCGAGTGGAAACGTGGTCGAGGGGTTCCTGCGCAAGGTAGGATCGGGAAACTGCAGGGGATGCTCTCGAACTTCAGTTCGTATCAGCCGTGAAGATGTTCACCGCATTTCGAGGACGATACGGGGCGCAGTATCGTGGGCCATACCCTGGTCATTTGTTAGTATCAAAGAGAACAGTGTCGTCGAGCTAAGCTTGATCCGGCAGAGGGCGTTGGTGTTCCCTGCAAGCGCGGAGCCGCATAACTTCCGATGCTATAGTTCGGGGACACGGTGTTTTTGCCTCCGGGGTCACTATTCCTGACATGCATGTGTATTGAGGTGTGGTATGTTGTGGTTGTTGGATCCCGATATCAGCCAACATTGGTCCCCGAAGTCAATTGACGTATCGTCCTAGGGCGTGTCGATCCCATGCAGGCTGGAGTGGACCACACGTGATGGGCTGATTAGCGCGGGGAGAAAAGGCATGCCCAAGCAGCCACCAAGGGAGGGACGGAAAAAGAACCCTGGTTCAGATGGCGCGAGGAGATTGGTGAGAGTCATGAGCGCACATGGACCCCACAAAAGTTTGGGAACGGATATCCCGAAGCGGTAAGTGTGCCAGTAAACGAAAAGGTGAGTGGTCCAGTGTAGGCATCACGGAAATTCCAGCCAGACCAAGGTAAAGCCAATCACAATTCAGTGGCGTAGATAGATTCAAAAAAGGGGAGATGAGCATAACGAAGCATAGGGCTACTCTATCTTGAGCCGAGCAGGCCCCACATCAAGTGTCAGTACAAGCCCGTCGATCAGGAGGATCCCGGCCCCTCCGCCCGGAACCTAAGAACCACTACGCGAGATAGACGACGGATTAATTACGGTATTATTCTTTCCCCAGCCGAACCACTTTCTGATTCGCAGAGTGTGTAATTTGGAATTACTTCAGATCTACTAATTGCCGGTTCTCGATCCACGGTTGACTATGTGATAGACGCTGTCTGGAACTTCCAGTCCGCGATCTGAGTTTCCTTAAACTTTACTCAGTTCTTCCCCGGAGTTGATGGACGGACTTAAGTATATCGGAGATAGGTGGCTATCATGCGAAAATGGAGAGTGGACCTCCGTCGCCCAGGGAGTATGATCACTCACACGGTATTTGGGATGGAAATTTTGACCCCTAATACTTGTCTTGCAGGTACAAGTGGATACCTCTAGACGCTATAGCATGTAAATTTCGTTGACAAGCTCCGTTTTAACGGCTGAACGCCCCACTGCCAAATAGTTTAGAGGAGATTGATGCTAATCTTCCCGCCCTTTCTGGATTAGGAGCCTTGCATGTGGATGTACGATATGGCATATCGGACAAGCAATCATAAAAGACCGACGACACATTGGGAATGGATCTCTCTAGACAATATTCAGGAATCTAGTACCCTGGTAATCTCAGAACAGGCCATTACATCCCCGGATACTGAGTACTGGTTCCTAGACACGGCTCCACCAATCTAAATCCGTCCCACTTGGACATACAATCGGCTATTGAGCCCAACAATCGCTCCATTTTTAGCTGATGTTCTGTCGTCTCGCACATATGTTCATCCATATTTGGTACAAAGAGAGGATAACTATAGCACATCTGGGATACGACGCTGCGGAGCCCCCTCAAACTGAATACAAAAGAAACCAACCAAAGAACAAGCGAATCAAAATCGACATGGATTCCAAAAAGAGCAGGGCAGGCCAATGATAAATAAGACTGGGGAATACGTTGAACCAGATCCAGCCCCCCACGCCGCCATTGGTCGAATTTCCACCAAAAAGATTAAATCAAATGAATTAAATAAATTCGAATTCAATTCCAAAAAAGAAATGACATGGTTTTCAAAATAATATTCCCTGTCACGCTAAAACAAGAAAGAAAATAAAAATAATCCCAAAATGACCGACGTCTGGTCCATACTGTTGTTTTCCTAAGCTTCTTGAGTCAGTTTCAGCCTCTCAGGGAACTTTCCTCACTTGACATCTCCATCGCCCCTCTTCCTATTTATTCAAGGAACCTGCCCAGTGGAACTCATTCAAAGTGCACTCTATCCTTTCTTCCCCACCTTGACCCGATTGTTTGATGTGGTAAAGAATATCTCAGTGCTCTCGTTTGTCTTACCTGCGGTTTCTGCACTGTGTCGGATTACGAACTCTCAGTTCTCTGATGCAAGACTGCTTTCCACATAGTTGGGCAACATTGACGCAGGCTTCCTTCCTTCTTCTTCCGCTTCTTTTCTCTTTCTGGAAACGAAGCTCCCCAGGACTTCCTCTGCAGCTGTCTATCAAACTAGACAGCCGGTTCTAGAGAATCTCCTTCTATTCTTCTTTTCTTCCATTCTGGAACCTTGCCAAAGCAATACTCTGTCTTTGCCTGGCACTATGTCTATGCCTCCTACTCCCCCGAGCGAGCATGCTATTGAGAGAGATCTCCAGGAGACCTTTCCTCCTGCCCCCGGCCATAGAGAGTTTACGGAGTATCCAGATACTCAAGTCAACATGTTCCATGTCTCTCAGCACCCACCGATGTCAACTGTGGTAAGTGTCACAGATTCCCACTCTTATATCCTCCTGGACTGCAGATTCTGATATTCAGCAGATGTATGCACCACCGCCAGCTTACTGGCAATCCCTAATGCCAACTTCACATCCGGTAAGTGCTCATCTTCAACTCTACTTGACCGGGTCCATTCGGCTGATAAAGGAGTTTAGATGCTTTCTGACCAGGGGATCAGTACACCCCCCTTCCACAAATGATGAGAATCCCGGTAGGCTTTCTGCCTCTCCAAGCGCAGGCTGGTCCCCGTCCCCACAGCGCCGGGGCCAGGCCCCTCGAGCTAGGGCCACCCGGTCCTCTCCCCGTGAGCGGCGTCCCCGCGCCCGGAGGAATGTCTCTGCTCGCTCTAAGGTAGCCGAGGGAGGTGTACAAATTGGTGCACCCATGAGTGTCACAACCGCGCACATGCTGCACATTCCCATCCGTGACATGCACGCCTGGGCCCATCGGTCTGCTGAAGAGCGTATTGAGGAAGCCAGGAAAGAGAATAAGATCAAACGGCCAATGAACGCCTTCATGATGTATCGGTCTGCCTACGCAGAACGAGCAAAGGCGCTCATTAATCAAACAAACTATCAGGTTGTCAATCGAGAAATATCCTTCAGCTGGGCAGCAGAGGCAGAGGAGATTAAGAATCACTACCGGGACATGTCCAATATCGAAAAGGACAACCACCACCGCACATTTCCTGAGTACAGGTTCAAGCCCAATAGAGGACCAGCAGTCGCAGCGGTAGCAGAGCCAAGTTCTCCAACTCCTCCCGCTAGTGGCTCTTTCGGGGATCACCCTAGTCCTGCATGGAGTAATAGTGATCTTGATTATGCCGCTTCTTTCCACGACCGATCAAATGGTCTCGCATTTGATCCCCTTTACACCAGCCGCTCCAAAACACCAACAAACTATCAGGATCTGGCAGCCAATGACTACATGACTCCTGCCTGGAATGGCTACTATTCTACAGTCCAGCCTAGTGCCTTACATGGTGGGATGTCCCATGTTGAGGACGTACATTTCCCCCGCTCCACCCCACCCGCTCAGGAGATTCAATATGGCATATCCAATGGCCTGAATGGCCTTCCTGGTGGCTCTCACCATGATCTGCTTCAGCCTCAACGGGGCCAACCTTTTCCCGGTCGCATCGGATCAGACGGCAGTCTGAATCCCCAGATGCTCAGCTACGATACTGACTCTGGAGCTTCAGTAAGCCTTGCCCCAGCGTATCCTGCAGTTCCGAACCCCTATCCTGTCTGGGAGGAGGATTTCGCGGAGCAATTTTTGAGCAAGTCGGTTCCATCGGGTACATCGAGCCCGGCTCCATTCACTCATGTCATGTCGTCTTCTGTTCCGGTTAGCATGCAGCGAAACCCTTCCTGGGACCACAAACTTGAAGTCAATGAGACGGGTGAGTCATGGAATGTCGTGCATACCCCTTCGTCAAACTTTTAAATGCTATAATCATTTGCACGGAGATGTACGAGGCATGAAAAAACCAGGCGGGATTGTCTTTCGAAATGTAGCATGACGGGCTGATCCATACCTTAGCTCTTGGCTCCTGGCTGAGCTGAGCAAGCAAGGGGGCCACGCCGATGGGTTTTGTGGAACAAAATCCAGGAGGAAACCTTTTTCGGGGTTTGGCATTGGGGCGGTGGAGGCTCCTTTATTTCTTTTGTCTGATCAGGCTTTAATTATTTATTCCGCTTTATTTTGACTTGATTTGGTTTGGGCTATGTGATTTGAACCTCTGATTTTCTTTTGGAAGTAATCCCAAATGCCTGGGATTGGATAGATTGAAACTCGCCGGAGGATTTGGGATACATGTTTGGCGTATTTTGGCTTAAATCAGGAAATTCTCACGTTTAGATCCTCAAACAACAGTATTCATGATAATCTGCACGTATCTATGTAGCCTGACTTTTGAGAATTGTCAGTTTGAATGTTTCAAGACAAAACCGCGCTGTAAACTTTATGCAACTCGCCTTGAACCCTAAGTCCGGCCAAACGGCCTCACCGCCCAGCGTTTGCCCACCGCCTCCATCATCCAAGCGCAACTAATCTCCATCGTCGACAAGCCCATCTCCAGCACTGTCAGAGAGACAGGAATACCTACCGAGTTAATTCGATTGCTGCCTTGCAAGATTTCCCAGAACGCCTCCTACAAACAGGCAACCCGGCCTTCCTCCGCCACCAATCACCCCACTCGACCCCTCCCCCTCCAACGGACGCGAAGCTATACACAAGCCACCAACCCCGCAAATCACAATGTCTGTCCCTCCGGAAGCTCTGCAGAAGGTGAGAAGTTTTTTCCCGGCATACAAGCATCTGGAGTTTTCCGAACTACAAAATGTTTACAACCTGAGCACCCACTAACGAATGGACCACCCACAGCTCCTGCAAGAGATCGAAACCCGTGCCATCGCCTCCCAGCAGCAGATCAATGTCACCAAGGCCCAGATTACCGTTAAGCAACGCGAAATTCGCATGCAGCAGTTGACAACCAAGGAGTTGTCGGAATTGCCCTCAGAGACACGAGTGTACGAAGGTGTTGGAAAGATGTGAGTCTCTTCTCTTGCTTTCCTAGTCGCGGAAGCTAACTCTACTGCAACAGGTTTGTTAATGTCCCAATGAACACTATCAACAAGCGCCTCACACGCGAGGGCTCCGAGTCTTCAGCGGAGATCACCAACTTGGAGAAGAAGCTGCACTACCACGAGACAACATTGAAGAACAGCCGTGAGAACTTTGACCAGATTCTCAAGTCTGGAGGCCGGGCATGAGATATTCGAGGTGGTATAACATGATTTCATAAGAGGGCTTGGGACGGGTGCAAACTGGTTGGTATTCGATTTGAAGTCCCAGGGAGCAAACATTGGGCTTCCTGGGCATTGCCATCTAGTTGCCTCAGTACCTGCCATGTCGATATAAGTGCAAGATGGCGGTATTGGATACTCGAGAATCTCACATCGATGAGGCTAGATTTATGAAGAGAGGAAAGGGCGCCGGTCCCTTGGTGGGCATGAATGTGTTTGATTTACGGGAACTATATGTCCTGTTACCGGCCTTAGATACCCAGGAGCCTTTTGCGCCAACGATGATCTAGCAATAAGCCCTCGGATAAGGCTGCCAGTCTCGTTGCCGTTGACTGAACTCCATAAGAATAAAAGCTGATTACTGAATTTTATTTCTGTTAAGTTCAACTGTAATCTATTTGTTCTCGCCAGAACGGGTACCTACACAAATAATTTCATAGTCATGACCCTACAAGGGAGATCGTTCACTATGGAAAAGCATTGTGATCAAAAAGACTCGTACAAGGAGCTTGATTGGAGAAGATGTGTAATGATTTAGATGGAAAACAGGAAAGAAAGGGAGATAGTATGAGGGGAGGTGCAAGACGGGTAAGAAGTACTTAAAGGCAAAAAAAGGATGAAGAAGGATTTGAAGAGAGTATGCATTTAGCAAGGCATGGCGTTATATAATAGATACGAGAATACCTACATAACTCTTGACAAGGGGAATACAAATGACGAATGCATATTGATTCATCATGCTGTGTACAGGACACAAAGAGCAATGGTGGACACAATGTCCCAACCGAGAGATAGGAATAACACTGGTCCGCATCCAAAACGCCTTAACGCATTCTCCGCTTTCACGGCCGACAAAACACAAACATTGGAAAGAAAAAGAAAGAAATAGAGAAAACCATATTGTACGAGGCAGCACGAGAGTATAACACTGTGAAAGGACCGAAGACAAGAAGCAAGTTTGTACCGATGATAAGAATTTGGTTATGTAAAAAGACCAAAGCCAGGAAGAGCAAGTTTGACAGTCGTGGAAATAATGAAACGAGATCGACATATGGAAGACCCTTGGTGCCCTTAGAGCTTGGAGGTACGCGATCTCTTAGCAGCCGGCCCGTTCAGATATTCGCGATTGCCCTGTCTATCGAACCTCCATCTGCCGTGATTATTAGGGTTGGCAACAAAATTCTTTGGAACCATTTCATTGATGAATGAATAAGTTCTTTTGTTTGAAACGAGCTCTGGGGAGGGCTTTTGGGGTGGTGATGGCGTAACGGATGTAGACGCAGCAAAGGACTGCTGTCGGTTGATGGGGGCTCCCATAGAAGGCATCATCTGGTAGGGATGCTGATACTGAGGCGAAACGTATCCATATGGTGGCATAGTATAGTTGAAGCTGATGGGATATACAGGCGTCGTGGCCATAGTCGACTGTGCATTGGGGTCAGGCCCATATGGTGGGAAAGTTTGCTGGCTGTACATGGGCTGAGAATGATATTGTTGAGGGAAGTAGAGCAGAGGATAAGCTTGTTGCATGCTGAATTTTGGTGGAGGCACCTCTCCTGGACCTTTTTGCGGTAGCAAAGCAGTTTTTAAATCGACGAATGGAGGAGGTGGCACGTTGAACATCACAACCTGGCTCTCGGCGACCTCAAGAGGGCCCGGAAGCGAGTTGACAATGGCTGTATTTTCCGCCACGTCGGGAGTTACTGAGTTGGTGCTGTCATCTCTGGATGGAATTTCCGAGAAGATATGTTCATCCAGTGGAGGCGTTTCGGAGCCTGGAGAAAGCCCCAGTTGAGAAGAGTTGACCAGCCAAGCAGGGTCGACGGTTTGAAGAAGGGGTTTGTATGGGGCAGTATCAGTCATAGTGTCCAACTCAGCTAAGAGATCATCCCACTCGTTTTTCGGGTAGCTGTTTATCATGATTTCCAGATGCTCCTCGCCGACATGAGGCTTCTGAGCAAACTGATGCAGTGCGTGGATGTTATTGGCGGTCACAGAGTCGGTTTCCTCAACCGGAGGAAGAGACATAGAGACAGGCTCTCCTGCAATGTGGGGGTTGGGGGAAATGCCGGAGCGAGTGAACATGACGCTAGAAGTTGGGAAAGAATGAGAAGCTGGTAAGAGAATGAAGCAAGTGTTGCAAAGTACTTTGTGTGGGTGAAGATGGATAGAAAGAGGGAAAAGAGGGGAGAAAGACAAGCAACGTTGAGGTTTCTGATGTAATTATATCGTCTGACTAGCTAACGTGCCATGGTTTATATAAGATTCACGGTCGCCGTAGAAGCATATGTCAATTTCCTATTTCAGGACTCAGTCGCACTTGCCCCTACAAATTCCCAACTGATCGCATAACGCTTGGTGGATGCTCCTGCATCGCCAGCTTGCTCAGAGATAATGTCTGGAGCAGCGGCAATAGTGTATCCATCTCTGCCTTCTACAGCTTGCTTATCTAAAGCAGATGCAGAAAGTACAAACCATGCAGAGGAACCCAAATTTGTGGTATGAGATCTGATAAAGTCCGATTAGGGCATGGTTAGCTTAAAATGGCAACTTTCGAGAAATCATCCTCAAGGCTTCAACTCACAACAGAGAGGCAAATAATTGAATCGTCCACTTTGGAGAAATGAGACCGTGCCACTTCAAGCTGATCAAGTCCGAGACACTTGATTTATCAGAGTCCGGCACACTGTAGCGACTTAGATAGGGGTCAACATCATCGTCAACAGCTACACGGGGCGACCGCATTTGGACCAAGGCAATCCATTCTGAGAAGGCCCCGCAAGCTTCTTGTTGCTCAATCTCGGGCATGTCTTTTGCTACTAAGCCTGACAGCGGCGGTACCACAATTCGGTCCATCCTATTTCGGAGCGGGGCGCATTTGAGCCACTGGGGAGAATGACTCTGAATTGGCTTTGAATCTGAGTTTTATATCAGCGAATTTGATTTTCTCTCATGATGAATGCGGTGGGGCAAACCATTATTCTGTCCTGGCGTGGATTCCAGATCGCAAAACAACCATGACATGGATTGATTGAGGACGTTCTTGAATGACCACACAATCCGGTCAAAGCCTTTCTTTCCATGAAGCATGGATGGAAGCCGTAAATTAAGTTCAATAACTGCTCAAGGTGGTCAGATTAGGTTTGTAGGATTCGACAGCTCATACCTACCGAATCTTTCCTTGCCATGTTTCCGACCGCCGCTGCGAATCGGTTTTCCCGAAAGTCCAGTGCGTTCATAAATCTCTTTCCCGGTTTCTACCTTGAGAAGGCCTGTCATAGTATTACGTTAGTCGTCTTGTTCGCCGCGGGTTGACTTTAATGTGCCCGGGGTCAACACTGACCGTCTCGCAAGGTGAACACAGTATCTGAGCCTGGTCGACCCTCTGATATCATGAGGATGTTTCCTAGTGGAACTGTTAGATATATTATTTTCGCAGGACCAAATTGATAATCATAGCATGTAGCCCTGTATAATGTAGCCCTGTATAAACCACGGGCCATACATACCAGCTTTGATGTATGTATTGAAGAAGTCATGTTCGAGTAGGTCAGATGGGTACATGAAAACCCGAGCACATTGAGGAACCTCCAACTGGGCATCCAATGATGCCTGATTCTTCTCATAGACATCTTTTGGCAGGATTACCTCGATCTGTATATACCCATCAGTATCGTGACCTAGAGAAAACAGGAGGCAATGAAGGCCTCAACAAGCAATTAAGATAGTCTGACCGTATGGACAAATGGGTGGTTGAGGATGGCAGAGAAAGGCGATTTTTTACTTGCGACCTGCTTCGGGTCGACCAATGCGGGGAGCTGGGCAACGGTGGTGAAGCATTTCTCGCGTCGTGACGCGTCATCAACAAGGTCGAGCATTTTGCAGGGCTCTCAATTGTCTCGAGACTATAAATTGAGAGCACTGTGGGGATAGAGGGGGTTGCTGTAGGTGATCGACAAAAATTCGAGTAGCCAAAAATGATGTTCGATTAAGCTCTCGGGCTTATCGATAGCTCCGATGAGATCAAGATCACATCCTCCACTCCGGCTTTAGGTCGGAAAGTAACCACGGCTGATCGAAAGCCAGTCGAAACTAGCTGACTTAGTTTAAATTATCATCATGCTCGACAGGCGCCAAGGCTTTGGGGTCTACTGTGCGAAATAGATCTTTGTCTTGCCACATGCATATGCCCAGGTATGGCCACTTTTGAGGTTCAGTCTCCTGTAAGGATGTATGGCAATGTATCAATGACTTTGAATTTGGGCCAATCAAGCCTGACCACTAGTTTGGCTATCATAAACTCGGCCAAAACAAGAGCAGACTACCTGGCCTTGGAAGTAGGTAAGTTTGAAGATGGCCTATTGTGTGATGTAGGTATACGTATGTATAGTGAAGCAGAGCGTGTTGAGAGCCCAATTGCTAATACAAATCAGGCTATATTCTCAATAGGCTACTATAAGATCGAGGACAGACTAAAAAAACCTAGTAAACGCGACTGTGCTTTCTGAATTATGTTCCTGCAGGGGTATAAATACATCGGCAGACCAACAATTCATCTGCTATAAACCACCTGCGCTTGATACAACTGCCAGAGCAAATCAACAATATACCTCATCATCAGGCTATCCACTAGAAATCTATTTATTATCATCATCCCCGAAGTTCGTTATCAAAATCTTGAAAAAAAAGTGGGAGCCGCATGTATGCATGCCTGAGGCACCAATATGCTTCCTCCGTCTGGAAGCAATTCCGGCCTAGACACCGATCCGTACAAACTCCCCACACGCCAGATAAAAGCTCGTTGTGCTTTCCAAGCTCGAATCCCCTCTTGATATTGCTATTGATATACATGGGCTTGCACGAGCCAATCGATCTCCCGAGCAGCAGACGCAATCGCAACGGCAAAAATCAATAATGGCGCCCGCTCCGCGTCGGGACCTCCTCACCAAGGAACATTTCGCATTCGTCTTCGGCGGCGTCAAGACACAGAACTACCACGATCCTGCTGCAAAGGGACCAGGATCTCATACGTGAGTGCTACGCGACTGGACACATGCGCACAATTAATGACGAAACTCAAATCTTAGTATCCGCACGTTGGCATGGAATCCTGCCGGCCAGCTGATTGCGACTGGCTCTGCCGATAAGACGCTGCGCATTTGGAACCCCGAACGTCCTGCTGTGCGATATTCGACCGAGCTTCGCGGCCACTCTTCTGCTGTTGAGAAGGTCCTTTTCAACCCTGTCCGCGATGCAGAGCTGGCTAGTTGCTCTGCAGATGGTACAGTGCGCTTCTGGGATGTTCGCTCGAAGACTTGCGTTAGCCGTTTAGACGTCGGCGGGGAGGCATTCACCCTTTCCTGGTCAGCCGATGGAAGTACCATTATTGCCGGAAGGAAGGTCAGAGACACCCAGATTCCCGTTTCAAGGCTTGCAGCAGCTGACTCGGAAACTCAATAGGACGATACTTTGATCCCCATATCCGTTCAATCACCCTCCTCCCCTCATATCCTCTCCAACGGAACAGGCACCTTCAATGGCCCTTCAACCGACCTCTCTTCTAAGCCTGGTCCTTCAACATATACCGCCCTCCCGTCTCACCCTCAAACCGTCCAAACAAACGCAACAACATTCTCAAACCATATCCCCTCCTCCGACTTCCCAGACCTCCACCTATTCCTCACAACCGGCGAAGGCCGTGTTAAAATCGTCTCATATCCTTCCTTCGAACCTATTCACACCTTAAACGCCCACACCTCCGCCTGTAATGCCATTTCTCTAGCCCCGACAGGTCGCTACCTAGCTGTGGGAGGCAGTGACGCTCTGATCTCCCTATGGGATACAACAGACTGGATCTGCCGCCGCACATTATCCAGCGAGAATGGTGGTGCTATCCGTGGCGTGAGTTGGAGCTTTGATGGCCGTTTTATATGCGGTGCGTCGGATGAGCCTGATGCGACGTCGAGTGGGTTAGAGATCTTCCATGCCGAGACTGGGGAGAGTGTTTATACTGTTCCGACCACGGGAACTAGGTCTGGAATTCCTGCTGTTGCATGGCATCCGTCTAGATATTGGCTCGCTTACTCGACAACTCATGATGGGCCTGGTAGTGGAGGATCCGGCGGGTTGAAGATTGTCGGTGCAGCTGGTGGTGGCCTTTAATATGTGGATTGTTAACTATACCACCTTTCTAAGTTCAGTATAACCTTGGAATCCAAAGATTGACTTAAAAAAAGACTGGATTATTATCTGTTTGAATAGAGATCAAGACGACTATTTTTTCTAACGAAAAATTTGGAAGTAGACAGATGTGTCTGAAACTCGAATCGAAGAGGAGAGATGTACATGGATTGGAAATTGAAGCTGTTCGTTCATCATAAAGTCGTTATAAAGGGGAACAAAAACGCCGAGGGTCCCAAAGCCTACTTGTCCTATGCCCATATCCAACACCGGTATGAGTCCCGTAGGCTGATTTCGCAATGAAAGGAGGGGGAAAAGGGCCGTAATCGAAAGATTGTAAATCGTTCTTCGCGATGACCAGCAATTGTGACATATTGCAATTCTGGCCCTGGAATTATTGATGAGATTGTGTATAATAAGAGGCGGTCATCAAAACTTGGCTGGTATTTTTTAAGTTGCACTCATGATGGGCGCCAGCTATCCCATCCAGTTCCGCCTGCATTGTTGTTCAAAATCTGTGCCCACTGAGCCTCACTCAACGAATTCAAATTCACGTTGAAGTCCACATTGCTCATGTCAGGATTTGGCGTGGGCAGATCCCATGCAGGAGGGATGTCGAACGCATTGGCCTGTCCAGGCCTCGTGTTCATATCTGGAATATGCGGGGATTCTGTGCTTGTCGGAGATATGTGGATGGTACCAGAGCTTTTTCCGGGGTGGACAGTTCCGGCATTTTGTTGCTTCTTTCCGGGGGATGGGTTATCAGTTCCTGAAATTGAGTAGGAGGTATTTGAAGATGAATTCAATGTCGAGGGCGTGGGGTGATCAGAGGGTGGATTCCTCTCCCCAAGGAAGTCTGGTGAGAAGTCCATATCGACATCTGTAATAATTCCTGGAACGCCAGCGTCACCATTAACGCCGGGATGTCGCATTTGGTTGTGGTTGTGATAGTAGTGGATTTGATCAAGGCCCGTGGGATGGTTTGAATCAACGTTTGCTGATTCTCGGTGCCGACTGGGAAGAGATGTAGCTGTTCCAGCAGGGGCCCGATTGGAATTGGCGGTGCTTGTAGGATTTGGCAGGGGGCCTGGGGGTATTTCACTTCGCTGTGATTCACGAATCTTATAGATAGGCCCACACTCAACTGCATCACCACAAACCGTCTGCTATACGAACTAGTAAGCTCAAAGGATCTCTAAGATAGATAACAGCTAAGAGAATACCCACCATCGCTTGATGGACATAAGCTGAACCAGATTTTGAGACCTGAGACTGTATTCCAGTGCCCTCAAGATCCACATCTAGCTGAATGAGGAATGATTCCGTTAGAGGGTTCTTTGATTTCATGGCATTGAGCGCCCCAACAACGAATTGCAGTGAAGAATACACCGCTGAGTCGTCAGGCCGAGACTTGATGTACTGGACAAAAACCCTGGCTGAGATATAAAGACAGAAGGACATGAAAGGATTCAACTATAACCAGTTAGTTCAATTCCAGAGGGGAACACGGTAAATCCGGACATACAATGGTCAAGTCAACGTGGCTGACCATCTTCATGATGCTAGATATCTGGTTCGCTGCCACAAGACATCGGCGCTTGCTCTCGGTAATAATTTGATTAGGCATTCTGTTCTTTTCGGCCTTGAAGATTGCAGCCTGATGGAGACAAATTGTCGAGGTGTGTATACTCATATTGGCGAATATGACATTCACATCATCCGTAGCAGACGGAAGTCGAAGGTGTTCGGGCAAAGAAAGTGCAATGTGAAGTAGAATATTATCGTGGCTCCGATGTCTCTTCCAAAAGTCCCCATTGAGGTCGTGATCGTTATCTGATGGCTGAGGCCGATGAATGTGGGTCAAATTCCTGCCAAAGAGATTTGCTAAAACCACCACACAGGCAAATGGAGCCAATGTGGACACCCCCTCGCCGCTGATAATATCTGCCAGCCGAAGTGTGCGTTGTGGTTTGCTTTTCAAAAATGACTCTTCAGCAGCCGGGAGGTTTGTCATGATCTGCTATGTGTTAGCCACGCAGTTGTAGGATATCAAAAGTGAGACAACCGACATCATGTTCATCGATGACCAGGGGCCATCCAGTTCCGATACTTGCATATCGGTCAGTGCAAAAAGCCATCCAAAACACTCTCCTTCTCTCTTCACGTTCCGTCCAATCCTTGGGTGGAAGCATGGATTGTTTCACATCAATCCCTGAGCCGTCTAGTCGATTGAGACCCATCATAAGCGCCAGTCTAGTAGCTTTGCCAACACTCAGCCATGCGCGCGGGAAGTAGATCATTCGGAATTCGTAGCTGCCAATGAGTATCCAGGTTTGGCAATGCCCGAGAGTAATGATGGACTCTCCGAATCCTTTCATTTCGTCCGTCTCGGCATACTTGCGAGCCCTTTGGTAAAAATGAGTATGCAGAAAGAAGTACTTGTCTGTAACTGAGGCGGCATGGCACCACATCATGTAGCGCAGGCAAATGGGTGGTCGTAGGTTAGGGCCGAGATTGAGGCTTGCGAAGTATCGAGGACGGTGTATGATAGGCATCATTGGGTATATTTTCTCAAAGAAAATGCTCTCCCTAATAATCAATTAGGAAAATGAGCTACACATGTCCATGCCCAATTAGACTCACAGCTCATCAATCGCGTCTTGGGCTGGAAGAGGTTCCTCCAGTCCCAAACTGATCAGGTCCCACTGAGGGCCGCTCGGGATATTGTTGGTTTCCGGAAAGAATAATTGACTCGCCTGAGATGTATCCAGACCATTTGCTGATGGAGGGATTGCATTACTCATATTATTTCCAAGGCTAGTGAGATCCGGCAGTGGGAGACTAGGGTCATCCTGAAAGGCTCCTGTAAATGAATGCTCTTGTGGTTGAGGGGGGGAAGTGCGCTGCGCGGTATCGGAATCTTGGCCTTTAAGAAGAGTTTCAACCTGGGCTGATCGAGCAAATTTGGTTAGCGATTATCCCAGAAACCTCATGACCGGCCGTAGTCTATGCGATGAATGGGACCTCATACCTAGTCGGGCCTCCAGCTGCTTCACATACCCCCGCTTAGGTCCACTCTTCTTGCGCACTTCATCGTAGGCGCATTCATGACCCAAGCGTGAGCATGTGCCACAGCTTGGCCGCTTCCCGTCGCATCTCAATTTCCTGCGACGGCAGACCACGCAGGCGATGCGCTTGGGGCGTGGGACATAGCTGCTATCGCCCGTGGCGAAACTTTCGGTTGGCGCACCGTCTTCCAAGATAGAAGAGTCTGTCCGAGAGGACAAAGGCATCGAAGAGTACTGCGGCGGTTCTTGCGAGAATTCGGAAGGCGAAAAACTGTCCATGGCTAATCTAGAGGCCGGTGGGACGACGGGGCGTCGAAAGTGCGTAAGTGGTGATTCCGACCGATAAGGAGTTGGCTGACAGCCCACCGCTTATCACTGATGAGATATTCAAAATGACACAAGGTCTGCGGGTATGGATGACGCGCCAGTCGGACACAAGTGGTTCATGATCCACAGGCTGCCGTTTTTGGGGGGGATAAGCAGGAACAAAAAGTTCCTATGGATGAGGGCGGCACTTTGGGGCTTTCAGGGTAAGGTGAGCGAGCCCTGGGCTCCTTTATCAAGTTGCGACAACCCGAAACCTTTTTTTTTTTTTGAAAAGCTTCGGTAGTCTTCGAAACGATACTATGAAAATGTAAATTTAATTTCTTTGTTACTATTGGTCCTATGAAAAGTGACGGTGGTCCTGGAGGTACGGGATCGGCGCTTGAGAGGTCCAAGTAACTTACGCACGACGGCGCTGCCTAGAAAGGCTTGGCAATTCACGTTGATCCATACATGATTACTGGAGGTCAACCCAATCAAGCTTGAATCATAAAATACTTGTCTATTCCATTTTCATCTAGTTATTCATTAAGCTCAGGCCAAACATGAGTTATATCTATTGGTTTCCATTTTGTGCGAATGGCATTGAGCCACCATACTATACAACAAGAGCACCCCATACCTCAAGCTCCAACCATTGACAAATAAGCTATAGTGCACAGTGGAACGGACAAGACATGGTGAATGCGAAGAGAGAAAAATACAAAGGCAAGATATCGTACAGCCATCCCGCATACAATTGGGACGAGGTATAAAATGAAACAGAAAACATGTCTCGGAGAGGGATGCAGAATAGGCAGCTGCAGTGTCTACCAGTGAAACGGTAAAAAAAAACCAATAAAGAGACTTCTAGTTGTATCCACGACGACGTTGACCTTGGTTGCGAGGTCTTGCGTGAACGACTGCCTTGTTGATCTTCCACTTGGGGCGGGTCTTGTAGCCGGATTTGGTCTATGGGAAAAACACAGTGTTAGCTCATAAATATTGGGTGAATGAAAAGCAGTGAATAGGATGTACATACCGGAATACCCCAAGGACTCTTCGGGTCAACGTTACCCTTGGACTTACCACGACCACCACCGTGAGGGTGGTCCATAGCGTTCATGGCCAATCCACGAACAGTTGGACGAATGTTGAGCCAGCGCGAGCGACCCGCCTTGCCCAAGCGAGTGTAATGGTAGTTGGGATTGCTGGCAACTCCGATCGTGGCACAGCAGTCCTTGTGGATGAGTCGAACCTCACCACTCGCGAGGCGGATAGTGATATGCTGGGCCAGACGCTCTTGCTTCATGCGGTCACGCATAGAGAGGGGCTTCTTTTCGGTCTCGGGCTGCTCGGCCTCGAGATCCTGTTGTCGGGAATCGCTACCCTTAGCCACGACAGTAGCATATGTTCCTGCACTGCGGCATAGCTGGCCACCCTTGCCGGCTCGCAATCCAACATTGAAGATGAGGGTTCCCACGGGAATCATATGCAGCGGCAGACAATTTCCACGCCATGCGGTTCGGGCAGCCAACACACCAGGATCGACTGTACCACCCATGCTCTTCCAGAGATCCTCCGGAATACCAGACATATAACTCTGCACGGTCTCACCAGCTCGCATGCCATCGGCGGCAAGGATATAGCTCAATTTCTTGGTTTCCTTGCTGCGAAGCAGCGCAATATGGGCACTTCGACCGGGATCATATTCAATTCGCTCCACCAGATGAGGTCCAGCGTCCATTCGCATGAAATCGACTGTCCGGATCCGACGCTTAGCACCACCACCATGGTGACGTACAGTGACCCGGCCTGAGTTGTTACGACCACCCTTGGCGTGACCCTTCTTCGGAAAGGTCAATCGGTGAATTGGACGGCCCTTGAAAAGATGGTCATTGACTGGACGGCGCAAGTGGCGCACACCGGGTGTACGGGGAGTGTATGTGCGCAGCAGAACGCCAGCGGTATCGCGGGTTGGTGGCGGTGCAAAAGAAGCGCTAGGGTCAATTTCCGAGCTCGAAGGAGTTTCGAGTTCATTGATGGTGGAAGCGAAACGACGAGCCGATACGGAAGGTAGAGAAGGTAAACACCTGAAGGGCAACCGAATGCCCCGGAGAGCAATTCGGGGTTGAAGCATCATTGAGAGAAAAGGGGGAGAAAAATACGAGCAGTTTTGGTAATGAGAACAGGGGGAAAGAAAGGAAACAAAGATTGCCCAATGCTCGAATCCCAATCCTTCTCAGGCTCTCGGTCTCCGCTCTCTCGCTCGCTGTATCTTTGCCAGAACAAAAAGTTCTTGGAATGAGTACACGTGACATTGACACCGCCTCGTGAAGACACCGCCACAGTTACCAGTGTGTGTGTGTGGCTGATCCCGTGACCAGAAGTGACATAATCAAAACTCAAACGCCCTTCCCCGTTGCCCCGCAACTAAGTTGTTTACCCACCGCGACTCACGTTTCGTCCGCGACGTGTATCCACTGTTACCAATACCGTCCCTACCTCGTCCATCTTGTCCCCTGCATTTTTGGATCGTCTTTCCCACATCCGGTCCAGAAAAATTACATTTTCCGATCCAGTGTTTAATTTGCAATCTCCTCATACCCAGCATACCCTATTTTACTGTATTCTCAGTGGGAAAAACCTGCAATATCAACCCGCGACCCTCGGAAAGTGGGGCGTCATTCAGGTTTGACCGGTTTTCCACGCTAGCACAATAGGGCCAAACATCGCTTGGCCTTCGACTTCTTCCTTTTCCCTCCATCATTCCAGTCCAAGATACGCTCCTACATCCCTCCCACCTACTCCAATACACGGGTCGATCCTTGGGTACAGATTCCACGTGTGATCTGAATACCTCTACGCCCTTCAATTCCACCTTCTCGCGTGTTTTTGTTGTGCTTCTGGCCCAGAGTGCAACACGGATCCTCGCCACATCAAGATCGTGATTGTATGTGACGTGACCCGCGTAATCATAACATCCGACCTTGCCCAATCCACTGTCATCAGGACAGTGCACCAGTGCAATTCCCTTTGAATAAGTTACATATTCACGCGTGGTACGTGCACCTCGACCTCGACCCTGTGGTATTTTGGTTCCCCACTGAGATAATGTCCACCGGAATGCTGACCTGATCCGAATAGGACTAGGAGAAGCATCTTGCTCTCCCTTTGTATTTCTTTCCTCGCGTCCCCCATCTCCTTCTTTTTCTCTTGAGTCTAGCACGATGGCACCGGTAAGCAACTCCAGCCCTTTGACATCTTATGTCTCTATGTTTGATATGTCTTCATGTCGTGTGGGCATTGAGACGCGTGCAATCTCTTTGTCTGTTCACCAAGGCTAACCCCTAGATAGGCTCGCAGCCTTCGCTCCCGAGGAACCATGAACGAGAACGATGAAAACGGACCCTCGACGCGTCTGACGCGGGCAAAGGCCGCCCTCGGAGATGGACCTGCAGATGCAGTCAAGAAACCGATGCAGCCCATCAAGCGTGCCTCGTCGACCACGAATGGACCCCCACGCCGGCGAGCCGCTCTGGGCGATGTCAGCAATGTCAACAAAACTGATGGTGCTGAGGTCAAGGATGGTAAGAAGCCCGTTGCAGTAAAGGCGGGTCTTGCTTCGAAGGCCACCACTCAGGCTGGCGCCATCAAGAAAGTCACTCGCACGAACTCTACAAGGGCAGGTCCTCTCAAGCCCCGCAGCGACAACCCCAAGAAGTCCCCAAAGAAACATGTTCACAGGTTGATAAAGGAGGAGTTGTTGGAGGAGCCCGCTCTTAAGAAGCACCACGGCACTACCAAATCCAGTATCAAGGAGCACGATATCAAACACGAGCTCAAACACGATCTCACTGTTACAGAGGAACCCGAGATTACTGTCAAGGGTGGTAAGGCTCCAGAAGAAAAAAAGCAGGACTGGGACGACCTCGACATTGAAGACTTGGAGGACCCTTTGATGGTCGCCGAGTATGTTGTAGAAATTTTCGATCACCTGCAGCAGCTTGAGCTCTCGACCCTGCCCAACCACGAATACATTAATCACCAGCCCGATTTAGAGTGGAAGATGCGTGGTATCCTGGTCGACTGGTTGATTGAGGTGCACACCCGCTTCCGTCTGCTTCCCGAGACCCTTTTCCTTGCTGTCAACATCATTGACCGCTTCCTGTCTGAGGAGCAAGTTGCTCTGGATCGTCTGCAGCTTGTTGGTGTCACTGCCATGTTCATTGCATCCAAGTATGAAGAGGTCCTCTCTCCTCATGTTGCCAACTTTAGCCATGTCGCCGATGAGACCTTTTCCGACAAGGAAATCCTGGATGCCGAGCGCCACATCCTTCAAACCCTGAACTACAATATGAGCTACCCTAATCCGATGAACTTCCTGCGTCGCATCTCCAAGGCCGACAACTACGACATCCAGACCCGAACCCTCGGCAAGTACCTCATGGAAATCAGCCTCCTCGACCACCGATTCATGTGTTACCCTCAAAGTCAGATTGGTGCCGCTGCCATGTATCTTGCTCGTCTGATTCTGGAGCGTGGGGCCTGGGACGCCACTCTGGCTCACTACGCTGGATACACCGAGAAAGAGATCGACCCTGTCTTCCGCTTGATGATTGACTACCTCCATCGTCCTGTCTCCCACGAAGCTTTCTTCAAAAAGTACGCTAGCAAGAAGTTCATGAAGGGTACGTTGCATTCCGTCTTTTTATTCTGAGAGTTCCTTTGCTAACGCGTGTTTCTAGCTTCCATCCTCACACGCCAGTGGGCCAAGAAGTACCACCACTTGTACATCGACAGCTCGCTTTCGGAGCCATACACCTACATCAAGGAAAGCGAACAGTAATGATGCCATTTACGATGTTATGCTAGCCCTGTGTCGCCCACGTCGTTACCCTTTCATGACGATCCCAAGGCCAGCGGCTCGACCAGGGAAACTCGAATTCCTCCATATTTTGGCATTTCATTGTGCTGGTATCGAATACCTCTTTGCATATTCTTACGATGACTTGATTTGTGCGCTCTCGCATTTTGTTTCAGTGATGGGGTGGTGTTCGGCGCTCAGTTCGGGGTTTTTATTTGTGTTGGATTGGCTCTTCATTTCTTTTCACTGTGCATGTGGTGCCTGGTCTCTCACCCTGATACCTTTTTAAACATTCTTATTCGCGTTTTTTTGTGACTGGCGTCGGACCTTATTACTTGTCTTCTTTTCTTCAGATCGGAATTTTATCTCCTTACACCCGTGGATTTATCTTCGTTTGGAACGTTTCCCTGCGGCCTTGGGACATATGTTTCGTTCCACTTTGTGAAATTCTCATGGTTATTGTCAATACGGCATCGCAGAATGGGAAAAAAAAAAGGCGCTGGCAGGGCCAGGTTTGTTATGGGTTCACTTGGGCCTGAGAGAGCTCCGGTGGGGAGTCTTCTATGGACATTGGATGGGGTTGGGCAGCGGTAATAAGCGTCAAGGATCCTTCGGTTTAAGCATGGGTTTTTTTTTTTATCTTTTTGTTAGAATAGTTGATTTCTGCACTGGGTGCTTAGCGTGGTAACTGGAATTCTGATCGTTCTATGACTACTTGCTTTTTTAAATTCCGGTGTACATAGGCGTCCCTTTCTTCAGGATTCGATGCGCTGAGTAGCCTTCACCTGCAACTTCGTTGATTGTCCCTCATCTGGCGTTAACCGAGGTTGGCTCATCCCACCGCGGGAAGATGTTGCTCATCCAACTTGAGATCGCTGTTCATGAACACCTGAATAGCCCGACTCCTAGCTACTTCCTCAAGACACCTGCCTAGGACCTAGCGTTCGAATTGCTTCGCTCTAAGACATCATAAATCGCATGCCCAAGCTCTCGGTCAGCGGCGGGACCCAAAATCGCCTCATTCAACACCCCCTCGCTTTTCATACATTGATCAGGTCAATACTTCTCACCCATTAATCTCAAATTCCCTACCCCTTGTATCTAGATCAATTTCCACCATGCCAGACCGCTGTCCTTTCTGCAATATCGCAGCCACAAATCCACCGGCCCCCTTTCATGAGCCCCGGTCCGGTCCTACAGCCACAGATCCAATCTCCGATGCATCAAAGACAACGGCCCACATGATTCTATCTACGGAACATGTATTGGCCTTTTTGGATATAATGCCTCTTACTCCGGGCCATGTCCTCGTGGCTCCGAGACGACATTATGAGATGTTGGGGGATATGGGCGTCCAGGCTGGACAGGAGGTATTTTTTTAATTTCTTAATTTTGGTTTTTGGTTCTCCTTACTACTTGTCTTGGCCTAGTTTTAGCCTTATCGTGTTTTTCATCTTTTTTTTCGATTTGGTCTTGCTGATTCCTTGCATAGCTTGGTAAATGGCTTCCCATCATCTCAAGAGTTGTGACGAAAACTATCTTCGGTGAGGATCCGGATCGACATTGGAATGTCGTACAGAATAACGGTATGGTTAATGAAACTATGATTTTTCTTCCTATTGTTCCTGCAAAATGCGACGGAAAGGGTCTCTAACTCTAATCTAGGTGCTCGGGCTGCACAAGTAGTGCCCCATGTCCACTTCCATATCATTCCCCGTCCTCAGACAGAGGGTGTCCACAGGCCTGGTTTTGCTATGTTTGGTCGGGGACAACGCTCGGAACTTGACGACGATGAGGGTGAGGAATTATCCCGAGCCATGAGAGCTGAGTTGGTGCAGGAGATCAAACGCATCCACAGAGAAGAAGGTATCGATCTCTCAGCTGACCTCGTCGGTCGAGGTAGACTATGAGTGCTCTACTAGCACCTTTGTATTGTCCAGTGGGTTCTATCTCTTGACGTCCAGCTTTTATAACTTTATGGCCCGTGATGTACAGATAGACGTGTTGGCCAACTGCCTTTTGACCTGGATGTTTGACATGACGAAGCTTTCTGTCTTTTCTCCACTAGTCCGCGGTCCCCTTGGTTTGGAATCTGTTGAAATACTGTACGGAAATTATAAGCCGCTTGTTTATGAGATGAGAACAGATGTATCAATACCTTTCGTCTGAATTCATTGACCTCGCTTGCCGTAACTCCGGAGTTGTCGACTTTGGTTCTCCCCTGTGAGATATCAGAGACTTCACCTTCGGGAAGACGGCGATATGTCATAAGTTGACGAGCCCCTGTGACGCCGTAGATTAGTCTTCGTAATAGTCGTATCCGGGAAAGGGCAGTTTCATTACGTACAGTTGCCGAAAGACTGAACGCAAACACTGACAACCTCCAGGTTCGGGTGCATAGGCACCTTCAAGTCATCGCCTTCGATGGCTGTTGGCATCCACATTGCGAGACGGCCATTGGTGACAAGTGTCCGAGATGCGAAATCTAAAATATCTTTCTGCATGGCTTCGAATCCGTAGGGTTTCTTAGGCGGAATATATCCAGCTCGGCTATTAAGATCAGCACAGCGTCCTTAATAGCGTCAGTGATAAGTTCAAGATTGGGATGACATACTAATGAGCAGGAACACCATCGATCACAACTGGTTCAATGAGCTTCCCGTTTCGAGTTCCCAGAACCCGAAGTCCTTCACGCACACCGTAGGGCGGGTCACAAATGATACCGTCAAGCATTGGACTGTTCCGCAAAGGCGTATTGGTGAGATCCGAAGTGAAAGCATCGACAAACTTGCTCATGGTGCCGTATTGCTTATAGTTCCGCAACAGAGCAATTTCACCATTTTTGCGCTCCTCATCCTTTCCACGGAAACTGCGAGGATCAATATCCGAGCCCATAGTCAAAGCCCCGAAGTGCGCGGCAGCCACCAAGAAACTTCCTGTACCAACAAATGGATCATAAAAGACCTTTCCAGGCGCCGCGAGCGCGATATTCGCCGTCACAAGACTCAACTCCGCATCCATAGATGTAGTGGAAATATAGCTCCGTTTCTTCAGATCATAGTCGACAATAATACCACGACCGCTTTTATCCAGGTAACGTCCAAAGTAAATATTCAGCGGCTCGGGATTCTTCTCTCTCTCAGCACCAGGAATTCCACTGGGAGAGAGATATCTCTCCATGATCAGCCACTGGTTTTCTGGGTTCTTCAATTTGAGAGGACCTTTGAAACCCAAGTAGGAAAATGACTTGATGATCTCAACTCGTTTAGCTTGGCTGCGTTTTCCCACGTATGCATCCAAGTCGAAGCCGAACTGGACGTTTTCATATTGAGCCCAGAGATGTGGGGTCCTTTGCTTGACATCTGCGTGAACTTCTTCGTAATTGGTGCCATGACCCCATAACTCATAGATGTCTTTGGCTAAGATGCAGCGCGCGATCAAATCGCGTGCGGCTGCTTCATCTGGGAGTCTGACGATGCAATATGGTGACTAGTGGGGTTGGTTAGCAGAGGCTCGGCGCACGCGAAACAGATAATCGCCAAAAAATAAATATGATATTTTCGAATATGAGTATTAATAACGGAAGGCGTCACATACAGCGTCTTCATAGGAAATAATCTCGATGTCGGCCCCGATGAGTGTGGCCACGGCTTTCAGTTCCGCGACGCGGAAGGATTCATGCCATTGGGCAAGCCGGATAAGAAATTCCATGGCAGAGATTTTAGGTCTCTATCCTTTTTAGATTGGCGTTGTAGTTTTGTGAACTGCTGGTCACCAAAAGGTGTGGTGGGGTGTGAAGGGCAGCGGGATTGATTTTTTTATCGTTTCTCCGATGAACGAATCTGGCCGATATATACTGCGGCAGTAACATCGCATTTAGTCCAATCCCAACCCTCGAATGTTCTAAGGCGTCAATCATTGCACCATACTTTAGACAAAAATTTACGATTTCAGTGGACAATCAATTACCTAGACTACATTATTCTCCACTGGTTATCATAGCTCATGGATATCTACGCCTAGCTGCCCAATTAGACATGGAAAATGCAAAATCATGGAAATTGACTAATCCAGGTAGGATCTTGGAAGAGCCTCAATTACAAGACACTGAAAATCACCTCATAATCCAAAATGGTATTGGCTGACCAGCCCGAGTGGGAATCTACCCAAATAATGATAGCCAAGGGAAAAAAAGACGAGAAAAACAACTCACTTACAAAACAATCAACGAAAACCGAGACGCCATCTGTCAGAGAAGCTAACCAAAACTCCGCCGCTATGCACCGACCACCTTAAACACATGTCGTGATTCGTATCCCTCCACGGGAGTGATCTCTACTTTCTCATCTGCAGGAATCATGTGGTGCTGCAAGTTCCAACCGGCTCGGCGACAAAGCTCTGAAACCACCACGTCGCAGTCACCCAGGAGATCAATATCAAATTCAGTGTGCGTCACGGGCTGGAAATAAGTCAGTCTCAGTTGTCACTGGAATGAGATATATTCATGAGAATAAGACATACTGTGCGTGAGATGTAGATTTGCGGGACATTACGCGGTAGAACTCCCGGCACTTCTGCAACGGGGGCTACCTTGAGCGAGGTTCCGATGACGATGACAAGATCCGCCAGTTCCCGATCATGGTTGATAAGGCGCTGGCCAAACTCATCAGGAAGGCCCTCGCCGAAAAAGGTAATGTCAGGCTGCAAAGATAAAGTTAGGCGAAAATGGCTCACGAGTCTGCAGATGCGAACTCACCTTCATGACACCTGGGGTGGGGATTTCATAATCATCGTCATCCGAGCTTTCCTCCTTGCGATCTTTCTGGTTGCCGTTCGAACTTCGCTTGCGCTTCAGGCCCTGTGGCTTCAAAGCCTCCTGTTCGATGCTCCGGATGCACGCTTTGCATTCGGGAATTTTACCTTCCTTGATATCATCAAAGATTGCGTCGCCGGGCACCTTGAAATTGCACTTGACGCAGGTGGCATTGGCAAAAGATCCATGACACTGTACCATCTTTTCTGCAAGAACGCCCGCGTTTGCTTCGATATTGTCGATGTTTTGCGTGTAGTTTGTCAGGAGTTTTCCATGGTCTTGCAGAAGCTTAATGAATCCATGTGTCGGGGAATACTTCTTCTCGGTAGGAAGAATATCCTTCGCAATTGAGAAGAAGATGCTAGGATCTTCCCTGAAGACATTGATGTCAAATACTTCTTGAGGATCACTCAAGCCTAGATGCGCCAGTTTTGAGTAGAGACCAGTATCCTTTGAACGAAAGTCAGGGATACCAAGGCTTGTTGAAATCTAAATGCCCAACAGAAATTCTCTTTAGTATTCAAAGTCAAAGTGAATCAATGTATGTGATTTTGGGGATTTGACATACGCCGGCACCGGTCAGAACAATGATGTTCTTGGCATTTTGAAGCAGATTGACTGCGTCCTCAACAGTGTTGTACTGAGGAAGCTTTGGTCGCTTTGAGAACTCCCGCGTGATGGCAAATATGAGAAGCTGGTGGAATGTTTCATCTGGGGCATTCTCAAGGAACTCTGGCGGTCTGATACCAAACGCTGTGCAGAGCTTCCTCGCGGTAACTGTTTCACTCGCAAGTGCCTCTTCCACAAAAGCAAGCTTGCCGATTTGATGCAGACGTTTGCGGAATGCAACAGCCTCTTCTAAAGTACAGCCACCAGGAACTATAAGACAGGATCAATATTAATGATTGTCTCTGCAAGGGTGGATTCCGGGTAGCGGGGATGTCTGGGGTAAGACGCGTTACATCTACGCGATAACGGAAAAAACCTACCTTCATGCAGCTGGTCGTCACGAAGGAACTGGAGGACTATTCCTCCATCAGAATCGGCGTCATCGCCATCTGAATCATCGGAGTCAGTTTCAAACTCGGAGGTGACCTCCAGGGCGACTGTCCCCTCGTCGACCTGCTCCACGTCCACAGCGTCCACATCGACCATGGGTGATTTCACCAGAGTCTCCCCGTTTGACTGTGGTACCAGGTCCATCCTGCAGGAGTTATTAGACTACCTCGACGACTTGTTTGCGCAGCGTCGATAAAAAATCGGCATCTGCATGCGCGGAGACAACTTTGTCCGGGCCGAGGCGGTTCAAGTGGCGAAGTTGAACTTTGGTAGAGAAGATGGAGAAAGTAAGGGCAAAGAGAAGTCTTTTATCTGGGATATCAACAAAGAGAAAGATAGTTGTGGGATACAAAATCAAACGTCAAAGAGAAAGACATAATTATAGACATGCATGCATTAGATCATCATTTCACTTTTGTTTTATCTATCAAACATTCATGAATCAGCCATCTCGTGATCCTCATCGTCCGACTCAATGTCGATCTCTCCATCCCAGTCTTCCCCATCGCCCTCCGCCTCACTGTCATCCATATCCTCTCCAACTTCTTGGTCAATTCCCTGAACTAATTCCAGGGCATGATCCCGAAGACGATCATCCTCGTAGTCCAGTTGTTCGTAAAGCTTCAAGCTCTGTTTCAGCCACTCCCGGCTCGCGACCAGGGAAGCATGTCGCGGTGATTCGGATTCGTCTTCTTTGATATCCTGCGGTGCCTGTTGCTTCTCTGCCAGCAGATGGAGACACCAACCGCCAAGGTACCATGCCTCCACACTCTGATCGTCCTCCAAAATGAGTCGTTCAAGGACCTCCAGAGCCTCAAACTCCAGTGTCACCTCCATGAGGAGTCGTGCAAGACTGATGCGCACCGGGAAGTCCGGCACCTTGGGGTCTTCAGGAGCCAGATCCTTCCACAGGCCAATACTCTTCTTCAGCGCAGCCTGTGCATCTTCAGTTCGCAATTGTGAAATCCGGATAGAGGCAAGAGTCTGAAGGATCTCTGGGGCCTCGGGCGTGGCAGTAATGGCTTCTGTGATAAGCGACTCACATCGAGCCTCTGCATCTTCCTCCCAGCTGAAGATTAACAAAAGGAACGGGTTAGCAGTGCACTTAAAACCTTGGCGGCAGGTGAAGTAGAACTCACGAAAGATCAGTCATATAAATCTCAGCAACGGCACAGAGTGCATTCGCCAGTTTAATCTTCTTCTCCTCAGCACTTGCAGCATCCTCTGCACCAGTCTTTCCCTCCAGCGACTGCAAAGTCTGGCGTAGAGAGGAAACACCCTTCTCGAACCATTGGACACTGTCGACTCCACCCTGCTCACTCAATTGAGCAAGCCACATGAACTTTTCTGCACCACCACCCTCGGATTCCGGTATCGAGCCAGTGGGGTCCAGCTCAACAGAGCGCAGGAAACATTCTCTAGCGGTATCGACATCTCCCAGCTCAACGTTGATTTCTCCCAGCAAGTTCAATGCGGGCAGCTGCGCATTACCGTTGCCAGCTGTAAGCTCTAGCGCTTGCTGTGCACTTTCCAACGCTTCATCAACGCGGCCGGTCTGTAGGAGGATCGTGGCTTGATCGAGTATTTCGGTGGGAGTTTGGGCCATTTTGTGTTTCGAGACTGAGCCACCAGGGCCAAGGACGGACTTTGCACGGGATTTGGAGGACTTCTTCTTTTGCGGTCTAGGTTTCCCCATGACAGATCTATTCAGTAAATATGTATGAACAAAATCAATAAGTGGACAAGGAGACAATATGAGTTATTGGTAAATGCGGGACACGGGATTCCAAAAAAAAAGTGAAGCTCTCAAATCTTAAAATTGGAGCTGTTTGACCGGTTTGCATGTGGGACGTTTCCTCCACTACATTATTTCGCGACGGTGATACGGATACATGTCCTTTACAAAGATACATTCTCTCTCACACGGTCTCTACATTTTATTGTGATCGAGACTAAGTGCTCGACCGTACGACTCTGCCTTTTTTACCATCACCCCGCTCTACTATCCTAACCGGGTACCCCTCCAATCCGCAGGCGGATCGCAAAATGGGTCGCGAAGATCAAGTCGAGGAGCGAGAGGTTCTGGACTCAATCTTCCCAGATGAGATCACAGGTGAGTTACTGACCTGCCATCCAGAATGATTCATAGGGTAGGAGGAAAACCCTTAGCTGACTCCAAATTCCCCGCCATCAGACATCTCCGAGAATGCATACAAAGTATCGATAACTCTCGATAATCCCGAATTTGACACCGAAGAATCCGAGCAGCCTGTGATATACCTGGAAGTCTCATACCCAGAAGAATACCCCGATGTCGCCCCACAACTGAACATTTCCTCTCCGCCCAATGCCCCCAAGTACCCACGACTAGATATCCAAGAGGATCGGGACCAACTACTCGAATCGCTCCAGGAGACCATTGAGGAGAACATGGGAATGGCGATGGTGTTCACGCTCGTGAGCGCACTGAAGGAAAGCGCCGAGTCTCTCATGTTGGAGCGCGCCAATGCCGTTCAGGTTGAGAAGGAGAAGGTCGCTGCCAAGTTGGAGGAGATAGAGAATGCCAAGTTCCGGGGAACGCCGGTCAACCGGGAGACATTCTTGGAATGGATGGCCAAGTTCCAAAAGGAGATTGCGGACGAGGAGCAGCGACAAAAGGAGGAGAAAGAGGCCGAGGACAAGAAGAAGAGGTCTGGGAAGGAGGAGAAGAAGCTGACTGGGCGACAATTGTGGGAGAGAGGATTGGCTGGCAAGGGCGACTATGATGAGGAGGATGATGATGCTATGCCTGCAGTTGATAAGCTGAAGGTTACGGCTTAAGTTAATGCATAGATATGTCGATATGAGCTGCTTGTTTTAAATGAAAATATTGCTTCAATACAACGGACACAACAGACAAGAATGGGGTATCATTTCGCGGTATAACACAGAATCAAGCGGTATCTAGGTAGTAAGCGGAGATGAAAAAGCTCCAATTACCAGTAGATAATCCGCCAAACGAAGAAAGTTGAGTATTATAGGCATCATCATCCACTTGTAGGGGTTTTGCCGCCCACCGCCTGTCTTTCTTTCTCTTCCTTTGCAGCCAGCTCGCGTTCTTCAAGCACGACCTGCCACATACGCTCGGACATTTCACGATTGTCATGGTCTGTCTGTTTGATTTTTTGACAAACGTCATCGAGTGATGTTTTAACGCTTGCAGACCATAATGTTGGATCTCCAGTCTTCGTCTTTGTGAGATGGTCCCAAGCGTCTTCATCCTTGGCGAATAAGAGTTCCACCTGCAGACGTTCTCTCAATTCAATACGATGCCAGCGCTTCTCTAGCTTCGACCGAATTACACCACTAAGGTTCCTCGGTTGCGGCTTTTTGATGCGCAGGAAAGGTACTCCACGAGCATTGACCAAAACCGGCACTTGTCGCTTCCCGCTCACCTTTGCTTTGGGGCGCAAGAGGATTGGTTCGGCGTTTGGATGACGTAGCCAAGACTCTTTTTCGTGATAAATGGACTTTTGTCTTTGGATCTGTCGTTCGGAGAGAGGTTTCGGAGGACTCGGAGGTTTCGATTGACTGATCTCCCTATGTATGGCAGAGTATTTCTCCTTGATGAATTTTGCTTGAGCAAGGATCGTTGTGATCTGATTTTCATCCTGCCGGTTTCCTTTTGAGGCCGAATGAAGCAAGTCCAGAGCCTAGCAAACCATTAGCATAAAGAATGGCGCAATAGGTCGCTCGAGGGAAGCTTTTAGAGTAGCCTACCTGATAGCCGGCTTTCAAGGCATTTGCTATCTGTGATGGGCTCTGGAGGTCTTTATATCTGCGGAATCTCTGTCTGGCGAGGAATCTGGTCTCGCTCACCCATGGCGCATTACTTGTCGAAGGGGAACATTGCCGGAGAAGGGTTCGATAAAGTGCCAGACCTTGGGGGAGGGGGGTATTAGTTCATACGATTGGGTAATATAAATCAAAATTTGACTCACAAGCAAAGCGATGAACCCCAGAATGCTTTGGAACGACCACCTTATGCATTCCGTCAAAGCAAGAGATGCGGGAGAAATTGCGGAAGCTCCGACATGTGATTTGAATAAAGACAGCACGTGACTATGTTCCCCGGATTCGAGAAGATCTAGAGATGAAAAGAAAAGAAAAAGAAGAGATAGGAGTGATAAAACAAAAGCATAAATTTGTGCTCGTTATGCCGAATTCCTTTAGATCATTCGATACTTTAGTAAAACGAGTAGACGCGAGGTTGCATTAAGGTTGCAACACAATGCGTGACTGGCACCAAGCATATTTATCTAGCAAATATGTTCTATACGCTTTGAGTCCGAGGACTGCAGGGAATGTTCTGGAGCCTAGAAGTGCCATTTGAAAGGTGGTGCGGGATATTATCCCTACATGTTTTCCCAGGTTGCTAATAATGACAACTGATCATGTCCGAGCAGGCTATCAATATATAAAGATAGGAAAGAATGAGGCTTTACAGGAAACCGCGCCGATGCCATTATGCATAGACTATACACGCTCTAAGAGAAACATCATAGGGACATGGAAAAAGCAAATAAACCAGAAAGAATGACCGTGGGACTCCGGGTTCCTAATAGACCCTATGGAAATGCGGGTTTAAAAAGTCGAACCCTCTGGCGGCTGAGACAGCTTCTTATGCTGGGGCAGAGCCATGTATCTGAGTACAAGTTAGTGCGACATAACTTCAAAACCTAAAGCAGAGAAGAGGACCAACCGGCGAAGGTCAATCAGGACGGTCTCCATGGTAAATTCGCGCTTCCACTGAGCAAGGCAAGGGAGCTTTGTCGGGTCAACCTAAGATATCCAGTCATCTTAGCAATTGTGTCTCCACGCTTTTGGCACTTAATCCCTTCCTACCTTTCCACTTCGCTGGTCGACACAGGGAACATTGACTTGCGAGATGAATTGAATCGTGGGGGGCTTGTCCGGGTATTCGGGTCCGCAGTGGATGTTAACGCTGTATATCCGGTTCTCATGAACGCTCTGATCCAGTCTAGTGTTAGTGGTTGCAGGCACGCGACGGTAAGCAAAGTAGTGGGGTGAACCAACGTGAGGAGGACCGAGGATTGTTCCATTCCAGTTGCTCATCATCATATCCTCTCCATCCGCAAGACCGTAAGAGCAAGCCTCTGTAATAGTTGAGAACAAAATAAGTTAGTGTTTGTGCTTCGAGGTTCCCGGAATCAATGGAGGTGTCCAACCTGCACCCTGACCCTTCTCTCCTTTCTCAAGCTCCTCAAGGAGCCTGAAGTTTCTAGGCACAGTCGCAGACATGGCGGAAATATTTATCAAAACAGACTGGACAGGAGAGAGGAACCGTAGGGGGGGAATTCGTGATGAACGAAGAGGGGCATTATCCTGCCGCCCATTCACGGCTAGATGACGAGGAATCACGTGCGATAGTCTTATCGGAATTGCTTGGCACTTTTGGAGATGCCACGGGGATTTGTTGACCTGCGTTTCGATTCCCATTGACCTTTCGAAGTGACAAGCACGATCGGATCGTGAAGCTTGGAAGGTAGAGAAGTCTGGAATATTATCGACTCATACTATTTGTAACAACCAGCCGAGGTGCCGTGCCCAAGAGCTCCCTGTTCCTTTGACACGGGGAGCGGTCACTAGGAATATTGGTGTCGGCCATGCGTTGATGCAGCTTTCTGATTGGAGATGTCTTCCCAATTCTTGCAGACGGAGCTTGCGAACCTCGTCCAAGAGTCTAGACGAAAGAATTCTGACCTGCGAAGTGTTGGTCTTACCTTCCCCGGATGTTCCCCTTGAATAGCATGGCTAACTGAACTAAATCCAGGCAGCAGAGCAATCACTCAATGAGTTGAAAGCGCTGCCCTCGACATCCGAGGCGCAAATAGCAGCAGGTATGATCCCATGCTGTACATGTCGATTACTGAAAATAGCTAAATTATGAAATAGATCTTATTCGTAAGCCGACCTTTGTTGAGCCATTCGTCATTGCATGTCATACTCGGCACGCAAAGCTTGCTGGAATTGGCGTGATCTGCCTTCAAAGGTTGATTGCATCGCGTGCATTGCCATCACATCGTTTGAAGGATGTGCTTGCAGGCCTACGGGAAACGACGAACTTGAGTAAGCAACAAACAGCATCCAACCATGAGGCGAGAGTTACTGACGCCAGGCAGGTCTTGATATTCAACTCAAGATTCTTCAATCTTTGCCTTCTCTGCTGCAATTTTACTCCAATGAGCTCAGCGGAGATCTTCTCGCAAATACTCTGGAAATATGCGCAACTCTACAGGCAAGCAAACAGATCGCGGTCAGCAGTACTGCCGCTGCTACGCTTCAACAGCTAGTTGTGTCGACTTTCGAGAGAGTCGCTACCGAGGACAAGCTGCCTACTGATGGCAAAGTTACAAAGACTGTGAAAGTTGACGGCCAGTTTGTAGAAATAGGGCAGTTTTCATATGATGCTCTACAGGTTAGTCCGTGTCTATTTTATTGCCGCACCTCCTTACTGACTGCATTCATAAGGTTTTGGATGATCTTTGTCGCCTCATTGATGGCGAACAATTACAGTTTCTTCGCACGAGGACCCTTTCACCTCCTTTCGTTCTCGAGCTTATTGAGAGCATCATTCTTAACAGTGGACGTCTTTTCGTAGGACACCCGGAGCTGTCTCAAGTATTACGGGTTCGCTTGGTGCCATTAATTGTTCGATGCCTGTCTGAGAGAACTACATTTCCCCAGACAGTCCGAGTTACTAGGATTCTTCTTGTCCTTCTCAAGCGCCATATGTCCCTCTTAACCGCCGAATGCGAGATGGTTCTTGGCCTGCTGACTCATTTGCTTGAACCGGATGGTACTGCACCATGGAAGCGAGTTTTGTGCATGGAATTATTCCGAGGCCTTTATTCCGAACCGGGCGTCGTTCGGCAGATTTACTCGCTTTATGATGCAGAAGAAGGAAGAAAGAATATTCTCAGGGATCACATGGCCTCCTTTGTGCGGCTGGCTTCTGAAAAACCCTCGTTGATTGGCGTCAGCAATCAATCAACAATCCCGCTGCGTGCCGATCATTCACGATCCGTGACAGAGGATCAAATAGCTCTCGAGACTGGCGGTGTCGCAGGTGTCATTGGTACATCAGTTCCTCAGAACGAGCTGAAGGTCCCAGGGATCAGCACTCAGTGGAGTGTCGTCCGAACGCCTTACATTGAGCTACTGGATAAGACGGAGCCATCGTTGCCTCCAGACACTTACATTTATAGTCTTGTTCTGAACTGCATTAGCGCTTTTGCCGAGGGGCTTGCAAAGTTCATCCTCCCGCTCACGGTCCCAGATCTTAAGCAAAAACGGAAAAACAGACTGGCCAATACTCCTGACCAGGGGCCTGATTCAGCTAGATCTTCTCAGGACCTTCAATCCACAGATGCGATGAGAACACAGGCGGCTTTCTCATTCAGAAAGTCCTCGGTACCAATAAATCCCTTGGAACTGCAGTCTCACATCCAGTTTTCTGCTATCAAAATATGCGCGGGTATCATTGAAAATTGTTGGCCTGCTGTACTAGCAGCATGCTCCACCTTTTTGCACGCCTCCCTTGACGATGAATTTTACCACAACCTGGTTCGGGCATTTCAAAAATTGGCCCATGTCGCAGGCTTGCTTAGGCTATCAGTGCCTCGAGACGCTTTTCTCACAACACTCGGCAAAGCAGCCATGCCTGCAAGCACTGGAAGTTCTAAAGCACAGACCTCTGGAGCACCGGCCGGCCCATCACAGGCCCATGATGATTTTCAGAAAAAGCGAAAAAGCACCGATCTCTCACGAACCAATTCATTGCCGGTGGACTCGACTACTTCATCGATCGGAGATGGCACCCATGTGTCTCTCAGCACCAGAAATCTTCTTTGTCTCCGAGCTCTTATCAATCTTGGCATTGCACTGGGACCAACCTTGGACCAGCCAGCCTGGTCCATTTTGCTGGAGACACTGCAGTATACCGGTCTGGTCATTGGAATATCGTCGAGTGCAATGGTCAAATCAGCCAGTGGCGCGGCAGAAGTTCCAGGCACTTCAGGGAATGATGTTCCCACTGCGAACCTTGGCTCAGAAGTAATCGCCGTACAGGCTGCATCTTCTAAACTGTTTGAAAGTACCAGTGACTATCCTAATGATTCGTTCCAGGACATTCTTCTTGCCCTCCTAGGCCTCTCATCATTCACAGAACAGCGAGACGGACAAGAAGAGGTTCAGCAGGTATCTGAGGCGCCCCGATCGCCACAGCCATCCCGGCAAACTGGACGCATGCATCAAAATGCCCGGCGTGTGTCACACACTGTGGGGAAATCAAGGATGCAAGATGAGGAACTCAAATTCGTGCTAGACAAAGGGAATGAAATGGCTAGAGCAAATCTTGAGAGACTCTCGTCATTGGATGCAGCAGATAGTAACGCCTGGCAACTACTGACACGAAGTCTCATCTCAATCTCCGCGAACATCGCAATTAGCCCAAATCTCCGCCTGCAGGCCAGTGGGATTTTGAACTCACTGGTTTTTCTGACGATGAAACCAAGGGATGGCGATGAAGAGGAGACACAGAATAAGGTACAAACACGGAACCTTCAAACCCTCAAGGACCAAGTCATTTCTCTGTATGCATCAGATCTGGTATCTTCCAAGTCGCTTCCAATCACAGTGGTTGAGATTCACGAGCAGAGCTTAGAAGTGCTTCAAAATATTCTCGAGCAGTATGCAGAAACATTCCAAGATGGATGGAATCTTGCATTCGACCTGATATCCGGTGTCTTTCAAGGTGTCGCAAAGGTGGAATGTAGCGATCAACTATCTTTACCAACCGAGCGCAGATCATCCGGCCTACCAGCCGGGCCAAGGTTAGTTCGTGCTGCGTACAAGTCATTACATCTTGTCGCATCCGACTTCCTCTCCTTGTTGCCTGCGGCTTGTCTGCTGAGCCTGGTAGATTCGCTCTCGAGCTTTGCTTCTCAAACACAGGATTTCAACATTTCTCTTACAACTACATCATTTTTCTGGACCGTGTCAGATTTCCTCCAGGGACAAATTGAAGAATTCTCCATTGAGAGTCATGTTGATGCTTCTGTCAGTGAAGAAGCTTTGGGTGATCTTGCCCAATCTAAGGACTTGTCTGTCTCGAGGAATTCGCTCTGGCTCCTGCTGCTGCTTCGCAATGTGGATGTTACCACGGATACCAGATCAGAAATTCGGAACAGTGCGATTCATACCCTTCTCAGAATTTTTGATGCCTACGGGCAGCAGCTTTCCCCTAAAGCATGGCGGTTATGTCTTAACAGGGTACTCTTTTTGATGGTGGAGCAAATTGAAAGCACTCTCAACGAGCTGAAGGCCGTGAAAAATGATCTCAAGTCCTGGGTGGATACCACAGTCGTGATGATCAATGGAGTCGCTAATCTGATCACGACTTTCTTTGAAACCATTGTGAGCGATGAGAAGTTCGACCAGTCGTGGACACGACTTCTGAAGTACCTGCAAGCCTTGGTCGAGATGCAACTCCTTGAATTCAGTGAAGCCACATTTGCTAGTATTTCAGCTATCCTCATCCGAGTGCAATCTTCCACTGGGCTGAGCAAGAATGCACTTCGGTGTGCTTGGGATCTGTGGACCAATGGACACCCTGCTGGTGACGAAGCCAAGCTCGACGTGGATCGGCCTAATCAAGATGCTGCGGTGGCTTACATCCAAACCTTCCAACAAGTGTATCGTCTATACAAGGATGATTTGACACCAGAACATATCGAAAAGGTCCTGAACCACCTGCGACTGCTCGTGTGGAACTCGGTATCCCCGGCCTATTCTCCAGATATTGATCGACCTTCCACTGTCCAAGCGATGGTGATTGACTGCATCAAAACTCTTTGTTTGGAGAAAGAAGAATCCCAGGCTGCAATCCTTTTGTGTCTTGCCGACCTCTCTGCTTCGGCATTAGCCCAAGGGAGCGCGGACAGCGACTCTAGAAGACCTACATTCGTGGCATTTTCGAAAAACATCATAGACCTCATTAGCTGGTACATCTCTGAGCTTGGTATTAAGCAAGACATTTTCACCAATGGTACTTTGGCAACTACCCTCGAACGTCTCAATGGGCCAATCGGACAGAAGTATACCTGGCAAGGAAAAGACCGCCAGCCTTACCTGTGGCAGAAGGCCTCAACCGTGTCTTTGAACGTACTGCAAGTCGCAGTCCCTTATGTGGAAAAGCAGTACACCGATGCCAACACTGCAGAGATAACTCGCTTCTGGCAATGCGTCGTAGATGCTACGCACGGCATCGTCTCTGCACGGGGTTTCCAAGCCCAGCAGCTACCAAACGCCCGCATCCAAACCGACGAAGCATTTGACATCGCCTCATTCATCCGCCTGAAGACACTGGTTCTACCTTCGCTCGGAGCATCAGCCATCGCAAGCTCAGTCCGCCGGGACTTCGCTTACGCTCTCTTCAGTTCATCCTTCATCTACCCACCTCAACGACTCGATCTTCCGGCCACTTCCATCGAAAAGAACCCTCTTCAGGACTTCTACAAAGTCCGATCAGGCCGTACTTATGACCCTCCACCGACCCTGCGTCCGAAAATGGCCTACGCGCTTATGGACACTCTCTTCGAGCTTGCTACAAATGCAGATGCCGATGATGCATCGATACTATCCCCGCAGACTCTGCTCGCACAATCAGTTTCTCCTTACCTCCTTCTTCGCTGCGCCATGTCGCTGAAAGCCTATATCGCCGATCAGCCTCTGCGCGGCTTGATGCCTCAACCTACGCCTGCACGCAAGGCTCTGCTTCATCTTCTTGTCAACATGGTGCAGCTTCAAAGCAACCCGTCCGCTATTCCGGATCCACCGGTCCTGAAAACCGTCTCGGCGACGACTAGCTCGAAAGATGTCATCTCGCGTCACCATCGCAAGCATCTTGAATGGCTGTACCCGCTCATCGTCAAGGCAGTCCAGGTGGCCGGTAAAGAACGCGATGATGGACAGGTGCTCCAGACCCTTGGGCAGGCGCTGAAGGAGACTGGTCATTTCGAATAAAGGACCGCTAGCGCAAACATCGGCTAGTACGCTGCCTACTAGGCTGAATTATTTCATAGACATATGCTTCACATGTGTGTATCTATTCATTGTTCTATGTATCTTAAACCATCTCTCCATCAAGACGTCATGGAGAAAAGGAGATTATCCAGCAATTGCATTACATATTGCGACCAGGCTGAAACGTTCACATTGGAATAGAGCAGACAACAAAGACAAGAACGGTAAACTACAGTGATATCGTAACAAGACCGTGATAAAATTGATTGGGGACAAGACGAATATAGGAAGTGGGATGAGATCAAGGAGTTCGGTGGGTATAGAAGAGCTAGACGAAAACAATCAAATTATGCCGCCGGTGCCGAGACTGACGGGGTAGTATTCTGTTGCTGCTGCTCTCGCTGCAGATGAGGGCTTGGCACTTCACGTCCTGGGCCAGCGGTCGCAGAACCCGGAGGCAGGATAGCCTGTTGTTGCTGGAGGAGAACCTGCTGTTGAATTGCCTGCTGTTGGGCGATCTGCGGTGTCGCGGCAATCTCGGGTGCTTGTCGGTAGAGAGCGATCTCAGATTGCTTGAAGTAACGGCGGGCATCTATAGTAAAAGTTAGTGACGGCCAGTAATGCATCGCGAGACCATCAGAAGTGCTTATTCCCATGCCGGATTCCAAATCAAGTTTAGCGTGGGGGTGGGCAAGCCGGAAATCAGGAAACGCAGTGGGAGTTACTAGCCGGCCCGATCATTTCGATTTCAAAGACCGTCGGCTATGTAAGATACCCAGCCCACATATTCCACGGACTCCACGGAATACCCGTCATTGGCCATTATGATTGGGATCTCCACGAATAGGAGGCAATCTTGATATTGCGTCACTCACCTTCGTCAATCAGCACTAGACTGAGGTAGTATCTTGTCGAGTATTTCTTGTTCACGTCGCGGAAAGTTGGGGTCAAGTCGAATCCACCAAGGAATAGACGAATGGGAATTGTTTCACCTGCAGTCTGGTCAGCAAACCTGGATGATCTTGACAATCCGTTGAAGGATCGATAGGAAATCGCAAAAAATTCTCATATATTAGAGATATCGCGGGATAGAGACTAACCTCGAGAAGGCGAGCCATCCATGATCTGAGTGATTGTTAGCAACGGCGCGCAGGCTATGATCACGAGACCTCCTCAAAGCCAAGCTAGGCCAATGTACATACCTCGAAGCGGACCAACGTTTCACTCTCATTATATTGATTGGGAGGAGAACCAGTGGTTTCCCGACGAATGATCGACAATTCCATATGCTTTATCTTGAGTCGCACAAGCAAGAAATAGATGCGGCCGACGATCACGTCCTTGAGGTGGTATTTGGACTTGGAGTATTCGAACTCAATATGAAGACAGTCTTCGATACCGACGTCCATCTTGATCGCGCTGTTGGTCTCTGGTGGCATGCGGTACGAATAAACCCAGAGATCCTTCTCACGGATGACGTCGGCCATCCGCCGCGAGACGGTCACCCGCACGAAGTAACGCAGCTTTACATTGATACCATTGTAGGACTCATATTGCTTCTCGACGTTTTTGAAGTTGAAAGGGAAGGTTTGGGGGTGAAGCAGCTCGCCTGGTGCAGCAAGCTCTTGGACCAGTGATAGGAATTCGTAGTGGTTGCCTCGATCGTAGAACATTTCTGAAGGGGACACAAATAGCTTGATCAGCCTTCTGGTCCGGGGTCTGGCAGGGTGAATGCCATGATAACATACCAATTGTGCCAATGAATTGTACCTTGATTCCTGTATGCTCCAATCGCTTGCCATCCTTGGGTCTGATCGTCACCGCACCCTTGACGGACTCCCCATCCATGTACAGGGGAACCCGCTCACGGCGGCCCTTGTCGAGCTTGACATCTACTGTCTGGCGATCATCGAGGTCGTCTAGGACGACATCGATATCGACCGGGGTGGAGAAAAAGAGAGAGGCCATCGTGTGTGAGTTAAAAGGTGCTTGGAGAAGGCGCGCGGAGATCCAGAACGTGGCCTCGTTGCTTAGTAAGACCCCGCAGGCAGCTAACTAACTACTCCAACCAAAACACACAACAACCTGTTGTATTCTTGCTATTTATTTGTATAGCTTAATGATTCAAATACTGAATCTATCAAAGCCATAAGAATGGCTTGTCATTGACTGTCTTCGTATTGATCTCATTGTGTCCCTGAGTTGATTACTTGCTATGTGACTAGGTACGGACAGGTACGCCTTGCCCGCACTTATAGAGATAGATTCCAATTGCAATATGGAGTGTCAGCTAACCAGTGTAGAATCATTCGATATCTAAAAGGACCTTATCACTTCTAGTAATTCGAAGTTCCAGTTTAGCGCATGAGTCGGTCGTCGAATTCTTTCTTTTCTCATATGCATACTAGGGCCCTTAAGCACTGCCTTCTCTTTAATCGAAGGATTAGGCTGTCAGTGTAAACATGCTTAAGATACTAGAACTGGCAAGATATATGGTACTCTACGAGGTCATACTGATGTCATCTTTGATACCAGGTGCCCAGGTGGAGCCCATCTCCCCGTTAGATATGGCCTGTAGATTACATCAAGCAAAGACACTGGTCATAAGCAATCAGCTCCTTCAAGGTGTTGCGCGGGTTCGCATTCATGTCAAATATTGTCATTGAAAATAGGTTTTTCGAAGCCCGATTCTAACATTTAAACATCGGATTTTGTTTCCCGAAATATTGTTTCAAGGATCGTGGCCAATCATGCTTCTTGCATGCTAGTTGTTGGTTGATTTAAACCCCACAGGATTTCCCCGGACTTTTACTCGGCCTTGCGACCTAGAGGAATTGAGTACAGCAATGCCCTCATGCGCCTGGACCAGTTTGAGCCGGTCTTAAGCCAAGTCGGTAAGTTGAGATCGGCCCCGTTTCTGTCCACATCCCTGTTTCATCGTTGCCGTATCTGCTATCCGAGAACCGGGCCGTTTTGTTTGGGCTGTTTTTCTTTCTCCCTCCGATTTTTCATGCTCGCTTATCCCGTCGCTTGGCACTGAAAGGTGCCTTGAGACAGAGCGTGGGGGCAAATTTCCAGCAGATGCAGTGTCTCCCAGTCCACAGATATCAGTTAATTTCCAGATCAAAACAGAGGAGCCTACACTACTTCATATTGCGGCAGGAAGTATATGATGTACTATATGACATACTTCGTAGCTCGTAGGGAGATTCATTCTCCAAAAAATAGGATGCAAATGTAGCCAAACTGGCGGTGTCACTAGTGTGGGGGTACTTTACAGCGTAACTTACATACAGTGACATCATCCGAAACGTCGGAAGTGCAGAGCCTCGTACAAATACCGTTGAGCCAGGTCAATTGATTCAGACTTGTCATACATAACACTGTTAGTACCTACACTATTCAGAATCTTCAAAAAGTAACAAGATGCCAGGTTGAATGGACAATACTGAGTTCGTACTTCTGTCGATCGATCTCCCGACTCCACGGAGACTCATCCCACTTCTCCACTCGGGTAATGACTATTCTTCACATCCCTCCAATCACAGCCAAACACGGCTCCCCCACTCGGCTTCTGGTTTCTTCTTTCCCCCGACTCCACCGTCATACTTAAAAAAGTAGGGGAGATCTCCCTGTCGCGCGACTCCCGTTTCCCCTTTCTTGCTACATAGTCAGACCATTTGCGCAAATTTCAATACTTCGCCCAAAAAACCACTGCTCACATTCCTACTTACTAGAAAAAAGTCCACACGTCAGTTCCGTGGATCTCCGCCTTACATCCGTCATCCACTCGCCTCCGGTCCATCTTGCAATCGCAGAAGGACGTTATCTCCCCCATAAACCGCTCAATTCCTCCCGCATTCCAACATCATGCTCTCCGCCGGTCAGCCACCGGTCACACCTGCCCTCGGAAACTCGCCGTCCAGTGTATCCGTGACGAAGGCGCACATCATGCCTGATCTGGAGCCCAACGGCACCTCAACACACGCCGCAATGCGTCTTCAATCAAATCAGCGTTCCCCAACCCAGCATATCTGGGTAGTAACTGGTCCCGCTGGCTGTGGTAAAAGCACCGTTGGCCAAGCCATTCGCCAGGAACTGAACCTACCTTTCTTAGAAGGCGACGATGTACGTGGGAACACTCTTATGGCTGTCAAAAAAGACAACATTCCCAATAAATACAACCCAAAATATAGGGACAACAATGAATGAAAGCTAACGCGAATCCCCGCAGTACCACCCCAAAGCCAACAAGGACAAGATGGGCAACGGCACCCCTCTTACAGATGCGGACCGTTGGGACTGGCTCATCTCACTCCGCCAGGCAGCCATCGATGCCCTCTCACCCTCCGAGTCCAATAACTTCCACCCGCCCGCCGGTGTGGTTGTCGCTTGCTCTGCTTTGAAGCGGAAATACCGCGATGTGATGCGTGTCGCCGCGTACGGCTCGCCTTCTGTGCAAATCCACTTCGTCTATCTCAAGCTCACAGAGGCTGTTCTTATGCAGCGTGTCAGCCAACGCAAGTCCCACTACATGAAGAGCGACATGGTTCAATCGCAGTTAGCTGCTTTGGAGGAGCCGCAGGGCGAGTGGGATGCCATCACGATTAATGTGGAGGGATCACAGGAGCAGGTGCAGCAGAATGTGCTGGAGGCCGTTACTGACAAGCTCAAGGAGTATTCTTGAAGGATATTAGGACTTTTGTGGGAGTTTTTGCATAAGGAATCTGGCTTGTGGACTGCCTTCTTCTCCACTTGGTGTTTCATGGGAGTTTGTGTGTTTTTTTTTCTTCTTATACTCGCATTGTCGTTTCGGGCGTGACGTTCTTATTGGCCTTGCCTTACATGGCTTTTGATACCCTATATCGGGGCGCATGGCATAGCAATGTCTATATTATATAGACTAAATCTACTGGCATCGTTATTTGTTGACTATATATTTGTTGACCATAGATCTTATCTCTAAAATCCATTCGTTAGGATATCTTACCCCAGATTCTCAATCTAGATATCCGTATGAGCCAACAACTCCAACGACATTTCCATCAACATCCTTCGGGCCAGCGGTCATTGCTAGCAATAAAGATCTTTCAATCGACTTTAGGTTTCCTGACGGATACATTGGGTTCAGGCGTGGAGCCACCCTTTGGCCAGGAAATAGGTCGATTATTTACCCCTTTGAGCATGTTGCAAAAGCCCATGGTATCGGACGATGACATTTCGCTTTCATGACGTACGAGCACAAAGTCAGAATGACGATGTAATTCCAAGACTGTGGATTCGGCGCATGGAATCAAAACCCCGGGGCTTAGCATTGTGGTTTTCACGAAAATGCAGGGCTCAACTTGTTGGCCATGGACAGGATTCTGCCTTTCATGTCGAAGCTGCAGCATGTGCAGACTTGCCTTCTTTACGTTGACCATGGACCGAAGACTTATGTTCCAGAAGATATTGCTGAATGGGCCCAAAGGTGCCGGCCGATATATCCATACTTCAAATAGCAGCAGTATCTCGAAAATAAACCTTAAGCGTTAGCAAGTTTTGACTTGTATGTCTTTTGTGTAAACTGGTCTTGATAAGGATAACATCCATTGGTGAGGGGAAGGAGTGGGGGATCTAGACCATCTTCAGAAAGGGTTGTCTGATTTAAGATACACAAATATCAAACTCCCCATTCGCTAACCGAATGACCGATGCTAACCTTTCAACCCAGATGACATAATTCCAAGCTGATTGCAAAAAGTGAATTGTACTCCGCGGCGATGCGGGGAAGATCACGTGGCTATCGTCGGTTACCGTCGGCGAAGAGTGAAGTCAGTCTACAGATAAAGAACATTCTTCCTTAATTTCTTCAATCAAATACAAATGCATAACCTGGCCTCTTCCCTCGTTAGGTGACCAGGTATCATGAACATCTTGCGACGTGGGGGTAGTATCCCTCGTATTCTGCACACCTGTCAACCCCAGAGTGTTCTCCGCATTCGAAGCCCCATCACGTCCGTGCTGAGCCGGGGATTCCACGCAGGGCCTGCGTTATGGGGAATCAAGTCACAGATCTTAAAAGATGTCGGTGAAGGTAAGCAAATGCTTTGCTCAGCTGTAACACAGGTCAATTGGTCTCTAATCTCAGAATAAGGCATCACTGAGGTCCAGATCATTCAGTGGTACGTCGAAGAAGGGGCGCACATTGAGGAATGGAAGCCTTTATGTCAGTACCAATCTGACAAGGCAGTGGATGATGTGAGTACTTCTGACTCTAAATACTCCTACTGCAGATAACTGAGCAATATAGATCACATCGCGGTACGAGGGCGTGATCAAGAAGCTCCATTTCGAGGCCGATGACACTGTTCCAACGGGGCGAGTAAGTTGATCTCATGGTCTTCCTTATCGTTTCATCTGATTAACTCTTTTATGCAGGCCTTGTGTGATATTGAGGTTGTAGATGGAAAATACCATGATGACAACCCACCACATGAATCACAAGTAGCTCCAGAGCCAGCTGCGCCAATTCCCGAATCGCAGATAGTGGCCGCAACTCAAGCTGCCGAAGGCTCTACAGTACCTCATTTCTCCCCTCCATCTTCCGAAGCCATCCCCGAGATACCCAAATCGAAGCATGCATCTCTTGCAACCCCTGCTGTGCGCGGACTACTTAAGACCCACAGTGTCGACATCCTAGACATCACCGGCACAGGAAAAGAGGGGAGGGTCATGAAAGAAGACGTCCTAAAATTCGTTGAAACGCGAGATTCTCCAACAGCATCTCTCGGCCCACCACAATTTTCTACTATACCAGACACCAAGCAGTCCGAATCCGAGGTCAAATTGACGCCAATTCAATCGGCTATGTTCAAAACAATGACCAAATCCCTCAACACCCCACACCTACTCTTTGCCGACGAGCTAACAGTCGGCAATATCTCTGCAATCCGAAAAAAGCTTGCCAGCGATTCTCGGGATCCTAAGAAAATCACTCTCCTCCCGTTCATTGTCAAGGCCGTCTCACTCGCCCTGAACGAATATCCCATCCTCAATGCAAGGGTAGATGTCAGCACACCAGAGAAACCGAAATTGATTATGCGAGCAAAGCACAATATCGGTATTGCTATGGACACACCTACAGGTCTCGTCGTCCCCAATATCAAGGATGTGGCAAGTCGATCCATCATTGATATCGCAGCCGAGATCTCAAGACTCAGTACACTCGGCAAGGCTGGAAAATTGACATCTGCTGATCTGGACGGCGGCACCATTACCGTCTCAAATATCGGCAACATTGGTGGCACATACGTTGCGCCTGTGATTGTGCCAACGGAGGTTGCTATTCTTGGTGTTGGACGGACGAGGACACTGCCTGTTTTCGATGAGGCGGGGCAGGTCACCAAGGGCGAGCTAGTAAATTTCAGCTGGAGTGCTGATCACCGTGTCATTGATGGAGCGACTATGGCACGTATGGGTAACCGTGTGAGAGAGTTGATCGAATCGCCCGAGTTGATGCTGCTCAATCTCAGGTGAGTAGAGTACAGATAAACTCATCTATAATGAACAGCATGAATAGAATCGAAAGAGCTGTATGCCTTCAAATAGTCTTTACCGTCAGCGGTTCCAAGGTTTAATCCCGGTTAAACCCGGCTAAATTGAAGTATATGAGGTCAGATAGCTACGTCTATCATCATCCAATTCTTGACTATTAGAGTGAGTAGGTAACAGTTAATTCTCTTTAGAATATATACATCAATATACCTACTCGCTAGCACCCAGAATAGAAGCCAGCGACTTGCTGTCAGAAGTGGACTCTCCGTCATCATCAGTAGGGATCTTCTGCGAGGCAAAAGCCAGGAAAACAGCCTCCCAGTGACCATCATCAAACTTAAACAACAATGCACCATCCTCGTAGATACCATTAGAGTAGCTAGGCAAGCTACCCTGGTTCATGTGGACATCATGAATTCCAGACCCATAAGATGAACCAAAGATATAAGCAGTGGCCTTCTTGTTGATGGCATCAGAGATGATCGGGTCCAGCTGAGCCAAAATACTAGCATCGGAACCATCGCTGCCCAGAATCTCTCCTTGCTGAATATCCACCAGACCCTTTGTGCGAACAAAATCCAGGCCTTGGAGGGTAGCTACCTGGTCGCGGCGGGCATGTCGGTGGTGACGGCGGTTATTGTGGTGCTTGCTTTCGGTCTTGTTGCTGGAATTGCTGGGGTTGCTGGAGCTCGGCGACGAAGTAAGGTGGAAGCCGAGGTCCAGGTTGGAGAGCTGCTCGGTGATGGAGTGTGTGAAGTTTCGGTTGAGCCAGAACACCAGACGGGTATCCTTGTCAGTGGACTTGACGTTGATAGCAGCCTCGAGACTCTTGCTGGACGAGGAATCGTCGGTGAAGTGGAGGTAGATGTGGGGGGACTTGGGGTCTTCCTTTGTGGTCTGGGCTTCGTAGCTGGTGGGGGTGCAAGCCCAGACACCGTAGTGGGAGATAGTCATTTTGGTGATGAGTGAATTGGAAGATGAAGACAAGGTTGAAGGTTTAATTAATTGCTGTAGTGGAGGAAGGTACAGGTCTATTTAAGTGATGGCATAGGCGGCCGATATCGCCTCATTATGCTACGAGATAATCTGGCCACTTATGCAAGCTTTCTTATCAATTCACAAAGCAAATTGCTTGGACCAAACACGTGCTGGGGTGTGGCCAAGATGAGACCGCTTATCGAGCCATGATGTAGCTTGTCATGCAGCTAAAGCTTAGCGTTGTCCCGCAGCGGAGATCAATTGGGTATCGTCATGACGACTCTGGGCTTTTTATTGGAATTGTGGGATATTGTGGCGCCGCTGAACAGGTTTCAGCTCTTCTGCTTCTCGTGATGAGTGGCCCGATGGGCATTCTGTGGTCATGTTGGTGATGATGATGATGATGATGTCGCACGATCTCCTCAGCTCCTGGTGGGGGGTGTCCACAGTCCCCACAGGAGGGGTATCCCCGACTGCGAAGACTGCCAAACAGCCGTGAAGAACTAATTATAGGGAGGGAGACATGGTGGCAAGGTGTTCAATCCTTTTTTAGGACCTCTTCTGGTTTCCAAGGTTGGGTATGTGGGTACGTACTCAGAAGAACAAATGCGGGGGAAATGATGCGGGACGTGGATCTATCACTGATGTACAAAATGTCGTCCAAATAGGCCCATCTTACAGCCTTGTAGTCACTCCAGTGCCTAGTTCCACAAAATCTTGACCTTGGACCACGTAGAGGTTGGTTCCTCGGGTGGGTCGGGGTCATTCTCGGCAATCTCGACAAAACGAAGGACAGGGGATTCGTCCAATGAAATGATTTTCGTTCGATACCAGATCTTGTAGCCGAAATAAAATGTAGCAAAGATCGCAATGTCCAAGTAAGCAGAAATGAAGGTTTCGGTTGACCAGCTAAAAAGATCTCAGCAATCGCCAAAGAATCCAGTAACTCTGAAACGTACTGTCCGTGAATAAAGGTTGTATAACCCCCAGTCAATAAAATTATGGTCAGCGATACCAGAGTGACCCATGCAGCATATGGTTGGAGCGGTGCTTTCCATGGTAGTCTATTTCGAGAAATCCCCTGTTTCTTCATGGCATAGTAAAAGCGAAGATAGGTAGTGCAGATGACTAACCAGCTCATAATCTGTGCACAAGCGACCAGATCCTGTAGCCATGTGAACACAGTAGCGGCAGTAGCGCTGAGAGACATATACCCGAGAGCCATCCACACTCCGATGGCAAGCACTCCCAGGTACGGTACACCCCACCGGCTGGTGCGTGCAAGGAACTTCGGGGCTTGGCCCTCACGGGCAAGACCGTAGAGAATGCGAGATCCACTAAGCAGAGCTAGAGAGCGTCAGTTTGATAGCGTCATGCTGCTGGTCGAGAACGTACTCGAGTTCCCTGAGCTCCACGCGCTAGTCAGAACAATTGCGTTGATAATGTGAGGCACGACGCTCACTCCGGCTCGAGTTGCTGCAATGAGAAAGGGAGACTGTGCAGCAGTGCCGGAACTTCTGAGAAGCATCGGATCGTTGGAAGGAACTAAAAGAGTGATCATAAAAACGGAGATAACTGATTATTGTTAGCGTCTCTTGAACGTAGTGTCGGGGTACATTCGGCCTACCATAAAACAGCATCACGCGTACAAAGACTCTTTTTGCAGCTTTTGGGATATTTCTGCGTGGGGCGTGGGTTTCTGCTGCTGCCATTGATATGGTCTCCACTGACGAATATGCATACGCTGCATTTACAAAGACTGTCCAGAATCCCATGAAGCGACCCAACGGCCCAGGAATGCCCAAGTACTGCACGAACGGTCCGGGGTCTCGCCAGTACTTAAAGCCGATGGCTGTGTGATCTGGACCTCCTCCAGCTGTAATGACAATACCCTGCATATGTGAGTTTGATATCCAATATACTTGAAAAAAGTGATGCTTACCATGATGTTCATCCCGACAATCAAGCAGACCTTCAAAATGGCCAATGTGAACTCGATTTCCCCATAGATCCGCACCAGAAATAGGTTGCTTGCAAAGAGGACGGCACTGAATACGGTCACCCAAATGGCATTGTTCGCCGTGACCCAGAACTGAACGATCACAGCTGCGGCTGAGATCTCGGCGGGGATAGATATCAAATACTGATATGTTACGTTCCAGCCCTGCGCAAATGAAAATGCCGGATCCACGAAATAAGAAGCTGGACGGATGACACCTCCACTGAGAGGGACGAGGGCGCTGAGCTCTCCAATGGAAAGCGTGACGCCGGAGATAAGGAATCCCATGAACAAATACCCCATGCTAAGACCTGTTAGTCGTTTTGCCTGATTTTGTGATCCATTGACTGACAAGACACCGGCTGGTCCAGCATTAGCTAACGCTCGACCCGATCCAAGGAACAGGCCAGTTCCAATGGTTCCTGCTAATGCGATCATTTGAATGTGCCGTTGTTGTAGGCCTTTCCTATATAGAAAATTGTCAGTACCAACTCTTGATAGTCAAATTTCCATTTCCTAACCTCAGCTCTTTCACCTCAGCAAGCTCGGGTGCCCCTGCGCCATCAGGAGTTTTCAACTCTATTGCTTTTTCTGCATCGTATGTCATGTTCGGGGGAAGGTCCAGTGCTTGGGCACCAGCAATGCCCACCGTTTCTGAATATGATTGTATCATGAGAGCGGGAACAGTAAGTCGTGAATTTCCTGGTGAGACCAGATCCGATCTCCTTCATACAACTTCAAAAAGAGATACTAGTAATCTTCTCTCCCGCAGCGGGGAGGTTACTGTAACATTGTGCATCCTTGGGGGTCTAATGACCGGATCCGGTATGATCTTTATCTTTATCCAATTGGAAATTGCATTTGACTTACTTACTTAGGTCCAGGCATAGGAGACCCCGCATAACTGCGGGGAGAGGGGCTTGATCTCAGATTTGGAGATATGTTAAGGTTATACCACTTGACAAATGCATTTCGTAAGATCAGTCAAGGGGGTAGGTAATCCATTGTTCAAAAACGGCTTTCAGCATAAGGTAACTAAATAATGGAAAGACAACGGCAAGTGGAAGAATCACAGCAGCTATTCAAGCTCCACCACCGCCAGGAATCGAATAGCCTATCCAATACTACAAAGAATAAGGACCAAATCAGGGGCTCTAGATATTTGCCTTTGATGCTTTGAGTTTCATGCACAGCTTGTTCCATGATTCCATTCCTCGACGAGCGGAGTCTTCAGGTCCATTCGCCTCATCACGCATACGCCGATCGAAGGTCTCCAGAGAGACCCATCCTTTATAACCTTTCTCCACCAGCCAAGTCTGAGCAATCTCAGTCATAGGCATGTAGGCCCCGAGTCCTTTCTCCAATGGAAATGGCCGCGCATGTCTGGACCACGTAAATTGCGGAGCTTCGCCCTCCACATACCAAGGATGATCTTTCGAGAATGGCGGGTCGGACTTTTCTCCATCAGAGAGCTGAATAAAGAATACCTTATTCAAGGGGCAGCTCTCTATAAAGCGATACAGCGTTTCCTTGAGGCGCCGGTCGGCGTCAGAGAATTTGCCGGATAAAGCGAAGGCGTCGGCCCATAATTTGGTGACGACGTGAAAATTATCAAGACAAAGGCCAAAGTTAGGCCGATCCACTGCGTTGACCACTTTTAAAGCGTCTTCCCATGTAGAACAGCGAGTGCCCCACGACAAGGCCTCGTATGCGATTGAGACGAGTGGTTGTCTTGAGCTTCCCAGATCCGCTATTTGTTGCAGCTCAGATATGATGACGGCTGTATCTCCATCAGCGTCAGGGCCATAGTGAGATGGGATCTGTAAATAGGGTGCATGGAGCCTTCGGGCAACTTCCATCCACAGAGTTGCTTTCTGTAACCTGGAACTCAAAGGGGAATTGTCACCCTCGTAGTTTTCAAACGGCGCCAAAGAAAGAATCTCTAGGTTGCTTTGGTTGCAAAGAGCTGTGATCTTTTCTGCGCCCTCAAAGATTGACAGGTTTTGTGATTGGGAGTATGCGTCTAAATCCGAAAAGACAATTTCTAGACCATTGAATCCGGCTTTCGCTGCAGCGAGAATTTTGCGATCCAAAGTATGAGATGGGTGCTGGCCTAAAGAGACCGTGGCAATAGCCAACTGATTCGCCATGGTGTTAAGAGTTTCAGTGAATGAAATGTTTGAACGGCATTTTTTGGCCTCATATGTACAACTCCCGGGATTGAAATTCCGATCCCCGTCAAATCGGGGATGATGACCGAACTTTCTTCTAAACTGCCTCCGGACCTTACATGGGTTCCTGTTCTTCTAGTATCGGGTCGATTAGTTTTCGGAAGGTACGATCCAGTGATTTGTTCAAGGAAGGCACGCTATCTCCAAATACGGAAGGCGCGATTTTCGAGTATAAACCGCCCCCCTTCTTTCTCTTTCTTTTCTGGACCTCCAATCCTTCTCTTCTTTTTTAAGTCCTTCCCCTCATTCTCCTATTTGCCCCAATCTCCCATTTGCTGAGATAAGTATAGCTTAGCAGCTGTCCCAAGATCCAAACAGTGTTATCAATCTGATAACAAGATCCATGGATCTTGGACGAGCAAGATTTACCCCACATTCTAGAGCTGCGTCATTCTCCAAATCTCTCACTTTTCATCCAATCGGCATGGTGTAAACACATGCACATCTGGCCCATAAGGCTGTGGATTGTGGACCAAAATGGCAGGTGCCTGAATTACGATTCCGAAAATGGATCTCAGCGTCACAATCTCTGCGATCTTCGAATCAGCATCGGGTGCCAAGAGGGAAGGCCCACGATCGCTTGCAGATCCTACAGAGGGGTAAAACTGCTCAGCTCCCCCGGGTTCCTAATACACACTTCTCACCCTATCGCAATTGCTTCTCGAACTTCTCGTACCAGTCTTGGAAACCGCCCATCATGGTCGCTGAGTTTCTCACCATCCGCAATAACACGAGCACTCCGATCGTCCTGAAGCGCATTGAGCGCTTCGGAGCACCGGAGTCGAACAACGACATCACCTTTCTCGCCAAGAACTTCACTCGGGCTCTCACGAACCAAACCCGCGCCAATGCGCCCATTCTCGCGATCACCGACCAAACAAAACCGTTCGAGGAACTACAGGGCCTCGACATCCGCGTGGAGCCATTCGCGACCAAAACAACCCAGCGCCGAGCCTTCAAGAACTCTGAGAAAGAGCGCATGCGCCTAACCTTTGAAGTTGAGGGTGAGCGACACCAGATTCAAACGCCCGTGCCGACCGCCGAGTCAGCTACTATGAAAGCGCTGGCCGAGCATCCCAAATTCCGGTTCACAGGCATCTACATCACCCCCGAGTCTCATCTGAGCATTTTCTCCTCTGCCAACCTGAATTCCTGGATGCGCGAACTGCGCGATGACACCCTTCTCTCTGCGCTCTCGATTCCTGGAACCCACAACTCCCCGACGTGCCATATGGCTCCACCTTCCGTGCGCTGTCAGGCTGTCAGCCCGCGCGAACAGCTGAAGAATGGTGTCCGCTTCTTCGACATCCGTGTTCAGCCACAGTACCCCGATGACCCCGCAAAAGATGAGCTGATCCTCGTGCATAGCGTGTTTCCCATCTCATTGACTGGGAACAAATATTTCCGCGACTTAATGAAGGAGGTCAACGAGTTCCTGGAGCAGAATCCGTCCGAGTCATTGATAATCTCGCTCAAGCGTGAGGGCCCTGGAAATGCGAAAGATGAGCAGCTCGCTCGCATCTTGCACCAGCACTACGCAGGTGAAGGTAGTCGCTGGTGGGTTCGACCCAAGATCCCGACCTTAGGCGAGGCGCGTGGTAAGGTGGTTCTGATCCGCCGCTTCAACTTGAATGAGCAACTGAAAAAAGAACATGGAGGAAATGGGTGGGGCATTGATGCTGCTGCTTGGGCAGATAATACCCCAAGCGCGGTTTGCCCCAGTGGACAACTTTGTATTCAGGATTTCTACGAGGTCCAAGAAACGACTAATATTGAGAAGAAGATCAACTTTGTCAGGGAACAAATTGATCGTGCCTCACATGCTCAATATCCTTTTGGTGTGCTGCCAAATGCACAGGAGGCCCGGAAGTATCCCTTCTTTATCAACTTTTTGAGTGCCAGTAACTTCTGGAAGACTGATACTTGGCCGGAGAAGATCGCTGCGAAGGTCAACCCGGCCACTGTTGATTACATCTGCCGTCGTCACAAGGATGCTGATAGAGATTGCTCGACGGGTATCTTAGCGACGGATTGGGTTGGACAAGATGGGGACTGGGATCTTGTGCGCTGTATTGTTGGCATGAACGCTAAGCTGCGCCTTCGAGAGAACTAATAGGCTTAACTGCACTTGGGTAGCAGCTTCGATTTGCCACTTTCTTTACTCATATTGACCAATCATATTCGATCAGCTTCTGAAACAATCAAGCTTTCGGTCTACCATTTTTTACAAAAAGAAAGAAAAAAAAACTTTACCCCAAAGCTTTATCTTGATTAATACGCTGAAAAGCTTCGTACCTGTACAGCTCTGCGCTTTTTCATTGAGAGAAGACTCCATGTGGGTTGCTGACGCGTCATGTATTCAGGCTTAGCTCCACCGCGATAACTCATCTCATCCTATTCCAGCGGCTCTCGGCCTTATCAATTACTGCATATCAATTCCAGAATTTGACAACGCTCCAAATCGACAAGATGAACGACCTGTAAATGCCAACAAAATCCAGGCATAAATCGAAATCTAATCATTTCCTAGCCTGTCTTCATTCATCGATTTCTACATGGCGAACAAAAATTTTGTCATTAGCTGCACACTCGCCAGCCTCATAGCCATCCTCATCCCACGGACTCGCCAAACCATAATGTGGTTTCTAGGCAGAATGAACCATTATTACCAGACACGGCCCATTGAGACAGCCGTGGTTCAATTTGTTGTGGTGTTTCTAATAACAACATTTCTGTTTCGTATCAATGTGCTTACCAACCCACCGAGGGTTCTCTACACGCTACTCGATGGAACAAGCGTGACAGAAACCCGTATTTCGCGTGAAGAATTTAGTGGCATTTCATCTAGGCAGACTAAAGCTAGTGGACTGTCTGGTGATGAGTGGGCTAATGATCAGGCTGAGAAAATTGCGGCTTTTTATGCGGAGAGGTCGGAGAGACGGTTTAGTGAGGAGCTTGGGAGGTCTGGGCACCCTTTGACGACGACGAGTGATAGGGCCAGGGCTACTTTTGCGCTATAGAAGAGTTGAGATCCTTACTTCAATGTTTTTCAGTATGTATTTCATCTTTTGGTCTGCGGATCCCGAGCGCTGGATACAGTATTTAGATTCGTATGTCTGGAGTCATGTGGGGGCTTTAAACTTCGGACCATTGGTTGTCCAAGTGTCATGTGAATACTGAAGGTATATTCTTTTGAATAGCTGAATAATAGATTCCAATGTTAATTGCTAAGACAGTATACACCCTTCCGGGACAAAAGATGCTTCAGGATGAAAACTCAACTATATGACATATTATACAAGATTGCGAATGGCCTTAAACAAACTAAGACGATTCGCTCTTCTCGCCCTCGGGCTTCTGCTCCTCCTCCAAAACGCTTCTCCGGCTCTCCATGGTGAAGTAAAGGCTCTTGCCAGCTCCCTCCAGGGTGTTGGTAAGGCTGGAGCCCATGCTCTGCAGGGCCGTAACAAGCTGAGAGCGCAGGCCATCCATACCACCCTCGATACCTCCAACCCACTTGGTCTGGTTCAAGTCCAAGACCTGACCATCTACACGGGCAGCCAAAAGGTTCAGCTTCTGCAAACCGATCTGCACAATAGGCTCGTGGTAGTCGGGGTTGGCCTTCCGGGTAGGCGCACGGAAGCCGGATTCCTTGGGGGTAAGAATCGACAAAGCAGCCTTCATGTGCTCGGGGGAAACGGCAGGGATAGAAAGGATGGCGATAGGTCCAACAAGGATGTCGGCAAGTTCGTGGCGGCCCTTCAGGTGCTTCACCGCTTCGTAGGCGGCACGCGACAGGTCGTGGGTAAGGGCGGGATCATCCCGGGATCCGGAAACCGTGGGTAATTCAGCGGAAGTCTGGGTAATGGGGTCGACAGCACTCGGGGGCTTTCCGGAAGCCAATGCAGCGTCGCTAGGTCGGAAATGCTCAACGATGCGCAAGGCAACTTCGAAGATGCTGGTCTGGACAGTCTGAACCTTGATATAGGGAGCTAGAGCTGGGGATGTTCGGCCCTCGGCGGCAATCTTCTCATCCACCTTTTCGAGTGCCTTGGTGAGTTCTCGTCGGATGGAAGCCCATTCCATGGACTTGAGGTTGTTGTGTTGGAACAGCACCATCAGGGGAGATGTACGGAGAATTGAGGTGTATTGTCGGAGAAGCTGTGACCGACGATATTCAGGATTACGATGCGACGGGGGTTGGGTGGGAGGAGTTCGCGAGATTGGTGCTGGGGAGCGTGTCATTTGCTCAATGGGCGCCGCAGGTGTCACGGCTGCCGTGCTGGCTTTCCTGATGATCTGAAGTTCATATGGACACCGCAGGGCGGGTCGCCGAAGCGAGGCAAGTTGTAACCGCGGTGGCATTGTGTGTGTTGCTAGACCAAATCCAAGCAATTGCGAGATGAAAGGAGTGGATCAAGAATCAAAGCCCCCGGAAGAACATTGAAATTGGTATTTTCGGGTGATATTTTTTGGCTCCCAAAGCAGTAAGGCGCCCTGCAGGCGGTACATAATTCTGCCCTAATTTGATCCCGCGGTGAGAGGGGCATCATTGAGTCATGAATACTTTCTTTTTTCTGTTTATACACGTTACACTCTGGCCCATTGACCCTGTCAATCCTGTTCAAACGACTTTTGAACAATATCATCCGCTTCCTGTGCAATGGCTAAACCTGAGAGCCCTAAGGAGCTTCAAAAAGTGTCCATCTCTCCTCTTCTCAAGCGCCTGGCATACCCCGCCAATCCCGGGTTCCAAGTTAGCGCAGATGATATTGCTTCGGCATTTGCACTGATCTTTGAGGATCAAATATCAGATATTCAATGTGCGGCTTTGTTGACATTGCTTCATTCGACTGGCAAGGACAAGGAGGCTGATGTAATTGCGAAATGCTCACATCGCATGCGAGCGGCAGCTTGCGCCATTGACAAGACTGCTTTGAAAAAGGCCGTGAAATCGCGGGGTCGACCTGAGGGGAAGTACAATGGTGGTTTAGTGAGATCTCACCTCACAGGTACATTTGTTTGACTTTTACTGACGTGTCTCTACAACTCAGTGCGATATTGTTGGAACTGGTGGTGATTCCCACTCAACTTTTAATGTGTCGACAACCTCCTCGATCATTGCTTCGCCGCTCCTCATGACTGCAAAGCATGGCAACCGTGCTCAGACATCCTTCTCCGGATCTGCTGATGTCCTCAGGGCAATCCCTCCCATTGCCCCCAACATCGATGCGGTCACCGCAGACAACATTGACAAAGTGTACGCTGAAACCAACTATGCCTTCCTGTTCGCCCCCAATTTCCATCCGGGCATGATGTACGCCAATCCTGTGCGTCGTGGTCTTGGTCTCCGAACCATCTTTAATCTCATGGGACCTCTCGCGAACCCCGTGGAGTGGGCTATTGAGGCTCGGGTTGTAGGTGTGGCCTACCAGGCCCTGGGTCCAGTCTTCGTCGAGGCTCTCAAGCAGGCTGGAGCCAAGAAAGCCCTGGTGGTATGCGGTGAGGAAGATATGGACGAGATCAGCTGTGCAGGTTACACAAACTGCTGGAGACTCACCGAGCACCCCAACCCGGATTACAAGGAGTACCCTGAGGATGATGCCGACGACGACCACGACTCCAGTGATGAGGAAACACACAACCCTCGTACAATTGTCAAGGTTGACACCTTCAAGATCCAACCCTCGGACTTCGGAGTGCGGAGCCATCCTCTTACTGAGGTTTATGGGCGCAAGATGCCCAAAGACAACGCCAAAAAATTGATGGCCATTCTTCGCAATGAACTGCCCCGGGATGATCCTATTCTGGAGTTTGTCCTTATGAATGTTGCTGCTCTGCTTGTTACATCTGGAGTGTGTGAGGCTGACACTAGCGACATGGGTTTCGGCGATGACGGTAAAGTCATCACGGAGCGTGGACCGGGTGGTGGGCGCTGGAAAGAGGGATTGCGTCGGGCTCGCTGGGCTGTCGAGAGCGGCCAGGCTCTTCACAATCTGGAGAAGTTCATTGAAATCAGTAACAAGCTTCAATAAAGCCCTGGTACGGTGTCACCTTTCGGATTAATGTGGTTTACCCCTAGTTCTTTCTGTAGAATACTTCGGCATGTATTTCTTTTTAATGGATTATGTGAAGTGACATGATTTCACAAGTAGAACTGGCTTGCAAAAACTCTCGGTACCATAATAGATAATAGAGCAATTTTGAGCTTTTTAATGTTGCGTAACGTCCATCTACAAGAGGCCGTCGAATCTCATACCGCATATGAAATTTATTTGTCTGAAACTCCCAAAGCGCCATTTTATGCATAATTCGTCCAAACGAGAATAAAGAAGCGCAAAGATATCACAAGTCGGGTTCCTTCAACTCCAAGACCGCAAGTCTCGTCCAGACCCATTATTCTCCATCATCATTGTATGTTTCACCGAGCCTCGAATTGCACCATACTATCCAACAAAGAAAAAAGAAGTCAGCTATGCGCCAGCAAAGAGAGCCTCGGAGAAGCTTGAAAGTGAAAGGGAATCTCACCGCTTAGTGCGCTCCTTGTAGAGCACACGGTGACCACAGTCCTTGCAGCGAATCTGATCTCCCTTCTTGATGGGGACACGGGCAGAGCACTCGCCGCACAGGTAGACAACGGAGGGAGAGTCGATGGCCATGGCGCCGTATCCGGTATCGTTGCTGAAGGCATTCTGGTTGCCGGAGACAGAGGCAGGGACCTGGTAAGCTTCGCGAGACATTTTGGGCGGTTTGTGGGTTTGCGAAGGCGATGCGCTCGAAGGTTTTGCTGGGTGATGGACGCGATGGTGAAGATGTTCAAGATAAGCCGGCGGGATTTTTCTTTTCGGCGCGGATCTTTGAAGATTATGTAAGCATGTCACCGAACTAATTTGATAACTAAGTTAAGTAGACAACCAACTATAACTAAAACCAGTCTGAAGGCTCTGGAGACAACACGCTCTGATTTAATTCAGTTTTGCATGACGAATCATACATCTGCCTTCCTAGGATCATGGTGCTGAAGCTAAAGCCAAATCAAAGATTTCAAATCCCGATTTCTATATGAATACGCAACGAGAGCTCAAAAGACGAGTTTTTCTCAATCTTGCATACCGAAGTACGTGGACCTTTTCATCACATTGTGAAAGATTATCAGATACTCAGCTCGCTTGGTCATATTTGATGACTTCCTCACTGGCTTGTAGGGCTTGTAGATACAGTTCGAACCTTTTCAATCTCAAATACCTCATGTTCAGACTTCGCCGTCTCGAGCAAACCACTACGAGAGATAGCAATGTTCCTTTTTGTCGAAGTCTTCCAAGCTCTCCTTCCAGACTGAAATATATCGTCAATTTGCTCAAGTGTCAATCTTGAGGTCTCCGGCACAAACAGAAACACCAAAATCAGGACCGCAATCGTAACCCCGAAGTAGAAGTATCCAACATCGGACCCCATATTCCCATACTGGGCATTCAACATATAAGGCGTCCAGAATGTGGCTCCGAAACTGAAGATTTCGTAGAAGAACGTCGTATTGGCTTGCCCGTACGTTCGCATTCGCACACTGTGCATCTCAGCCGAAGCAAGCCATACACTCGGACCGATGAATCCGCCGAAGACGAACGCCCAGATGCAGAGGAAGACAACCACCACGGTCTGCGATATCGGATTATGTTGTCCCAGTGCGGTGCTAATGGCAGATAAAATGAGCATGCAGGCTGCCATCGCTGAATATCCGTAAATCATGGCGAATCGTCGTCCGCCGTAATCTAGCACCAGTGGGCCGATGAAGGCACCGCCGAAAATGCATAATCCAACAATCGCGTTGACAAGATACGGATTTTTGAGTCCAAGGTCACTGAGGAAGAGTGCTGCGAAGGGGCCCACAAATTGGATGCCGGTGATAGCGAGCGCGACAAGGATGAGTGCTGAAACGGCGGTTCGGCGAAGGTTGACGCTAGTATAGATCTCGGTCCAGGATGTACTGGCGTCCAAGGTTCTTTCGAAATCGAGATGTCTCTGCACATCCTCCACTTGGTCTCTGATAGCAGCTGAATCCGCATCCAAGCTCTGGAATTCAGCAAACGATTTCCGCGCTTGCTCATCTTTTCCCTTCAGTAATAACCACCGCGGCGATTCGGGGAATAGCATCACGCCCAGGCCGAGGATAACGCCTAGTGGAATCTGGCAGATAATTGGAGTTTTCCACTGCCAATCATTCTTTGGTGATAAAGTTGCTGATCCTGCACATACACCCGCTGCAGTTACATTCCCCAGCGCAAGTCCAATGTTATAGATACCCATCAGAAGGCCCCGTTTGCTTGCGACAACGCACTCAGAACCGTAAATGATGCTTGATGCCAGGAGCTGACCAATTCCGACTCCATTGATGCATTTACAAACCATATAATTCAGGAAACTCCCTGATGTACCCAGCATCCCGGCTGCACCGACGATACAGAATAGACAGGCGATCTGTATGGTGGCTCGCCGGCCGAAGACTGAGCCGAAGAATCCTGCCAGCGCACACCCGACCGCCATGAATAATATACTTACACTGATAAGGGATTGTTGGAGTGTTGTCAAGACGCATTGTTCGATCATCGCTCCGGTCGGGTCACGAACTTGTTCACAGTGGCCAAATGCTTTTTGAAATGCGGGCATGACTAGGGCGATACCGGCGAAGCCATTGTCGAACTCGGCGATCCATGCAGCGCCCGAGACACATATTGTAAGATAGACCATTTTTGTGGTGATTCTTTGGGTTCCATTTTGGGGAGAATCGGATTGTATGGCCATCGTGGGTTGTAGTCTGGAATTATAGATTTTGAGAATAGAATCTGAACCTCCCGGGTTGAGGAGAGTAGGATATAGGAAAGTACTTCATCTTATCTATATAAAATACTTAGTGAGTTGAGGGCGATGATTCATGGATATCGAAGGTTGGACGGATCTGTGAGGTTGCATCTCTGCATATGTGGTGGAACCAGGACTCACCTATCACTCTCACCCCAAATCATAACAATTCCAGGTTAAACCACGCCCTTGCATCTAATCTGCGAACCATTCCCCACTTAGGTAACTTGCAGTCTCAGGGCATCCTCTTCTCAAATGCATCCCAGGCGAGGTATAAGCCGAAAGTTCAATCCTTGTTCAAGTATTGAGATCGGGCGTTTATACTGCTAGATACATGTCGTTCTTTGGGTAAGAATGCTGATTTGCAGGCCTATCGGATGAAAATGAGGGGGTTTGAACATAGTTTCTCCATTGCTGGGCCTTTGGGTAAGAATTGGCAGAATTCCTGGGTGGATGAGCTTTTGCAGTTTACAGAATCCGGTCCTGATTTGAAAGATATCGTTGAAAATCGGATCAAGATTGGGGTTGCGGCTGGCACCAAGGGCGAAGATACGTTCTGCGCGGACTACGTTTCCTCAGGCAGTGATATTGGCACATTCTCGTTTCTTATTTCCGGGTCATTGTTCGAGGTATCAAGCCGAATCGAACCCCTTCGCAGTAGAATTCATGAAGGTTTTACAGGTGCTCGGCATTGACCGATGGCATCTTAGCCTCGAGTTGACAGCACTCTAGGTCCAGATCAATTCGGTAAGTATATCGCATAGAGGGAATATTTTTGATTTTGCAAACTATGGGATAGAAATCATGACCTGATGTGCAGGATCCAAAGTCCAAACACCCCATCTCTTGGGGGGTGCGAAAAGGAAGAAAACCATCACGTAGGACGTTAGATATTGATGACTGGAACCAAAAGACGGCGCTTGGGGTCATGATTCGGAAAACATCGCGCTGATATGCTGAATGACGATTCGTGTCGAGATCAAAACAGTCTAAAATTCCACGGCTTTGCATATGCTAGAAACCACGGCGATGCAAGCCCTGCCCGCCTTCACACGTTGATTTACTCAACACAAAGCTCAGTGGCAATCCTAGAAACAAAAGAACAAGATGACCAAGCATCTAACTTGTCTGGAAAGCGTTGAAAGCCTTGTAGGTGTACCCAATGAAGGGCAGGCTCATCTCCGCTTCCTGGGAGTCCGGCATGGCACGGGCCTGAGCACGGTGAATGGCGCTGGTGTCCTCCTGTGGAATCTCGTCGATAGGGAAATAAGACACATCAATGTTCGAGCTGAGGCGTGGCTCAAATGGTGCGCGAATATTCCGCAGCTGCTCCCACACCACACCCCGGAAGAAGGGGTGATTCTTGATCTGGGTTGCACCGCCATGTTGACCACCGTCATTGCCAATACGGTGCTCAGGGTCACACAGGAAGCTTCGAATCAACGACTCGGAATCACGCGAGAGAACCAGCTCATCAGGGAAGTAGAGGCATTCACGCCAGTTCACAATCTTACGGTATGTATCCGTGGTGTCTTCAGCACAGAACGGAGGCCAACCCACAAGACATTCAAACATAATAGCACCGACAGACCACCAATCGCACAGGTATGTGTATCCTTGGCCGTTGAAGATCTCGGGGGCAATGTAGTCAGGAGTTCCAACAGTTGAGTATGCCATGGCGCGACGAGACTTTCGCCAGGTGTTGATCTGTCCACGATTGGAGACGGTCAGATTGATGGCATCGTTGAAGTAGCCGGAGTTGCGGTTGCGGTCCTTTGATGTCGAGTTCTTAAGGAGATTCTGGTAGTAAGCGTTGTCGTGGGTCTTTTTGCCTCCAGTCGAGAGACCAAAGTCAGTGAGCTTGACGTGGCCACCACGGTCAAGAAGAATGTTATCGGGTTTGATATCACTGGGAGCGTTTATTAGCATTGTTCAGGTTGAGGGCACGCGGAGTTGATCAAGTAGATGATCGGCGCTGGTTCGCTTACCGGTGAAGGAAGCCAAGCTTGTGGACGGCTTCAATGGCCATCACAACCTCTGCCATGTAGAAGCGAGTAATATCCTCTGAGAAAATCTCGTATTTGATCAACATGGTCATCAGATCACCACCAGGTAAGAATTCCATCAGCAGATATAAGTAAGCCGCATCCTGGAATGAAGCATGCAGCTTCACCAGCCATGGGTTGTCCTTCGAGTCCGCTAGAATATCACGCTCCGCTCGAACGTGCGCAAGCTGGTCCTTCTTGAACATCTCCGTCTTAATTAAAGACTTGAGGGCATAAATCTTGCCGTCGGTCTTGCGCTGCACCAGCTTCACCTCACCGAAAGCACCCTTTCCAATGATCTTGATCGTCTGGAAGTTTTGAGGAGTTTCCTTGGTTCGAAGGAATCGAAGAAAGTCTGACTCTCTCTTCGAAATCACTTCGGCATCCTCGCTCTTCTTCTCGGCAGCAACGTTGGGGTCTCGGAGGGTTTTGTCAAGGTCCACAGATCTACCGAGGAGAACCAATTAGCAACCGGAGTAAACATTAAAGATAAAGACCTATCATCGTCGACGCAGACGTTCTGTACTCACCGCATGTTACGATCCCGAGCACGTTCGATATTCTCGTGGAAGAAGACTGTCACCAATTCCTTCGCAGCTTTACCCCGCTTGTGCACATTCTCGGAGTATCGGTCAGGGAATCGCTGCAACTCCTCATTCTCGGCCGGCGGACGAGGGCTGCGAGGCACGGGAGGAACCAAGTGTGCGGCCTGGGCCTGGCCCTGCGCTGGAGACCCCCCGCGGTACGAGGTCGCTGAGAAGGCGAGTTTGTCCGACCGAAGAAACCCCCACGATTGGCATTGAGATCCTGATTGGAGAATTGTTGGATGAGGCCATTGGTACCGTCATTGGCATAGCCCATGCGGTTCTGGTAGGCGGCCTGCGGTGACTGCAGGTTCTGTTGCTGCGCGTATTGCTGTTGCTGTTGCTGTTGAACATACTGGGCCTGGGCTTGGTTCTGGGGCGGGTAATGGCTGGCCATGAAGTAGCCAGGAGCGTAGGCCGGGTTCGAGGGGTCGACATGGTCCTGGGCCCCCTGAGTCTGATAGATCGGCTGGGGAAAAGCGGACGGGGTGGTGGGATAGGCGCGGCTGTTAGCCGCGTTATAGTTGCGGTCATTGTACCCGTAATTCATGTTGTTGCGGTTGTTGGGGTTGTTATTGGGATCCATCTTGACAGTGGCCCCGACTCCCAGGGAACTTTAGACAAAAAGATGGTGGGGGGAAGAAGGAAAGTGATGGGTAAAGGAGAAGGCGGGGAGAGGTGGAAGGAGCGGTGGCTCTCAGGAGGCAAAGAATAATCCACCCCCGATAATTACTTGAGATTGTTATAGCCTTGCCCCTGGAGTTTCATGACTGGTCACACTACCTATATATGCTTTGCTTGTTACTTTCCCTTGTGAGTATATAACTCAATCTTTTCCTTGAAATACACATGAAAAAAAAAAGACCGAACCATGGTGATCTAGCACCCATTGCTTGGATATTACCAAAGATGGTTTTAGATCCGAGATCAACTATCGTCAGGACCGAACCATTGAGTATAAGGTATCTATGTTGTATTCTACATCACCATATTCCAGGGGGAGGGGTAATTCTCCCCTGATTGATTCAGAGTTATAAGACATTCCAGTCAAATTGTTAACTGGGATATAGCCTTAGTGTAGCAGCCTGTCTCCGCGGAACCCACTTGGGAATCCCTATGGATTTCACAAGTTGACTGTATATGAAGGCCAACACAAGAGATCCTACTATATTGCACTCATCAAATTGACATGAGGATTCAGAATATGACTTATTTCCTTCAATCATAAACAACGAAAGAGATAACTTTATAAAATGTAAAAACTATAAGCGCGCACGTGACGCGGATCAATTCTGGCGCCGGTATTCGGGCAACTTTTTCCAGATTCAGGACGGCAATAGCAACTGCCACTGTTGTTTTCACATCCAAACAATGGCGGAACCGTCTAGTTCAGCAGCACCCACTGGGGCTGCTAAGCCTCAGGCTGCCCCTAAGCCACCTAATCCGGTCTTCAAAATGATGGGTAAAGCTTCCATTGTCACGGGAAATTCAGACATCGGACGAGAGAATACTAACGCCAAATGTGAAATCACCAGGTCTACCGAACATTCGCTTTAAGCTTCCTTCCAGAAACTGGATGATCTTCTTCACTATCACCGGATCTTTTGCTGGTGCTCTGATTTACGACCGTCGAGAGAAGCGCCGCGCGCAGCAAAAATGGTGCGAGCTGGTGGCCCACCTTGCGAAAGAACCACTACCTGTCGAGGAGATGCGCCGCAGGTTGACCGTATATCTCGCCGCACCGCCAGGTGACGGCCTGAAAGTCGCTAGAGATCATTTCAAAGAATACGTGAAGCCCATCCTAACGGCCGCGGCTTTAGACTATACAGTTGTGGAAGGCCGACGGGAAGGCCAGGTGCGCGCCAGCACAGCAGAGAACATCCGAAAGTTGAGGCGCAAGGCCGGCGAGCCCAGCACAGATGCTCACGAGACTGGTGTTGAAGAGGTTGTACTGGCGACGCGAGAATCCATCGGGATTCACGATGAGCCCGGTCCTAAGGGTGACTTGGTTATTGGTCGACACACCTGGAAGGAGTACGTTCGGGGCTTACATGAGGGCTGGTTAGGCCCCATGGATGCTCCAGTCCCTCCCGCTGCAGAAATCCCAGTTCCCGAGGCGTCTGAAGAGCCCATCCAGGAGATTGCGGCTGGAGACGCCCCGGCCGAGACCCCGTCTCAGTCTCCGGTGGAGACCCTCGAAACACTTGAGAAGAAGCTTGAAGATGAGAAGGAGGAGGAAAAGAAAGAAGAAGAAAAGCCATCCAAACCTACCGGACCTAAGCCTGCCTATATCGCAACTGCCGAATACCCCTCTGCTCAACTCGCCCCTGCTATCCCCCAGTCCTTCGACAGCTCCGTCCCCATCGAATTCCCTCATATCCTCGGTTTCCTAAATACCCCCATCCGCATGTACCGCTTCCTCAACCAGCGTCATCTCGCCGAGAACATTGGTCGTGAGGTTGCCGGTCTCGTCCTCGCCAACAGTTCGAGACCCTACCGCGACGAATCCTTCAGCGTGGGCTCCGAGCTTAGCAGTGCCTCCGTCGACTCTATTCCCTCCCCCGATGGCTCTGCTACCGACGCTGCACGCGGTCACGAGCAACAGACTGTTCTGGAGAAGGAAGAGGAGTCCTGGCACAAGTCCGTGCGTAAGCGCGATGATGCAGAGCTGGAGCGCGAGTGGCTGGATGATATCGTCCTGGATCCTCGCATTTCGTCGCGCATGAACCTTGCGCTCCTTTCTCCTGAGGATGAGGCTCGCTCTCAGCGTATTGCTGAGCACCAGGAATACATCCTTGGTGAAGAGCGTCCGCTGCCCATCCCCTTCTGGAAGAGCATGTGGATTAAGTACGGATACGGTGAGGATGAGGAGACCATCCGCCGCAAACCAATCATTGGCAACTACGATGATGAGTTTGGTGCGTAATCAATGCATTATATTCAGTTTCCAAAGGGCTCCTTGGGGCCCATGTGTTATAATAGAAAGGTGGTGTTTCGTGTTTCATCTCCTCAACATGAAGGATGTCATGTTTTCTCAGTCTAAATGTCTGCATATCCACTCTCCTCGGCTTGTACATTAAGGCGCCTTTCAAAATGTTCTGTCTTTTTTTCTTGGGATGTACATGGCAAAGTATGCAATAGATCATTTAAAGATTTCCATCTACCAAAATTGTACATCGGTTGCGAACATTCAAAGACTGTTGTCCCAGTCCTCGCATAACACATTACTCTACAAAATGTGGTGAGTTGATCGAAAATTTTTGAATATTTGATTTCATTTTGTTTTTTTCCTCCTTGAAACGGTGATTGATATCATATGTATAGCGATCATATCTCCCTTCCTGGCTTCGTGGAATTTAATTTAGCTCCACTGGTGAGAAATAATTCTAGTTCAGCTGGAAAACAGAAGACTCGGGCCACTTCTGCTTCGCCTTCTCCGCATAGGCGGCCTTATCGCCGCCCCACTTGGTCAAAAGATCGAGAGCTGGAACAGCTTCATCGATGGTGATATCAGAAGAGTCAAGGGTAGCTAACAGATCCTGCTCACACTGGGCCTTCGAAGCCGCATTCAAGAAGATACGGCCAGAGAGAGCGGCCTGGACATGTGTGGCACTGCCCTTGTTGGCAGAAAGGAAAGACTCGTTGAACTCCTCAAGCTTCTGGGACTTGGGGAGCAGCTTCTCGAATTCGGCTTCGACAACCTCGGCAACCTTAGGATCAAGAGGCTCAGCAGGCTTGTCGAGTGCCTTGCGGAATTGCAAGAGCTGCAAGTGGAGAGTGGGGTTGGAGGGGTCGATGGCGTGGGCAGCTGAGAGACACTTCACGGCGAGGATGTGCTTGTCTATGGAGCCTTGTGTTAGCAAAAACCTTATACAAAAATATCGATTAAACTTACTTCGGCGGAAGTAAACCTCAAAACCGAGGGTCTGGGAGTCAATGTTTTGAGAGCTCAAGGCGAGAAGGGGTGTCAAGAACTTCATGGCCTCGTTGAGAGGATCCTTGGTTTGCACCAGAGTGTTGCCGAATGGATCAGGGTCCTCCTTCTTCACCTCTCCGTCAATGCTCTTGGCATTGGCCGCGGCAGCCTTTCTTGCCTCGCGCTTATCGGCCTCGATCTTCTCCAGGCGTTGTTGCTCCTTCTTGGCCTTCTTGAGGGCCTTCTTCTTCTCCTCGTCAGTCAATCCATCAGCGCCATTGACAACAGTGGGCATCGGTCCGTGGGCGAGTTCAGGCTGGTCGTGGAGAAGAATGTATGCCTTGATGGCGGAAGTAGCCATCCGTGTGTAGAAGGGGTGCTCGCGCAGACGATCCTCCCAGTGCACCATGTCGACATAGGCACGGATCATACCCTTTCGCAGAGAGAAGCTGTGGAAGTCGAACTGATCCTCCTGCCAGGTATCAAAGATATTGTACACGGCGTGGAGGCGCTTGAGTGCCAAGGCCAGCTTCTTCTGTCGCAGGTACGCCTCACCATCCTCAGTGAGATACCACAGGCACTGCATCTCGTGGAGGTCACCCATGGCGCCACCAACAGTCTCGTTGCGGGTGAACTTGCTCATGTTGTCCAAAGCCTTCTCGTTCTCGTTGTTGCGGAGCCGATATTTGGCAGCCTTGGTGTTGATGTGGCGGTCCTTCTCATCCAGAAGACGAGCCTTCTCCATCTCCTGTGCTGCCTTGACCGGGTTACCATAGTGCTTCCAGATCCGCGCCTTGGTCATCTGGTATTCCACCGCCTTCGGTGATAGCTCGATGGCCTTGTCGACATTCTCCATGGCCTTGGACATGTTGCGGCTGAGGTGGTAGTTGTAATGTTGGGCCAAGAAGTAGTAAGACGATTCCAGGAATTCTTTCTCCTTGGTATCATCGGAACCATTCGCTTGTGCCGAGCTGCTGGAGACATAGCCCTCCACCAGTTCCTGTACTACGTCACGCTTGGCCGCGTTGGTGTATAGGGATTTGATGTTGGCGAAAAGAGATGGAACGCCCTTCTTCAGCATCCGCTGGAGATAAACATCCGCGGCTTGCTTAAAGTCCTCCCCTTCTAGGATATCGAGGGGAATGCGGCGAGCCGCATCACCACGCGGGTTTTTCTCCACCCATTCGTCGTACAAAGCCTTCAATGCCTTGTGGTCGCTTTCCGCAATACCCTTTGCCTGAATCAAGCCATTATAATAGATCGAGTTCTCGGGGTTCCGCTCCAAAAGCGCAGTGTATGCCTCCTCGGCCTCAGCCTTGCGGTCAGGTCCAAGTCGCAGCAGATAGTCGGCCTTCATCTCCATGACCGCAAGAACATCTGTACACCGGTATCCAACTTTCTCAAGATGCTCGAGAGCTCTTTCAAGGTTGCCTGTCTCAGCGATAATGGTGTTCTTGTACAGGATTGCCTCTGAGTTCTCCATATCCGAAACGGGTGGGGTGCCCTTCAATGTGTCCTCGTATGTGGTAAGCACTTTCTCGGCCTCTTCCAAATCTCCAGACAAGTGGTGAGCAATTGCTAGTGCTGTCCAGTTCTGTCGCACGCCAGGGCGCGCTTGCAGCATCGCTGTACGAGTCTGGATATATCCCTGGAAATCACGCATCTGCATCTGAAGCAGGGCCAGATCCCGTTGGATGGGAGCCGACTCTGGTTCAAGTCTCAGGGCAAAGCGGTATGCCTTAATCGCCTCCTCGTAGTTCTTTTCCTGTCGGTATAGCAGGCCGTAAACGTGCCAGGTAATGTGCGACTTCATGTCATTGCGCAGGGCCTCCTTGGCCAGCGTAAAGGCCTCCTCTGACTGCCCCATGTTGCTCATAATCAGAGCCTTCATCGCCTGTGTATCTCCATGTTTGGGGTTCTTGCGGAGAACTTGGTCTGCCGTTTTGATGCCTGTCTCGGTGAAAATGCTATCAGCTGAGCTCCGGCCATTGAGGAGGGGAAAGAGGGCAGACCTTTCTTGTATTGCTTCAGCTCAAAGTTGCGAACCACTTGACGAAACAAGGACTGGTCCTTGGGGTTCAATGGTTGCGGCATGGTGGGCGATGGCTGGGGGGGGGGGATTGCCTTGTGCGTGAGAGGAATCAAAGTGTGCGGGGAGCGACTTCTCCGAGTCCGAACTTGGCAGAATGACTGCCCCGATAAGATGCGGTAGGACAAGCCTGAGCACCCCAAGGACACTCTAAATTGGTCAACATGAGGAATAGGTTTTAAATGGTAAAACATTACTTGCATGTGGCCTTTTTTTTTTTTTTTTTTTTTTTTTTTTTGAGCTATTTAATTATGATCAAAGATATTACTCGAGATTGTTCATGCCCACATGGTCATATTCGTCAGACCATACGCCTATATGCAGTATAATGTACAAGGATGGCAAAGTTGTATGGACAAAGTTCAGAACCAGCCCATGCAGCTATGCGTTATGACCAGTTCTCATCGCTGGTGCTTGTGTCGCCAGCTATTGAGAGCATCTTCCCATGACGAGCTAGCGCCACATCTTTCTGACACCAGCCCCCAGGTTCGCGCTCGTATGATTTCCTCCACCGTGCGCTGGTTCCGAACCAAATTAGCCAGCGACTCAGTTCGAGGCTCTTTGGGGAAGAAGCGACCCGAATATGGGTCTAGTCGTTCATCGACGACTCGCTCTCGGTCTCGGGCGGACTCGGTTTCTCGAAGAATCAAGTCCGGATCTTCAGGATCGGGACTGGTAGCTACCCCAGCGCAATAATTCAACACGTCAGAGCGGGTTTGCCATGAGGAGAATAGCACGTTCTCCTTGAAGCCCTGGCAAGCTTCGGGGTGGATGACTTTCTGGCCTCTGGAATCGGTTTGTCGCACGGCGGTAGATGATGGGTCGAACCCTTCTCGAGCGGGCGTAATCAAGGCATTTAGATTCTGTGTAATTGAATCGTCGATTGTCGAGCGGGATAGGCGAAGAAAATCTGGTAAGATGCGATATAAAGGTCAGTGGAGGCAAATCCATGAGCTGCGGGCGCAAGCTTCTACACACCTCGAAGAAGCTTTTCATTGAAACAGAATTGAGGCGTCAGTGCCGGAGTCTCCGAAATCGAGGTTCCTGACATATTGTTGCGAACAGCGTCCTCGGGCTGTCCGTTCGTCTTGCTAGCCCAGAACCACTCCAGCTTGGCTTAGGTGGAGACGAAGAAGAGTGGAGCAAATGATCGAAAAGTATAAGCCAAAGGCGTCCAGTAATGATGTCGGGAATAAAGTAGATATTGTACCAGATATCCAGCAGTATCTTGTACAGCTCAGGCCGGTTAGTACTTGAAGGTAGTTGACGTAATTTCGTAGCTGGAAGAATGATTCAGTGGTATGCTCTCTCAATCGGGAATGGTCCCGTCTACTTTCAATTCTAGTCAGGTGATCCCGCGTTTCGTGTAAAGGCAAGACGCGTTAGAATATTCCCTGCCTTGAGCCTCATACATTATACCTGAAAATCAAGTTTTGTTGTATAATTTTCTCTCAAAAATGCCCGAACACGCTGAAGTGGCGCGCATAGTGCATTTTATTCGCAAACACCTGGTCGGAAAGACCCTCTCCAAGGTTCAAGCCCAACATGATGATATCGTGTACGGCAAGGTGGGCACTAGCGCCGAGGAATTTCAGAAGTCGATACAAGGCAAGAAGATAGTGGGTGCTGGGCAACAAGGAAAATACTTCTGGATCACGATGTCATCGCCTCCACATCCAGTGATGCATTTTGGCATGTCAGGATGGCTGAAGATCAAGGATGCCGATACCTATTACTATCGCTCCGACAAACCAGCAGACAAGGAATGGCCCCCAAAGTATACGAAATTCTTGTTGGAGACCAGCGATGAGCCTAAAACTGAGGCCGCATTTGTGGACGCTCGCAGGCTGAGTCGGATTCGTCTGGTCGATTGTCCCGCTGACGAGATTCGCCAACATACGCCTCTGAAGGAGAATGGACCAGATCCAGTGGCAGATAAAGATATTGTCAATGAGTCTTGGCTGATGGAGAAGCTAAGGAAGAAGCGGATGCCAATCAAGGCTCTGCTGCTAGACCAAGCTAATCTCAGCGGAATTGGAAATTGGATGGCGTAAGCTCTGCCCGTTGTTTCTCTCAAGCTTCAAAAACCGATGCTAATTGGGTTTCCAGTGATGAGATTCTGTACCACGCCAAGATTCATCCTGAACAAATAAGCAACACGTTATCCGATGGTCAGATCAAAGAGCTTCATACAGCTATGTATTATGTCTTCACAACCGCCCTTGATGTTCTAGCAGACTCTGAAAAATTCCCTGAGCATTGGCTCTTTAAACATCGATGGGGTAAAGGGAAGAAAAACCAACCCTCTGCTCTTCCAAACGGCGATAAGATCATCTTTGTAACCGTTGGGGGCAGGACGAGTGCCGTCGTTCCCGCTGTGCAGAAGAAGAGTGGCACAGTGGGTAAAGATGAGGATACGAGCGACACCCCCAAACGAAAGCGTGTCAAGCATGAGAGCGACTCGGAGGCTGAGCCGAAACCTGTCAAAAGCCGGCCAATGACCAGCAAATCAAAGGTGAAGGAAGAACCTGAGGAGAAAGCAGATGCCGGTATTAGAAGACGCTCTACCCGGGCACACAAGAAATAAGATGCAGATACAATTCCAAGCGTATCAATGAATGGTATTCCTCTCTTTCTTGGCTAATTACGCTAGCTCGGTTGGTGGGTTCAGATTCAAATTGGCAAGATGTGTATGGGGATAGTACAGTATATGATTTTTGCCCTTTGAACCCCAGCGGGTTTCTATATAATGAAAGTGGGATGATCTTGATGCTAGAACTGATATCTCAGGCGCATGAGAGTCTTTAATACGAGAGTGCCCACTGCCAGGTACGCCATGTAACTTTGAAGAAATGAATTTAAGTGATTATCTAAACAAAAGGTCGAGCACACCTTCCAAGCCTAAAAGAAACCTTTGGAACAGACATATCCGTATGTTAAGAGATTAGTTCATCACAGCCAATCAGCGGGGCAATCATTCGGCGGTGAGTCCTTATCTAAGGCCGATATCGCCACCGATTACAAAGCCCGTAACACTCGTTGGCTCTCTTCATATCTCTTAATTCTGCAACGATTTTTAAATTCCTTTGGTCTACGACTTGATCTACTATTCGTTTTTTCTGGGGGACAAAGACATACCAAGGAAGCAGGCTTTCTGTGTGAGTGAAGTTTTCGCCATTGCCAAAGCGGTACCCCGCCACCATGAGCGCGATCCTGTCGGCCGACGATCTGAATGATTTCATTTCGCCGGGAGTTGCATGTATCAAGCCTGTTGAATCACTTCCAAAAGGTTCCAAGGAGGCTCAGGTATGTATCATTCTCAGCCTTTGTAATTTAGTTGCTTACTGACCTTCTTCAGAATCCATACGAAGTGACAACCGAAGACAAAGTCGAACCAGAAAACCTTCCGCCGGCGCAAATCTCTTTGACAGACTGTCTGGCTTGCTCTGGCTGCGTGACCTCGGCAGAGGCCGTTTTGATCTCGCTACAATCTCATACCGAAGTTCTCAATACCCTCGACGCCTACCCAGAAATTCCATTAATCCAATCACATGGAACAACAGTTGGCCCTGCGGGACCGGGAAATGGAAAGATATTTGTTGCCAGTGTGAGCCCGCAGGTTAGGGCGAGCTTGGCTGCAACATATGGCATCTCGGAAAAGGAAGCGGGATACATGATTGACCAGTTTCTGCGTGGCCCGCAGGGATTGCGAAGTGGCGGGAAGCAAGGCAGTGCTTTTACTTGGGTTGTGGACACAAATACTATGCGGGAAGCAGTATTGGTTCTCACGGCTGATGAAGTGTCCGAGTCTCTCGTGGGCGCTTCAAGTGAGGGTCAAGAAGCCCCTCCCAAGCGACCGATTCTGTCGTCGGCGTGCCCTGGCTGGATTTGCTATGCTGAAAAGACACATCCTTTCGTTCTTCCGCATTTGTCCCGACTCAAATCTCCCCAGGCAATGTCGGGAACTTTCCTCAAAACGGTTTTGAGCAAATCACTTGGAGTGCCACCCTCTCAAATCTGGCATCTGGCGGTCATGCCTTGTTTCGACAAAAAGCTGGAGGCCAGTCGCGAGGAACTTACAGATGTTTCGTGGCGAGAAGGCCTTGAGCAAAATATCACTGAACCATATGAACCTGTTCGTGATGTGGATTGTGTTATCACTTCTCGTGAACTTCTCTCCTTGGCTTCGTCCCGGGGGCTTTCGCTTCCAAAATTGCCTCTCCAGCCGCTTTCTTCGTCTTATTCTCCTCCATTCCCAGAGCAGACCCTGGGCTCATTTATCTCGTTTCAAGACTCCACCGTGGAACAATCTCTTGCGACAGGCACCTCCGGAGGCTATTTGCACCACGTTCTTAACACCTTCCAAGCACGGAATCCAGGTTCTAATCTTGTCACGAATCGTGGACGTAATTCAGATGTTGTCGAGTACGTTCTCATGTCCGAAGAAGGACAACCCATTATGAAAGCGGCCCGATACTATGGCTTCCGCAATATCCAGAACCTTGTTCGAAAATTAAAGCCGGCACGAGCGTCCCGAATGCCCGGGGCCAAGCCTGTGGCTAAGCCCATGGTCAGTCGGCGCCAGCCTATGTCTCGCAACGCAGCATCAGGAGCCAGTTCAGGATCTGACTATGCTTATGTGGAGGTTATGGCTTGCCCTGGTGGCTGCACCAATGGTGGTGGGCAAATTCGGGTAGAAGATGCCCGGGAAGTGACCGGCTCTCCTCAGCCAGCTGAGGCAGTTGCGTCTGAAACATTAAAGCCAACCCCCCATGAACAGCGAGCCTGGCTTGCTCGTGTGGACGAGGCTTACTTCTCCATGGAATCAGACTCGGAGACTGAATTAGATGATAAACCTCAGCCTCTCTCCATTGTGGACAAAGAGGCGCAGGTTCACGAGAGCTTGCAGCGCTGGTCCCAGTTCATGGGCATTCCACTTACTAAACTTGTTTATACCACTTACCGTAAGGTGGAAAGTGATGTTGGCAAAGAACAGGCGCCTGCAGATGAGACCACGCGGGTAGTTGAACTTGCTGGAAAGATCGGTGGTGGATGGTAGTCGCGATCCTTTTCACGTTTTGTATCATTGGTCTCTTGCATGGCGTTGGGAACTTTTTTTGCATTTTAATGGGGCATATACCAGATACGTGCATATATAAATTTATTGTCAATCAAGAGGCATTGAAAGCCTTCGCACTTTTATGCAAGTTCTCTGGACAATGGTACACTTCTTGTGGGCGGAAGTGAAACTTAGATAAACACATACACGCTTTAAGTGGTTCGTAAACTTGGAAGCTAATCATGGCTCATTACTACCATTACATATGGCAAATCTTTTGAATAAGTATATTAATTAACATAGGCTTTGCATAGCGATGATAACACCAATCAAAACTGTTGTGTGGACTATGCATGCACGGGTATGATGCACCGTTTAATGCGGTTGCTGTGCCAACGCCTACCTAAGTGGAGGTTGTCAACAATTCACAATTGTTGAAACCCCCATCGCAATCATTCAAAAAGCAACATTGTTCACTGGCAAGTGATGCGACAAGCAGGGCCCTCTCTGTGTCATTTTCGACCGAGCAAGCTTCTTTCTTAGCCGACTGACCCAACCGATATAAACACCAAGTGAATTCTCCTAATATATACGACTCAAGCAAAGATGGCACGACTCAACATAGGCAGATCACAGACCCTCAACGGCTCTCCACGGAAAGCATGCTTGACTGCACAAGCTTCCCAATCACCTGCAAGTCCCATTGCTCATGATATAGGCTTTGGCACTCGCTCCTCCAAAGGCTCAACACAAAAGCAGAAAAAGGATTCAGGCGCCTTCTTCGACATCTTTTCAGATGAAGACCTGTCAATTGAGAGTACTGGAACGCAGGGGGATCAAAGCTCGCCATCCACCTCCCCTGGGAAACAAAAGAAAACACGAACCCTTAAACTCGCCAGAACCAACTCGCTCCTCCTTCCTTTACAACAGAGACCACGCCAAAGACCCATTGTCAAATTGGAAACAGACGACTATGAGAAGGAGAATGATCTCACGGAATATGGCACGGACACAAATGCACCAACAATGAGCCCTGCTCCACCACGATCGCCGGTCAGACGAAACGTAGCCCGAACCCCAGCACGAACCCCCAAAATTAGCACAACCACTAGGCCTTTCAGCCATCTGAGTCCTGAAGCTGCAGATGAAGACCTTGGCGACAATAGCTTTGCCTCCTTAGATGACTTTATTGTCAGTGACAATGAGGAGCTAAGCTATCATGAGACATCCGACTCTGAGACAGAGGTGCAAAAGAATCTAACACCATCACCACCTCCCAAATCCACTCGAAAGAGACTCATGAGGGGACGACGACCTGCCTTCAACCTGAATCAGAATGTGGATAGAAATGCTTCCCCTTCTGATTCATTCCGTCTAGAGGTTAAGCTGCCTGATTCAGTGAAGCTTCCTTCAAGCCCTCCGATGAACCCCAAACACGCGATTCAAGATAGTCTTGATCTTTCCAAACAAATGGAAGATCTGGAACTCAACGGCGACAATGAGCCAACTTCCCAGGTGGAACCAGATGCTACGCCGTATGTGTAACATCGTGCATAGTATGGCAAATAGTGAGTTTGCTAATGTATATATCACAGGTCTATCATCGAGCTAGGCTCTTCTCCACCTTCATTGAAACCAACAAGCAGAGGTCCTCAGACACCACCATCTAGTCCATCACGGAAGCGTCTCCTAGGATCTCCAACAAAATCCCGTATCCCTCCAACACCTCATCGTGAAAGCACGGATGCTTTTTGGAGTCAGGAGTTAACCAACGACTGGGTGGACCAACATTCACCGCGCAAAGGCCAAACTCCTGGTCGCTCTGTATTCGAGTTGTTGCAGGACTTCGACGATTCAGAGCACGAAGGCAGCAGCCAAGACACCACAAGCACGGAGTCTGACTCAATGACCAGAGTCACCGCGAAGGAAGCAAAGACACCCAGCAAAACCGCACTCAAAAAGGCCGAGACGGAAGCCCGTAAAGCTGCCAAGGCCCGTCGACTTTCCTTCGACAACAAGAAAGCAGAATTCGCTAAAACCTTCCTCCATGTATTAGACCAAGCCGTGGCGGGAGGTAAGGTCACCCAGCTGGCTGAAAAGACCGGTGGTGTGGAAATTGTCTGGTCCAAAACCCTTCAGAAAACCGCTGGTCGAGCTCAGTGGCGTGGAATTAATACCAGGGATTCAAATGGTCGCCAGATCCCAGGCTCAGTGGTCCATCATGCCAAGATCGAGCTCGCTGAGCGGATCATCGACGATGAGTACCGGCTGCTTAATACCCTTGCCCATGAATACTGTCATTTGGCAAACTACATGGTGTCCAATTGTCATGACAACCCGCATGGTGCTAGCTTCAAGCAATGGGGAAAGAAATGTGCTGAGGCGCTGAAGGATCACCCCATCTACGGCGGTCAGATCAACGTTACAACGAAGCATTCCTATCAGATTGATTATAAGTATGTGTGGTCGTGCGTGAGCTGTGGTCAAACCTACGGTCGTCACTCGAAGAGTATTGACCCAACTCGCGTTCGCTGCGGTGCTTGTAAGAACAAGATTGAGCAGATTAAGCCTAAGCCGCGGAATTCGTCACCGAGGAAGAACACCGCTACACCAGCTTTCCAGAAGAAAATTGTGGATGATGTGACACGAGATTTTGGAAGATTTGTCTTATAATTTCGCATATGCTTTTGTATTTACCATCATAGCGTGGAGTCTGAATTTTCTACTGTATATTGTTGATATCAAAACATCTTTTGCCTTCAAGTTTTGTATATTTTGATCTAAAATCAGACTGAAACACGCTTTAGCTTCAAGGAAGCGTGTAGAATCTTGTTGTAATCATTCATTTTATTGTCTATCTAAAGGTTCTTAGCACTACTTGTTCTTCAAACTGCTCGCCAGGGCTCAATCCAATCCCAAGGTCCCAATCCATATACCAGAAACACCCGAATAATGACCACCGATCCACATTTAAACATTTTCCCCGTCCCCATGTTATTGCACGCGGATTCAAACAAAAAGTCCCCAATCCACAATTTCAAGTCTCTCCTCCACAGACTTCATAATACCCTCCGCAGCAGTCTCCTCCTTCGATAAGCCCCGCACATCTCCCTCTTTGTCGAATTCCTCATGAGGCACGTTGAAGAAAGTCAACAAATCCGTCTCCTGCGCCTCAAGCCGCACAAGAAGGAAATGGCAAGTCAAAGTCTTGGAAGGCGGCGCACTAGAAGAGCCACCATTCATAGCCACACCCGCAACAGCTGAGCCGGCTTCCGCAGCGGGCAACCGCTGGTCCCGGCGACGAGGAGTCGTCTTGAACTCGACAATACCCTTGTACGCACTGACTGATGATCCAGATGGCGCATTTGAAGGCAACCGGCCCAGGGTTACGGGCCGTGGCGGTGCGACCACTTGCATGGCATCATCATCTTCACACAGGTCATGAAGATGGTACAGGGCGGCTGCTTGGTTGACAGTTTCGGGTGTGGCGCTAGCGACGCTGCCGCCGCCACTTGCTAGTGAAGGTTGCTGCTGGATGAGAGTGGCAAAGGTGCTCAGAGCATCTTCTTTAGAGACACGCTGGTTGATCTCAATGATCATGTTGGATAGCGTGTCGGGTGAGAGGAATAGTTCCTGGTGATCTGGGATTTCGCGGAGGTTGCTAGAGAAGTGTTAGCCATGGGTTTATCTTGTGTGGTTTCGTTGTCTCTCTTGACTGAGATCACATTCGCCTTTGACACTGGCCCTAGGTAGAACTGGAACTATGTTCCGGGGAGTATGGAATGGAGATATACTGACCTGGCATCAATCCATTTCTGTGGCACCACGCCCCGAATTGCCCCGCCAAAGAAGTCTTGCTCGGTGACTTGCCACATGGTTGCAAAAGATCGTTGATGGTCGACTTGAAAATTTTATTTTTGGACTTTCTGCACTTTGCCTGGCAGAGATAAAAATTGAGGAACTTGACTGCGATATAGAATTTTGATGCCAAGACCCCGCTTTGCGATGATCTTTCTTCTTCTCTTCGTTTCGTGTTCTCGTCTGCAATTCCCAAGATTTATTTGAGAATGTGGCACTGAAAAGACACACTCAAGATTCTTATGGATTGATTATCTGTTTTGAAGGCTTTCGGTGTCGTTTTATGCTTCTAGGTAGGCTAGGCACACAGGAGGCAGCAGTTGCGGGAGGCAGTCTTCCGCCCAATGACGTTTGCCGAATGACACAATCGTCTACTCCACCTCTCGTAATATGAGCGATTGCGATTACTGTAAGTATTTTGTCAAATATTTCATCGAAAATTCGCGTTCCTTTCACAATATCCACAAAGGACTGCTAATTCAGTCATTTGCAGGCCATTTCCACATGTAAGCAATTGATGCCACGTGATATGTTTATGGCCTCAGGCACCAGTAGTACTGTAGGATGCATGAGTTAAAAGGAATGACTCGATAGAACCGGAGTCCCGGGTTTACAGTACAGCGAGCTAGAAAAATGAATATATTCTATCGCATATATCGATGCAAGATATTGATCATATGCAAGGTGTTCTTAATTGGATCTGGTGCTATACAGATTGCATACACGGAGTACATTATGCTTTAATAAATTAAACATGCATGGTTTCACACATTCGATTGTCGGAGTAACCTTGATAGTCCCACCTGCATATATATTGGATATTTATATCCTGAATTGCTGTTTGTTGCCTATCTTTTATGCGTGATAATGTGCATTTTCAACTTGATTCGTCAAATGACCACAGACGCGCATTTTCGGCTGCAGCCAATAACTTCAGACAATATGATTGGTCCATTTGCACAATGACTCCGCCAGATTCTCCTGAGGAACCCATGATTACCCTGCACTTGGCGCCCAGAAGGGGATCTCGCTCGTCAAGGAAATAAACTCCACCATGCGGATACCTCCGGTTTTCGGCCCACTCTGAATCATCTTTTGATCAGATAATCTCTGATCCTCGGATCTTCATTCACAATCGACCCAATACCCCCTTGCTAACTCGGGTCTTGCTCTTATCTTCCCTTGCTGTCGTTCGTTTATCGGCCGGAGCGCAACACTTCGCGGGCGGGGTTGTACATAAACACCAAGAACGTGATCACCGCTAGGGCGAGCCGGCATCATGAGTCGGCCCAACAGCGCTATTGCGAAGGATCCCGATGCCCAGGATCCAGAGACTCAGCATCTTCTAGGGGGTAACGCGAAATTTCGAAGCCTGGGATGGAAGCGTCTTACCATCATTGCGATCGTTGAGGCGATCGCATTAGGCAGTCTCGGGTTACCGTCTGCTTTTGCGGCGCTGGGTATGGTCACGGGTGTCATTTTGACCGTGGGTATTGGCTTGCTTGCGATGTACGCAGGCTACATTATCGGCCAGGTTAAGCTTATGTTCCCCGAGGTCGCGCACTATGCAGATGTCGGTCAGCTTATTATGGGCCGGTGGGGATCAAGGATCTTTATTGGCGCCTTCGTTGCTCTGCTTGTGTTCGTGATTGGATCGCATGCTTTGACTGGTGCGATCGCGTTCAAGACGATTGCACAGAGCGATTCATGCTCGGTCATCTTTAGCATTGTTTCTGCGGTCATCTTGATGCTACTTGCTGTTCCGCCCTCTTTTGCGGAGATTGCCATTTTGGGATACATTGATTTCGCTTCGATTGTTTTGGCTATTGGTGTCACTATGATTGCTACTGGGATTCAGAGCGATGGCTCTTCGGATTGGTCTGCGTGGCCGAAGGCGGATATCTCTTTCACTTCGGCTATTGTGGCTACGAACAATATCGTGTTCGCATATTCCTTTGCTGGCTGCTTGCCTTCTTTCATGGATGATATGCACACCCCCGAAGACTACACCAAAGCTATGTGGTGGCTGGGTGGAGTTCAGATTGTGATTTACACTCTCACAGGATCGATTATATATGCCTTTGTAGGACAGAGTGTGCAATCGCCAGCACTACTATCAGCAGGACCTCTCCTTTCACGGATTGTTTTTGGTCTGGCCCTTCCGGTCATCTTCATTTCAGGATCTATCAACCTCACCGTGGTTTCCCGATACATCCACGGAAAGATGTATCTGAAGTCCATTAACCGCTTCATCAATACCCCGGAGGGCTGGGTCTCATGGCTTGGCCTCGTTTTTATTATAACAGTGATAGCATGGATGATTGCTGAGGCTATCCCTATATTCTCATCTTTGTTATCTATCATGTCATCTTTGTTTGTTTCTGGTCTAGCCTTCTATTTCCCACCGGTGATGTGGTACAAGCTCCTGAGGGAAGGCGCATGGTATGAAAAACATAACCTGAAGGCTGCGATCTGCAATGGCGTGGTGTTTGTGGTTGGCATGATCGTCTTTATTTGCGGTACATACGCAAGTATCGCTGATTTGGTGAGCTTATATTCTCTCCCCCTGATGATACCTTACTTACTTTAATCCCAAAGGTTCACATATTCCAATCAGGCTCGGTTGGCAAGCCTTTCACCTGCTCGGCCTAGATATATAGAATACTTTCGGCATTTTCACAACGATAGATCACCAAATGATATAGAATAGATGCGATGATTCAACAATTCTGCAATATAGATATGATTCATCTTCCTTAGGGAATTCTCTGTCTCTTACGATCTTCTTTTTTGGATCATTTTCATGGATTATTGTTATGACAAACTGATATTCTCGCCCTTTCCCCTCCACGTCAACCCTATAGTGACAATATGACGCCTTTACTCCATCGGGTATTGATGCTTTCAGAGGTCCAGCATGGAAAATTTATTCTAATGCCTTCTCAAGATCTGCGGCCCACAAGGAAGCACCAACAGTGTTGGTGAATGAAAATATGATGGAAGCAAAGGGTATCATCTCCAGAGCAAAAGCAGCAATGCCAAGTCTGTACATTGGTCAGCATTGGAAGATGGATATCGAAAGGCTCACTTACCCAGTATATGCCGCCCGATTCTTGGCTACCCATTCATCTCGTTGCACCGAGTTCCATCCTTTAAGCTGGAAATACCGTGCATGTAGTCCCGGGCCAACCTTCTTACCCTGAACAGCTATGTAGAGCACGGTTCCGACAACAGGAATCATATTCAGGGGTAAGTAGAGCAAAGAGCGTAACAGGACCTGTGGCTTGAACTTCGCAAAAGGTCTCGAGAAAAGCTTCCCCAACCTTGCAACGGCATCTCTTCCTGCAGATTGAGGTTTGACTTGACGTCCCTGTGCAACAAGAGACTCCTGCTGACGGGCAACAAGGGTGCCATCAAACGTATCAATCAGGGCATCCTCACACAGGAAAGCTCGCGAAAAAAGATTGGTTAGAGTCGCGCTCTCACTAAGAACGAGTACTGCTGCGGATATAGCAGCTATTGGACCACTAGTAAAAGCCATAATGGCCATTTGGGGTACGTAGGTGAAAAAGAACATGAACGATGTTATACCCAAGCCCAGGCCGATGGTTCGCCCAGCTCGTGCGGTAAATGGGCCCCAGAGATCTTTGTGAGTTGCAAAGAAGATTATACCCTGGCATATTGAGTTAGTGATTCCTCAACAGCCTTTTATCATTAACTTGTGGCTTGCCTTGAACGGATACAGATATGCGCCGGATTTGAGGACACCTTCGGAGGCTGCCTGGATACTTTTGGCCTCGGCCATTGCGGCATCTTTGATGTGGTTGGGCATTGCGAGATGAACGAGCCTACAGCTTACACCTGCAAGAGTTTGGGTAGAGAGGTTGATGTCAGAGAATGGGTTCTGGGAGTTCCCGCGTTTTTCTCCAAACGGAAATAATGATGTCATCGGACTTTGGTCACGATGATAACCCATCCAAGCATTCAATGTGCAGAACGGGCGATCGGTGTTCTGGAATCATGGTGGGCCTGACCGAATGGGGTTGAATCTTTGCACATTATATTCTTGCTAATTCAATGGTACACGATGCTATCATCTTATCTCACTTCGTACTCGATATTACTGCTACAGCCGATGATTGGCATAGTAAAGTCCATAACTTATCCAACATTGAAAAGCCCATATCATTTATCATTCTATTCATTATCATTAATTATTTCCAATTATTAGATTCCATCCCATTATTTCCAGCCGATCATTTTGGTGGGTTCATCGTGTAACCAAAGATTAAGGAGCCGATTCGGAGTAAGGACCGCTTGGAGTGTCACGATCATTCAAGCTCTGGGGAACGAGTCAAGTCAGAAACAGTCTGTTTAACATAGTTCCGCATCTTTATCGATCCTCACCATTTGTCGGAGATTATCGGACGGTCATCCTGGCCCGCATACCTCCCAGGAGAAAAATTGTACTCATCGTCCCAGCACTCCTTGGCGGCCATCAAAGGTCCCCATTTTTTCTGAGTACGTCTCAGATGTTCCTTAATGCGTGAAATTATGGTATCATGGTGTGGTTTTGAGGAGGTGGGATCAATAGACTCGATGTTGGAGCTTAGAGACTCAACGGAGGTTGGGGTACTCATTGTGAAGCGAAAGATATGTGGAATAGCAAAGCTCGAGTCTTGAAGCTCGCATTTTTCACCTGGAGCCGGTAAGTATTTATATCTGAGCCAGGGGTGCAAGGACCGCTTCTTTTTTCCTTTGGGTTCATACTTTTGAAATTCCCTCACCGAACTTTTCCCGTGCCGAGATATCTCCGCCTCGTGTTCGCCACACGGCAGGGCTGCATGCGCACTTAACCATAAACAAACTGGCGCCTTCCCTTAGTGCTCACTCCTATGCTCATATCGGCATTAGCCTGAATGATATATCTAGTTTCTTGCCTTTCCTTCCTCTTGATGACTCGTCCCATGCCCGATAATTCCCGATTTAAGGTTCTTTGTATTGCATAGTTGGGCTGAGGTCTTGGGCTGAGAATTATAGCCAAAAAAGACCGCTCCATTTAGTTGAAGCCAATTGCTTCTCCATGTCAAGCTTGTACCAGAATCTCAGACTGAGATCCCCTTATGGAACATTACATCCATGTCACTAATTTATATTTCCTTCTTTAGTCCGTCTGGGTTTGTTCTCAGCCACTCGATTACTTCTTCAACGACGTAGTGCATGCCAAATCATCCAGGGAATATGCCGGAGGACTTTGAAAACTTCCTGTTCTTCTTGGCAATTTGATAGAAGACGTGCTTGTTGGTGATATCCACAATCAATCATAGGCATCCTGCCATTGATCTGACCTCGCAGGCTATCAAGTGGATTCAAGCGAATGAATGACATTATATTTCAAATGGGCTGAAGCTAGTAGTTGGGGCTATGCCCGAGGACTTTTTTTCTCTTCATTCATGGTGTCTTGTTTCATGTGTACGTATCAATATCATCGATGCCAGCTCTAACCTACATTTCAACATCAGTCAACACCGCTAAATGAAATTCGCCATGTTTCCTACGATATCATGCCCGCTGCTCAAAAAAGCATGATTTTTATTACTTTGAAGCAAACATGAGACCTCGTTGTCCACGTCAACGAAGATAAATTCTCAAGCAACAAGCTTGGCGGAGATCGATCGGAGATTGGTCGGCAGGAAGATCGACAGAAAGTTTGACACATAAGGTTCCAATATTTATGCTTCGTTCCAGCGATTGATCCTGTCTAGAACTCAGTCTAGGAAGACTTTAATCTCCCCCCCCTTTCGCCCGCGGTAGCGTGATAACCTAATACCTACCCAGGTGTGTGTGGATGGAAATGTCAGGAATTAATATTATATTTCATTATAGCTATTTGTATGTTCATTGAATGCCTATACCAGACCCCTTCTCTTCATTTTGACCGTGACTATAGCTTTAAACTGAAATTCTTGACTCGGCCATAGTCACGGAGTACGACTGCTTCACTGTAATGTGATAGTAATTGTCCTGCAGTGACTGGTTTTTGTTCAAAATGGCGGCCTTGTCACTTGCAGAATCATTAGACTTGATAGCACCTTGATTGCGTGAAATGTGGCTCCTTGAAATATCATGGCTATTCATTTCATAGGAGTAGTTGCGAGATTCGGTTTCCATAAGCCGCTTGTATAGTGGACGGAGCACAGGGGCCGATGCGGCAATGTTAAGAAGAACAGCTTCGGCTCTGAAGGTGTATCAGCGGGTTGACTTGATTAAGGTACACGGGGTTTCTTACAAAATCCAAGTGAATAGAGCAACCGTGTTATCTATGGATATCAGCTTGACCCCTTAGTGATGACAGGAGTGAGAATACTGACGGTATAGTCGCCCCGATTTGCCAGAGCTTCGAGATTAACAATCTTCATAACGACGGCGATGACAGCACTGGTAGGTCAGCTATAATTCAGGGCACTTTAGAGGGTGTTCGGGGGACATACAGAATACTCAAGCCTAGAAGAATACCCACACCGAGCTTTGTCCATCGATTCATCTGCAAATTGCGAATCATGTACGCCGGAAAAAATGTTAAGAAAAGATCAGTGCAACCATTGAAAGCCGAGTGCGCATATCCAAGGTACTGCGATTGTCAGCAACGGATATAATCTTGTTTGATCATTGATTTGCTTCACTCACTGTCTGCACATCCGCGTTCCAACATGAACCAGATACACTTGTATCCCAAAGTAAAACAACGTTGGTACACTGCGCATATGAACACACCACAACAACACCGTTGGTTATCAACTGTGCCGCAAAAAGAGTCCAAATTACACGCCGCAGCTTCTGGTTGATCCCAAACAGTGTGAACATAGTCGCAATAGTTGAAAGACGGCCAAAAGTAGAGCCCAAGACTCCAAAGGTCTGTCCAATTGAATTGTATTTGAGGGCTTCGATTCGCTGGTGTGTGGTGAGCGTCTGCTGGTGTCGGCCCCATCCGTAGTGGTATTGCACGGTGATCAGGGAGGTGAAGGTAAGGACGATACACTTATCTGTCAGTGAATGAAGGACGCAAGTCCAAGGCACACTTACAGTAGACAGGGCCAGCATTGCATCACTAAGTCCGAGTTGACGGGTGATCCGTGCCTGGGTATAAATCCTAGCAATCGTCACGATCAGGGCAATGGTAGAAAGTCCCCAGCACACACCAAGTGCCGGTGCCCCTAAGGGAAGTCAGTCTAGCGCTGTCAGAATTATTTTCGTCTATCTGACATACCGATATCGTCTCTGTCAGACATGTTATGGGTAACGACACACAATTTAGATTGTTGAACGATGAAGAACAAACATCACGCAAAAAGGTCCGAAGAATCCCTGTTATTATGAGGCTGAAATACAGGTAATTAATCTAAGGCCTCAACCGCAGTAACTAATGTAAACGCCACCTTCATCTTGCTGTCCCTCCTTCAACAAGTCCAACTTCCGCCGAAGGAGAAAAAAGGCGATTGGCCCGTCTTCCGAACAAATCCTGCGAAAGCTACCATGATTCTAGTGAACGTAAATTGTGTGCTCAAATAGGATTAGATATAGATACCAATATCTTCATTCCTGGCTATTGGTGCATCTATTGCTCGTTTGGGCTCCACTTCCGCTTCTTGATTTAGCCACATGTCGGGGGTCGGCGGAAAGCCCGTGTATTCTTTTTGAAGTCGCGATCTGGCCTTCGTATAGCATTTCCCCTTTTGTTTTTGTTTTTTCTAAGGCAACAAATTACAGACACCAATAACCCACAAAAATAGTTGTTCTCCTCAGCCAGCGGTATAATGGCCAAACACTTTGAAAAATGGTCAGTATGACAAGACCGAGGTGCTGGGTCAGATTGATGAACAATTGGGAAATTTAAGCCGTGCGTGTGGGTCCTGGCGTACCTGGCATACATCGGCTATAGAGCAGGTACAATAACGTGTGCAAGATGCAGAATTCCTCAGCTGACTGCAAGGGGTAATGGAATTAAAGTAAGAATTCTTCAAATTAACCCCTGGAAGGAAATAATCCCGGCCAGGCGATGGTTATCATACTACCAATGCCTATCTACTGCAATCTCTCCATGTTATGTGCTATGCCAATCTCCTCAAAATTGCCGTTGTCAGCCCACTATCAGCCCATTAGCCCAAACTAATTTCATTCCTCCGAAAGAGAACGACTAGCCCGTTAGCGGCTCTGTACTAGCTCATCCGCAAGCAATGCCGGCGTATATATTTTGTTCCACTGCTTCCCCTTCCAAGGCTGGTGAAACAGCCTTCATCACAATCACTAACTGCCATGGTCCCTCTTCTTTCCTTGGCCTTTGCGGCCTCCCTTCTAAGCACGGCCTTTGCTCTTCCTTATGACATTGCGCCCGCCATTGCTCGTCGCAATGCCGCGACCCACGGCGCTAGCTCTGCTGTCAAGGTGAATGTTCTCTACAGCTTTGGCGACGGTACGTGGGCTGAGAATCTCGCAGTCCGCGCCAATGGACAAATCCTTCTCTCTCGTCTGGACACACCCGAGGTTCTACAGCTTGACCCTAAAGGCATTAAGGAGCCAATCACAGTTGCTTCTTGGAATTCCTCGACTTACATGGGCTGTCTCGGTATCTCCGAGACAACCCCCGACCTGTTCTATGTGGTGACCTCTGGCTTTGTTGACGATAGTTTCGTCCTCACTTCGGGTGTCAACAGTATCTGGGAGATTGATATGTCTACCTTCTCCGTCTCTGAGCACACGGGCAAGGTTGTTTCTAACGCCACCGTCTCCAAGTTGGTCGATGTGACAACCTCGGACTTCCTCAATGGTCTCACTACCCTGTCTGATGACTTAATTCTGGTCGCCGATGTCTACAACGGCTGGGTGTACCGTGTTAACACAAGCACTGGTGCCTACTCGGTTGCCGTCAACGAGGAGAGTATGAAGTTTGACTCGATTCCGAACCCCCCGACCAACATTGGTGTCAATGGTATCAAGCTGCTTGATGACTACCTTTACTGGTCCAATACTGCTGTCGGTACTCTGAACCGTATCCGCATCACGGCCCGGGGTGCTCCCATCGGAAAGGCTGAGGTCGTTACCAGCAACGTTCCGAAGGCCGATGACTTCATCTTCAAGAGTGATGGTGTTGCCTTTATTGCTCAGAATCAGATGGATGAGCTCAGTGTCTTGTACCCTGGGCAGTCCGAGGCCGCTGTCATCGCCGGCAGCAATATCTCGACTATTCTGGCCGGTGTTTCGGCTGGCAAGTTCGGTCGTTTGCCCGATGATAAGCATATCCTTTACTTGACCACCAGTGGAGGTATTTTCTGCCTATTTAATCCATTTGCAAGTATTTGTACTAACAAAGATGCAGCTGAGGGGAAGCCTATCAACGGCACGGTGACCGTTCCCGCGACTCTCTCGTGGATTGACACATCCGCATTTTAATTATCTTAAGACATGATTATACGTCACTTCTGTATTCATTGGGTCTTTTGTTCTATGTGAACTGATGCAGTCACATTTGCAGTAGCATAAGGACAGAAAACAGGTCTGTGTACAAGAGGGAAAAGCAGACACCACGTGGGCAAGGAGCGACTATTGAACGATCGGAACGAGAAATAATAATACCAATACGAGCATTCATATACATTACTTCCATACATGACACCTGTACTCTGTCTTTAAATTAAGAATATCCACCCACGTACAAACATGTACGATGTCCGGCTATTCATATAATGTTCGGCCTGGCGAAGCATTTTAACTCCGGCCTCATGTCCATTCTGAGCTGCCAAGGAAAGTGATGCCTCACTGCTGGAATCTTGAGGATAGGGGCCCGCACCAGGTTCACGAAGTAGCTTGACAACTTTCAAATGTTCAAATTCTGCTGCGCAAGACAGGGGTGTCTGGCCATCACAGTCTTCAATTTCTGGGTGAACACTCATAACCTACAGGAGCTTGACAATCATCTCATGTCTGTTCCGCGCATCCCATCAGAGTAGGGTCTCTCCCTCCTCCATCCGAAAATAACTCTGCTTGTAGTAGTAACTCGACGGCTTTCTCATGCCCAATTTGTTCTGTTAGCCATAATGATATTCGCCTGTCAGAGCTCTGTGATTCAGATTTAGCTCCTGCCTCGAGAGAAGCCTCCAATATTTCCTCATGGCCATTGTAGGCTGCCAACCACAGTGGTGTCTCTCCATTAGAATTCTGATTTTTGGGGCTGACACCCTCGTCAAGTAATCGCTTTATTTTGCCTCATGTCCAGATTTTGCTGCTAATGGAATAGGTGCACGTTCATCAGTGTTCTTTTTATGAGCATTGACGCCATCAGTCATCCGCGGAATGATGACAATATCCTGATGACCATCCCGGGCTGGCCACGATAGAGGCGTATACCCGTCAGCACTCTCGGAATCAGGGTCGACACTTTGCGGTGAGTACTAGCCTCGTAATGTGGCCTTTTCCTCTGACCAGGAATGAAAAGATTCTAGTTCAGATAAGGCAAGTTTCATGTCGAGGTCAACTTCAGGAAGCGCGCTTAGGTTGTATAACCTACCACGTTGACTGTATTACTCATTTCGGTATTTTAATCTGTCGAAGATGATGGTGAATTATAGCGGCAATTAGGTCCCGCGAATAGACCGACAATTGGGTCTCGACTCCGAGGCACCAGAAACCGAAGACGCGTGGCCACGAAGTGACGGGTCTGGACTAAAGAAAAAAGTGGGTTCGGCTCGCGTGGCCCGTGGAACGGCGAGGCTCCGAAGGTACCAAGCATTATTTGAAGCTTTGCTTTTAATGCTCCACAAAAGCCACCGTGCCTTACTAGTGTAGCTGCCAAGCATGCAATCAGTATTCGTTTCAATGATGGTAAGCATTCTTTTTTGTGAAGTCAGCTCATATTATCTGGCGCTTTTCTCCCCTGTGTTCACAGCACAGAAAAACCCACACATGGCAGAGAAGAAAATTCATAAAGAGAAAGCTTCAGAATAGAGCAAGCCTCGTTCCGCTGGAGGGAATAAGTATGACTCCCGCATTAATTATAAATTTTTAATCAATCGCACCAAATAGTGTTTAAAGCTTTGGATCACACTCTCAAGCAAAGCACTTGGTTGATGCATTATGCACTTCAACTGGGACTCCGTGGTGATCTCTCTCGTGTATACAGGTGAAGGCATGTTGAGCATCCAGGGTAGCCAGTCTCATCCCATTATCCCGTGTTCACACCCAAGGTATCTGGTGTCAGACTCCCAGTCAGTTGAGCCGAAGTGGCCATCAAAGAGGTTGTGGATATGACGAACCTTATGGTCCGCTGGAGTCATTTCCGGGGCATTTCTGGCCATTCTCTCATTGTTTCTAATTGGTGGATGTGATAATCACAAGGTCTTGATTAGGTTCACTATGTGAAACATTTGCTGAGGCTGACGCGGCGAGAGAGCAGAAGGCAATGGAGAGCTTCATGTTCATTGGAAGTGTGCAGTTTCAGACAGATATATCGAATTTTTTGGAAGTTGAAAAGGTTCTAAAAAACCTTTACCCCGGAATTGCTCGTCGCAATGGATTATAAGTAATATAGATACCATATAGAAACTTCTAAATGACATAGACTAAGCGAGTACAAAGTATAGGCCATGTTCGAGCCGTCTGAGACCTTCATAATTCATGCAATCGGAGCATGTGAAGACAATTTTCAACGGGGTTTCAAGATGCCAACGACCAGACTCTTTGAATATTGGACGGATTCCCCTGCTCATTCGATCCCCTCCCGGTATATCTGGTGATCAACCCGAGTCCATGGATGTACCGGTCGTTGACATTAAAATAACGACCAGCTTCTATCAAGCCACGGTGGAGCTTTGTGCAGTATTTCCCGATTTATTTATTTTTTGACTGTCTAGATAGCTTCTCGAGATTAGGCTCTATTGTGCCAACCATTGCCCTTTGCTTGCATAATACTGTGGGTCTGTGTTCCTATATACCTAGCCAGGCGCCTTTGTAACCAATTGCATTGTCTGAGTAGTCCTGTTCATGGACCGGTCAGTATTGATTGGTATGTGGGTTTGGGCCCATTTCAAATAATTTGACTTGTACTGTGAAACGGGTCAACGAACCCGTGCCGCTGACTGGATTGGCGCTGGCGAACTGTCCCACATGTAGGAGTACTGCGTTCCGGAATAGGATTCACAGGCGCTGCGCTATCATGAATAATGTTAAGACGGACACACTCACATGCCTGCTCTGATTCGGGGCTGACCCGTGATGCGAATCGATCATGTGTCACTGATGCTTTTTATTCGGTGTCACATCCAGTGTAGATAGACATGTAGTATAATTTGAATGTATCCTTGTCGGTGGCTGTGGGAAACTATCTCCTCTCTGTATTCCTGTGTAGCAAGGGCCTATGGCAATATGGCCGATACCGCTGGGGCTATAGATGCGAGATTTCGTGGGAATCGAGGTGACGTAGGATCTACTCTATAATTCTGACTGGCATATGCCCGCACGATTGGTGTGGCAACATATGATGTATCCTTGTCTGAAAAAGACTAAGATTGTAGTGACACAATAAGCTGAAGTAGATATACTAAGTTTTCTTTTTTTTTTTTTTTTTTTTTTTTTCCTTTCCGATGCGCGCTGCATGAATATCAGGTCGCCCAGGTCGGGCTGAACATAGATCCAAATTGCATCGAAATGGGGCGTATATCCAATGTCAAACTCGGCGTTGGCTCAGCTAGGGCTTGGTTGAGCCTTTTAAGAAAATGAAAATTTACAAGAGAAAGTAGAAGGTAGAAAATACAAACAATCCGCCAATTTATGGAGCGAAAAATGCATATCAATATCCAGAGCAAAAGACGACCATATAAAAACATAGGAAAAAAATAACAGGCCCGAGCCGTGGATCGAACACGGGACCTCGCGCAGGAGTGCTTAGGAGTTGCTGCCCTAAGCGCGAATCATACCACTAGACCACCCGGGCTGTTCTTGATGCAGCAATTGCGATTTATGGATCTATGACTCAAAGATTGTGTGAGGTGACTATGTGGGGGCAAATGTTTTAGCGGGCCAATTATCATGCTTTCTGATCGTCAATTGTGCATTTGAGAAATTCGGGAATAAGCTTCTACATGTAGGTCAATTCAATGATTATGTCGATTAGATCTTCTAGGGCTCATATTTTCAATATTGATCTCTCTATATTACAAGATTTTTAGAGTTTTGTGATGTCGTCGTGGTGTGGTCATAGCCGCCCGCTAACCAAGTTTCAAAGCCTGCATATATACAGTCCACGTTGGCACCAGAGCACTTACATGCCTATTTTCAGTTTTCTAGCTAATTTAGCTACTCGATTCATATTTAAGAGCTATAGGTGTGTGGCATTCATTGTTGGCCCCTTTGGTTCAATTTAACTGTTTATGTTAGGGTAGGATTGTTGAATCGAGACGTGGTGATATATCTGAGGTCAACCTGGGTACCTTAGCGCTTTCGTTTAGACTTCAACGTGAACCACTTATAACCACATATTCGTGACCATCACATTTGAAACAGAAAGCTCACCGAAATTATCCATAGCGCTGAAAGTCTCCGTATAATAACATGATCATAGGGAAAAAGAAAAGGAAATCTCGTACTATCAACCTTCAAATGTTGAGCTATTACTGCAGGACTGCGGGCATTCATACCTAAACGGTGTGAGTACATACGTCGTAGTCATACCGTGCTAGGCGTGCCTTACTAATCTTCAAGGCCTAATAAGTCTCCCAGATATTGTTTACTCGCTACGATGTGAGATCTTATGTATTCCTGATGTTCTAGAAATTCATAGCAATTGACAATCACAATGATAGAGGCTAAGCCTACTATAACCGCATGACTATACACACAAGATCCATGCATCGGAGCATCAAGCAGGCAAATGCGAAAGAACATGCCCACAAGAGCGACATAAAACCACAGTCATGGATATGCAAACCGAGGACACTGACTCGCCTTCGCGCCAACAAACACAGCGCTAACATCGCACTGCAAACCAAGTAACGCCCGGGTTTGGCCAAGACACGAGAGAAACCCTGGAAATAGGCTTAAATTGGGGAGATTGATAACCACAAATGCATTTTCATCACACTGGCATAAAACTCAAAACAATGGACTCAAACGCGAGGACCACACTGCGCCTCGCCCCAGACAAGCTGCTTACCAGAAGCAGTATACCGGGCCAAACAGCCATGCAGGTTCCCGTGGAATGGATACCCTGCCGATCTTATCAGAAAAGGCGCCCGGGAAGGGCGCCTTGGTCCCTAGATCGACGATGCTCCGCGATCCAGCCATCCATTCCTTTGCCATGCATCCACGCAGATCTCCCTCCCTTACATTTAAAGTCTCATCGTCGGAGGCTGGGAACCAGTCTCATCCATGGGATATGGATACATGCTGCCCACTGTGCA